TAGGGTGGGTTGTTGTCTCCTTTCTTTGGGTTTGGGCGAGTGTGCTCATTTGTGTGATATATCCGGTGGTAAGTTATGTCTTTGATATCATCAAGTGCAATGCAGGAAGGTCATGTTTACTGACAGACATCGTGCAGGTTGAAAGTGCAGGTGCTTTGCGGGATATTTCAAGGGGGATATGGGGTGACATCAGGGCCATTTGGGGACGTAGGAAGGAGAGATTGCGAACTGGACAGCCAGTATGAAGATTAAACGAAGATTGTTGATGTAATTGTCAGCCTCTCAGAACGGAGGTGAAAAAGAGCCTGTTCTACAGGATCTTCCTGAACTTTATAATTCGTTATTCCTCATTTACGAGGCATTAGTATATATTAACACGAAGATATCGTTATCCAAACCAAAGTAAATAATCTTTCACTCCAGACATCAAGCCGAGAGCTTCAACGCCTCAATCCCGAATTGCGCGTACCCGCCTGACCTTGAGGAGTCTATCGTAATCCCACTCAACCCACGCACCAATGCCCACACTCGCCCGCTCTACCAACCGCGCGAACGCAACTGCATCATTGTCCTTGCGATATCCCTCCCGGCGATATGCCCTCGCAAAGTTAAGCCACACCAGCGTCTCCGACCCAGGAACCACCGACCACCCCAAAGGCCTCTGCACCCGGGGTAGCACACTTAGACGCCCCTCATCATCCTCCGAGACATCTTCCACCACCAAAACCTCCTCAAAATTTTGATACTCTAACATATCGAACACCGACGTGATGACCTTCTTCTCACACTCCAATAGAGATCGGGGAAAGGCGAGGCGGGGGAGCGCAGGCGGGCTGGTCTTATAATTCATGCCTTCATATTCAGGGGCGAAGGCCAGATTTGAGCCTTCAGAAAGAAATTCTAGGTACCGAGAGTCCGGCACGTATAGGGCGTCTAAAGCCGGCTGAAAGGGCCGGGTGAAGTGGAAGCCATCAGGGGTCCAGTGGAAGAGGAGGGTCCCTGCTTGCTGACGCAGCCAGTTTTGTGCTACGGAATGCGCCTCGTGATTGACTAGGAAGGGCGGCACGTCTACTTTCATGGTGGCGAGACTTGAAAGATTGAAGCTGAGGTGGAATTCATCCTTGGATACGCCGTGGGTCTCCCAACACCCCCTTTGGTAGATGTATAGGCCTTGGTGGATGGGGGTGGGGAGGGAGTGTTGCCAGATGGAGAGGCGGAGTTCCGGGGGGAGAAGGCTGAATTTGGGGAATGTGGCGGACGTAGTTGAAAATTCTGGACTAAGCATCGTGATGGGGTGGTAATGGGAGGAGGATCTAATGGAGGAGCAAGAGGGTAGTTGAACACTGGCGGAGGCGGAATGGGTATGCCTGTCCTGGATGAGATGTGGCCGTATCGAAGATGCTGATTGTGTTGGATTTATTAAGTTCTCACCACCGGGCACGCTTTTCCGTGGACAGGGATGAGCAGAGCCCCTGCACGGTCAAAGAATGACCTGATAGGTCATATTTTGAATAATACCAGTCCAGTGTGGGATCATCTTCTTTGCTTAACCGACATCTGCACGTGGTCTATATTTAACCTTCCTGATGATGTCTTTAGTAGATCCGATCACAGGGTGTGGAGCACAGGGCTTCCCATCCTCTCAGCCGTACTCCAGCCAACGGAATCCGCACAGTTAATAATCGAAGAGCTCTTGACCCGAAGACCATTTTCCTGAAACTATATTTAGGGGCTTATTAGAGTTTATTATGGGGGAAGATCTGTTATGCACATTTCTTATAGGTTACCAAAGTGGCTGGTGATCGTCAATGGTCGCCAGTAGTAGTCAATGGTCGCTAGTAGCCGCCAATGGTTTCCGGTAGTCGCCAGCGGTCGCCAAATACTAGAACCGGAAAGATTTAATAAGCTGAGCGAGGGACCCTTTGAGCTGTCTCAGAAGTTGTCGATAAATAGGCGGAGGGCCTTGCAATTTTAGTATGATTTCTGAACTTGTTTGCATTCAACCTTGCCAAAACTCTGCAACTTACTCGAACCACGTGTTATCGTATGACCATGATTGTACACAAACTTCATAGCTATCGAGACACTCCGTCCTTTGGCAGTTTCCAGTGGTTTTATTCTGAATACATCAAAGTGTGCTCATAGCAATACCAATTCATGGTCAATATACTACAGAGAACTCAATATTTAATCTCACTGTGCTGTATCACGTGACTACCGACGCTATTGCGCACCAGCTCCTAGACTATTATATAAGGAGGTAGATGGAAATGCCTTTGTACTATAGTACTTAGAATAAAGGTAGAGGAAAATAGTAAACTACTGTCATGAAATTTTCCTCAACATACTTCCCATTATTGATATCATACAGATTGATAATGAATGAGTTGTGAAAGCTGTCTATCCATCATCTCTAATTAAGTTAAGATTAGGGACTAGTCCTCCCATAAGGCAAGAAACTTAATGCATAGAGTTATTTTGCAAAAGAAACTACACAAAGGGTCCCAGTATCCAAGTAGATCCTAAGAGGCAAGATGGCAGTACGCCTAGAATTGGCCAGTTTCAACTTTCAATACACGAACGAATATAGATATGAATTCCAGTATTATTCTCAAGGAAATCAAGTATTTCAGACCTCCCTGCTGGACTTCAAAGACTATAGTGTGGTAGTAATAACTGAGCTTCGACAGCTGCCATAGATTGCGTTTGTCATTCTCGCTTTTAACAAGTTAAAATTGCAGTAGGGCATTGTGTATATTTGATGTAAAAATAACATGATCTATAGAGGTCAATAAGGTTGTGCTGACGCCGCCAGCGATCGTAACCTCCTATTGCATGTTTTCACGATTTTCCTCGGTCCCTTATTTGGCTATCTGTTCTTCATTGCGTGATGTACAGTTTTTCACTACATTCATCCGCATATTAAGAGTGTCTTAGATACAATGTTGGACGACAGTGCTATCGGGCCGAGCCGCGACTAACAATTGCCCAAGTAGATGGATTATCGCTTCCCCCTTATTCAATAACGGTGAACTGCAGCGTTTTTGAAGCTGGTACCAGAACATTCGGCCGTCCATTATTATTCGGTGGATAGACGACTGTTGTCCCAAACCCAACAACTCTGACAATTGTGTCAAGGTAATCCTCCCTTACTCCCCAATCCCACTAGCTCACCTTGCATCCCTTGAACTGGTATCGGAGGACCTCGCCGGTCTAGGCATCCTCCGGCAGATCAAATTCAATTTCGCACTCCTCAACATGTATCCAGGTCTCGTGGGGTTCAAGAGTAACGAACATGTCGCTCGTACCTACCGTGCACGGGGAATCTTGATCTTCAAACTGGTGGCATCCGACAGTTCTATAACTGCGCTAGGGCCCCCATGTCCCCGTATCTGAAATGCGCCAATAGACACAGAACACCCCCCAATTCGAGAAATCGCTGTTCGAGAAGGTGATCGGTTGAGAGGTACTATCGTCTCCTCCCACTCCATGATATGTGAGCTTCCAGATCCAGGGCCAGCTCTCATCAACCCTCCATGTTACCGGCGCATCTAGCTGAAGACGGAAAATGGGCGTGCATTGAGGGCTTTGCTGGTGTGAGTAATCCCAACTGCATTTCCAGACCAGAAAAAACCCACACACTACCATTACTTTGATTGAAGGCCGAAGGACTTCGTGATCTTTGGATCGACAGTGGCAAATCGCCTTCCACCAATGTGAGGGCTTGGTACTGATGGTCCTCGTTGGAAAACATCAGGCAGGACTTCAAGGGGTCATCCATCCTTTGTCTACTGGGTTTTCTGTAAAGCGAAGACTAATAGTGGCGAAGTAAATTGAACTTGTAGAGGTACAAAAGTATTTGATCACAAAAGCTTGATGCGATGAGCAGCAAATGTGCGGTGGCACAACAACATCAAACAGTAACCACAATATTCTTGGGGGGTGTGCAATTTCACACTCACAATGCCTCCACTGGCAACATTTTTCTCTCTTTCGGATAGTCCCCCAAGTTTGCCCCGATACACGATATAGGAAAGAGTAAGTGTGGAGACGCTAACCCCAACCCAAGCCCCTGTACGGCTCTGATAAAACATAGCACATGGGTAGTGCGCGCTCCAAGGACAGCTTCTGAGGCAAAGACACTGTCTTGTCCAAAGCGCCGGTGTTAGTAATCCCTGCAACAAGCCACTAAGACCATGCCACATCATCTTGCATTGACCCGACCGGGAGAGATAACGTGCGACTTGAGTTAGGGATAAAGTTGTCATCCAGACTTATTGTATCGAATTAGCCTTCGCTGAACTAAAGATAATACAGTTAGAACACCATAATGACGAGGAAATATCACCTGTCTGCCGATGATGCCAAGTTTAATGTTATCAAAGCCAATATCGACAAGTGCTGCCCCCTATGTGACCGTTCGATGTCTTTCAGGTCCTCCCACGAAAGATTGGTGAGGTCAAAGGCTCAGATCCAATTATATCAACAAATATGCTTTCATGATGCATGCGAAAAGTGTACTTCCATGCCACATGGTCCTCTCTGCGAGGTATGCAGACACATGAGGCTCAGTCATGTTGTGTGTTGCGGAATGTGTGGATGCGACACAGATAAGCCAGAGAGCGGGACTGGCTGTAGGGCAGATAGCTGCGAGAATATACACCACATAAGTCACGTTCGACTGCCTTTCGGATCATACGATCAATTACAACAGCGATCAAGGTATTGCGAGATTTGCAGTGTATTCGCACCAGATGTAGAGAGGCTGAAAAGTGTGTATGAATTCGATCGCGATGATAAGATCTATTTGAATGTCGCGAATAAATACAGTCTTCTTGAAAAGGTGAAATTTGGGTTCTCCATTACACTGCGCGTTGGTTCACTCAAAATCGGCCCCCCAGGTAATTAAGCCTTACTTTAACTATGACAAAAGCACTTGGCTAATCAGTCTTCCAGATATACTTTATCATGGTACTGCGGATGAACGGCAATGGAACAATATGATTTCATTGGACATTCCAGCCAAGAACATCAACTGGGAAAGAGTATCTCACTGGCTGCCGGATTGCGATATCAATGATTCTGCTGACCATAGAGATTCCTGTCACTTGGAACCCCCCAAATCTATCTTACCCAGTTTCCGTGTTATCGACACCGAGCAGCAGTGCATCATTATTGCTCCACCATTTTGCAGATACGCCACACTGAGCTACGTTTGGGGGGAGACAAAAGGCTCAGTTCAAGCTCTTGTTTCCAATATCAAAAGTCTTGAAGTTCCAGGGTCCTTAACAAGGACCGGAGTCTCACTATCACCTGTCATTCGCGACGCTATCATGGCATGCCGTCATCTGAGAATCCGATATCTCTGGGTTGACCAACTTTGCATTCTGCAAGATGAGGACATGGAAAAGAAGGCATTGCATTTAAATGCAATGGGAGACATATAAGGCTATCCATACCTTACTCTGGTCGACCTGGTCGGCACCAATGCGGACCACGGACTATATGGGGTAGATGCCAGACAGCGGATCCGGCGATGGAGCGCCAAAGTACAAGGTCTCTATTTTCTGGGGAGAAGTGACCCTTTCGAAGCATTAGTCGCTGAGTCAAAATGGATGACTCGAGGCTGGACATTTCAGGAAACACTGCTATCATCCCGACTACTATTGTTCTCAGACACCAAACTCATCTACGAGTGCTCTGGCAGGGATGGCGTAATTGATGATGAATGTGGGCGCGCCTGGCCTCGCAAAAGAGTGAAAATCGCCTTGGGCTCTTACCAAGGTATTGTTCATGACTACACAAAACGGACCTTCAGCTTCGAATCTGATATATTACGAGGGTTTGCGGGTATCCTACATGCGGGCTATGGTTCCGACCATTACTTCGGACTACCATTCGGCGAGTTTACTAAATCATTGAGTTGGTATACTGAGAATGGTGAATACCCACGCAGAGTTACAGAAACCCGAGATGATATATTTCCATCTTGGTCCTGGTCGTCAACAACAAATAGCGTCACGTTCTTCAAGAGTAGTCAAATAACGCGCACTGTCACTGTGGCCATCTTCGCAATTCCATCGCATCAAGATGAAAATCAGGCTTTCAAGGTCATCACGGACACTTCGGGGTTTGTGCGTGGAGGGGAAATCGAGAGATCGTATCCATTTTATATCTCGTGGGCGCTCCTACTAATTCAGGCTTGGAGACAAGGCTGCTTTCCCGAGAAGATCCCGAAAAAGCTGGACGACTCCCGGTTGACTTGGGTGGATTGCGAACGTATTATCTCAGATATATGGACATTCCCCAAGGACATCAGCCATGTCGCGCGGGGACTCGATTCACAAACCTCCACCGTCTGCGATTTCCATTCGAGATTTCCCGCTCCCCTCCAGACCAAATGTGAGCCTGGTTGTATTATGGTGTACACACAGTCACTACGACTCAGAATCGTACCAGCTACAGAAGGATATGATGAATCCAATCTTCAGGATCAGCAAGGGCGAATTATTGCGTGGCTACTACCACAGACCGCAGACTGGAGCTCGATCAAGATTACGCCTTCTGATGGTAGAACCAGCCGATTTCACGTGATAGCTCTGTCATTTGAAGCTGACCCAGACGGACTGGAACATCGCAATACGTACAAAAGCTGGAAAGCATATAGTGGGCACGGAGACTTAACATGGTATGATTCTTCAGGGAAAGTTCTTCCGTCTGTCAAAAAGCCAAGGATGCTTTTGATGGTGCTGAAAACTGAAAAAGGGGTTAGCAAACGTGTGGCACTTGCTGAAAGTTGGCTTAGAGTTTGGATCCATGCAAAGCCAGAGTTCAAAACATTCATTCTTATATAGAAAGATCTGTATGAGAAAAAGAGACTAGCAAACCACAATGAAGCTAGACTCCTTGAATATGATAGGATCGAACAGCAAAACTGGATGGTATTGATATTTGCCGAGACACTCACTTCCAGCCTACAGCATTCCAGATATGTTGAAACGTGTAGGACTATATTAGGTTCTTAGTATGTCCGTTGACTAATCTAGGGAGCTTGGGACTCATCTCACAAGCTCTGATCAGGATACTGGGCAAAGCCGGGTTTTGATCCGTTTGTATCACTGTCTGCAATGCGCAAGGACAAGCGTTGGCCCAGGCGTCAGACATGAGGCTGTGGCACTGATTGATGGTGGAATGCCACAGTTAGCGTCGGCCATGAATCAGCCCAGTCCAGACACGCTCATGAGGGGTCAAGTAAGCACTAGTAAGCACCTGGTAAGACCCGGTATCAACCTTGTCCAATTTCAGACCGTTGCTTTTCTTTGTTCGCTTTGTTTCTGATGTTTTTGATTGCTCCACTGCGTCTCCCCTTACCCCACACCGGAAATCTAGAGTCTCATGGCCAGTGGTACCCTCACATAGCCTTGTAGGGGGTAAATTGCCCGCCGTAGGGACAAAGATTATGACCACCTCAAGCAGGCAGTAGACAAGGCTGTGCGTATAATGAGCCAATGAGAGGTGATGATTGTAAGCAGAGTATATTTCCATCATCTTAGCTATTCAGGCTTCTTCCTTTCTGTCTCCCACACGTTTTCTCATTCGCATCCCCGATCTTCCCACCCACCACTCGCTTCTCATGTTTGACAAACCCTCCCAACCCAACTCCGTTTTGACCCCAAGATAGCAGTCACTAACTTGGCCGATTTTTTCTCGCAAAACCTCTATGTTCTATCCAATAATTAACATCCCATCACGATGATTTTCGAAGCGCTGGGCTTGCTCGCACTCGCCTACCTGGTGTGGAGCTTGGTGACACTGGAGATCAACTACCGTCGTGCTTCAAGCATGGGAATCCCCTTGGTGCGCCTTTACATCGATCCCCTGAATGTCCTCTGGATGGTTTTCGAACCAATACTCTGGCCTTGGCTGTACAAACTTCCTATCAATTGGCGCAATTACAGCTTCGGTCGCTACTCCCGCCGGGGCTGGTACTTTGCCGATCGCGGCGAGTCCCATCAACGCTATGGGCCCATGTGGGCTCTGGTTACTCCTCGCGATATCTACATTAACGTCGCCGATCCGGATGCAATCCATGACATCTTCCAACGGCGTACTGACTTCATTCGACCAAGTCAATTGTACAGTACGTCCGGATTACTCTGTCATGATTGCGACATTGTGTACAAATTGCTAACCCGGGTTTTGTCTTTAGAGGTACTCGAAGTGTACGGACCATGCATCTCAACAGCTAGCTGGAATGACTGGCCGCGGCACCGAAAGGTCCTAGCAACATCATTTAACGAAAGCGCCATGTCCTTTGTCTGGGAGGAAAGTGTAGAACAGACACGCCAGATGCTGCAGGTCTGGGACTCTTCTGTCGATGGCCACATTCCCAGTGTTGCAAAAAACCCGCGGACCCTCTCGTTGAATGTCCTTGCCGCAACAGGATTCCGCAAATCGTTCCCTTTTCAGAGTGCCAAAGATCATGAAGTGAAGTATGAAGAAGATGAATCAGAGGGCTACCGCGATGCACTCCAGACCGTGCTGGATAACTGCATCCTTCTCATGGTGATGCCTCGGAAACTACTCACTCTGCCTTTCGCACCCGAGTCATGGCATCATCTTGGCAAAGCGGCCACCGCTTTCAAGAAGTATATGGTCCAAATGCTGGACGAAGAAACGAAATCATTGAACACCGGAAGGGCAGGTAGCGGAGGCTTGATGACTTCATTTGTGCGCGCCATGGATCTGAAGCAAAAGGTAGACGGGGAGCAAAAAGCAAATGCAAGTGGCTCACCTCCCAAAGGACTTACGGTAGACGAGATTTTTGGAAACATCTTTGTCATCAACTTTGCGGGTCATGATACAACTGCCAATACGTTGAGCTTTGGCTTGCTGTTGCTTGCCGCATATCCGGAAATCCAAGACTGGGTGGCTGAGGAGTTGCAAGAGCTTGATGAAGAAAATATCAAGGGGCACTATAATGATCTGTTTCCACGCCTGCTTCGGTGTCGCGCCGTCTTGGTATCACCTCCGTTTTCTTGTCCCAAATTACCCACCAATATCACCATGCCGTTTTCTGTTATTTTAATTCAATTGTTGCTAACCATTGACCCCTGTGCCACAGCTCGAGACCCTCCGCCTCTTTCCACCAATTGTATCCCTGCCCAAATGGACCAACGATAACCCCCAGCTACTCAAGCTAGGCGACAGAGAAATAATGATCCCTCCCCACGTGGGAGTCCACCCCAGCCTTCTCGACATGCACATCCATCCCCAGTATTGGGAGGACCCCTTGACATGGAAGCCGTCCCGCTGGATAACCAAATCAGCTGCGTCTAGCGATGTCTCAGAAGAGATCATCGCCCCATCCCGGTCGACCTATTTTCCATGGTCAGACGGGCCTCAAAACTGCCCGGGGAACAAGTTTTCGCAGGTTGAGTTCGTGGCTGTCATGGCAGCCCTCCTCCGGAGTCATCGGGTGCACCCGGTTGCCAACCCTGGGGAAAGCCCGGAGGATACGCGTGCAAGAGTCTTGGCGACAACGCAGGACGTGGATTTGCAATTGCTCCTGCGGATGACGGATGCGGATCAGGTTCAATTGGCGTGTCGTCGGGTAGCCTGAGGTTTGCCTAGTATAGAAGTAAAAGTTGTGGGGGTGATGTAATCGAAGATAAACCATATTGTATATAGCTGGCGGAGTGCCTTGCTTGGGGGTATCTTCCAGCCCCATGTAGGATACAGCAAATTTAGGTTTTGCGTTATTACGCTTATTAAATTGGGAACACATGTGATCGTTGAAATCGAGCTCCTGAGCAGAATCAACTAGCTGTTACGATTGTTCGTGAGCATTACTTTTAGGATCGGAAAACCTCCGAGGCAAGAACATTTACAAGGACTGAGATAGATTACTTGCTATCCAAGGAATAGTGGACGAGCGGATAATTACTCTGAGACCCCCTGAGAGGATCACTCTGATCGCATGATATTCCATGCCGTGACAGATCGTTCGGTTTTGCTTGTTGAATAGTTGGATAGATCACAACTCATTCTTTGCATCAATGTAACACTCCAATCTTTGTACCTAAATACGAATACTTAGAATAAAGAAACGACAAAAGTTGATCGTTTGGCTGTAATTTAGATGCCAATTCCATATTAACTTAGTAATGACATTGAATACTACCAGATTGCCTCCCTACGAACGGCCACAATTTCGGTCCCCATTAGAAGATCATAGCGCACTGTGCGCCGAGATAATATCAAGGGCAATGAAACAAGCAACCATAGATTTTAGGCTGGGTACTCCCAAGGCTGTCAGACGGATCGATTCTCCGGTACAGCCCTGTTTGAACCACATGGCAGCAGCGACGACGCGGCATGGTGAGTAACTTACGTATGACCACTCTCTGCATATTGTAACAAGGGCGCATGGCAGGCCCAAGCAGCGGGTAATTCTTAACAGACGCACAGTCCGTTCCGGGTCCTTGGATTTGATAGGCGAAGCTCAGCATGCAACGCTCTTTAACCCATGCAAGATGCCGATCTCAATATACGTCTTCGAAAAGGCTTATCATAGACTGGGTCCTTAGTCGGCCGTGTAACGTCACGTATTTGCTGCAACCTCCCATCGCAAGAGAACATACCACCGGCCAAGAACTGTTTTACTGATTAATATCTTTTATTCATTCCCCTGATCCGAATGGCGATGAAGATGACTTCCTTTCGACCTCGATATATATTTAAAAATCCGTCATAGCATGACATTCATCACGACCACAACCACCGTCAAGATGGCTGCCAATGACAATTCTAGCGATGGTCTGATATGCGTCCGGCTATTTGCTTATAGTCACCGCAATCCAGGCAGTCTGTGGATGCTTCTATCGATGTGGAGCTTGGGGCCCCAACTCTACATTTTGACTCCCGCAAGTTTCGGTTTGGGAAACACAAGCCAGTGACCAAGATGCCATTCTGTATCTACCGGCGTTGCTAGCTGTGCTGTGCCCTGGTGCAGTGCGAATCGAAGCAGCCAGGGGAGTCGCTGCGCTTCGGGTTCTAGTATCAGGGTTTGGTGCATTCATTGCCACTAAAACCAATTCTTGACAATTGCGGCCTCCATTCCATGGTAGAGAGACCTGGGGATCACAGCTTCAAGATCTTTGACACAATGAGGAGGTAAAAAAAAAGAGAAAAACATACAACAGAAGGTGTATGTCGGTGGTCACCGAGCGCCCCAGATTAGCCCGTCACTGCTTTATTCAGTCTATTCAATCATCTTCAGATTACTTCAGAGATGCTGTCAGTATCCTGAGCCGACCCCTCTAAAATATACTGCGCTACTAAGATATGCTGACCGGGACAGCCAGGCTGACTAAATATAAGATCTATTTTTCTTTTTTACCAGCTAGAATCTATATCTTTTATTCTCCACATGTTCGCTCTTCTCTCTGTGCTCTGATATATACTATTAAATATAATAATAAAATAAATACATTCAAAAATCTATCAGTAAATTAATCTTAATAACCATAACAACTCAGAACACAAATCCAGGGTATTAGATTAGACTAAGAACCAGTATAATAAGACTTTAAGTCTTTTTAATAAATTAGAAAATCTTCTCTTTCTAGACATGTCTTCTACTTATAAAATCCAGCTTTCTTAAGCTATATTCCAGTACCTTAAATCTGCCTGATATACAAACTTACAAAGGATTTATAGAATTTATAAATAAAAATATATAAGATCAGCTGGGAGAATTTCCTATACCTGAAATAATAAAAGAATTTTACTAGTAGTTCAAGTCTGCACTCTGTCTATATTATAATTATAATATACTAACTCATATATCTATAATAATTCAAGATTATATTATAAATGATCTTAAAGAAACTGTTCTATTTTATAAGAATAAAATATCTAAAGACTCTATATTATCTAATAATCTTATGATTATTCTAATACACCTCTAGTACTGTGATTTTAAAGAATATTATAGGAAATACTTTGACAGGTTACAAATTCAGCTTAATATCTTTTTACTATTATATTACTTTATATTAGCAAGAACTGGAAAGATACATAAATCTACAGCTTATCAAGAATTATCACAGAAGAAGACAAGCTTGAGTACTAGTTATAGTAGTAATAATAATAATCTTGAAGCTTATATTTTAGTAGTATATTATAAAATATTTCTTTCTTAACAGAAGTTTATCTTATAGACTGACTCTTGAATAGTATTTTATATTTATTATTAAGTAGATAAATAATATTAAGATACTTATCTTTATATATTCTTATATTTATATAAAAGATTACTAGAAGAAAAAAAAATGGCAGCTTCTAATTCATGGATTTTATAAAATATATAAAATAAAGATTTCTTCTTTTTTTTAATCTCTTAATATTTTTTTATGGCATGCGTAGATTATGCTTTTATAGATTATATATTTATTAAAAAAATCATGAATATAGCTGAAAATATACAGAGTAATAATAATAAGAAAATAATTACTAAACTTAAATTTAGATTAGAGATAGAAGATATTTCTATTTTTTAGTCATATAATAAGCAGGCAGTTGAGGATTCTACTAGTTAGTCTTATAAAATAGATTCTTTTAATAAAAAACTTGCAGAACTTAGATATTATACAAATTATATAGAAAATATTACAAAATATGTCTGCCGCTGATAAGTACTGATAAAAGCTAGTAAGTAATTTATATATATTCTTTATCTCTTACTAATATTGGGCTTATACAGATAAAAGTCACTTTAAAATTATAAGAATAAAGTTTACCAGATATATTAATAAGAATATTTTCAGCAGATTATATATATATTTATTCTCTGAAATAGATAGACCGGCTATCTACCTTAGTATTTCTGACTATTATAAGTATATATAAAACCAGTATAGTATGGAAATTCATACATACTTATAACTTTGGCAGTTGCTCCCCGTTAAGACAGAGTTTGAGTTTCAGAAATAACTGGATATTATTAAACTTAATTAATAGATATAATATTTTACTGATAAGTTAAGTAAGCTTCAAGATTTTTAGTAAGAAGAAAATACAGCTAGAATAATATTAAATATATAATAAAAAACAGAGATTTTATATATAAGAATTTTGAACCTTATAATAAATACAGAGAAGAATATTAGTTATATAACTAACTATTATATATAAACAGATATTTTTTTATTATATATAGAAATGGTGTTAGAGCATGATTTACTTATTTAACTTTTTTCTAGAAATAACTTCCTGTAAAGTCCCACAGGGAGAGCAGCTCTGGAAATTCTTGAAATTATATGTATAGATTACAGTACAAGTACCTACAGTGCAGGAATATAATCTGTAAATAAAAAGTATCTTTATAAATATTTACTTACAGTATAAGTATTTACTTTAATATAAGTAATATTTATTAATAATATAATTATTATTCTTACTGCTATTAGTCCTATTTATATAACTATCATAAAAAGTACTTTTATAAACAGAGTTCTGTGGATTTTATATAATACTATATTACTTATTATTATTAATTTACAGAGCCTGAAAAGTAGATATTATATTATAAATACTACTTGATAAAGCCTGATAATTTACTCTGCTGTGATTTTTTAATTTTCTGATATACTCTGACTAAAGCAGTATATTATCTATTTTATCTCAGAGATAGTAATTTCAAGCCTTATAAGTGCATGAAACAGTTTCTTGATTATAATAAATAAAATAATCATATTAATTCTTATCTTTCCTCAGAGGTACTATCCAACTAATATTATTACTGGTATCCAGCCTGTTCGGAGACCCTAGAGAGTCTGACAGAATTGAAATGGTATTTAGAGGATGTGTACTGTATCTTACCCCTGCAAGGAAAGAAAAGGAAGGCTGATTTAGAATGACTAGGATTTAACATGGTGTGGGAGTTCGCAAAGTAAATGACTTCAGGATCCATCATCCAGTAAAGCATTCCCACTCGCTCTTTAACCACCAGATGCAAATTAGCATTGATGTGGATTGTTATCATGATCTCATCTATATAATAGTCAGTCTTGAAGCATCTAATGTATTGGTTATACCATATACAAGAGTCCTCACCCTCACTCTCTATCCCTAAACATCTCCGGACCGCACTGTTCGCCCCATCGCATGCCACAAGATGGCGGCATTTCACCGTATACTCTTTCTGTGTCGCACGGTTCTTGATAGTGGCTTAAACATAGTCACCGCGCTTTACCAATAATCAATCGCAGCTCTTAGTTATTATTATAACCCCCGAGGTAACTTACGTCAACAAGTCCAACAAACAAGTGATTTTTCCGTATCTCCACCAGATTATTCTTAGATAACCTCTTGGCAACCAGCTCCTCAAACTCTGGCTGTGAGATATTATAAATCATCTACCTCAAGTATTAGTACAAAATTCCAATCCTCTAGATGCTCAAATATTTTCATACCATCAGTATACTCTCCAAAACCTCTGGATCTATGCGCTCATACGGAAGCCTTCCCACCTGCCTGCCACTCAAACTGGTAATAAAATTAACCCAGAACACCTCTCCGCGCTTGGTTCCAATGTTGCGAATTTCATTCACATCCAGCCCATATTATCGACATAGTTCGAGTGTTCTAGGCGACAGTGCATGTGCTTTTAGCACTTGTAGCCTAGTAGGGTAGCGTTCACACAGCAAAGATCGGACTAGGAGAGAAGTAGAAGAAGTCTGTCAGCAAATTTCTTTTTTATCCTGCCTTGAACACGCTTCTCTCGTAACCAATTTACTAACATCGTCGAGGGTATTAACGCCATACCTGCCAAGTTGGGCGAGCAAATACGCAAGGAGTAAGCCACATGGGCCGCCCCCGACGATCAAGATGGGCGCATCGTCGTCAAAGTGGATATCTTCTTTGGTGGGCGACATGCTGTTCGTTGGACTGTCTGTCTATGAGTCTAGTAAAGTGGTCGTCTATTCTATTAATCAACTGTGCCTTTTTATACGACTTTCTCGTCAGGCTGGGCAAGTGGGAAAAGGCCATAGTATCACTACGTAGGATCTATCTACCTATTTGTTGTCCTTGCGGCTGACTTGCCCCCCTTGCATTCCCCCACTCCCATCCGAGTGGGAAAATTGCGGAGATATCGGCGGCTAATATGCGGGGATGTGTCTTGTAGTACTCTTCCATGATTCTAATGCTTCTATTCTTCTTCTCTTTATAAAGTTATTCTATACTTTGATTTTTGTCTCCAGAATGTTGGTGATAAAGATGATGATGATATGTTAGTTATCGACTGTTTCATTCCATATCAGCCAAGTGACACCCTATTCTTCCCCACTTGAGTATCCCCGCCTCTGAATCTAGGAAATGGGCCACCTTCCTCGACAGTAAAGAATGCCAAATCTACGCGACAACACCGATGTATCCCCTTTTTTCTTTGCTTTCAATGGTCACTTCTACCGGTATTGGAAATATCTTATTGACTATCAGGATATGAATTCATCTTGTCTGCGGTACGTAGAAGGTCGAACGAGGACAAAATTGGCGGTGGAATGGAGACCAACAACACCCGAAAGGATGAAAGAAGCTTCCAACAAAACAAACAGCTCAATAACCAGGGTCGACGAAGCCATCACAATATCTAAGAAAATTTACCAAAGTTCTGAGTTCCCACGGCTGCATTGTTATTGATTTGTTGCCCACTGCCGCTGTTAACATTGTTGGTTTGCGCACCCCCTCCGCTATTGAACTGGAATCCTGAGCTTTCGTCCGAAGTATCCGATTTGAGGGACTCCATTTCTTGAATGACCCTTGCAAGCTGGTTGTTCTGATTCGGACTGGCAGACTTGACCGCATGATTGTTGACGATGAGCTGGACGTCCTTGGTGATAGATGCCATCAGCTCTTCAACCTTGTTCCCTTTACCGAATCTTCGGATGAGCTTCAAGTATCGTTTTTCCGCCGCGTCATCTTCACCCGGAATGACCTTTTCGAAGATTTGCCGCAATTTACTGGCCTTTTCATCGCAATCATCAAGGACCTGTTCCAAAGATTTACAAACATCTGCCGGCAAGCGGTCTTTCGCTGGTTCGAGATGATTCCTGCATGTCTGCAGGGAATCGAGGAGGATCGGCAATCGGGCCCCGACTACCTTGAAATTGTCGGATAATTTCTTGTCCTGCCGCATACCCTTGAATATCTTGATCGAGGCATCAATAATTCCGATAATGGCAGAAATGCTGCCAATCACTTCAAGACCTGACATCCTTAGATGGGGCTGATGCTTGGTAGGGGTAAAAGTGGAAGGGGAAGTGATAATCCTAGACCTGCGCGATGTAGGACTTGAGGAAGTTTGGGGCATTTACTTCCAGCCTCACAATGAGGGGAACACTGTATTAAGTACGGAGTATACTTGACTCCTTCCCGTTATAGACTGCACTGTAGCTAAGATGAACCTAATACGCTGGAAAGCAAGATTTGCCTGCATAAGGAAATGTAACGTTATTGGATAGATAGTCCGCTACAGATTCAGCCGATGTGATAGACGCCACTTAGTACTACTAATCACAGACATGGCATCTAATAGCCAATAGAAAATGCTATACACAAGTGAAACATACTCCATATCAGACGCTGCGTACAGTCATGAAGGGAAACTCGCCTTCCATAAGCAGCCACCACAGATTCTTCGCCATCTCCAGCGCTGGCCAATACATTCTCTTTGCTCAACTTGAACGATGCCTTATTGGTGCCCGACTGTGAGCAATCACATTAACCACGGAAGGTGACCTCCGGACCAACCTGACGTATCAGGACCAGCTTCTGTGGGATTGACGAATGTACGGCACCACCAACCTCCCAGACTAAGTGTTCGCTTCAAGGCTGATGCCCAACTTAGTAGGTATTTACGGGCCGGCGGCTGCGGACAGCCAACGAACCCTGCAAGGAACAGATGCTTGCCCACCGCTCGTCCGAACACCCTAGTGAGCAAACTGTGAGGACTAAGCCTCCAATAGGCAACAAGAGCGCAAGAGCCAAGGCAGATCAGTATATATGCAGTGAGATTAACGCAGTAAGAGATGCAGTAAGATCGACGCAGTAAGATCGATGCAGTGTGACTCATGCAGTGTGATTGATGCAGTGTGACTCATGCAGTGTGATTGATGCAGGATGATTGATGCGGTAACTATAATAGCGCAATGATATAGATAGTAGTAGGGTGATCTTCTATACGACTTCGGCAATCTCCGTGTGCGGTTTGAGATCTCATAGTATTTGCTTTTGATTATAGAGACCAGAGGATTCAGCTTTATCGGTGCCTAGTAGTTTAGATAGGTATATAAGGCTCAATGGCCAGTACAGCATATCCTCCACGGCCACTTGTACCGATTCAACCTTTCTGACCATTCTACACCCATTGACTTATCGTACACACTCCCTCTGTTTGTTATAACCTATCTGTTTATCCGTGAAAGAAGCATATTGATTTCGTTCCTTAGTCAAAGCACGGATTTTCCCAGACTCTCCCATAACGAAATGACTGGCACAAATTTCAATAGCCGCGGAGGTACGCAGGCAAATAACGTCAACAACGGAAGCGGGTCGCAAAACAACAACAATGGTTCTGGAATGCAGAACAATTGGACTGGACCTGATGCCACCGTCAACAACAACAACGGAGATGGCAAAAGTTCTCCTGGAGGTTCTCAAGGTCGTAACCACCGGCAAGATGAAGGGGGATATCTACGCGGGAACGGAATTGTACGCGAGGACAGGCCATTTCATCATAGTTGCCTGATCTGTGGTGCAACAACAATCACGGACCTTGCCTTGAGTCTGCACATTAAACTGGCTCACGGTAGTTGCTAGACAGTGATTTGATATCTATCTTGAGCAGTCAACGTGGCACTCTCAGTCTGTCTTTGCAACAATGTTTGAACCCTATGACCAATGTCCAAGTAACGAAGATATCAACCTCAGAATACATTGCCAAGAGGAATGTGGCGATGAATGATTTCTTTGTCCATATCGAAGGTAGTAGATAATCTGATCAAGTTCGTTCGGCAGTGTGTTTTTACGAGCTGCAGGAGAACGAGATACAGAATTCGACTCATGATGTACTGGTCTCATTTGCCTAGATATAACCTTGTTCTACCTCGGGCGTGTAGTGACTCGGTAGGGCAATAGGGGGTTCAAGTGGAAAAATAAGACTGGATTGGACAGCAAGCGGGCCCCTGTAGCGCCTACAAACCACCAATTGTATTCAAATATGCTATGCTTATTGTTTAACCTCTATTATCAACCTGGAACTGAGAGCCTGGAATGGTTGTATGTACTACCAGTAGGCTGGGAGGTGTCTATAAAACTTGGGCTGAATGGAAATGAAGATGGGAGACGTAAGGAAGCATAGAGCAAACAGTCAGAAAGACAATAAATTAGCAAAGTTTGTTATATTACTTGGAAGATCCCAACTCGCGCCTGTCAGTTCCACCTTGATCAGATTATTGAGATATACTATTTCTTTCGCACCTTTTGCCAATTGCCGTTCTATCTCACAACCTTTTAAGGCAAATATAATACACAATACCAAGGGATGAGCAGCTTCCCCCAAGCAGAAAAAGGCATTGCCAACTAACTGCGTGGGTAACTTACCTCGGCAAACTTACCATACCGTAACGAACCACATGGGGTCCACAACACGCTAGACTGAAACCGGTTACTCGCAACGGTATACACCACGTGATCTCCACGCGCCGGCCGAAAACCCCGCGTGCATCCCAAAGACCATGAATCATCGACCAGCAAGATCGATGCTATGATTGGTACTTTCTGGTTCAAAGCTCTAGACTTCTTGCACATCCTGGACTATCAGTGCCTATCAGACCAGCTGTACCCTATCAAATTATTCCCAACTGTTCTGGGCCGTTGAGATCCCAACAGTTAGCAGTACACCTCTGAAGACCAGGCGAAAAGTCAACGGAGTAACTCTCCCAAAGAGACTAGCTCAGACCCGTTTGGGTTTCTCCGGAGAGGGCCTGAACCAGTTGGAGGGTCGCTGTGACTACAGCCTTTCCACTTTACGGTGATGTCAACTGTCTGATGAGTCTGGACATATGTTTGTCAGGAATTAATTATCTTGTCCTGGAATTATTTAATGCTAAAATCAATATAACCGAGTCTCTTCGGTATATTGTCATCGATGATGGACCTACACTGATCATATTGATTTCTGAATCAATTATTAAAGATATTAAGAAGGAGGCTATTACTAAGATCTTTAGTATTAAGATATATAAAACAATTAAAAATAGTCTTATATACAGAATGGAACTTGAGCAGGGGAAGGAGCTTACAGAATATATCTTAATAATTATAATAGAACAAGGAATAATTATAAATTTATTCCTAGATCTAGACTACGGTATTAAATTTAGCCACAAGCTATATACCTAGTGCTTTAAAACTCTTCCTTGATTTTATTTAAAATAATTTATAGCTTTACACTGTTTTTTACTACCATTTAGCCATCAGGTATATCTCTAAAAAGTATAATCTGTTCTTTCTCCTTATTATTAATCTTATAAAAAGTAACATTACATTCTTTCCAGAAAACTATTTAGTTCTTGCCAGTAATCATTATAATACGGTTGTCAGGAATATTACCGAAGTCTATAGAACTATCAAGAAGAAACACTTTTAAAGTCTGATATAATGTTAGATATAATATAAGCTTCATGGAGATAATCTACCATAAAAAATCTCTGATATAGAGTATTTAATAGAAAGATATAAATTATCTCTAATCTTGAGCACATTCTGTACCTTCTTTTATTTAATAATAGAATAATACTTATAATAACCTGATTTACAGTACTATAAAGTTATATAACCAAGATCTTTATTATATAGTGTGAATATAGTTGTATTGAGTTATAGTTATCTTGTAGTAGGTATTAAGTCTAAACTACTTATAAAGAGGAAAACATGTGTCATAATATATTATATAATATTTATACTACTGAAGATACCTATTACCCCATTTCAGGTACTAATAATAAAAAGTATAATATATATATTACATAGGCATCAATATAACATATCAGAAGATTAGAAGACTGATATTATGACAGAAGATTGTGGGCTGGTTGCAGTTATTACTTTGTTTCTAAGGCAAACATGTGCTAGTAGAGTTGTTCCGCATTGCATCACGCAGAAGGGATTCGCTGGTGGTCACCCACCCAACTACTAACCTCCCGGCGTGTGGCTTAAGTATGGCTGAGCGGACGGGAAGCCCTGTTTTCCACACCCTGTGGTCGTATGTGTTTTGCTTCTCTCACACACCGCTCATATAGGTATATGCACTGTAATATTAGACTTTTGGAAGATACTTGATCTTCACTATTCCCCGAAACTACTTGCAAGGTGATCACCGATGTACTTGATGCCCTCCGCGCGGTAAACGTCCGACCTAACATATGAGAGATTCGAGACAGTATTGTCAAAGAAAATTATTTCCGGATTATCGATATTGTATCTCGGCCAGTGGACATTCTCTAAGAAAACAGCTAATTCAGCTCTTGTTCGAAATTGCGTACTAATCATAAAAATGGGTTGTGGGCCCTTACCTCCAGAGTAATTTGGGTCCAATGTTGTCACAAAACTGACCCACATTCTTGACATAATTGTGCTCAGGTGTGAATAACTATTCGGTATGCTCTCCATGGTCGTCTTGTTGAAGTCATACCACACGCCATCACCGTTATGAAAGACGTAGGGAATTTCTGAAGCATGAGTGGCCCCGACATAGGATCCAGCAGCAGGGCCATTCCCAGGACTGACAGCATCAAACCTGTAGCTATACACCGAGACATTGCGGGATGACCATGCCTGGCTAGCCAACCTACGCGGGCCATGGATGTTTACATCGCCCTGAAATGCGGCCACACGCTTGTATTGCCTTCCATATCCGGACGGTGGCTTTCCAACCATTATGGCGGGGATCCCAATCTGAGGGATGTTTGGGTACAGGGCCTCCAAAATATCAGTGGTAGCGTTGTCGAGGCCCCAGTCTTTGACTAGCTCTCGAAACTCGGCATCCGTGTTGACTCCCGGTACAGCAAATGCTGTCCCTTCGTCGGCGTTAGCTCCAATCAGGTATGGAACTTTGACATATTTGCCCTTCTGAAGCTGAATCGTGCCACTTCCTTCAATGAAGTCGTCATCTATGACAGGAATGAATTTCGCTCCGCTGAGGCCTGACATAGAGTGCTCGGGTACAATAGACGTGTTATCGAAAATACTGTGCAATGTATCAGTTGGGATCGTTCGGAGACAAGCCAAAGTATCCGTTGCTGAACTGCAGCCCGATGCATCCACAATGCCATCATAATAGGGCTGCCAATCGTCAGGTGTCGGATAACGTTGATAAACACTCGGGGCACCACTTTCACTGATTGCTGCACGGAATATACCATCATCGCGCCCTCCGTAAGCAACCAGATGCGTGCCAACACTATTAGCGCCGGAACTTTCGCCCCAGATCGTAACCTGAGCAGGGTCGCCACCAAAAGCAGCAATGTCTAAGTCATGGTCAGATCCGTACTATAGGTTCAGTACAAATATACGTACTCTCTTGTATCCAATGCAAAGCTAAGCGTTGGTCTCTAAGTCCCAGGTTCCCTACTCCGGCTTCCTTCATCTCGTTGCTCCACATGAAACCCCAGCAATGAAGACGATAATTTAGACTGACTGCGACAATGGGCTTTCCCATTTGGACTGACTGGTCAACAATGAAGGAAAGATTGTACTGTTTCTCTGATGAAGAGCCGGAAGTGAATCCGCCACCATGAATCCAGACTGCGCCCGAGTGCAAGGTCAGTTCTAGCCTTTATGATTAGATCCGGGATGATTACTGACCAGCAACGGGCAGACTGCTATGGTGAGCGATGCTTGCTGGGCGGACGACATTCAGTCTAAGGCAGGCTTCAGAAGCACCCTTAGTCTGATTAAACCCGACACAAGCGGGTGAGTATTCCGTTGCATTTCTTGGTACCGGCCAGGAGGTGTTCATTGGCCGTGGGGTCTGCAAGCGAAGTTCACCAATAGGTTGCTGTGCATAAGGCATGCCAAGGAAGAAGTCTTGATCATAGTCTGGGTTGTGAAGTCCATAGTAGGTGCCATTCTGTACAGTAACTGAGGGGTTTGGAGTTATTCCCCGATGTCCTACTTTTCCGGCACTTGCAATCAATGGAATAACAAGTGCTAATAGAGAAAGCGACGGAACAAGCATCATGGGGCCTTCCCTGGGAATATGTGACCTTCAATTTGTCTGAGGTTAAAGAAAAACGTTCTTGCGTGACTAGAGGGCATTTACATACTAAGTAACTAACCGAGATGAGGAAGATAGCCGGAACAGATCCGGAACATAGCCGGACGTTGCTCCACATTTGAAACTTTATCAGAAAGCCAATGTATGAGTCAATTATTTGCCTGTTACTAGCCGTGCTACTCACTTGGATGAAACGGTTTATTGGACTATGGGACTAAACTAAGATACCGCGTATTTCCGGATCTGCAGCGGAGGTAACATGAGAAGAGCAATTAGCGCGGAAAACGTCCGCTATTAGCTGCTGAGAATCGAAGCCGCAAATGGGGGGAAATGATGTCTTCTTACCAATCGGACGAGCCGGACCGATCAGGGTATTCAAAGCCCTCATCTCACATTCTCTTACCGTCCAGTGCAGCATGGGTTAAAAGCCTAGACCTTGAAACGCTGATGCCAGAAATGCAGAGACGGGCGGGTGGATGTTAACCATAGAGGCAGGGGTCACAGTGGTCTTGGCCGTCAGTTAACGCATACTAAGCACTGCTCGACATACAATGTTGACTGGGTGATTAAATGCTTTAAGAACAACAAAGAGCAGGCAACAGGAGACTTATTCGACCGTAAAAAAGAACTGATCGAATGGATCGATGTCCATTAACAGATCCTCCTCGAGTTCCATACCATCTATATCACCCCAATCACCAGGATCAGGGAACATCTGCGCACCCTGTGTCCCGTTCAAAACTGGATCTAATGCAACCTCGCCTGTCTCAGCACTCCGGATTGCACCAGCCAACCAATCATCGTTCCAGACAGTGTACGAATCCTCTCTATCCCTAGCATGCGCAGTCGAACCTCCGTCTACGGTCGGATCTATCGCGAGGATCTGGTCCATGTAGTCCTGTACCGTGCGGTAAACCTCTCCCGCGACGCGGTTGCGGAACTTTGTCACTGCATCATTGAAGCTGGTCAGGATTTGATGGTAAAGCTGGGCCTGTGGGCTAGTTCGGCCAATATCATCGAGGAGATGTAAGGTGCTGTTGAAGAGACTCTGAATGTCACGGCGAGGCTCTCCAGCAAACATAGAGAAGCCTAGGATAAGGCCGGCGCCAAAAATCCAAGCTCTATGGGTAAACATTAATATCAAGTCTTTTCAAAATAGGTTTGGAAGGAAGGAGCTTGAACAAAGCGAGGAGGTAAAGGGGGGCATACTTGAGGAGACAAAAGTTTCGGAAAACGAGTCCCGCCGACTTTGCCCGTCGACACATATCTATCATGTATAAGGAAGAACTTACGCACACCTGGGCCAGTTTGGATACTTTATTGTTCTTAATAGCGACATCAGAGGCCTCATCCGGGTCACTGATCAAATGGTCTGGTGCTTTCCCACGAAGACGAGATACGAGATACGCGATCAGATACGGCCGGGTTACGAGAATTACCGCAAAGTAGTATAGGCAGGAAACATGAATGCTTCCAACAAGTCGCTGCCGATCTGCAGGTTCCAGGAATTGTAGGCCGTGGGAAACACTCCGGAACTGGCGGAGAGAAGCGGGCAGGTCAGAACTCCATTTCCGGAGTTGCGAAAGCAGGCCCTCGGCTGTGGGGACGTCGAGAAGCCCGCCATTGCTGAGTGTGTCGACGATATTAATGAGTAAAGTGCATCCGTTGCCAATGGCATAGAATGCTGAGTGAGAATTCAACTCATCCGTATCCGACATACTCTGCACTAGGGGGAGGCTTCTTGGTCTGGACAAGACAAAGCTGCTGAGAATATCAAGATTACGCATGCTGTGCCAGATTCTTCGTCTGCCAGGCTTTGTCAGTGTCACTCGTTGGCACTAGCATTCGATTGCTATAACTCACCTACTTTCATAATCTTCTTTGGAGAGCGTACTATCGTAACCCTCAATGCTATGAAGCTCTAGGATTATGGCTGCTCGTGCAGCTACCCCAAGAAACATTGAAGCGGCATTTCGATTGCAGGCGCCCAGCATGTAAAATGCCATTAGCAAAAATAGCCGTACAGTCCCGACGTTCTGGCCCATCAGCATGTCGTTGAACGCTGCCTGGCGTGCACGACGGAAGTACTCGTTCGCTACCTGGGAGTCTCTATCTGATCCTCTAACTTGGGCACCAATAGATAGGGCGACGCCTATGGCTGCGACATCCTCCTGCCTCACAGCTGCAGTGGATATGGGCTGCCGCGAGGAGGTGTGTGCTTCAAGTAAGGTCTCGACCTCCTGGGCTGTGAAAAGATCCAGAATTCCGCTTGTCTGTGTACATTTTAGAGACGAATGTAGCTGGCTTCATCCTAGGTACTTACTGCCTCATAATAATATTCTAAGTATGAATGAATTCTTTTGGGCTCGATATTCTGATCGTCCTCGGTTGTAGAACAAAGATCAGTAGCAATTATAATGTGGTGTCGCTCAGCATCCGTAAAAGGCACCGAGCCCACATAGGCCTTAACAATTTTCCGAAGGAAATGTAAGAACGACATAGCGGAAGTTTCGCCCACATCAACTACAAGAAAGCATAGTTTAAGTTCTCGAGATTCTGTATCGGGCTCATGAATAGTTCCACACCTTTTGTTGACTGTTCCGGTGCTAAAGATAGCCGCTCGCGCAAAGAGGTTTCAGGGGGGCGAGTATCATCACTCCGTGACTCGGGTGTGACCATCTCGGATACTAGAGTCTCAAACTCGAATGGTGTGTTCTCATTCTCAGCGGCGGTAACCCTATTGCTCTGCGAAAAGCCATCCTGCCTGTCAGTGACCCGGCTGTGTGTATTCTGAACGCCATCACCCGTTCTCCGTTTGCGACGGTCCATCCCAGAATAAGCACATGTATGGGCTTGTCCCCGTCGCATACATGAGGAACATGGGTGTTGTGAGTCGCACCGGATCTTCAGAATCTTGCAAGTCTGACAAGCGTGGCTGGACCGTCGTCGATCTTCCGGGCGCACTTTCGGACGTGGCATGACCGGGAAAACGTATTGTAGGGTTTGTCAGTTGTGAAAAGGTAGGGAATTCTAACCAGGGGAGTGGAAGGCCTCCAGGGAAGATACTCGGAACTGGGTCTAGGCTCTCCAATGTTTATTTGTCTTTTTCCAATCATTCTGGGCACAGATCCTACCCCGCACTAGAGGCTAGGCGTTGCTGTGATAAGTCTGAGATGCAACAAACGGTTAGATAGGGAAAATTCGAAGGCGAAAATGACGTCCCCGAGTCTTATCTGTGCTTTATGTATGCCCTTTTGCTTGTATGCGGTGCTTCAGCCCTGATAGTGGAGGGGTTAAAGATCTCGTGACCTGATTACGGGGACAATCGGCAGGTATGGTGTGCCCTATGAGAAGATACCCACTACATCAATTACTCTATTCTTTTCCGGTTCATTTCTCTGGGAGAAAAAAAATAATAATAAAAAAGAGTTATCGATGAAAGTACCAGGGAGTGAAAGATACGGCCCATACCGGCCGGGTATTTCCCGCCCCTTATCCGCCCCTTTCCCGTTCCCTTCTGCGATCAGAACATTTCCGTTAAGCAAGTTTGGGGGACACCGTCGGTTGAACCGAGTCCACTTCCCGAATTGAGTGCCCAAACATTCTATTCGATTCCACAGAATTCCTATCCCTCATCTTCTTCGCTGTGTCGCGCCCAGCCCCTGGTACTCGATACTCAAGCTTCGTCTTGGTGCCCATATGCACACCCGTAGGTGCGGGGTGTGTCCAGGGAAGATATTCTGGCATGAGTCCTAACTGAATCAGAGCAGTGAGTTGATCCCACGCAATGTGCTCGTGGTACAGCCGGTCACCCCTTATGTTGACAACTGCGGTAAACGGTATTTCTAATTTGCGACCGGTGGGTGGGATGCCAGGAAGCCTGCTAGAGATTAGTTCGAGTAGAGCAAGCAGTTGGGTTGCGAAAGAATAATAAGATGGAATAAGTCCTTACAGCCAGTCAATCTGGGTGTCGTGCGTGAACTTGTATATAAACTCATCAATGACACGATCAATACCCACCGTCCGACTGATAAGCTCAAGTTCCGCGTCTTCAGGGTTATTGAAAACGAAGTGGTTCTGGTAGAAGTATGAGAGGCGATCCCTTCCAATTCCTCCCGTTAACTGCAAGTTGTTCGGCTCAGTTCAATGTTAATAAGTATTCGGCACTTTGGATCTTACCGTGGGAATATGATTCACATACGGCTCTTGCACCATGGTCGCCATCGTATGAGGTACAGAGCGCGTCTCAAACTCATGATACGTATGTTCTTCCCAAATGGCCTCTAAATCAAAATATGGAGCTCCCATTAGAGGTTTCAGGAAGCTCAGGTTCCGTGTGTGTGATACAGACTCGGCGGTGTAATCGAACGCCGGCTGGAAAGGGGTGGCAAACTGATATGTACTGACAGCTGCGTATCCATACGCCTGGCAATTCACGGTTTTGGATACCAATTTTGCTGTCGCGGACGCTCCAGCCAAGTGCTGAAGCATTGGGAAGACTGGTTTGGGAATCGGCGAATCCACATTCCCATATACCACCACTCCGACAACCTCCTGGTGAGCGTGCGCTGATGCAGCGACCTTCAGCCATGCGTCGGGGTCGTATGCTGGAACAGAGATGTTAGCTGCAGTGTTCAAGTACGTAAAGAGTACTGTACGCACCGATAAGTCCAACTTTCCCTTTGGGCTGGCAGTTGTCGCAACTGGACAACGCTTCGAGGGCAGAGGATATGCCATCTTGTTTACCCTCCAAGCCACCTAAGCATACTGCCGCCACCGCGTAGCCTTCTTCAGCCCATTTGAGGAACGGCGAGGGGACTCCATCGTCTAGACGCACCCCTCCGAGGTCTCTCCCAGAAGTCAATATGATCATACCAGGACCCGTGCCGAGGCGTGACAGGGGGTGTAGCAAGTAGACGCCCGGTGCATGCACTTGTTGATTTGGCACAGGGAGGCTGGGGGGAGGGTCAATTGCTTGGCTGGTCATGTTTGTGTATTCTCCAGGACAAATTGGTGCTATATCGAAGCTTATGGCTTTTGAAGCAGGTGGGAAGTCGAGAACGTCGCTGTCATGAGCCAAGATAAAGTGATCAAGCAATGCTATAGAGGGCCACGATACCGGATATCATATATGGAAGATTCAGTCGCCAATTTGCTCCGTATCAGCCCATAAATCTGGTTTTCCGGGTATCGTATCGGTTGCTCATTCGGATCCGGCTTTGGAATTGATTGCGATGGTACGTTTTCCGCCGCTGTTCGGCTACGCGCCCGGATGTCCACGGACAGAATGCTTCCGCCCCGGAGTTCAAGATGTCATTAGGTCTTCCCACCTAATTTACTGCCTTCAGATACACAGACAGCGTTTCCACGTAGAACTACTGTTCTCCTGTGAAAGACCATTTCTAAGTCTGGGCGTTTGGGGTTCTGTGTTCACTATGCTTATGAATCGAATACGCTTCCAATGCATCAAAGACTCACTTCCTCTAACCGCAATTCGATTATACTGTAGAATGAGGGATCTAATAGGCTATTTTATGGAATGCTAGGCAGATAGACACACATTTGTCTGGAGAAGGTCTAGCAAAGCTTCCGAGCCTTAAGTGGTCCTTCACCGCTGAACTTTGCCCACCGATGAAAGCACGACGCCGTCTGTAGCCTGGTGAATGCACCCTAGAGATTAGAGCGGCCACGGGGAAGCCTATCATGATCATTAAATGCGCTGATCTGCAAGTTGAAATCCTTAGTGTTAGTGAATTATGGCGACTTGAACACAGAATACTCTTATTTGAACCAACTTACATAAGAAGGATTCAGCGAGTCAACACTGGCAACTCCCAGCAAAGCCATGGTCGTCTCAACTTCATTTTTCAGAATTCTGATTGCCTTGTCGACGCCTGGCTCGCCAAGTGCCAAGGCGTAAAGAAATGCTCGCCCCAGTCCGACGCCTTTTGCGCCTAAAGCAAGAGCTTTCACAATATCAGAACCGCGACTGATACCCCCATCGACAATAACGTCACAACGGCGAAGGACTTCGGGGCAGTGTGCATGGATGGCAAGAAGGGTATCTACAGCAGAGGGAGCCCCCTCGAGCTGTCGTCCTCCGTGGTTCGACAGCCACGGATGTACTCCGTACTTCATGCATAGTGCAGCATCTTCCCAGGATTGAATGCCCTTTATCGCAATTGGCAGATCCGTTATCTTTCGTAGCCACGAAACTGCGGACATCCAGTCAAAGTCGGGGAAGAGGTGGCTATATCTCGTCAGGTCATTTTCTCATCAATCATATCCGGACTTATTAGGAACGCACGACCGCGAAACTGTAGGACCACTGGCAAACGCATTGTCTTCACCCTCTTGCTTCTCAGAAAGCTCCTGTTCCTGTGGAAAAATATTGTTAATCCTTGAGATAGAACCGAGAGAGAATGATACGCATACCCTGATGATTAAACGCACATCACGTTCTCGCTTGCCAACTCGATTGGCATCAACAGTTAAAGCAAACCCCCGGTAACCCAACGAAATAGCTTGTTTTATTTCCTTCTCCGTCACGGAAAGGTCCTCCAGAGCATATATCTGCCAGTACAATGTCTGCGTGTCCGCACGCGCATCTGCCAACTGTTCCTGCGAACAACCGGTGTTGTTCGGTACCCAGTGAAGAATGCCATGTTTCCCAGCAGCTTTGGTCAAAGCCAGGTCTCCACTCGGATGCGCCAGCTTACCACCTCCTGCAGGGCAGATGAAAAATGGCGCTGAGTATTTCGTTCCAAGAATGGATGTCGTTAAGTCGATGGCCCGGATGGGTCTTAGAACTCGCGGACAAAAGCGGATACGTTTCCAACTATTCTGGTTCCATTGAACAGTTTCTTCATCTTCAGCGCCAGATTTGAAAACTGCACGTCGCTCCAAATGCATTAATTAGCCACGGAGACAGCAATTCGTCTTCCTCTGGTGGTACTCACAGGCAAACGAGCGCGCGGGTAATATTTGAGAGGCAGAAAGTTCAAAGTCGTGAATGTTGACAACGGATCTCAAAAGTGAAGGGATGCTCTTCTGGAGACTACTTTCCGAGGAAGACATCTTCATTTGTGCCGAGGCGGGTGTGGTATTCATATCGGAATCTGCAACGGGGCCGAGATGGGCTCTATTCGCATATCAGTACAGTCGCACATTAGATAAATGTCCAATCAGAGGATTCCTCATACTCTCGCGATAGATGTTTCTCAATCACGTTATTTGGGTGGATGGGCTCGAATGCTTCTGTTGCATCCCGTCCACCATACTTCAGGATGATGCTTGACCCGCCAGGATGGGAGTCCAAGTACGAACTCAGGTCGTAAACATTTCCTTTGATGATAACCAAACATCGGTCTTTCGACCTGTGCTGGCTAACTTCAGCTCTAGAGGGTATTAGCAGCTGTTCACGGAATCCAAAAGCTTCTGACTCACCTGGTCAACATATTCGTATATCCTAGGTGATCAACTTTTTTGTCACTACGAAGCTGAGAGCTGTAATTGAGTAGCTCTTAAAAATGCTGGTCTTATTGGATTGATTGAATGTCCGTGCATTGATCACGGTTACTCCAATCCGGAAAAGGGTCATACTTTATCTCGGCTAAGGGCCGGCAGCAGTATGTGGGGCACGGATATTGCCCCTGCAGCATACACCTTCTGTCTTACTATTTCAGAGATATTAGTTCTGTCTTGATGAGAACCACGTCCCAAGTTCAAAGACAGAAAACATGGAGAAAGTTTTCGCCAAGATAGCACAAGATACCACCAAGTTCGATCTTGGAGATGAAGAAGTACGACTTCATGCCTGACATAACGATAACCTCAACTTCAAGCTGACGAGGTACAGGGCTGGAGAAAGCTGTATGAACCTCTATATCCCAAAGCACCGGACAATGTCGGAATAGTGAAGGACGAGCAATACGGACCGGCCGAGCGTAACCGATTGGATGTATATTTTCCTGCCGAGGAAAAGCCGGGAGGACATCCTGTTGTACTCTTCGTTCACGGAGGGGGTTTTTTCTCTGGAGACAAAGGATGGAGTGAAAAGGTACTTGCATTCTACAATTGAAACACCCATCCAAATCCTTACTCACCGACACAAGTGCTGGGCGAATGTGGGATTCTACTTTGCGCAGCGTGGATTCGTCACGGTTCTCGCAAACCATCGACTCGTCCCGCACGTTGTCTACCCTGGAGGGGCCGATGATATGCAGCTTGCTCGGGAATGGATCTTTGAAAATATTGCAAAGCAAAAGTACGGCAGAGGATCACCGGAGAAGGTCATCCTTTTGGGTCACTCGTCCGGTGGGGCACATATCGCCATGAACCTCTACGCCGCAGGTGATGAATTTCTTGACAACACTCACCATCATTCATTACTGACTCGAGAAATAGGGGATCCAAAGCGAGTATCGAAAGTCCCACTATTCCCCCCTGTTGCGGGTGTTATCTACCTAAGTGTACCATTCTGGTTTGATCGGAGAAAGCCTGTGCGACAGAGGGTCATCCGCCACTATTATGGATCGGATGCTGAGGAGGTCTGGGGTGTAAGTCACATGAACTCGGTGTTTTATCAGATTCTAAACTGCACTACAGCCTTTTTCTGCCCTAGGGCTCTTCAGAAATCTACCAGACGACTCTCCATTGTTGTAAGCATATTCTACTTCTCCTCTGACTAAATATATTACACCCACATACTCTGCGCTGACAATGTGACTAGGGATTCTGAGCATTTGCCGGTCTACATCGGAAGTGTCAAGTGGGAGGTGTAAGTCACGGAGATATTAATTGAAGAGCCCATCAGTATGCAAAGCTGATCTGACAATAATTGAAACTGCTAGAAAAGAAACAGCTGATGCCACTGTGGCTTTTTTCAATGCCTATCGTGAACGGAGTAAACCTCCAGGAACGCTACCAGTGTTCCATGTACAGGACAGACATAATCATGTCAGGTCAGTTATGATTTTTTCTGACCCTAGTCTTCCATTGTTGGTTCTAATACCTTTAACAGCAACGTCCTATCCATTGGAACTGAAGATTCTGCACAGGCGGAAAGACTATTGGACTTCATGCAAACTTGTGTGGCAAAGGTCAACCAAAGAATTCAGCGTACGCTTTCTGTGGATAGCTATCCTAACAATAAGGGTGAAGTTTGTTAACAATCTTTGACAGATGAGAATGGGACCATGAATAAGGAAAGTCTACGCTCTGGCCGCCTTTGAATATTCGTTGACATGAAGTGAGAAAGAAGGATGTTGGTCAGAAGTCGAATCCACGATTCAAATGTTGAGAAAAAGAGAAGTAAATAAGATATATACATTAGTAAATAAAGGGAATTAGCTGCTTATTAAATAAAAGTACTTATAAATAGTAAGACCGAACAAGGAAGCAGAGAAGATAAAGATGGAATAAAATTAGCAGGAATAGACGTTTTGTGGACTTCCGACAATCTATATGCTAGACTGCCCAAAGGCCCCTCAAAACGATGACAAAGTAGACGAAGAAATTCGAAATGATTTGATATCAAGCCATCCTTGAAGACATACACTGAGTATCTCTCGGACTAGGCCATCATCGTCCAAAGCAACTATGAAGGATAATACTTTATTTTCCTAGGAGCCCATTGCATGCGCTGGGCATACAATCTGATGTATAACGTTTCATTTGATCATTCTGATATACGTGGGGAAGTGTAGAGTGGGCAAGGGGAGCCTCGTCTGCTACTAGAAGAACATGGTAATGCAGTAACTGCCACAGATGCCATACAATTATCAGTTTGCAGTTACACTCTGCTGGTAAGCAAAGTTTCGCTCGACTGACTCCTTGAACCACTCCCCTACACTCTTCGGGGGGCTGAGAAACGTCCAGGATTAGCGAGCTACCCCAACATAAGGATGTCTGAACTTACTATTTCTTTTGCGGGCCTTGCATAATATAATCACGCCTTCCCTGGTTAAAATATGCAATTGAGTAACGTGACGGCGATTCTCCTACATCCATCGCTCGCACTCGGTGGAAGGTCGATTTCAGGCGATCGTCCGACCACGCCACTACAGAGGCATTTTATGTTAGAACGCGTACCCCGCCAATGATCCAACGCAATATGCTTGACTCACTCAGCATGTCACCGATGTTAACAACAATCTGTCCGGTCTTGGCAGGGAGAGGACTGAAAACGTCACCCATTGCGAAACTCGTATGCGATTCACGGCCTGGACAGATCTCCAAACCGTCTTCACCATCTCGCTGGAATAGTAGGGTAAGACACCCGATGTCGGTATGACTTCCAGCCCGCCAGGTACCAGCAGCATCTACGGTGGGTGGATAATGGATCAGCCGTAGCTGCGTGAGACAGTCAGGCTTGGTCACATCGTTTGCGACACAGAAGTAATCGGATGGAAATCCCAGTGCAGTCGCAAAGCAGGTAACTACCCGAACTGATTAGACTTGGCTAACATGTTGTACTGTTGAAGCGGCACGTACATAGTTGTTCCGAAATTATCGCACATTTCGCCATGAAGTGAGTAGTAGCATCCCGAAATCCTGGGACATCCTCATCGCTTGGCCAGTGAGACCCATGTTGGAGCCAGAGAGATTCCTTCTGGTCATACAAGCCAGTGCTGGGACGCCGCTGGGCCTTTGTGTAGTCAGTATATATCACTCTCGCCCCTTTGCAGGAACGCGACGCTTGCCTTGTATTCCCACCCATTATTAGTAACGTTACTGTGAGGAGTCTTCCCCTTGACGTCCGATGGCAAGTCAAAGAAGGACTTTGATATGGCAAATTGCCGCTCGATTTCTTCAACGGAAAGTCCATGGTCAACCAGTGTCAAGAATCCGGCTGTTTCGGCAGCATGCACCAGTTGTTGGGTAATCTCATCTTTTCTTCTCTCGAAGTCTATTCCAGAGAGTCTCCGGTGTTAGTATCTCTTAATCTCTGCAGCGTTCTCCCACTTACCGTCGAGAGAGATAACAGGTACCACGCGCTCGGCCATTCTGGTAAGGCTTTGTTGACAGACTGGGTTGTACTATGCTTCAGTGAGGGGATATATATATAATGCTTGCACTTAGCAGAGCGAGATCAACTGCTCTGAAGGGGTCCTATGAGTTATAAATCTGTCTCTCTATTCTGTACATCTGCCTCCATTTGATAACCGAATGGTACATAGCCGTGATTGTCCATATCCGACGGAAACGCCACGTACCCATCCGTCAAATATCGTATCGGCACTTCTCTGAGTATATCCGATGCTCTTATCACCATATCGGTGCAATATCCGCTGTTCCTTAGCTGCAGTTACAGACAACGGGTCACACCTCTGGTTTGAATAGAGACCACGGGATTTATATCACGGTGTGCGGGAGCGTCCGTCGGACGTGGAACGATAATTCTCCATGTACTCCTTCCGCAACATGTCGGACATCAAGAAAGCCGAAGTTAGCATGGGGGACGTCGAAGTTGGGGTTGTGAGTACCTTTGATAAACACTGAAACAACAAGTATTCGTGCTGACTGCTTTAGGGATACAATCGTCCGATTGGTTTTGCAGACCTGGCTCACCACAAGATCAAGCTGGATGATGCTCGACGATCAAACGCCCTCAAAATTCTTGCGGAGCAAAGAATTGTAATCGATGTTGCGTCGCCCGCAGCCAAGAAGGTACTTCGCAGGATTGACATGCGAATAATGCCACTGGTACTCGGCCTTTACACCCTCCAGCTACTCGTTAGTACAGATCTGCGACCGCCTCCCACGTCGTACCTAATGTTCCATACCGCAGGACAAGAATAGCTTGTCATACGCTGCATTGATGGGAATCAAAGAGGACACACGCCTCACTGGAAACCAGTACGACTGGTTGGGATCTATCGTCTAGTATGTAGAGCACTCGCTATCAGAAAGTCTCTGCCGTCACTGACTCATGATCTCATTTGTGATATAGCTTCGGATATCTGTTTGGCGAGATCCCGGCGGCATTTCTAATGCAGCGCGTGCCAATGGCTAAGTACCTTGGTGTCATGAGCGTGCTTTGGGGGACTGTTGTCACCCTGCACGCTGCCTGCCACAATTTTGGAGGGTTGGCGGCGGTTCGCTTTCTCCTGGGATCCATTGAAGTATGCACAACGCCCGCTATCCTCTATGTTACTAGCTCCTGGTACAGTCACAGTGAACAAGTTACCCGAGTTGCAATCTGGTATTCGGCTTCCGGTTGGGCTCAGGTTTTTGGAGGTTTCTTTTCCTGGGCTATCAACCATGCCACTGGATTCAAATGGGAAAGTCTCTTCATATTCTATGGCGGCCTCACATTTGTCACGGGGGTCATAATTTTTTTCCTTCTTGCCGCATCGCCAGTTGACGCTAGCTGGCTATCCGACAATGAGAAGGCAATTGCCCTCGAAAGAGTCCGAGCTAACAAGACAGGCTCTGAGATGTGGTCATTCAACTGGTATCAGCTGAAGGAGTCCCTCTGCGATCCCCGGCTGTATCTGATTTTTCTACTGATGGTTTCAACTGGGCTTCCCAATGGTGGCTTGACAGCATTTGGTATGTTCACTATTCCTAGAAGACGTTCCTGACTGACAGATAATCTCTTGTACCTCTTGTGCAGGGCCAACCATCATCTCGGGATTCGGCTTCGACGATAATACCACCACGCTTCTCAGTATGGCTCCAGGTGCATGCGCGGCTCTTGGCACGGTTCTGGTCACTGTCGTTATAAAGTGTACCAATAGAACTATAGGTGGTATATTTATAATAGTTCTTGGTTGTGTTGGCGTCATCATGATGTTAACCATACCGGAAAATGCCAATGCAGCTCGTTATGGAGGCTACATCCTCACAATGCAATGTGCGTCTTGATGGGAATCTACACCAGATGATCCCCTATTAGATCGTTTTATTAATCTTCCTATACTTAGACCCAAATGCCATATTGGTTGTCCTCGCCTTCATTACGTCTGGTGTCGGTGGGAGTACCAAAAAGCTCGCGTTTGGTGCGTCCTATCAGCTTGGATATGCGGTTGGCAACATTTGCGGCCCCCAGACGTTTCGTGCAGACGAAGCACCCCACTATTATGTACGCTTTCGTTTCCCCCAACCATTGTTATTACCTAGTCTAATATAAGAACAGACGGCGAAGTTCACCATGTTAGCATTCTTAGTATGCACAGCCATCCTGTTGGCTTCCATGGGGATTATCCATTGGCATTGGAATCGGAAGCGCGACAGGCAAGACGCTCTAGATGCCCAAAGTGCGTACCTTCTTACCCCATAACCATTATTGATCTCTCTTCTTACCAGTCACAGGGCAAATTGTTCGCGAAAGTGTCATAAACGAGGAATTTGCAGATCTGACGGATTTCCAACTTCGCTCATTCAGGTACCCTTTGTGAAGGAGGATATTGTGATATACATGCTGCCAACGCACTAGGGGTGTCTCAGCTACATAAGAGATGATATCATGACTAGGCCATGTAATCCGAACCCGAAATAATGACCAATTGACCTGACAACTGAAGGTCTGCTGGACTATGCTATCTGATCCCACAAACAAACAGTTTTGCGGTGTCGTCTGTAGACATATAAGTCTCCGTAAGCTTCGATGGGTGTAAGAACGCGCTGGGATTCACGACGTGATAACATTAATCCGAACAATCTATTTCCTGGATATAATTCATGTGGATTCAAATGAACGTGGAAAAGGGATAAATAACACACGAGGTGGGGTAGATCTTAGGGGGATTCTAGAGCGTGGTCGGTGCATTATAAAACTTTCCAGACACGGCGATATTGAGGGATCATATTGACATCAAACACAGTCCTGAGGTCTGGTACTGAGTAGAGCTCAGAGGTAATTTATATAAGCATTTGTACAGCAGAGATTTGCACCCATGATTGGGTGTCTAAGATCTCAAAAGTGGATAGAATGATACCTCTTCCTAGTCCGACGCAGCCTGTTGTCTGCGGGATGATCTTGGCTATTTATTCATTGAGAGAAAGTTATGAGATCTTGCTTTTCAGGAACACGACCTTGTCACTAGTTCCAAAAGTGATTGCGTAGAGAAAGGAGAACCAAAAGCAGTGGAACACACAAGAAAGGCGAGAGGAATAGAAGTTCTAGAGATTAATATGTAAAATAAGCAGTTGCTGAAGCCATTTATTTCTGAGAGAAAGAAAATTAGATTCTAATGGTTCGACAAGGCGATCTCAAGCTATCTTTGTTCTGATCTTTTGGGCCTCCTTCCACTCCTGATTGATTCCCCGATAATCATGAATCGTATAACCCTCAAAAATCTCCTTTCTTAGCGTAGACTTTCGTTTCTGATTAATTCCCAGATCTGAGAGAAGCATATCTGCATATGGCACCGCATCGTAGACAAATTCCGGATACCATGCCGAGAACCCACAGGGATAACGATGCTTTCCGTACCGACTCAAGAGCGCTGTTTGATGATAGACGTCTTCTCTATCGATGGCAATCCTTCCATTCAAATAAGCAAATGTCCACAGCGCCTGACATTCCGCGATTATGACGTTGCTCGTGCTGTGGACCATCTTAACATATGCAATAGAATTATCACCTTTTGACGCAAGCGATGGTGGCGCAATGCCGCGGTATAGGCGGAAGGGGCTGACGTCTTGTTTGTAGGGAATCCCACGCGGAGGGTTGCGGAGATATGGGAAGCGGCTTAGGATCTCCTGGTCTGCTTTGGTGTCAAGTATATTCCAGAGCTTCTCTTCTTCTGCGCTCAGGTTGCTGCTTGGGATGCCGAGACTCGCATCGAGGCCCTCGGGTCTATACTTTACCGATGGGGCGAGCTTCCACCCGGTGATGGCGACTAAGGCGTCTGTTTGAACACCGGTACCGTCTGCGAAATTGACGATTCCGGGACCCGATAAGTGGTCAATATCCTTCCGTATGATCTTGACCTGGCCGGTGCGAAGATAATCGTGAATATCGGATGGGTAGTTGAGAATTCCGACCCGAGCAGACCAGAAGAGACTTTCCAGGCGTTAGTGACAATTATAGGAGTTAATAGTCTGAGTTCATACCTTTCCAGGGGTTCAAGATGCTCTAAGCATTCTTCTTTGCGATATCCATTTAGGTCAATAATGTCTGTCCTGATTCCCTCCCAAAACTTGTGCACGATGTATCTGCCCAGGCGAGTTTGATGCAATGCCCGTCTGATCCAGCTGAATCCATCAAAGTCACCAAATATGCATGGACTAAACCATGTGAAAAATCTCATGGTGACTAGAAACTCTAGTTTTGTCTTGGCCCCTGCGAACTTAGCCCATGGTGATGCCATCCAAACTGCACCCCCTCCGGACTCGCGTATAACCCAATCCACCTTTTTGCCATTCGATGCCATTAGATGCACAACATCGTACCCTGTTTTCGAAGCACCCACAACGGTGACAGACTTGATATTAGGGTCCTGCGCAATACGCGCTCCCTCCTCACGCAGTTGGACATGGTTTATGACCGGTCTTTTGAATTCCCCAACCCCGCGGATATTGATCGGGTTAGCGGTCGACGACAATCCTGTGGACATAATAAGTTTTTGACATGAGTAGATCACGCTTTGCGCTGGATCCTTGGTTGTCGTAAATAAGCGCCAGCCTTGATCGAGCTTTTCAACTTCGAGAACTTGGATTTCGAAATGGATCCGTCGACGGATGTCGAAGTGGTCCGCGAAATCATTGAGATATCGGTGCAGAACATGTCCAGGGATATGACCGTTTTCAGTAATTCCATATTTGGCGCCCATGGGGAAGTCGGTGAATTCATATGTTCCCCCGAGGTTGTTCGTTTTCAGGCCTTCATAGCAATTTTCTTCGGACCAGACGCCTCCGATGGTCGGTCGCTACCCTGTAAATTAGACCCTATTCTTGGCAGAAAATAAGAACCATCTTAGTGACTTACCTTTTCCAGAAGCACAATATCTGTTTGCGGTGACAGTTCAAGATAGGTTTTTGTGGCTGCGAGACCACCTATTCCTGTCCCAACCACAATTACCTCTGCAGCTCGGTATTCAATTGGCATCTTGGAAATTGTATCTGGGAAAGGCGGCGAATAATTGTCCAAAGAGATGTTTACTCAAAGCTATACGTCAAGTGTTGTTATCCTCTTCTCCTTATATCTCTGCTTTCCCAATCTTCCTACACCGTGTCTGGAGGACGCAGGGCTATGATTCGGACTCTACACCAAGACCCTAGTTAGGTGGGGATAAGTTCATCAGCGTTATGGTATCTAAACCTTGCGTGGGGCAAGGGTGGGGAGTGCGAAGGGGGAAACTGCATAATTGTCCCCATTGACTAGGTGCATTATCCGGTAGTCCAGTCGGCTATAGAACAGCATCCGGATAATCCCCACTTTCGGCTCTTATCTTGCTTCTTCGGCACAGGAACAGATAACATCCTCTCCAAGGTATGAAGGATCATTCGAGTCCCTCAGACTCTGCCTATGTAATAATTTCTGTTATTGACAGAGACCGCATCTGATTGTTCCAAAACACATAGGCAGAACGACCAAACCCCCATTTTGACCTTTGTATGGAGGAAAGGACGTGCGCACGGGCCGATTAGCTTCCATCCAGAGAGCCAACTGTGAAGCATAACCTCAACCTCCACTATCTAACATCCCTTTTTCTGCAATCGACGAGTTTATCATAGTTCTCTGTTCTATGATCGCAACCACACCGCAAAATCTCAAGCGGAGGGAGCATTAGGACGCAAGCATGACTCTGGGCAGGAAAAATCCACAAGCTACTTGCTCACGAGAGAAGCATTATCGCTGTTCCATGGCAGGGTGTGATAAGACCTTCACCCGGTTGTCTCACCTCCAACGACACTCGCTGAACCACTCAGAGACCCGCTGGGTCTGTGGTCGATGCCATGCCTCGTTCAAGAGATTAGACCTGCTGGGTATGCATTAACGGTCTAATTTAGCGACGTAATCTAATTTTTCTTATAGAAAGACACAAAGCGCGCCATACGGTCAAGGATGGTCTGGCCGGTGGTGCAGGGCTAGGCATACTCCAGACCCGCCGGAAAACTATATCTGGTTCCCGTATGGCTAGGGTTCCACTCTCCCCTCGGCCTTCGGGCCTGGAGCAGGATACAGACAAGGTCGAGCCCTTCACGATACCGGCACAACCTGGTTCCTCTTGTCAAATCGACGCCCAGATTCAAGATGGAGGCACGGGTGGTAATACAGTTGCGGGTCAACAGCTGTCCGGACGCCATTCCCTGAGTTCTCAGCCACAACTGCATGCAGCGCCCATTGCGAATACTGACTCTTTAAACATGGATGAACTAATTAATATGTATTACGACACTTCCTTTGATGCGGTGCACTTTGATGTAATGGGCTTGGCCCTCTCGCCTTTAGCCACGGGTCAGACTCTACCTCAGATTGAAGTAGAGGAACAGAACCACCACCAGGAGGTACAGAATCTTCACCCTACCCCTGACAGGCCAATTAGCCGGGAGTGTACAGAAGTCCTGTCCAGTGGTCCAGAAACGGCCATCCCAAGACATGATAGTCGGCCGGCATGCATTGTGCAGAACACCACTAATATCACCCCATTTCGACGCGATCCGATGGTAAGAATATACCTACGTCTAGAAAGCATATTCTTCCGCCGCCCTAGGCTGACCATTGTGGCGATGTGGGCATAACGTGCTGTGGATGCTGACCACTCGACAACAGTGTCTCGAGCCCCTTATACACGACGTGTTCCTGCAGAATGATGGGAATGAGGAGGCCCAAGGTGTCACTCTCCCAGGTGGCAGGATCGCCCTTTCCGTTTCCAAACGAGACGAGATTCTCAGGCTTCTATCAGAAATACGTCCAGTGACACCAGAAGGCACCATCATCGATGGCAATACAGCGCTCTTGTCAATAGACAATATGCAAGACTATATCAGTCTATTCTGCCGCTTTTTCAATTCCTCCTACCCGATGGTCCATTTGGCGACTCTTGACATAGAAGGAGGAGACCCTGTCTTTCTACTCTCCATAATCATTTTAGGTCAGACATACAAGAACAAAGACACTCATCAACTGTCCGTGTATCTATACGATGCCCTGGTGCCGTATATCCTTAGCGGACTGATGAGCGTTCCGATGCCCGATCTATCGATGCTACAGGCTTTTCTTATTCTTGAATGCTATGGCATGTATCGAGCTGGCCCGTATCAGCGCGAAAATGCTATGTTGATTCATACCCTTCTGTTTGGTGTGAGTATGCACCCGGTTGTTGAAACCTCTCATTTGCTCATGTGTAAGTTTAGGCCATTCGGCGGGTATCCCGATACCATGTTCGCGGGGGAATACTGCTCCCTAGTCACCTAGTCCAACCCGACCTGGACTGGAAGGGCTTTGCCTACGCCGAGCAATATAAAAGGTATCTAATTTAAACTACTTTTCTTCTAGTGCGAGACTTCTTCCTTTTTCCATTCTTCCCTTCTTTTCCTAACCGTCTTCTCCCAGACTAATTCTCTTCGTCTTCATGTGGGACACGCAAAACGTATTCTGCTACTCTGTGATGCCTAACATGTCCACACACAACATCCAAGTCCCGCTTCCATGTTCCCAAGAGTTGTGGGAAGCGCCCAGCGAGACAGCCTGGGAACATATCCGGAAATCTCACACTGAGCCAGCATACTTCAATAGCATGATCAAAGACCTCATCCAAGACGGAGATAAATTTCAAAGCCTCCCAATGGACAGTTTATCACTTACGCTGGTTCTTCATGGCATTATGTCCATGTGTAATGATATTGCGCATTTCGACAACAAGTCTATATGCCTAAGCGATATAGACCACGGCGGGGAACAATGGAGACCATGGCGAAGGAGGATGGCCCATGCCCTGGAGACGTGGAAAGCACACTACGACGCCTACACCATGTGCCAATTTCAGAGCATGGGAGACAGGAGCAATCACAGGCAAGAGAATGTTGCTACTCTGGCACTGTATCATACCGCACATATTGTAATCAACTGTGAAGTCCGTCACCTGCAAGCTGCTGCCGGGGCTAAGGCTATCTTTGGACATATAGTGATGCCAGAAGATCGCCATATATCTGAGGACTGGATCAGGAATTGGGTCAGCACAAATGGGACAGCCGCAGAGCAGGCAGCATGGCATGCGGCGCAGATGATACGTGAAGGGATTCTCAATTTGAGAAACTGGGATGTAAACGGTGTATTCCACTACCCGTGGTGCTTGGTTATAGGGACGCTGACGTGCTGGGCGTTTCATTGCTTCGGTGGCGAGATATCAGATGCCCGTGAGATATGTAGACATCCTCAGAGAGACATGCCCCAGACACAGTCTAGAGTGTTGATGAACCATATGGTCTCGCTAATGGGGTCCGTATCCCCAGCGAATATTCGCCGCACTTTGGGAAAGTGCTGTACGCATGGTCTTACTGTTGAAGTCGCCCGGTATTTGAGGAGTGTGCGTTGGACTGCGGCATATGAGGCCATGAAGCTACTGATGGCGCTATCAACCAGGCCCTGATTCAGTATCATGACCTCAACACTTATTTCTTCTCTACTGATGATCAAAGCTATCTGGCCTAACTATTAGAAGGAAATGGCCAAATAAATGAATATCAGTTGCTTCTCAAGCGTGTTCCGGCCGATCCTTTCCATATTCTTGTGTATGCATATGGATTCTTCAAAACGATCAGCCATCACGAAGAGTCGGATTCTAGACTTTGGTCGTTTACCCTCTCATGTCAAGGAAATAAAACAAGAGAAGAAGACAAAAAACATACAACAGAAGGGATTCGCTGGTGGTCACCCACCCAACTACTAACCTCCCGGCGTGTGGCTTAAGTACGGCTGAGCGGACGGGAAGCCCTGTTTTCCACACCCTATGGTCGTATGTGCTCAGACTAACCTTGGAAGGCTGCATAAGGAGGCTTGACTGATCTAATAACTAAGTCCCTTATGGAAGTCGACTTCTGGGACTGACCAGATCTATCATTGTGCATTCTAAACATGTTCAAGCTCAAGCCAATGCCAAGACCATGACTATAACCTCACCTATTTGGCTCGCAGACTTAAAGATAAATTGTATCACAAGGCATATGAGTAAAGCCTTCGGTTCAAGCAATTGTATAGCCTAGTGCTAAGTAGAGAAAGCGCAGGAAGTATCTGATACGCGTGTTGTTTCTGCGAAAGGAATTACAGGTACAATTACTTTGCAGCAATACAGGGGCAAGAAAGCTGTTGGGTGGGCATACCACAGCAGAATTGCTTAGTTCATATCTGAGCTATTCAAGCAAGCATCCGCTAGATGACTACATCGGAACCCATCCATGGAATACATCCATTGGTAAATGCGACATCGAGTGCGAATATGATTGGAGGATCTGCGGCATACTGACCACGCAAAATACGCCGTCAGGGCGACGCAAGACAACACTAATTTGGAGCGGAAAACTAAATCTATTCTGGGTACACGTTCCCAGCCTGCGCGAATAGATGGTAGATCCACTGACGTAGCTAAAACAGTTTATCTACCGTATTTCTGGACTTTGCGGTGTCGTTTAGGTACAGGTTCTCCCCCCTGAAGATGTGGAGATAGGCAAACTGATACAGATGTTCGAAAAACCATTGTAAAGTGCCTTACCAACGCAGATAATTCTTCCTGGCGAGTCGCCAAAAGAGGGGATAGTCTCTACATTCAGAGGACATTGTGACTAATTTGTCACCATTGGTGATAGGAAATTTAGAATTGCTAATTTCTCTTTTCGCTTACTGTGAAACATCAGCGCAATTAACCTGATGTTCAACCCGGGAATACTCGCTGGGTTTTGACAGGGGCTCTCGCAGAGGCTAAGCATTATTAGTGGGCAATGCGAGCGCACCAATGTCGGGCTGGAGAAGGCTTTTCAGACAGTTGAGGAGAGTGTTGGTGGCATTTTCAAGCTTATTGATGGTGCCCCGCGCGAGTCCATGGGAGCCCAGTTGCGGGTCTGGGATGGTACCGTCTTTCCGTAGTAAAGGGCCCTCATGTTAGCAGTTATTAGATGGGTAGAGTTGCTCTTTACCAGGAACTATCATATACTATTGATTGAAGTGGCCAGACTTGAGATCGGTAATTCTAGAAGTATAAGCATGCTTTCAAGGCCTTACCACGTTGGGTTGGACAGTAAGAGACCACCACGATACCCACTGAAGAACACCGCCCCCCCCCCAACATGAGTGGCCATTGATGGCGACAGCGACTGGCAACGCTTTATCTTGGTCTATATAAAATTTACTTGTAATATATCTCCAACAATTGGCCTGCTGGCCCAATGGTAAGGCGCTTGACTACGGATCAAGAGATTGCAGGTTCGAATCCTGCGTAGGTCATTCTTTTTTGCTTCTTTGTTTTGTGGCTAGCTCGGCTACCCGTTATAGTGACTGAAGTGAGCCGTTTTTATCTTGTCGCTTTTTTCTTTGGTACCCACTTTTTTTCTCAGCCTCTTGCACAAGTAGTTTCTCTGAGATCACTCACACACTTCAGAAGGCTAAATGAACGATATTACTTCGTCTTCTAAGTACTGACCAGGTAAGACGATCATTAGTACTCAGAAAATGCTCAGTAATGCTACTGAAAACTACATTTTAAAAAAGGGAGCAAGAATATCTATCAACAGGCTTGAATTTAGATTATGACTATGACAGACTGGCCTGGATCCTCGCAATATCAGTGTAGGTATGACTCGTCACAAAAAGGACGACGCAAATAATTAGACAATATAATCATGAAACGAATGACAGCATTGAACCCATTCCCATCCCAGAAGATAAACCTAAACCGTTTTGAAATAATCGATTCCCGGAAGCTCGAGGTAGTGTGGTGTCACTTTAGAGCGATCGATCGATACCAACGCCGTAACTCCTATTGACTTGTTAGCAGCCAGGCCAAAATCTCAAGATGAAGTGCGATACATACCTTAAGCAGAGAAGTTCAAGGACGCAGAAGCCTTCGCATTAGCGCTAGCAGAGGCCTCAGCGCTACCACTAACGGAGGCCCCAGCACTAGCGTTGGCATCAGCACTTCCGCTACCGCTGGCATCGGCATCGGCATCCGCGCTGGCATCGGCATCCGCGCTGGCATCCGCATCTGCATCGGCATCAGCTCCGGCACCGGAATCGTCGCTGTCGTCGCCGCCCGTGGATCCTCCAGCCGTGATGCTGCCGCTGGCGCCGCCGTAAGGACCGAGAGAGACGCTGGTGGAGGCACTGACCCAAGTGGTGGTGGCGCTGGGAGCTTCCGCAGTGGTGGGGGAAACACCGACATCAGTATCATCATCGCCGCTGCCAGAAGCTCCGGCACCGAGAGAAGCAGAGCCGGATCCGCTGCCGCTCACATCACCCGAAGCATCGCCGGAAGCACCGAGATCAGCACCCGCACCGAGGCCAGCAGATCCAGATCCAGAGAGACCAGCGGAGCCAGATCCAGAAAGACCGGCACCAAGACCGGCACTAGCGCTAGGGCTAGCACCGACGCTGCCACTGGGGCTGGCACCAAGACCAGCGCCAGCACCGAGATCAGCAGATCCAGATCCAGAGAGACCGGCAGAGCCAGAGCCGGAAAGACCAGCACCGAGACCAGCACCAGCAGCGCCGGAGGCACCAGCGCCAGCAGCACCGGTAGCGCTACCACCGAGGCCAGCAGAGCCACCGAGGCCAGCGGCACCCGAAGCACCGGCACCGAGAGATCCGGTAGCACTTCCTCCAAGACCGGCACCAGCACCAAGGCCAGCAGCGCCGGAAGCACCCGCGCCAGCAGCACCGGTAGCGCTGCCACCGAGACCAGCGCCCAGACCGGCGGAGCCACCAAGACCGGCGGAACCGCCGAGACCAGCAGCACCGGAAGCACCAGCGCCAGCGGAGCCAGTAGCACTTCCTCCAAGACCAGCACCAAGGCCGGCGCTGCCACCCAGGCCAGCAGAGCCACCGAGGCCAGCAGCGCCAGAAGCACCGGCACCAGCAGCACCAGTGGCACTTCCTCCCAGACCCGCGCCGAGACCAGCGCTGCCACCAAGACCGGCAGAGCCACCGAGGCCAGCAGATCCACCGAGACCAGCGCCCAGGCCAGCAGATCCCGAGGCACCAGCACCCGCAGCTCCAGTAGGACTGGCTCCAAGACCAGCACCAGCGCTGCCACTTCCACCCAGACCAAGACCGGCACTCAGATCAGCGCCCAGGTCAGCAGATCCACCCAGGCCAGCGGAGCCACCAAGACCGGCAGCTCCCGAAGCACCAGCACCCGCAGCACCGGTAGCACTGGCACCGGCACCACCGCCCAGAAGGGCACCCAGACCACCGCTGCCGCTCAGACCGGCGCCGAGGTCAGCACCGAGACCAGCACCAGCACTTCCACTACCGCTGCCGCTACCACCAAGGCTGGCGCCCAAGTCGGCGCTGCCGCTGCCGCTGGCACTGCCACCGAGACCGAGACTGGCACCCAGGCCGGAGTTTCCCAGGAGGCTACCAGCGCCGCTGAGGAAGGGAAGGAGGCATGGGATGGGGATAGCGGAGACGGTGGCGGCGGTGACGAGGGTCGCAGCGGAGACTCTGTAGAAGCGAACCATTTTGACTGATTGATTTCGGTTTCTGTGATGGTCAGCACTGTGCCAGGAATGATCGTAACCGAAGATCAGTGGTGGGAAGGTTACCTTCGAGAAACGGGAATCGAGAAGAACGAGAGTTGAACGGAATTATTGAAAATGTAAACACAGAGATCGATACGCCACAGGCGATCTGAAAAGCAAACAAGAGCGAGAGGAAAAAGAGGAGAAAAGACTGGTGAGAGGGATGAGGATGGGATGGAAAGAAAGTCAACCTGATCGGTGGTGGTGACAGAGGCTATATATGCCTTTTTTGCGTCGAAAGTTTCCCGTCTTCTTCTCCCGCATCGCGGAGGAGAGCCATGGCTGTCTCCCCGTGAATAGGGGCCCGTGAAACCGCGGTGGTTTGATCGTGGCTGCTTGTGTCAGTGTAGAGTTTCTAAGAAAAGTGTCCATGGCCTGGTTCGGACCTGCCAAGCATCTTAGTGAACCGTAGAATGAACCATCATCTGGGTTTTCCGACGGGCACGGACTTGGTAGACTGTGGATACGGTCAGGGACGACGGGCTCTTCTGGGACTGGAACATCTGCATTGATCAAAATGGGCACAGAGCCGGCACTCAACCGGGAATCAGAGCTCTGAATCGGGCAGGGGAGACCGGCTCAGAACCTGGCCGGTGTCGCTGCGTCGAAACGCGCTAGAATTGTGACCCAGAGATCGAGATGAAAAAGAGGTTTTCGATGTGGGATCGAGAGATTCAATGATTGAGCATTGTGATGACCTGAATTAGGGCTCAATGGCGTGAGGTTGTCTATAGTAATAAATACGTTGATGGTGTAAACCAGGGTGTATGTAAACGAGAGCACCAAACGAGCCGCAACTGATGCCTGAGCATTGGTAGTGAACTCCGGATAAACGTATATTCCTTGACTGCAAGAATTGATGCAAGACGGGCTGGAGAGCAGTGGAGGTGTATCACGATCGTGACCCCTGCGCTAGTGATCTGCAGCCCATGTTTGGAGTTTGCCCGAAGATGGGGGGATCGGCTGGTTCTTCCGGGCGTTGCGGATGATCCTCGGAACTGACCCCGTCTAGGCTTCCTATGTCTTTTCTGATCGGCAGGAACACCAACTCAACTCTTCAAGTTTATTCATTCACTTACTTTACCTCGCATCTACAGCTTCGACCTTATTCATCTCCTGTGTATACTCGGTTGCGGTTACTATTCTCATATCCACAAATTCACACCCCTTTCTTCTATCTCCCCCGAGCTAAGAATAGCCCATCCAATGAGGACCCGCTGTTTCGAGCCAAACCCTATTTTGGCCTCGTCTCACCCTGAAACCCCACCGTTCGCTCGACCTCGACTTCCCAACTTTGGGGAGCTCTCTACGCCCTCTCTCTAGTCTACAAAGGCTAAACCTCAATCGGAAATGGTGTCCGTTGCCAGGAACCGCCCATGCAGACCCCGAGCAGCGAACCCGCGACCACTGAAGCAGTCTAAAATTCCCGAAACCAGTAATGATCCCCTAAAGAGAGGGTCTAACGGAATAGTTCCTCCAGACTATCCACATGGAAGCTTAGCACGCAAGAAAGAAGCACTTTAGAGTTTTATAATTCTCAAAGTCGCCGATGTAGTCGGAAGGTGGTGCCGACACTCGACTGGGGCTTTACCTTTTTCCCCTACGGCTGACCCTCGAACTTACTACTGGCTGATTTCTTTCGCTCGAAACAAACCAACCTTGCTCACCAACCACCGTGATACTTTGCCGGGTCTGAGTGTTTCATATCCCAGTTACAACACTGGGAAGACGGGGAAAACGCGGGAAATTTTATCCACTGCCTCCATCGCGAGAGTCGAAAATAGAATCAATGTCTCCGTATCGAGCATCTGCCATGGCCATGATCGCGGAGTGGTGAGCAGCGTATCGAGATCATCTATTCGAATCAATAGCGGGATAGCGAGTGACAGATCTGCTAAGAATAGGTCATGGTCGGATTATGAGATTGGGGTATGGAGTACACGGTCTACCATTCCTGGTAAGTCTACCCACTGCGGCAGTAAATGTGCCCTTTCCCCATTGTGGTGCATGATTCGGCTTCTTGCTGCCCAAGGGTCCCTAGCGGTCGGGATTCTCTCTTCAATTGGGGATCGCTCACGGCTTGATTTGTTGTCTGTGGGAATGAGAAAGAACAGAATCGAATGAGAAGCATGGTTCAACAGTCTAGACTGCTGGATCGGCGAAAATTCTGCATCTTGCGGGAAAAGCCTGTCTGAGTTTATATCACCTTGTAGGGGAAGACGAAGCATCGATCAGCGATTATTAACTTTGGTATCGGAAATGAGGTCCCGATTACCTAAATATTTACGAGATGAGGACCTTGGGACTCATGATTGGGGTGATATCGTCAGGTATGAGAGACTACGCTGGGCTTGTCGGTTATTACGCGATATCCCGCAAGGGTTGGTGGTGATGACGAGTTGCCTCAGGATAGCGAAGTAGCTTGGTTGGGTGTTATCCGGTAGCAGCACATCACTTTTGGGAAGCACGAGATATGGTGCGATCAGGACCGTATGTAGGTCAAGCCAGTTCTGACCTTGATTTACCGGGGGATGAGAAAAACTTACCACACTGGGAGATATGTAACTGCGAAGATACAGTCTTCCATGCTAGACGACTGTAGTAAATGCAGCATGAGCTGGCATGTTCGCTAGCAGATGTGGACTTGGAAGGGCGTCTGTCTGATCAATTTGCTGTACTCTATACGACATTTCGCTTCTCAAACAGTCAATCTTTCTGCTGCCAGATTAGGTATTGCAAGTTCTTTGCCTTGAAGACTCTTCATCTCAGCATCTTCCTTTCTCCCAAACTCATATCTTATCTCTGACGCTATATGATTGCACCCTCAGACTAACTCATCTTGTACTATCACGTCCAGTCCTCCAGTGAATTCTTTTTATTCGTTTTGCCTTCTATGTCTCGGCGGCGTCACGATCAGACGGCTCAAAGTCGATTCCAGCCTGGTTCGGCATGCCCTTGTACGGTGCCAGCGGCTATGACTACTATCCAGGCGCTTACCACACCCGATGTCTTTAGGCCTCAATGTTTTCATGAAGTACATAGTCCTCAGCATGGATAAGAATGCATCTCTGAGGCTTTAAAGGGCACTTAATTTACCGCTATCCAGTCTTTCAAGAAACCTCCTTTCACCAATACAACACACACTCAAGTTGCGCAATCCCTGTGATTTGGTGTCATATACACAGTTCCAAATTTAATCAGACTTAACGTTACATTCTAATCATTCAAGAAGCGACCCGACTGTCATCTGCTCGCGAATGTGTTTTGTCCCTCCTCCATCACGTGACTGGTATTTATTTCCCCGCGTTTTCCGGCCCCATCCCGATTAGGCAAATGTTGCAGCCGATCCCCCCTTCAACGTCAGCCGCAAACAGAGATGACTGCTTCAAGTCTTCATTCCCAATCTGTGCATCTTTCTGGGGGCGTGGCAGATTTGGTGTAGCGAGCACTATTGGCCACTTTAACAACTCACCATCGACAGGCCCAGAGCCCTATGATACCCGTCGATCAATAACCAAAGAATTCATTCGCTTCTAGAAGCCTGTTGTGTCCCTGCGACCCTGAAGATCCCGATAATCTCTTTAAACCTCGGATACCCAATAAGGCGAACCACGGACCATCCCAAGTTTTGTTCATCGATCCTCAACGGGCGGAATTTGACCTCTCATTTATGAGACCTCATCGCCCAGCCATGATCCGTTGGCAAACAAACCATTACCTTCGTGCCTGCGGGCGGCGATCATCATTAAACGCCTGGGGTGTATCCCATCAGCCATCCTCACTCCGGATTAGGGGAAGATTTCAGCACCAAGCAAACTATGCAACTAATCCGCAACAACCCCCGAGGCAGCAGTCGGCCACGTTGCCCATCCTGGGGACGATTGTCGCTACCGCGGCTGTAACGCTCTTTGCGTCCGAGGCTTGGCGCGGAAGGGAAGCCTCCAAAACGCAGGACATTGCTAAAGATGTTCAATCCAGACCATCTCAGTCCGGATCATCCAAATATGCGGATGTCCCGACGATGCTTCGGGTTTGTAGCACATTTGCAGCTTAACCATCATTATTATTAATTGCGAGATACAGGCCGTCGAGGAAATCAAGACAATCATCGGACCCGATAATGTAAGTGTTGACGCGGACGACATTGAAATTCACGGATACTCCGAATGGTCCACGTCCAACACCACCGCACGACCAATTGCGGTTCTCAGTCCAGCCACGACAGAGGAAGTATCCGCAATCGCCAATGTATGCACCAAATACAAAGTTCCCATGGTGCCATTCGGCGCCGGATCAAGCGTTGAAGGGAACTTTGCAGCTCCTCACTCGGGTGTCTGCATTGACCTGTCGCGGATGAACAAGGTCATTGAGCTGTACGAGCAGGACATGAATGTGACGGTTCAAGCAGGTGTGCGATGGACGGATCTCAACGAGGAGATCAAGTCTACTGGGCTGTTTCTGCCCATGGACCCCAGTCCTACTGCGTATGTGGGTGGTATGGTCGCGACGAATTGCAGTGGCACGAATGCGATGCGCTACGGGACGATGAAGGACTGGGTGGTTAATCTCACTGTCGTGCTTCCGGATGGAACAGTGATCAAGACAAAACGGCGGCCGCGCAAGTCTTCTGCTGGGTATAACTTAAACGCGCTTTTTACTGGATCGGAAGGGACTTTGGGAATCATCACGGAGGCGACGCTCAAGCTTGCTATCATTCCCGAAGACAGCAGCGTTGGGATTGCTACTTTCCCCACAATCGGTGACGCAACGGCCGCAGCATCGAAGTTGATCCGTGACGGTGTTCCCCTCGCGGCGTTGGAATTCATGGACGACGTGCAGATGAAGATCATCAACCAAAACGGTGGCGCAGGTGGGAGGTTTTGGTCGGAGGAGCCGACCCTCTTCTTGAAGTAAGACTGACATTCGTTTTAATCTTAGTAGTCAGCTGACAATCCAGGTTCACCGGATCCCGCACGGCAATCGACGACAGCATCCAACGCACAAAATCCATCTTAACCAACAACAAGGGCAAAGAATTGGTATTCGCAAAGTCCCGCGAGGAAGGCGACAATCTCTGGTCGGCAAGGAAGCAGTCCCTCTGGGCCATGCTGGCTGTGAGACCCGAAGGAACCGAAATCTGGTCTACGGATGTGGCTGTACCGATATCGCGGCTGGCTGAGATTGTTGGTAAGTCAAATTTAGAGCAATTGTGTTGCTCAAATAGTATTGACATGATCTTCAGAGCTCTCAAAGGCCGAATCCAGCAATCTGGGTCTGTTCTCCACGGTTCTAGGCCACGTCGGAGACGGCAACTTCCACCAAGCGGTGATGTACAACCCCCAGAGTCCAGAGCAATACCAGGGTGTCAAGGCGTGTGTTTCGAGGATGATGAAGCGGGCGCTTGAAATGGAGGGAACAGTTTCTGTAAGAGTTATTGTTCCTACATGACGTTTCGACACGAATCTGACTGAAACAGGGCGAACATGGCATCGGATTAGGAAAGAAGGTCGGCAATCCCTAATCCCGTTGTGTCATATCCTCAACGCTAACATCCACCAGTCCTATCTCGAGGAGGAACTCGGTACACCGACGATGCAACTAATGAGGGGACTGAAACGGAGCGTTGATCCTCAGTACGTTAATCCTGTGTTCTCTCTCAGTCGCTTACTAATCCTTTTTTTAGCTGGTTAATGAATCCCGGCAAGGTCTTCGACGAACACTTTGAAGGATAGGATTGCAATATTCGCAATACCCTAAGCTCAATGTACATTTCAGAATCCAAGACTGTGCTTCCAATGCACGAATAAACATCATCTCATCCCAGTCTGGGCGACAGTGTAGTAGACGTCCGGGGATCCGTCTTGAGAGGTCCACAGTTGATTGATAAGCAGGGAGTGGCTATGACATTCCAACGCTGTCATGGATGAGCATAGGTAGCGTCTTCTATATAACAAGTGATTTCCGCATGTAGTTTAGTGTCCGCTCAGCTGTTTCCCGTCCCACCGCGCCAAGGCAGCGAGAAATACAAACAGTGACTACAGATGATGTCCTCGACGCGGAATCTAGTCCTAAACCGGCAGGCAAGGGAAGAAACACAGAATGCTTTAAACTCATAAATCCATTTCATTAACACCTCACATACATAGTGTACTTCTCACTATCTAAGGAGTCTCCGCAACATTGTACACCAGCTTCTCACCACTGACCTTATCAGCCTTGAGCAGCTGCAACCCCTCCAACACACCCTTCAAACCCTCCCCACGCACACTAGGCCGATGCACCTTAATCTTGCCCTCAGCCAACAACTTCTGCGCAATATCCCAGAACTTGGCAGCAAACTCCTTATCCTCAGGCTTGGCCGGGAACGGTGTCTCACCAAACATGAACTCCTCACCCACAGCAGTATACGCCAGAGTCCACCGATCATTGACATTCTTCCGCTCAATGCCCACCGCCAAAAGCGCACTGTACTCACCACCCTCGGTAGAGATAGCCTCGTCACAGAACTTGGCACTCGCCTCCAACGAAATGGTATCCAGCACCAACTTCAACTTGTTATCCGTAGCCTTCCGGATCTCCGCCGCCGCATTCGGCGCATTGTAATCAAACACCTCATCGGCACCCAGACTCTTCACCAGGTCGAAGTTCCTTGGCGAGCACGTAGTCAGTACCTTGTACCCGGACAACTTGGCGAACTGGATCGCCAGGGTTCCTGTCGCCGTCGAGCCACCGTAGATAAGGATCGGGCCTGCGTTGCCGCCCTTAGCGGGCTCGGTGGGCAGCTCCAATTTCAAGCTCTGGTACAGAGCCTGTCCAACGGTTGTGATACCCACACCGAGAGTGGCGGCGTCCTGGAAGCTCAGGTTATCCGGGATGTGCATCTGGATGTCGCCCTTGGCGACGATGTATTCGGCAAAGGTGCCGTCTTCGGGCTGCACGGCGTTGGCGCCGTGGACGAAGCCGCACACCCGGTCACCCTTCTTGAAGGGCTTCTTGACGGCGGGGCCGACTTCTTCCACGATACCGGCGTAGTCGCAGCCGACGAGAACGCCGGTGGGGGCGAGATACTCGATGTGCTTCCAGTCCGTGGGGTTCAGGGCCACGCTAACGGTCTTGATGAGGATGTAGTCGTCGCGGAGCTTGGGGATGGGGCGGTCGGTGACCAGGTCGCCCTTCTTAGGGGCGGTGACGGCGATGGCTTTTTGAGGCATGGTGGGGGGTTTGTTGTGATGTGGAATACTTGGTTTGATTGGGTGGGTAGGAGAGTGTCTGCTGGGGAGAGTGAGGGGAAGAGGTATCCTATATATGTGTCTCTGGTATCATGAGCAAGAAGCACCAAGAAGTCGGTGGAATGGAATGCAACACCCCCTCTTCACCCTCTTTTTGTTTGTCGATGACAAATGCAACTTGTGAGATCATCTTTCTTCTCCACTTGGGCCCACAGGTCCCGAGAGGGACGCTGTTGGGTCTGGTTGGGTGTGAGCCAATTCATTAGGTTGTTGCCAGCAGCCCGGATCCGGAATTGGCGAACTCTATTGCTACTAAGTACTGCGGGTGTGAGTGATTCGCCGGTGCTCTTGGGGAAGGAACTGGTTTGAGCGGTACAGTGTACAGTATATGCATTCCGTACAGGTTGGCTGCTATCATACCCAGGTATCGTACTGATACTTTGGGACTACTATTTTCTGTGTAGTTGATGCTGGTAAGCAATTGAGTGCTGACATGGAGAAAGAGACTCATCTCTCAGGGCCAATGGACGCAATTAGACTGGCGGGGTCTCATAGAGTTTTAGGCTACATTCCGAAAGAGGTTTAGATCCCGCTCCGCGCAGGATATTCAATCCCGGAGATCCTCCCCAGGACACCAGCAATAAGCACTATATTGTAGGATGATCGCAGAATCAAAGGGTCGAGAAATTTCCATTCTGCTGACATATTCACCTGGAGGGAATTCTTTGCGTAAATCTGTACCTTGCTGATTAATGGGCATCTTGGTTCGGGCGTGTGCTATGGGAGGTTTAAAGATGGTTTCAGTTTTCGGTAATAAATAGATAGCACTACTATAGTGTGAGCTTGTCTTCTCTTGTACCATCATAGACCATCTCGCAGTTGAGCAAAATGCAGGTCACTCACATCGTCCTACTCCAATTCAACCCCGACGTTACTCCCGAGGTTAGGGAGGATGTATGTTTGTCCTACACTTCATACGTCCGAGGCGTACAGATCTAACTTGTCCTCGTATAGGTCGCCAGTCAGGTCAAGGGTCTGCGCGAGTCGTGCATCCACCCGGACACTGGCAAGCCGTACATCGTTTCCATGAAGGCCGGTGCAGATATCTCCATCGAGGGTCTTCAGGTGCGTCTACTTCCTACGTTTCGATCTTATGAGTCGCGGGCGTAACTCCTAACTTCCCGTGCACAGAACGGCATCAGCCATGCATTTGTCTCCGTCTTCGAAAATACCGCGGATCGCGACTACTTCGTGAACAAAGACCCGGCGCATATCGCGCTCGTGCAGAATGTCAAGCATCATCTGGCTAAAGTCCAGGTTGTGGACTTTGTGGATGGGAAGCTTATTTAGGTGTGCTATGCTGGGCTCCTAGGTATATTAACAGGCTTTTGGTCGTGTGAGATGTTTTAATTAGAGAAATCGGATGTGATTGTTAGGATGAGCGGGTGGTACACAAGCAAGAATATATATAACCCTAGTGGGATAAGTTTGGTCCGAATGGGTCAAATCCGAATGGGAGTAAAATCTTGCTATAGACAATAATAAGAGTACTATCAAAATACCAAGCCAATATCTAGACATGTTTAAGCACAATAGAGTGTTCTGCAACCATCCCCAAGGCGAAAGATCTCCAATTCTTGACCACGATGACCTTCAAGGGTGCGCAAGCCAACGTAATAGTGCAGCGTGCTTCATCATCCAAACTCCAGCAGCAGATTAATAATAAGCCCTTGTAGCTCAGTGGTAGAGCGCTTCACTCGTATCATGTCATGAAGAGGTCCGCGGTTCAATCCCGCGTGGGGGCACATTTCTTTTTTCATTTTCTCGGGTAATTAACAAGCTAGCTTAGCTAGCTTCCCCCCTCCCTTTTTTGTGCAACGGGTAGCTGCAACCGCGCTAAGGGAGGAAGTAAGGCGGTGGCAAATACATATCCGCCCTTATAGCTCAGTGGTAGAGCGCTTGACTTGTAATCAAGAGGTCTGTAGTTCAATCCTGCATGGGGGCATCGGATATTTTTTCTTTTTTGCTTTCCCCCCAATTCGTCCTTTGCCATTCTCTGTCGCCTACTTTGTTGTCATCGTCACACCGCGGGACAGGAATTAGTTTCTTCTTCTTTTTCTTTCCCCCCACTTCCTAGATGCCTAACATACACCCATATGCCCGTCCTGTAATAACGTATGCCGACTAATTTCAGTAGATAAAAATGGTAAATCAACAGAAGACAAATCTACGTATACCCCCTATTGCTATGTACCCGTCCCATCAAACGGTCGGCTACAAAGTGGACAGCAAAGTGCACTCTGAATGCAGCTCCGACAGTAAATCACAGTAGTTTTTGACGACCCTTCTTTTCCCGCGATCATCGGACAGTCCCTACACTGTGCACTCTTCCACAAGGTCTCTGTATCCAAACAAACATCGCAATGCTCGTAAAATGGCGCCTGCGGTAGCATATAGCGGGCAAAAGGGAGGATGTTTATATGGACTAGATCATCCCCACGTTGACCAATCTTGGCTTTCAGAAGGTCGGTAATCTCTCTCCAGGGCTTTGCATCGGTTATGCCTGGCATGTAGAAAGGGTTGTATTTGACATCGCTAAGGGATACTTGTCTTCGATATGACTCCTGTAGCGGAGAAAATCCTAACCTGTCTTCGATATGAGTTTCAATGCTGTGGTGATCAAGCAGAATTTTGACCACTTTGACCTGGCCCATGCAAATGGCTGCGAAAAGGGGTGTTCGGCCGAATATATCTTTTGGGTTGGGGTCACATCCGGTCTTCAAGATGCGCTGCACAAGGGTAATGTCGCCTCGCGATGCTGCCCAGTGTAATGGCAGACGGTGGAACTCGTCTAGAAAGCTGGGGCTATTGGATTCTTCGAGGATTGCCTCGATCGCATAGTTATCTCTCTCCAAACCAGCCTTTGTCAAACAAGATAGTCCCCAGAAAGATGCGGAGACGTCTGTGTCCCTCATCAATCTGGGAGAGCCTGCACCTTTTGCAATAAGAAGCCGGGTTATATCGACATGACCCTTTTGTGCGGCAGCTGTCAGTGGGTCTGCTAAGTGGTGTTTCCATCTATCGGTGCTGTGTATTCTGGCGCCCCAATCGAGTAACAATTCAACAGCACGCAGGTTGCCATTTGCCGCCGCTGTGAACAAGGGGGTTTCCCATTGCTTGTTCTCTTGATTGATATTGGCTCCTGCATCTCGTAGAACTTTCATGACGAGTGCATGATCGCCCATGCTGACAGTCGATATAGGACCCCGTTGAATTCCAGCGCCGCTCTTTGCTGCAAAGAATATAGGAGTTTCCTTGTTCGCATTCTCATAATGAACATTCGCACCTCGGTCAATCAGCAGACTGGCTACTTCATTGTAACCATAGGCTGCGGCGTAGAAAAGAGGTGTGAAGTTTTCGGATGTAGCAGAATCGACAATAGCTCCATGATTGAGTAGAAACTCAACAACTGACTTATTACCAAATCCTGCTGCCCAGGTGAGAGGTGTACGGCCAAGGTAGTCCTGAGCATTTAATGAGTTGCTGTCGACTCCGACAAGTTCTTCCATGCACTGATCTAGGCCGAAGACTGACGCGAGATGGATCCCAGAAAAACTGTAAGGAGTCTCCGACAGGCCGAACATCTCTCGCATACACCGTGTAACTTTGGCATCATTCTTGATAAATGAAGCAAGAAGCGTATCGTTGCCCAAGCTTTGGTGGAGATGTGTCCCTAGCTCTTGAGCAGAATATCGATAAAGCGGGTACTCTTGTCGATGCTCCTGACGGCCACTTTCTAATAAGACTTGCTGCTCAAAGACATCGAAGGACACGTATGTGAGGCAGGTGTTTGTGAGGTATTCATGGACGGTAGGAAACCAAGCCTCCCGCGACCGCTCCAAGTATTCCTGGGCAGTAAGATGCACGAGCTTCACCGTGTTGTTGTTTTCGTCAACCGTGACCAATCCGCAGCAGACAGAAGCAATTTCCTCAACATCTGTGACATTCATTCCGTCAAATTCGGGCTCACCAATTTCAACCGCAACAGCATGTTGTAGCTCTAGAGCGCTAAGTGGTCGTGCAGAGAACGTGAGCCACCCGAGCACTCTTTTGGCAAGGTCCTGAGAGAAGGAGCTTTGCAGGTTAATCCTCTTCAATGTCTCGTTATACGCATGGTCATAAGCCCCTGACCCTGACTGGAACTGACCACCCAGTGCCCGGACTCTTTTCTCATTCTTCTCATCCAGGATCAAGTTGTAATAGAGACGCGCAAGCAAGAATCTAGACGCGTCAGTAACTTTCTGATATTTCGGAACTGTGTCACTCACATTCCATCAGCCGAGTCGAGAATCTGTCTTCTAACGTGCGCCCAAAGCTCAGGCTTCCTTCGAAGGAAACGCGGAAGATAGTCAAGGTTTCCGTCGAGAAAACTTTCCATGTCGCCTTCACTGGCTTGGATCTCCAGAGTATCAGCTCGAGATATTAGATGACCGAAATAATCGCCCGGTCGGGCAGTCGCAAGGAGCTTAACCTTCGTGCAACCGCCGATGTCAAGGAGTTTCCTAGCCCAAGCGAGGAATTGACGCCTCACGTATACGTCGTTACACTCATCCAGTGCATCAACGACTAGTAGCACCTCACTGCATTCAGACACCGCCACACTAAATATCTTTTCGATATCTTCTTTGGCCAGACGGGTGGACCTGGGCGGGAGGAGGTAGCGTCTTTTTGTGATACTCTCATACAAGCTTTGATTTCCCTGGAGTAACTGTCTCAGGAGGCTTGAAAGAAGCTCAGAATACTCAATCCGTTCCTGATAGTGGAAATAATGATAAGCAACTGCGAAACTGCTATTTAGGGAAAATTCCCGCTGAAGGTGGTCGACTGCGATCGAAGAAAGTACCGTCTTGCCTGCACCAGGAGCCCCGGTGCATAGAAGTGCCTTGCTCTTCTCATCAGAGATCCAAGAACGGAACTCTTCACTTTCCAGAAACCATTTACCCGTTTCCTCGTGTCGAGAGCTGATGATTTTGTGATGTCGCTCCGAGGCGTCAATAGGACATATCCATGCAAGCGTTTCATTGCGCTGCTGCATGTCGTGGTGGCCTTTCATGGATTGAATGTCTGCTCCGATCCCCAAGGTCAGATCTCTGTCGGATCACCATCAGCGATGATCTCCCCGAAGCAAATCGGATTTAACGTTCGATCGCAGCAGTAGGGAAACCAAAAGGAGATATTGCTCATACTGATTGATTTTGCCCATTACCAAATTCCACAGCGAGAGACAGTAAGTGATGCGGCTTCGCATGCTGTCCACTTCTGCAGGGTCCCATTTCACTCGACTCCATGCTCGGACAGCCTTTGTCTTCCAGTCCGAACTTGCAAACGCAAGCACATTGTATTTGCTCAACTTGTGTTCGATCTCCAACAGGACTTCACGGCCTCGCTGGACGATTATATCCAGTTCCATTTTCTGGGTCGTACTGAGCCCTTCCGCAGGAACATCATTGAGGTCATGAAGAAGCGCCCATAGGCTTTTTACACTATTGATGATGGTGAGCACCGCTTGAGAAGATAACATGCGGCTTCTTACTCTCCAGAGATAGCTTTGAACCCACTCGGTGCCTGGGCGAACCGCTTTTTCAAGTCATCGGCGAGTTGCAAAGTAGCAAGGAAATCACCGACACCAAAGCCGAAGCTCATCGTGAACAACCAAGACAAATAACTCGAGCTCGTATGTGTTGATGGGATGCAGTCACAGGAAGGAGATGGTGTATTATAAGCAGGATGCGACGAAATGCGACCGAGCCGGAGGTGGCTGTGTTCAAGGGGGCTTAGCGCTTACGCATGACGGGTTTGGGGTACAACTAGGGAAACTGCTGTGCCGTCATGTGGAGCCAGGAAGTAATAATGGCTTGTAAGGAGGTATCACTGACAGACAATAATCTTGAGCATATATCAGTGTTGGATGTGTAGTGACCGCTGCTTGACGAATTTCCCAGTCTGGCGATGTTGGAAGGAAAAAAGGTACGAGGGTTATATGAGGACCGCTGCAAGGCTGAAACGCAGCCCAATCCCCCGATCGCTTGACCTCAAATCAACACCGAGTTTGTATAAGAAAGTGCTTTTAACTACTTAATAGCCATGCAAGATAGATTGTGCGCCAGACCAGATCATGCCCCCGTTGGGCTTGCTTGCCGTCCTTTGACATGCACCTACTGATCAACAGCAACGCACAGATACTTTGCAATTATCTGCCAAATCTTGTGTTGGAACAGAGCGAAGTAGAAAGTACATTCAGAACTCTAGAGACTGTCCAGTATCAGACCACTGCTCAATCCAATCAAACCCTATAGTTCTTCATCGCATGGGTCGAAGGGAACTACGAAGTGAAAAAGAGTACTCTCATACAGGATTCCATAAGGATAATAGTCGGCAGCATATTCCCCATGGTAAAATTAATATAGCATGCCGAAATAGTTACCTCATGATGAGTGGTATATAACTAAGTAGTGATCGGGATGATTCAATGATCGCTTGACTTACTACCCGTTCTCACCTCTCCATTCCCGTCTCTGTTCTTCCCCATCACACACACCCATCAACTACACCAAGCTAGCCATCTATCGACCCACAAAGCAATTTACGACGTGTACACTGTACTCTTCACCGAAGCAGACAACCAGATCAGCTACTGAACATTATATACCCATACCTTTGAAATGGAGAGATCTCCGTTGGGACAGCTGGGCAAGCTGCCCTACGAAATCCGACTGGAGATCTACGAGAAACTTTTTGTAAAGAAGACACCCCTGACGATTCTTCGCTGCTCACGAGCAATCCACGGAGAAATAACCAAGCGCCTCTATGACACACTCAACATACATCTAACTCCAGTGTTCAACGACCCCTGGATCGAGGTTGACTGCAAACGATTGCGATTGCGATGGACCATACCCAATCATTCCTGAATTGCCCAGGCTCGATTCTCATGTATACCATACTACAAGGTTAACCTGGTGATCCATATCTACGCACCCGACCCAAGAGACCCAGGCCAAATTGCCCTGCTCTGGCAAAAGGCTCAATACTTGGTGGATATTCTTCGGAACGCCGTTGTCGCTTCCATAGTTATTCGGTTGCGAAAGCATCAAGGTCGCGACTGGCAAGAGGAAGGTCACGTATTGGAGAGCATCCCTTATCCGAACAAATCTCGTCCTGATCATCACATTGTTTTCCTGCCCTTCTGTCGCTTATCCAATGTTGGTGCCTTCCGGGTGCTTCCAGATACTCGGCGCATGGACCGCATTACTGACTGGGGCTTGATAAACTACGGTCGTGACTTCATTCTGAACAATGGTTACCGGAACTATAACGATGGCCCTCTGAGTCAAGATTGGCAGTACCGGGATATTGTCCGAGACTTTGATAATATCGACGGCCTGATTCGAGATACCGACTTTTTCCTAGAAACACGCCTGGACACTCTGCCTGGTAATACCGCAGCAATGCTTCGCCTTGATCGAGTCGCCCACTGGCCTCTGGCAATAACCGTCGACTCGTCATACAGGCTCGAGCGTAGCTTGTTAGATATTCGACAGTACCCAGGCTCAGTAAACCTTCACGATCCCGGTCTTAACAGTCATAGCCTCCGTATGTGTGCGTTCTATAACATGTACGAAATTTCTTGCGCCATATTAGACAGGGATTCATGGGAAGAATGGCTTTCATGTTTCCCTGAAGGCCTCGATCCCCATGATCAGGAGAGTATTGATACTCAGACCCAAACGATCATGGACAGTCCCGAAAGAAATGACATCTGGGATAGCGAGAGGGCAGATCGGGAATACCAAACCAACATTGAGAACTATTTGGAGCGAAACTGGAATGGTTCTCCTGCATGGCGTTACCCCAGCTTTGAACAGGACTGGTGTACCGACTGCCGACGGATAGGATATCGGACTGGGTGTGACCAAGACTGCGAGCTGATGGATGGTCCTTACTATGGAAAGTATTGGGATATTGACAAAGTCTTTGCTGCTGATTTTTCTGATCCTGAAATGCGGTAATAATCATAGTGAAATGAGATACTGTTCGTGATTTAGACCGCATTGCCAACCCGTGGTTCTCCGTGAGCTGTTCTAGATACTCGATATCAAGGGGAGCAATAAATAAGCATAATTTCCAATTTACCGGTAGATGTTTTGCTTGATAGTATGTAATGTGAGAAAAGAAAGTCATAGTAGGGGCGAAAAGTGTGTGGTCTGGAAGGTTCAGCCTTGCCTTTCGCACTTTCTATGTGGGACCATAACGCGGACTGTCTGCCACTCTCAGCAACCACACAGAGCTCCCCCCCTCATTCTCCTCTCTTCTTCTCTCCTTAACTCACCACTTGGCTGAGCGGCCTGCTGTGGATATGATCATGTCAAAAAGTGGCTTTACATTTTCTTATTCTGAGTCCTCTCTCAGGTTCTGCCCACGTTCTTTGCATGCACACAACTTGACACCAAAGTTATGGACTCTCCACCAATATGCCGACATCACCGTGAGTCTGGCTAATAACCACGCGGCCTCATCTGACATTCTATTAGGGAGACGTCGGCCGACGAGGGCTCGCTCAACCCTCTTTGACAACGGAGCGCACGGTGGCCACTCTCCACCCAACCTCTATCCTTGGTGGTGTCCCCTTTGGATCCTAGGCGGGTCTGCTATGGACCTGCCTATTGGGGCACCTCAGCGAGCAGGGCATGGCTATTGCCCTTGACATGGCGAGGCTGGCAATCCTTGTCTATAGCAAGCGGAACATCTTTTGTCACACAGGGAGAGGGGATGCAGCTGCCTCGAGCTCTGACGATCAGAGTAATCGAGCAGGCCAAGCAAAAGCTCCCCGAGGCCCTACAAAAGGATCTGTTCCACTGCTATAGTACCTGGCAGCGAATTCTGGACTTCCATAGCAACTTCCAAAGCTTCATGGAACCCAAACCTGGCGCCAGGTTTGCCACGAACGCATTGACGCGACTTTCCAGACAATCAACGTGAGGATTCCGGTCACCCTTCGTCCTGTTCCTGGCAGATCGCGGACGAAGCATAGTGTGTCGTATCCAGTCGGATACGTTCCTCTGATCATCGGAATCCGATGAACGTACCGATGGAAAGCCTGCCCTCGCACCAGCCCCACAGTGGCTGTCTGTATCGAGAAATCTACGAGGATCCCGTTTAATTGATCGGAAAACCTGGGAAAGGGTACGAGGCCCTTCAGGAGGCACGGAGAGTGGTACACCGTGCGCGGGCCAACGTTGACATGTTGGAGGGGAAAGGGGACTGACAGAGGGTGGGGTGGAAGGCTGGGATTGATGACCTCGCTTTGAGAGGCATTGAATCACTCACCCAGCCCCACCATTGGTAGTAAGTGAGGCCCATTTTTACTATCCTGCAATTTGTGCTGACTACCTCTTGGCTCCGCCTCGCGCGGAGTCCCCCAGCGATGAGCTTGCACCTTACCGTGGTGCTGGGGTCCAGTATTCCTCCGAAAGGAGGAAGAAGCTAAGACAAGCTCTTTCGTAGAACATAGTCTCGTAGCGTTCTATTATTCTGTGATTTGGTAATGGCTAAGTTGCCGTAAGTGCTACCATGCCTATTCTGAGACACGCAGCTGTTGCATCTGGCATCAGCCGCAATCCAGCCTTGGGTGTATGCAAAATATAGAGAGTGATATGAGGCTAGGCACCCTCGAATGAAGTGCTGCCTGCGGAAGATGGTATGCATAGTTTATCCTGAACACTGCGTGCTTTGGCGGTGTCGGGCGCTTGTCAAAGCAGGATTACCCTGATGGCTCCAGATCAGTAGACATGAAATAGTATATTTTGCTTAACCTCGTCACTGCATGGTATTATAAAGTAATAGTACTGTCTACTATGCTACAGACTTATTTTCTGGTCTGATAGTCTGATCGTTGTTAAGATATGTTTACCTATACCTTCCTTGGCATCGGGGCAAGCATGTATCTTCAAGCAAGGGGGTGAGTGGGGTTTAGGCTTCAGGCCGTAGCTGCCTGGCCGCAAAAATGTACATAGTCATCTATACTAGAGGGATATAAACGAAAGTTGTAGCTGGCTGGCCATACTAGAGGGATATCGACTCACTATAAAGGTAGTACTACGCCACGCCCAAATCTTGATTATCATCTCAGAGTCAATTCACCCATCACCACAAGTCATATTCTCGATTATGGAGATGTCACGAGAACAGCTGATATTCAACGTCATGGCCGACTATCCACCGATGGAAATGGAAGTCATGCGGCTGCTGCAGCCTGGGTTCTCCAACGCGCTTGAACCGTTGATCACTTCCCAGCTATCGTTCGACTCATTCTCCATCGAGACAATCTTTGCAATAATGAAGGTCTGGTTTAACCCGGAACTCGCCCACCACGTGCGCTCCTTCGAAGTTTATTGGTGTTATACAGAGGAAGACCAAGAAGTGGAAGGATTCAATGAGGAGAACGTCCTCAACTTTGTCGACCATGCACTAGACACCATTTTCGAACCCAAGGAAGCAAAATTACGAGCCAAATGGAAAGAATACCTATTGATGCCGAATGAAGAGGCTTGGTTCGGACTACTACTTGTGCGTCTGCACCACCTGGAAACGCTCGAATTCGGGCACGACGGTACGTACGGCCTTGTGATCGATATCTTGCGCAAAGCCGCGCGACGTCAGCGGCCTTTCCATGAAGATCCTCCATTTCCATGCCTCAAGAAAATTATCATGAATCCTCAGTGGGGAGGCACGTGGATTGATTCCAACTTTGTTGATCCCTTCTTCTTCTTTCCGGCTGTTGAAACCATCGAGTGTCAGGCGATTGGCGAGTCGGAATCTTCAGAGAACACTCCAGTCGTGACAGCCCGCTCCGCTTGCCCCGTCCGTAAGATTATTGTTAAGGAAGCCTACTGGACTCACGGCTTGTTTGACTGGCTGGATGCGTGTACGCAGCTGGAGCACCTGTCAATCAAGCTAGACTTCCAACCGGATGATGAAACCTCGGAAGAATATCGATTTCGTGCTCCGCAATTCCGTCGGCACCTCCTTCGTTCCCGATCGACACTGAAGACGCTTCATCTTGGTGCGACGCAGACTTTGACAGGCCTGGCAGGTGATCTGATCGATGAGGATGGACCATTAGGCTCTTTGCAGGAATTCACCTACCTCCAGGATCTTGACATCCGACACGCCCATCTGCTCCCATTGGCCTCACGGGGTGGGATGGTGAGGCGCCACACGCGTCTCCTTAGAATACTTCCTGCCTCAATCCAGCGTCTGAAGATTAGGCACGTTGTCGATGAGGACTTTGGTAGTCTTCTGTCTGAGCTGCTGAATGTGGTGCAGCGGCGGGACTTGTTTCCTCGGCTTGAAGAACTCATAATCAAAGTTGAAGATGTAGAGAACAAGCCATTGGATGCTTTGAGACAAGCATGCACGTCCGCTGGTATTACATTTACCGCTAAGTTGCAGAAGGTCTGACTTAGGGGGTTTAGGTTTCGTCGCAATTGATGTTCGATCTAGCTCGGGTGCTTGTCCGCGTTATACTGTCGACCAACCTCAATCATGATAATTCTAAACTTTAAGTGCTGTTTCATCCTTGGGCGATAATATTTCATGAAAAATATATGATGTAGAGCCTGCCCTTTGCCTAGTTATTTCTGGTCAGCTGCATATAAGGGCGGGTCCCGAGCAGACTAAGAATTCCAGCTCAAAAAAAAAAAAAAGAAAAAAAAAAAGGCTCGTACAGCTAACATAGAGCTCTTCAGCCTTTAGTTGGTAAGCCCTTTGTATCAGTGAAGGGACTGAGGTGCGACGTCCCATCTATTGTGGTGTTTCTACCTTCTCTGTGTGAAGAGTAATGGAAGACATGGATGATTAGGATAGCTGTTCTATAGATGCTTGACCACCCTACCTCACCAGGATGGGATGATCTTATCCAATCAACGAACGAATATATTCTCAATAGCTCTATAAGAATGGTCTAAAAGATATTTCAAGCACATACGACCACAGGGTGTGGAAAACAGGGCTTCCCGTCCGCTCAGCCGTACTTAAGCCACACGCCGGGAGGTTAGTAGTTGGGTGGGTGACCACCAGCGAATCCCTTCTGTTGTATGTTTTTATTTTTTAGTCATTCTTATCTTGAAATAAGATGTAAGCAAATCCGCAATTAATGTCACACAGTCCTCAAGGTCATTGCGGAAGATCATGGGTCCGTGGGAGGGTGGTTGTTTGTTTCACGCTAATTTACTTTGTGCCCGAAGCAAAAGAAATCGTACTGTGAATTGATAAGTCGCTCATGTCAAAGCCAAAGACTCATAATGTTGCCGGATAGAGAGCAGTGAGATGAACTTTGAGCACTTATATGTGACAGAGACGAATAAAATCACTCAGGCAGGTGCTTTCAATACTTTGCACGATCTGATAAATCTATACATACATGAACGTAGTGATATATCTATTAAACATGGATTTCATTACAGGCACCATCACGAGCCTCAAAAACAATGCTATAGCGACCAGGCTGGGCAGTGAGTTGGTCGCGCATATCGCGCTCCACGGCCTGGCCTGTCTCGCCATCCGCAAACCGCACGCGATACCGGGACAATAAGATCGCCAGCACCAGCCGCAACTGAGTCAGTGCCAAGTTCTTTCCAACGCAAGTCCGGGTCCCCACGCCAAACGGGGTGAATGCGCGCTTGTCAAGGACCAGTTCCGGCTGGCTGTACCAGCGTTCAGGGATGAAAGTAAGAGGATCCTTGAAGGCGGAGGCCACTTGGGGACAGGAACTGTCAGTCTTGAAGTAGGCAGGAGAAATTAAGATAAGGGGGAAACTCACTTCGAGAGATAGTATAACGTGGAGCAACAACCTTGATATTTCCTGGGATAAATGTACCTTCAACGACCATTCCTTCCGGTGGCGTGAGCCGAGTTCCCATGGTCAATGCAGCTGGGATCAACCTCATTGCTTCGTTCAAGAACCCATTGAGGTGCGGTAAAGTGGCTAGTGCTGTGTGATCCGTCGGATCGACGGTTTGTAACTCCTGGTAGATACGCTCGGCGTGGTCGGGATAGCGAGCAACAAAATACCACAGGATGATCAGACTTGGTGCCCCAGTGTCACTGTTCATAATGAATTTCTTTAGCAAATTTCCATGAAATCAAGAGCCCGTGGATCTCATACCTTCCACCAACAATAACAGATAAGGTATTACCGCTCAGAAGTTGCTTCTTGACCGACATATTCTCCCGAGTGAGTCCCTGTCGATATTCTTGGATAAAATGAGCGGCAATATCGGGCTGCTTCGTGACTTCCATCTTCAGCCTTCGCTCCATGCACTGATCGCAGAAGGTCACCATTCGGTTCCAGTCTTTCACACGCCAGAAGCGGCCCGCAAAGGCGAAGGCAACCCGGATGGCCCACACTGCGTGGTTGAGGGAGCCCAGAATTGCCAAGGCTGACCTCTGCTGGGTGATCGCATGATGCCAGGTTTGGGTCTTCATCATGCCAAAATTTTCGTTGAAGGCGAACTCACCCATGGAGTCGAAGACGAACCATGGCATAAGGTCATTGGGCACCACCGGTTGACCCTGGGCACTGGCGATGATTGCATCGAGTCGGTCAATTTGCGTCAGGATTCGGGGTACGTACTCGCGGATGGCTAGATGCCACATAAATGTGAACCTGGAGTTAGCTACTATGCTACGTGTTGTATTCTAGGGTAAGGGAAACTAATGATGGGGAGGCGATTAGAACTTAGGCTTCTTCGTACCTTTAGTTGACAACGCACGACTCCAAACCTTGCGTCGGCTGAGATGATCTTCCTCCGTTCGAGCAAAGATTGGAGAGATTCGGGGGTGGACTAAATCGTACCAGTCGGATCGAATATTGCGATTGGCAGAACCATCTAGGGCTTCCCAGGCCGCAGGGTGGAAGATAGTAATCTCAGCCGGACCTGTTAGCAAGAGAATGATTAGCATCTCCTCCCATTGAGAGATTTAACGGGTAAATCACGGACCAGTGCGCACAAACGTTCCATACTTCTGGTGTAATTCGTCAAGGACAAGGTGGTTGCGAGAATCGCGACATTGATAGGCCAACCACAATTTGCTCATTGCAGCAAGGCGTGGGCCGGGGAAGCATCGAAGACGGTGGAAGTACAAACGATATACTACCATACTGATAAACAGGCCCGAAAGGTAGCAGCCAAAGCATGCCAGTGTATTAGTGACCGCGTTGGGCGAGTGAGTGCTGGCTAGAGCGATGCTCAGCAGAAGGACAATAGTGTGGACGGCTCCTACAGCCGGAGCTCGAAGATGCCATTCGCCCCGAATGAAGATTGCCAAGTGCGACAACACTCCCCATGCGGTGGCAAGTAACAATGTTTGAATCTGCATAATGTGTGCAAAGTATAGTAGTGTAGTCAAAGGCGTGTGTGACTACTACTAGTATGACTTGGAATTGACGAAAGGCTTGGAAGATGTGAGAAACAAGGGCAATATATATCACTAAATTGGTCGTTACGAGGTCACACGCCCCTGAAGATGTGAAGACAGTAAGGCTTCGTTAATTTGTCAGCGAGGCAGAATACCTAGCAGAATAGCTGGGTTATCAATGCCTATACATGTTCTGTATGATGCTGTTATGGAAGGACAGTAATACGTACTGGTATATTACGTTACAGAGACTGATAGTGTAGTTGGGTTGCTTTAGTGCTTACTTGGCCAAGAAACTGACGTCTCATCGGGTGTCAACAGACCCACCACTGTTTTAGAACCGAGCCGGCCCTCTACAAACCATTACTAGGCGCACTGCCTCAAAGAAACACATATAAATGCGTAGTGAGCAAGTGAATCCTTCATAGTCGGGTGAGAGGCTAATGTGTCGAAAATATGCCGATAGTATCTGCCTGATGTCTTGGTCCGTGGCAGTGTGGTGGTATGTCTCCAGCCTAACCGAACCGAACCGAACCTAATAGCGTGGATAGTAGTCTATCTAGTATCTAGGCCTGATGTGGACTCTACAGATGATACAACGGACTCTATCATTACCAATCCAGGTTTAGTGCTGTGTACTTAGGAATGGCTGGGTTATTTGAGGTATTTTAGTCTAATTGACGGATAATATCCTACAGAGCCCCTGAGTCTCTTAAGGCTACCACCAAGGCTCTTTCCCATAAGAGATTCCGCCCCCAAAACCTTCCAAGGGCTTCTTATCTAGGTAAAGTGCTCAAGCTATAGCTCTAAACAGGCTTAGGAGTAGTCCGTTTGACCAGCTGTATAGTCCAAATACTAAATAGCACTCGCCCATTAGTACGGAGTCCAGCTGTATGGGTCTACCCGGGTCGAGCCCCCCATGGTTAGCGTGCTTTACTAATAAAACAAAGTACCTAGTAGGCATACCTTTGCGAAGGACAGTGAAGCGGAGCGACAAGGCTCACAGTGATCAAAGCTTGGGGGCTAACTGGAAGCCCGGTGGGTCGAACTCCAACCTGTAGTTGATTTGAGTCAAAGCACTGGCCTAGAGCTATCGTTCGTAGCTTGCATAAAATCGACATATAGAAATAGTAGAAAGATGCTGCAAGTTTGTGTTCGTGATCACTTTCCCCTCTCCTCATCGATTTTGTCCGCCTTGAGAATTCCCTCTGCAACGAACGAACAGTGACTGTTGTTTATATTTGATCCGACACTTTAGGGTCTTGCTGTTATTGTCATTCATTATGGTGGCCCTCGCATCCAAGCAAGTGGGCGTGATAGTTGCTTTCTTGATACTTGATCTCTTAGCCCTCGTCGCCCTAGGGTTAAGGCTCTACGCTCGCTCTTTTACACGACGAGAGCTCAAGGCGCACGATGTCTTGACTATAATTTCCATGATAATGCTAGTGGGATATACCGCCTGCCTTCTTGTCTCCACCGTCAACGGCGGAGTTGGAATGCACATCGCCCGGGCGATGGTGTCCGGCTTTGACGTTGTGCTGGGATTAAAAGCATTCTTCGCCTCTCAATTCTTTTGGGCGGTCAGCATCGCGAGCTTCCGTCTCGCAATTCTGGACTTCTACATTCAAACCTTCACCGTCTTCAAATTTCGCATCGCCGCGTACACCCTCGCGACCATCGTCGTTCTATTCTTCATTGGAAGTCTGACGACGACACTGCGCTTATGTCGCCCGATTGCTTTCAATTGGGATACCACCCTCAATGGCTCCTGTGGCAATGAAGCGACCGCCGAGCTCGCGGCAGCCGCCTTCAACATGGTCTTGGATATCGTGATTGTCCTGCTGCCACTGCCAGTCACCTGGAAATTGCAGATGACGACACAGAAGAAGGCCGCGGTGACAGCCACTTTTGCTTTGAGTCTAGGAATCTCTGCTATCAACCTTGCGCGCATCGTGAAAGTTCTCGATTGCAATCTGCAGGCGGATTTCACGTATTGTACGGCGGACAGCGCGATCCTCACTGTGGCTGAGATGGCAGTGGGCATCTTGGTGGCTTGTGTTCCTACCTTGGGCCCTGTCCTCCTTCCCAGTCGTCGAAAGCGATTTACGGAGCGAGCGAAACCTGTGGGCGGTAGTGGCGTGAGTGGTGCTGGAAGCAGCATTAGAAGCTTGAAGAATAACAGTAGCCGGTGGCTGTTTAGCAAATTCTCGACGAACAGTCAGCGGAACGCCACCATCACTACTACAGTTACCCATGACGATTCCCGTGATTCGCAGAGCGAGCTTGTTTGCAAGCATTCCCAAACCCCTCAATCGACTGGGGATATCGCTGTATGGCGGGAGTTTGAGCTCACAGTAAAATGATCTCCTACGCTTCTTCGCTTTTTGTCCTCACCCTTCTTGGTTTCGTCGAGAGAGTTTGAGGATAAGGACTCATTGTTATAAGATCTGGCCTGGTATTAAACTCTCAGTGTTGCTTCGATTTGTTCTGGTTATAGGATATAATGATACTTTGACAACTGAATTATAGTCCTTTGGTCGTAATATATAAGCTAGCCATTATTTATTCTGAGAAGTCCTTTATCTCAAAACCAGGTAAAAGCTTAGGAAGCTACTACCATAGACCACCACGGACATACAAGTCAGCACCGAGGAAAGGATGATTGCATGTATAGCAAAGTGGAATTACAATTCCTAATACTAAGAAGTACTACCTCTTCCCTCAGAAAGAAAATTTTCTCTTCTTAACAACCTCCTTAACCTTTACTAGGTCTACTCTGGAAGCACCGGCCCCTCCCCATTCTTCCAACAAAGCCCCTAAGGCCCCCAGGGCCACCACCAGAGTTAATAGCACCAGGACTATGACTAGGATTATTACTACGGAGACTATTGTTTGGCCATTTCAGATAACTCTAGCACGTCAGATTGAATCAGATTAACTTCCCTCATTGACTGAGGTTCTTAGAAGGAAACATACTGTTGAATTAACTCGGCAAACTAGCTTCTCGTATTGTGTAGTCTTGATAGTATATGCTTATGAAAAACCCTCTTAACCGACGTTGAAGCAATACAGTGCATTTGCCCCAGCTCCTCAGTGAGGGGAAACTTTGGGGGCCAAAATGAGAAGGTGGACTTTTTCGAGCTGTTATATGGTAGATTAAACATGACCGATCATATGCATGCAGTCTGGGTGGGGGCTGACTCGCGGGGCCTTTTACATCAAGGAGCCTGCGGGCCGACACATACCTGAACTGTAAATCGGCCCCCACAACTTACTTCTTGGGACGTGCATAGCCAAATTTTCAATATCCGACTCTTCCGGGGATAATCATATGAGAGCCAATTAGGGCACAGCCAATGTATTGACCAGACCAATTACATTAACTAATAACAGAAATATATCCGCTTTCTCTTAACCTAGACTCGGACTATTCCCCGCCCCCTCTCCAAGCATTTCCTTTCTCTTCCGCAGTTCTGAAGCCGATCTCCACACCCCTCCTTCTAATCAGGAACAGCAACACTCTCAGTGGAGCTTAGGCAAGGCATACAGTGACACTAACCAACAATTATAGATTCGGAAGGTCACCCTGTCATCCGATTCTGATTTCAAGGTAAATGAACGGACCACAGTCCAGAGCCCCAAGACCATGGGGGCCAAATAGCCCAAGAACCCTGAGGACCAATAGAATGGACAGAGAAGAGACCATGCCATGATCGCGATGGCGGAGAACAGGCGAGCCGCTCTGTCCCCCACGACGAGTGGCAGTGTTCGTCGGCCGGCGGCGGCATCGCCTTTTTGGTCGTACATGTCCTGAAGCTGAACGGTGGTTGCGACAACGGCAGCGATCATCCCGATCCACCACAGTAGTTGTACGTTGTCGTCGTTGCTATCAGCTGACCACGAAGAGAGAGAAAGTAAGGGAGTTCGAAGAGCGACCTCCAATGTGCCCGCTGCAAAGCTCGTGAAACCCGCGGCGTTCAGTAAGTTGCGCACCGCCCAGTTCCCATTCCCCTGGCCGAGGTCGTTATAGATCCAGCCCAGCACCGCGAGTAGCACACTCTCGCTCCAACCGGCGCCCCCACCCTGTTGGCCAGAGCGACTGTGGGTACTCATGTTGATGCTGCTGACGCTACTGCTACTACTCAGGATAATTGCCAGCACGGTTGACAATCGGCCCCAAACCTGGGCCTGAGCAGGCGACAATCGTCCTGCTGGTAACGGCCGCCACGGCTTGTTTAGCCGGTCTTCCGCGATCGAGGCCGGCTGGCATTGGTTGTTGATAGTGAACGCTAGGAGGTTGATCCAGCTGTATGCGAACATGTGCGGGAGACGCAACAAGATCTCATGTGTGTGGACTTTGTCGGATGGGGTGTGGAAGATGGCGAAGGCGATGCTAGGGCCGACCATGGTTTTGAAGTCGTTAATGGTGAAGAGATATAGAGTATACGCATGGTAAAGAAGGGATGAGTAGATGGTGTTCAGGGCAATGGCAATATCCCTCAAGCATGAGATCGTGAAAGTAGGCAAGAAGTGCAAAGGAGAAGAAGTGAAAGCGGTCATTGTTGCAATTGCAGCTTGATTGATTGATGTTGTTTAGCCCCAAGAGGTCGGAAGGACGGAGGGAGAACATGGCATCAATTTGTAGGCAGATGGGCTCGAGATATGACCCAATATCCAAGACTCAAGGGCGAAGCTATTCTGAGGCCCCCTTCCCCATCTTACTACACTGCTACGAGGTATCTATGTTGGAAGATCTACTCAACGTGCTATGCTGGTGTATGAGCCGTAGTGATGGTATGTGGGTGTTTAATGTGACTGTAACATTACCTGTACTGCTTCTGTATCACAGATACACACATCACTAGTGTGCACGGTGCAATGGCAATTGCTCCTTTTGTTCGCACTCCACCCTTCGCCTATATGCTCCGCCTATATTAGATTTCCCGCCCCCAAACAAATCACGCAATCAGCACTAGCCCATCTAACTGGGCGGCTCATTCCTTTGCTAGACTAGTTCACAAAACCAATTCTCTAAGCCCCAATTTCTCACTTAGTTACCAAGAATTCCGACAAATTGATTACTCAGTCAGGCTGAATCCCAACCCCTCACCATCGTGGAGCTACTGAGCATTGCCCCAATAGACAAGGCCTTATGAAATAAACCAAACTTATATAATCTCTCACTGTCCTCAACCCCTCCTCCACTGTGTCTCAAGTACTCTTTAAATCCTCGAGCGTTTATCGTCCCAATCAAAGATCTTCTTATTCTACACAAACATTGAAATCGCCTAAAACAAACCCCAGAACTTTCAAAAACCACTACCCTCTCTATTCCCTCTCAATACACTTCAAAACCATCATTACCACCCCAAAATGTCCGTCCGGGTCATCATCTACGCCTACCGCAAACCGGGCCTCGACCTCCAAACCTTCAAGGAGCGCTACGAAGCCCACATTGGGCTAGTTAAGCGTCTCTCCGGCGACGACTTCCCTCTCTCCCACAAGCGTATGTACGTTGCGCGCACTACAATTGAGCAACCTCAAACCGGGGAGGGCAACAACAACAACTCGACCCGCAATGCCCTCACGCCTGCCACCGTGCTTGTCGGCCAGCAGACAGATTTCGATTTTGATGCCTACGCCGAACTCACTTTCGCGGACCAGACTGCCTTCCAGACGTTCTCTGCCAAGGTGATGGCGCCTGAAGCGGCAGCGCAGATTGCGGCGGATGAGGAAGGATTTTTGGACCGGAGCAAGTTGGGAATTGCGCTTTTGGGGGATGTGGTGGAGACTACCAATTAGTAGGGGAAGGATAAAGATGAGGTGGGGTGTCGCTAAATGTATATTTCCATTCAATTTTTTTTTCCCCTTTGGGCTTAATAGCACATGTGGATGTTCATGGATCATTGTATCGGAATAGTTGTTAGTGGAAGGATGGGAATCCTTTTGATTAGAAGCACCGGCAGTCTGATTACCCTAGGAATTATATGTACCTCTTGCAATGAATTGATGTAGGGAAACACGAAAGACTATACTATAAGTACAATACAGATAGGCCGTTGGAAGAGGCTCGATTTATATTCACCAAATGTAAGAGCTAATACCTACTAATATATACCCCACTCGACCTTCTGATTACCTGCATCGCCACCACACTCCATGTACCCCTTCGCACCAACAAGACCATCAGAGGCGTACTTGGAGATTGCCTCGTTGATAATAGTAACAATATCCTGACTGCCAGTGTGATAAGTAACATCACCAGTCACGCCAACATTCTGAACACCAAAATGGCAAGACCCGGACTTAGCAATGTCGCGTTGGTGACCGATACCAGTAGTCCACTTGCGGCTTGTGGCCTGGATATTCTTTACGATAGTTTGACAGTCAGACACATTCGGGGAAGCGGACGAGGTCTCGTCCTGGTAGGTGTAGCCGCTGCACTTGGTGATGCCCTGCAACGGGTTACAGGGGTAATTTGGATCGCTAGAGTTGGACTGCGACGGGGTGGACCACGAGGACCAGGCCACCTGAGGGCTGCAAACTGGGAGGCGAATATAGCCGGGAGTGGTGATGTCTTGTTTCGATAGATCTTTCAGAGTATCTTTGTCCAAGGGATTGGCGACAGGTCCTCCGTTGGCATTGCCATTGGCGACGTAGGTTCGAACGGACCCGATAATCAGATCGGACACAGTGATGTTCCCCCAAGACCCTGAGCCGAGTGAGCTCAGTCCTGGTGGCGCAGTGAAATATGTCTGGTCAGAGCACGTTGATGTCGACCCACTGTCCTTACTGGAACAACCTTTCCACTTGCCGTGGGGATGGACCAGATCGTACAACTTGTTATCGTAGCATGCATAAGTGGACTCTTGGGTGGATGCAGTCATGTAGTCGGTTAATGGGTTTTGCGCATTGCAGTCATGGCCCGAGTCGACGACGAAGGCAGCGGTGCCGGAGACAGACCATAGGGATGGGATGGCGAAGCCGAAGAAGGCCTTGCTGATGTAGCTCTCGATTTGGGCGTTAATCTGGTTGTTTGTTAGGTAGTCTACCGATGGGCTCTCGCCCCCACCCTCAATGAGGTTACCATTGGCAATCATGGTACTAAGAAGGCTGATGGAGGCATCTGATCCATTAAACAAATTCCACAGTTGGTCTTGGGCCGTGGCAGACCAGCCGTAGACTACCGACCCCAGTGTAGCGGTGAAGCTATCTTGATACTTTGGTGTCCATTTACCTCTGTATGGAATGGGTTAGCTATCTCTGGAATTCATACGAATCAATGATACATACGGCCCTTTCGACAGTGAATTGCTCGCAATTGAGGCTCCGTACGCCACGATGGCGCTGGTGATATTGGCAGTGTTGTTGGCGCCAGAGGCTCCCAGAGAGATACTAAGAGCCGGTAGATTTGTGAAGACTGTAGAAGATCGATTAGTTGTCCAAGTAAGGCGGGCAGGGGATTTTCTATCGCAATTTACCTCCTTCAAAGTATGGCGCAGTTATCACCGTGATTCCAAGGCCTAAAAGGTTGACCAAGACCTCTAGCCATGTGTCCCTGGGAGGCGAAGGTACCGTTGCGAAGGTGGTCTCAAAGTCCTGGAGCTGGGTGTCGATGTATGTTCCAGCAACTGCGTTGATGGCAGCGTAGAATTGGGAGAACGCCTGGGTGAGGAGCCTTGTCAGCAACGTTCGATTTTTTTCAGGACAGAAATTGCGAGTCTTACCGAGTTTATCACTGTGAGAGAATTATAGATCACCATTGCCGCAGCACCCGAATCACCGGTGCCCTTTCCGAAGCCGTGGAACGATCCGCATGTTTTGGCGTTGAAACAGTTGCCATTTGGAGCTGGTAGCCCACAATTCATCGTCTCATCGACATGGAAAGTGTTCATGATGGACCGGGAGAATTCCTTCGCAGCAGGCTGCATTCTGGGCTTATCAATATTCTTCCAGACGTTGATGGCATCGGACCAAGCACCAGAAGCGTCTAGCTGCGCCCAGCGCTGAGCGCACGGCATCCACAGGGCATCTTGGATGGCCGGATCCGTACAAGTTAGGGAAGTCCAGTTTCCGGTTCGGTTGCTCTCTGCGTAAGAGTCTTCATGCAGGACGACGTCGTCAATCAGGCTAGACCAGTTGGCAAGGTTAAGGCCCGATGCGGCAGATCGTGGTGGACAAGTGACTGACCTACCTTGATACCCAGGACTGGCGGGAAGCTGAAAAGGCACTTTGATAGAGGCGGAGGTGCGAAAGAAGAAAGAAAGGGTAAAAAGAGTGAAATACAGGAACGTAAGGAACGTATTGCGTGGCTTGGGCCGCGCCGAATAATGGGAAGAGAGAGACATGATTTAGCCACAGTGCGCCTAATGAGCCCGAGAAGGACAGGGGATGTGACGATAGATCTTATACCTGCTGCTGACAACTAGTCCTTGGGACGAAAGAACATGCCCCGGCCAGAGCAACCTATCAGTGGTCGTTCTACTGTCTTAATTTCCGCCAGGGAAAAAGCAGCTAAGGACTTATCGTGGTGCAGCACATGCGAACAATTTTCTCTCGGCGTTTGGCCTCCCCTGAGTGATGAGGCAGTGTTTTATTGGGCTCCTACTGTAGGCGAGACAGGGCTTGCTTCTAAAATAGTCCGCATGATGCGACAAGGGTCCTTGTACTAATGTGGAGCTACGATATACTGATAATAAAAAGAAAAAAAATGTAAGAGATTTTGATAACGAAATAATGAAATAATAATGGACGGCTACTATCGGACCCCTATGCGCGCTACTCCACTAGAGTCCAGCATAGGAGACCCTAGATTGGGCAAGAATGGCGCAGGCTGCAGGGATCAGGCTAGCTCAGGGAGACAGCTGCAGCATTATGCCGTGACATCCGTTTAGCCGCCTGGCAAATTTACATTGACTCCTGTCCCTTTTTTTGCTATCTTCTTTTGTTTGACTTTCTTGAACCTTTTGACGGCCAACAGTCAGGGCTGTTCAACAACTCGGTTCTTTTCCCTCCCACATTTCATTTCATCCCTTCCCTTCAACATGAACCGCCGTCGCTTTCTTGCTTGGGCTGTATTGGTGCTAAACTCGATAATTGCAATGGGCGACGGCACTCCAGACATTTCTCCGGGCATATTCGAAGTGGACTTGATATTCCCCCGCAATGAAACGTACACTCCTCAGGCGTTGATGCCCATCGTTTTCGCGCTGCAGAATCCGTCTCTGGCTTCCACGTTGGGAGCCACCGTCTACTGGGGGCTGCGGGAAGGCAACAACTGGTCTGCGCCGGGCTCCATAACGGACGGGGGATTCGAGCTCTTTACGTTGAACTCTACGTCTTCTGGGCCTCATTTGGCCACCAGCTTCGTGAACACTCTCGCCTACCCGGACGGCTCTTGGACTTTTGCCTGGACTCTGGAAGTCACCAACTGCTCACAGGCCGAACGGCCAGATTGCCTTCAATCCGAAAGCCAAAATTGCTCTCTGACTTACAACCCAAATAAAGTCATCTCGTTGAATAATGCCATTGTCTTCAATGTTAGCCAGTCAGGGCAAACACCCAGTCTCGAAGCAGCCACATCTTCTGACATGTGTGGCACCATGGAAGCCTTTGCGTTTAACGTGACTTCTGCGGGGGATACTGAGGAAGTGTGTGGCTTCCTTGGACCCAGTCCGACGACCAACCCGTGCGCAACGACGGTCAATGCTTCCGCGGCATCAAGTATATGGGCAGAAGCCACTGCCTTTGCCTGTGACCCTCGAGAGCGTTCGGCGTACCCCAACGTTACATGTCCAACTTCTTCATCCAAATCCAACGCTGCGCGGCAATCTGGCATGGCCGCAGCATCGACATTGCTTACGCTGTTAACAATGGGGACTGCCTTCATCCATTTTGGGTGACAGCGATGTACATAGTGTTTTAGTAGTAGCCTCTGGTCTAATAAGGCAAGTGGACCTTTTGTACATGTAGTTCTTTTGATATCGAATATATTCTATTTCCTGAGTTCCTTGAATCAAGATCCTTCATCCATAATCTTGGTAGTATTGCGTCACAGTGTTGCGCCTGTCCATTTCCGCGGGGGAGCAAAATCGCACTAGTTCAGCCTTACTACGTAGAATTCTACGGAAAGTGAAGCGAGGGTGCCATATCCATGAGCTTGTCTTTTCCTTGGCAGAAATTTTCAATATCCATCAGGTTGCCACTCCGCTCGGTTGCCCTTCGGCCGGAAATTGATATCACACATGGTGTCCTATTCGCTCTACGGAATGCACCTGAAGGGTCTGAGTTCACTGAAATGCAACAATACTGAAACCTCGCCAATGAGAAAGCCGACTAGTCAGCCAGTCCCTGGAAGGGAGGAAGGGGGGTTACTGTGCAAGATAATTGGCCGTTCTGACAAGCTAGCCAGCGGTAGCGCCTAAGCTAAGCCTTGCCAGGCTTTTGCGAAGCTTTATCATGGCCGCTAATCACCGTCGCAATTTTACCCGACCCTCCCCAAATTTGCGGTCGACACTTATGGTTGGTCCGATTGGGGAAGTCATCCGAAAAGTCCGACCACCTGTTGGCATTGCGTTAGTACTATGCAGTGGATATCCACCTCGCTCAACTCGAGTTAAGGGGATCATACGGACTCCGTCCACGCTCTCGACAACGTCATGGTATTCCGAAATTCCTCTAAAATGACCCATGCATTTCTTTGTCCGGATTTCCGAAGATCGATGTTATTTTCAATGCCACGCTTGGGGTGAAAGAGTTACTAGACAGTGCCAGTATTGCCATAACTGTGCAGTTGCGCGACAGCACATGTCGACGTGCTAACCACTAGGCCAAAAAATGATATATCGCGTCTATCCGGTCAGCCGACCCCGAGATTTGTCCCAACAGGGTATTGAATCCCTACATTACTTTGGTTTGGGAGAGATCTGTTACCCCCCGACTCAACAATAACTGGATTCACTCTTGCCGTTATCCGTGAGTTACCCTATGTGACCTAGTTGTTCATCTCCATCTCTTCTTCGGAATTCCTGAAGCTTCTCACTACCAGCTCCGATAGCGGCTTGATCAACCACGACTGTATGAGTGTCGAGTAATTGTGCCGCGCTGTGTGTTTCGCGTGTATATCACTTAGTTCGGGAAGCCACAGGTCGATGAGATCAACGTTCTTGAGCGCCAGCCTAAGCTGGATTTCCCAGTCAAAGAAATTCGAGCGTCCTCGCAGCAAGAGAGACAAGCTTGATGGACCCTTTGGTAGGCTCACTAGCACCCTATTCCCTTACATTCTTCTTTGTTTGGGGGTTCCCCATGGTAGCTGACATCCCCTCGAGTGAGATGTTGTGTCCTATTACTTCAAGAATGCCCTATTTTGAATTGAACTTCACATTTGCTCCACCTTGCGATACCGCCTATGATCGGCGTATGTGCCTGCAATATGATCCCAATTGCCAAGGTACCGGCCAAGATTGTGTTGGATATTCTTCTGTCATACTGTATAGAACTGCTCCAGACTATAATATCTCTTTCCAGATGTGCCATCTTCTCCTCCGGATTTGTCTCCTTGTCCGAATATACCAGTCGCATGACCTTCGACTTGTTCCTTTTCGACGAATGACTAGAAAAGAGCAAAGTCAGTATGTTTTTTTGCGAGAGGTCACATGGGGGCCTACCTGGCATTTACTGCGCTGGCACTAATTTCAGGCTCTCTACTGACGTGTTAGCGCGGCGATTAGCACGTAGAAATTAGATCATACTTACTCGACCCCCATAGTCACTTCAGTGGGCCTCACCGACACCCCATGGGCGGGGTGTCGGTGAGGCCCACTGTTTTCTAAATCTGCATGATCTGTATATTGGGGAAGTTGCATTGGGCATCTTCCTATGAGGCTCATCCTTCTTTGTTGTACAGAAGGGTGAGCCTCCACAAGGTACACTGTTTTCTAAATCTGCATGATCTGTATACCCATCCAGGGACATATTACTAGAGTTAGCGCTCGATATCAACATATGTTGGATAAAGATCACGGGCTATTTACGCATCCACAGTCTAACTCTGCTTCACAGGCCGGTGCGATACCATAACTGAAAGTTCATAGAGGTCCCTGGCAAAGGGTGGGGAAGTTGCATTGGGCATCTTCCCATGAGGCCCACCCTTCTTCGAAGAAGGATGAGCCTCATAAGGGACAGCTCTTAAAGCAGAGCTCACTTCAAGCCCCTGTCTGGAGCAGAAGCGACAGAATCGACGGAAGCGGGACGCACAATCGCGCGACAATGGCGCGATCCCGCGAAAAATCAAGCTTCACATTTCTGGAATAATGAGAAAAGTGCCATAACGATGGAAGTAGGGGGGGCAGCATGGATATGTAAGAGTAGAGAAGGGAGAAAGTAGGAGAGGAGTGAGAGCTGTGAGGTATAGGACGGGTCACAGGAAGAGAATCAAGTAGAATGGGGAAAGAACAAAGTAGACGATACAATACACTACCAAGTGACCCGGACTAACACAAACCAAAATTACCATTACAACCTCACCTGACCCGCTGTGACTGCTGGCCTCGTGCCTTAATGCGCAGGTGTCGATCACACGGTATCGGGTATTCTCGTTCCCGAACTAGGAAGGCGCACGAATAGGTATCCAAACTAAGCCTCTTCATTTGGGATCCATTCTGTCTCCAACTCCAACACACATCAAAGGATCATCGAGAATGAGTCGAACCATCATCAACCGCATGGCCTCTGATCATCCTGAGTAGGCAGCCCTCTTCTGAATATCAGCTGCTCTTGTGAGATCTTCATAATTCAGGCTCCAAGTTATGACTATAACTGACTTGATGCTGGGGTAGAGACTGTACCCTCAAACCGGCAGCCCGGTCTATCTGAACTTCTCACCGGGACAGCCACAATTCCCTCCAAATGTACAGTGTATATAGCTTCTAGTCAGCCAGGCGACGGAGAGATATCTCTTACAACACTCTCCAGCGGGATACTCACTGCAGCTATTCCAAAACACGCCCGCAGCATCGTATGGAACTACTCCTCCGGCATTCCCCGCAAAACCTCCAACACGCATTCCTCCACAGATGGCTGGGGGCATTCCCGCCGCTGTCGAGCAGCCTGCCCATGCCTCCTGGTCTGCCGCAGCAATCAGTCATAGGGACATGGGCAGGTAATGTATACCAAATGCAACAGATGCAACAGATTCAACAGATGCAAATGGGGCAAGCACCAGCAGACATGGTGTCAATATGGTTGAAGATGCATATCTAGTCTTCAGAGACATGTCTGTATGTCTCAGGAGCTGTAAAGCAAGCAGAGAAAACAGCCGACAAGACCCAAAGCGAAGGGATGGGGTCATTTGATCGACTCCGATACCTTGGATACAGCCGAAGATGAGGTCGTGGTGATCTCAAGCCATACGAGCGATATCCTGGAAAACCACTGCGGAGAATTGTTTACCATTAGAGAAGTAGACCTCTCAGATGCCCCACGGGCCCTCAACCGAAAGCACACCTTTCTATATCTGCGGTGGCTTCCCAAATCTCTAGTGAGAGTGAGGGCGTCGAAAGCCCGCCTCGAGAGCCACTGCGGAGAGTGGTTCAGTACAAGGATGATCGACTTTTGAGGCATGAGGAGTATACCAGTAATGAGAACAATTGGCACGGGCCCGATCGCATTAAGTGCTGCGTTGAAGATGGGGTTGAGAAAGGTACTGAAAAAAGGGAAAAAGCCGGGGGGAGGGATTTCTGTTCCAGAAATAGGTTAGGAGACAATGACTACCAACACCGGCTTACTTGTTTGCTTGCTTCCGTCATTTCCTCTCTGTTGAACCGCCGTATAAACTCAAAATTTAGGGATCATGCCCAGTGCCCGTATTCCGTTTCGACAGCTCACTCTAATGATCCACAGCCGCAACTATTCAGATTAGCTGGGAGCACCAAGTATACGTACTATAGCAAGGAACGCCAACACACGAGAATAGCCTCCACGTCATTGGACAAGCTCTTCCTAGTTAATTATCTGAAAATAATGATATGATGTGTACGGCCTGCACAGTATCCGCTCAACCTTGGGCCCAATCCTCTTAGGTTATCAGACGTCAACTAGCTCATCCCGCCTCCATTGTCTTAGCGTTGTAATTCCTTCTCACTAATAGCCGACTCCGACCAATTATTTCTGACTAGATCGTCCGCATCTTTAATGACTTCGAAGACCTGTCAGCTTACACACACAGTGAAGACTGAAAAGCATAAAGAAAATACCAAGTGGAGAGGCGACAACTGTGCTCGCCAAGAGCCCCATACGAAAGAGGGAAATTGAAAGAGAAAATATGATCTCGCAGTTACTTAGGTTTGGAGAAAGCAATGGATCCTCTACTTTTCTGGCTTCAGGCGAGCTCTCATAAATATCCCAGCTCCTCGCCTCTGTACTGTCAGCGGTATTCTTGGCATGTAACCAGGCAGACTAACTAGTATTTGTGAGCCAAACTGCAGAGGCTGGACTATTACTAACTCGGCAAATATTGCATCTGGTTGAAGCCCCAGCTGGTCGGCCAGCAGTAGTGTCTCGTTGGTAGCTTGCAAGTATTACTTGGCCTACGGTAAAAAGTACTCCATGAATGTCGAAACCTCAATTGAAGCTGAGGGGAATCACCTCACCAGCACTGTATACGTTGATTATGCATGCGTCGAAGCCTACTAATGCACTATCAGACAGGTGGCAACCGTTTTCGCGCAGGACTGACTGTAATAGTCCTAGTCCCGTTTATCGCCGCTGCTTCTGATATTCAACAGTGGTAGTAGCAAGAGGCATCCGTGGCTGTCATCTCATGGTGTGGGCCAGAAACTTTCAGTCACCACTGCTCTGCAAGATCTTGCTCTTGCATTGGTGAGTGTCCTGATTAATTATCCCAGTACCAGTTGGCTCCATTGAAACCATCTCATGACATAGTCGCACGCCCTCTCAAGGCCCGGCTGCGGAACCAGAGGCATTGAACACGGTCATTCGAGACAAGAAAGAGAGTTTCCCTTTTAGTATGGTAAAGCTATATGATCAGCGAGCCGAGAAAATTCACTTGAATCCCTGAATTCCTCCAGAGCCGGGCGACCGTGTAAGAGCAGTCCTTATGATTACCTGTTTAGTAGACCTCCACTCCAGCCAGGGTCAGCTGACCCTTCGCCTCTTCTTCCTGTCATCCAGCCACTAACCCAACCTCTGGAGATTCACATAGGTCGGATTTCTACCCTCTACCCTTCGTCTTCACATCAACTACCGTACTGCCAAGAGGTTGGAAATGCTCCTCTAACAGCCAGTCTAGGGATCCTGCTTCGTTGTTTCTGCTCCAAACCAGGGAACGAAGACGCGCAATGCTATTTCCTTACTCTCTTATCGGGGTCTTTACAAGATTGTACGTTTTTCTGATTGTACTAGTCGTCACAGTGCGAACACTGATTGTTATACAGTCTTTTATGCTCCCACACCGATCTGGAAGCAGCATTGGCCTTACAGACACTCGGAGAAGTCTAGCGAAGTGTCAGCCATCGGAGCAGGTGCCTTTGCTCATACTGTACCAGATAAGGGACCCATCTGTCTGTCTAGAACCATCCCATAACCTCTGCACAACTGCAGCATCGTTGGTACTGATCGTACTTTCTTCCTCACTACCCTCAAAGCTTTTAGCCACCAGCGAGTATGGGTCAAAATCACACTTGTCTGGGGCAGATATGATGTCATCTAGAACACCGTCTAGGTTGTCACACGCCTCAGCGGTGGCATTACGAATGGCGTCAAATGTGCATTGCGACAACGGGTGGCTCATTTGGTCCATGACAAACTTCGGGTAATACATGGCTGGAACGAACGTCGCCCCGTTGATAGCTGGTGCTCCGGCAAGAATCCCATCGTAAGCGGTGGGATATCGCTGAGCCGACGTAAGGCCCTGGCGGCCACCTGTCGAGCAACCGTCCCAGTAGGAGTACCGTGGCCCCTGGCCGTAGAGGTCCGTGATGACATTCTTCGCAATAACCGCTGCCTCACTTTGGGAGAGGGCAAAAAAGTTTTGCAGGAAGAAGAAGTTAACATTTCCCGCTGTATCAAGGACCCAACTAGTCGCGTCCAGTGGATTACGGACATGACCCGCATCAGTTCCAACAGCAGCATAACCTCGTGCCACAGCGGGCGTAAAGCGGTTATATGTCCAAAGTGAAGACAGCCCAGAACCGCCAATACCGCTGAGTCGGCCGTTCCAGCCTTCCAGTGGGAGCCACACTGTAACCTGCACGTTGTCCTTCCAGCATTCGTGGCCGTAGTTGATTGTGACATTGCAGAAGTTGAGGTTGATGTCGTAGTGTCTTTCCGGGTTCGCAACTTCTGCAATGAGGGAGTAGTTCTCGAGGCGCTCGGCCGCAACCGACAACATCGTCACTTCTGGCATGCGAGGGAGGCTAATATCTTCGGAGGAACATTTCAAGAAAGGTAGCGTTGCAAATATTGGTGACGCCAGCCATAAGCACATGGCTGAAATGTAAAGCGGTAAAGGTCATTGTTCAGTTGTGGCGTAATAGGTGCTATATGTTGAGCTGTGGGAATAATGCTTCGCGAGTCTCATTAGACTTTATATCATTGTCGGTCCCATCTTTCAGGACCAGGTTAGAGTTTCTATAATTCCCCCGAAAATGCACGAATATATGCAATGCTCATCCTGTCAACAGCACGTGATCGGCAAGCGGATCCCGCGGGTCCAGAGGCTATCCATATCCAAACCCGACGGGGGTTTGATGCTGCCAGCAATTGTAAGGTGCGAGTGGCCGTGGAAATGCACGCTTTTTGGAAATTAAACCGTGCTATAGGATCGGTGGCCTGTTGAATCTTCGATCCGAAGACCGTCGACATAACGGCATTTGAAAACTTGCGTCTCCGCAAGACTAGGACAACAATATTCATGACTGCTCTTCTCAAGATTAATTGAGTAATATCACACCAGCTTATCAAGAGACAAGTCGAGTACCATGGCAGTCCACAAAACTACCATCTCCATTGACTGTGGAGGCACATTTACGCATATGCATGCCATCATCCCCGGTTAACCTGATATTAGACTTAAGCTGCTTTTTTTTTGGTGACCCCGCCAATTATCAGGATACTCTAACTGAAGATATCTGCAGAGTCTTCCAGACCGCCACAGACATACTGTTATCAAGAGACTGGCTTGATGATATCAAGTATTTACAAACAAACACAACAATCACCACTATTATATTACTCAAATACAAGAGGATAAAGTCAGTACTCCTAATCATAAAAGACCTCAAAAAAGAATTATATTAGTAATCAAGCCTGTCTAGATATCCTTAACATATCTACTTGCAGGTTTGATATTATTTTGAGAGGGGGGTACAGGTGAATAAGTATATTATCTTATTATTTTTATTGTAAGACGCGCTCTCGGTATTTTTGTGAAATCAGAACTATTACAGAAAAAGATATTATATATTATCCAGGAATTGGGCTAAATATATTATTTATGGAACTATGGTAATATCTTCAATATTTGGTTCACACCGTGATGCATGAACAAGTATCTATTCTAGTGAGGATCTTCTAAATTACGTCTGCCTCGACGATTGTAGTGACATTTCAAGTAAGACTGAGCCGGACCGCTTCGTAGCAACAATTACTTTACCTACGATCCTGTGGGAGGTCTGAAGGTAGCAGATAGAATATAATAGTGACTTCTGTCAATCTATGACTTTATGCACTGCCTGATGTCTATAATCACCGACCTGATTCAGTTCCTCAGCAAAGAGTCTATACCGGCACGCCCGTAAAGCCACAGAAAAGAAGGAAGCAATCCTGCAACCTAACACATGTGCGATAGTCTAGAGACTAGCAACCCGAGGATCATCATTCATTGGCTCCGAGGCCTGAGAGTTCTATGGGTCGCCGACATAGTTGTCACCATGTTCAATGGCACTGGTATCAACACCAAGGGTAATGTAACCAATCATTCCCTTAGTCACGTCCTTTCCATCCATGGGTACTACATTAACAACAGGATTGAAGCCTCCAGCCGTGTCGTAAGGGAAAACAAGGTCATCGGCGTTGGTGGTACGGTTGATTTGCGTGTGAGAGACGTAGGGCTCAAGAGACATAATCTTCTGTTCCAGTGCTTCATCGAAATAAAGCTGGCCAGTGCTGACAGTATTACCAGTCATAATAGTACCATTTTCACGGAGAGACCAGTCGGTGTGAACTTGGACGTGGATGTGGATTGTACGCTGGATATAGAATCCTGCAGTAAAATTCATTAGTAAGAGTTGAAGTGAAGCTGCAGCAATCCCTATACTTACCAGGGAAGATAGTTTTCATTTCCATCATACCGTGTTTATCAGTAGGCCACATTCCGCGCAGAAAGGTAGTGTCATCAGTATGCAGGTCAGTGACACCCATCTTGAAGTCGCTCTCATTGATGCCCTCCTGCTTAAGAATCTCAGGGAAAGGGGTGTTCGGCGACAGGTGCGTGAAGCTGGAGTAGGAACCCGTGGCATTGCAATGCCAGATATCAATAAGAACATCTTCAAGAGGCTCACATGTAGCCATGTTAAGAACACCAATATCTAGCCACAGTGGTACACCAGGCTGGCCCTCACTTATGTCCTGACGGAGGGTTTGCGAAGGAGGGTAGACATAGGGTCCTTGAGTAACCTCGGGAGTCAACACGCAAGTACCGTTCTGGATAGTCTCGAAGTAGGGCGCCTCAGTATGAACTGAGAAGGTAGTGTTGTGTCCATGCCAGCGGCGGTCAATATTGCGCTTCCAGCGCTGCTCATGGTACTGGGAGATGCTCTTGCGACACATCATACTCATTGCGGAGCGACGGCTTATCTCGCTATGACTCAGGATATCGTGCGGTCCGGCATGGGAAATAGCAGTGGCTACTAGGGCCAAGACTGGGAGTATAGAAGAAAGATGCATTGTAATCAGGTATTCAACTTAAGGATTGGAATGAGCTGTTGTGGGATGGAGGAAACATCTTCTCTACCCCGGCGGACGGCCCTGTATATAGAGTCACCGGTTAGCATTGATTTAACTAATGGAGCCGAAATCCGCTACTTAGCCGTCCAGTTTCTACATAATGGATATGAACTCATCCGGTTTGTGGACCATGACAGGACTGAAATCGATGTTGAGATAGGGATACTACATACGTGACTCCAGCTTGAGACGAATACACCAGCTTCGCGTGCGTCAAAAACACTGCGCCAAGTATTGCAAAAATAGAGTACATGACGGAGTACTCAACCGGACGAGAAATCAATTGCTTCTCATTGGTATACTCCGTCCATCGAGTATCCATTCTTCAGCGGGTGGGGTTTCGCCCTCCAACGAATGTTTATATTAACCGGTAAGTACCGTAACATGTCTTGTGCAAGTAATTGAGAAATTGATTAGCATTGGTACTAGTCAGAAACCTGCCCATTGACACACTTCCTAGCGTAGTAACACGTGCAAGGTCCTGTGGAAGAGAACAAGAGTCGGATGGGCCCCGAAGACTCTTGACAGATTCACTAGTAATTTGTCAGGTTGTATCTCTTCAGTCTTGCCGCGCCCATGTGGATTTAGCATTCCTGTATTGAGGCCGCAATATCAAAGGCACGGTACCTAATGAGACATGTCGTAGTGGGAATATTCCCACTGCGGAAATCGATATACCAACCTGCCCCACACAATGTAACTCTTCTTGGTGGAGGAAACCAAGACAAGACCGAATGGCCTGGCGTTCTTCAAACTTAGCTGCCTAACATTGATTCTACATGTGCCTTGTCGGTGTCAGAGATAGCACTGGATTGAGCAGCAGGATGACCCTAGATCCTGTGGATGAAGGGCTGGCGTTGGAGGATATCATAGGCCTCCATCGTTCCTTGGGTCCACTTGAGTGGAGTTTGTCTCTCCGCGAATGTCCGCTTAATCAGCTACGGGGGACTAATAGTTAGTTGTCAATCGATCGGGGTTGAAGCGCTAAGACCAGGACCCGTTCACTCTAGTACTACGTACCAGATAATTATTTTGGAGCGGAATGAATCCACTCCACGGAGTTATTTGGGAGAGGGATCTGCGACCCGCATACTTTGTGAATGAGCAGGACTGTGAAGAGAAAACACCGGAAATGGTTCCAGACCCCATCTGATTGATTTGCTGGCTCGACGAATATACCAGGCACTCCGTAATAGACACAGAACTATGATAGGAAGGGGTGCGGTAAGCCAATTCAATTCATATTCAAGTCATATTCTTCTACCTGATCGATCCCGCTAAGTAAGATGCTAGCTATGCAGGTGCTTCACCACTTGAAGCAGGCATATAGCCCTGAACGCCGTCGAATCCCTCAAACTTGCAGTAAACATATAAATCACGAAGCAACGCATGCCATAATATAGAAAGGTCGTCGCTGTAACCAAACACAACCAAACACAACACAAGCAAAGCGTAGTCATACAAGATATGAAGATATAAACAAGTGTTGTAACTGGCTAACCAGTTACCTGCAAACCACTATCCTCTCTATTCGTCTATACTCTGCTTCCAATATGCTTATTCCTTTTAGGCCTTCCATGCTGACTCAAACAATGCATATACAGTTCCATCTATCCAGTATCTTGAGTATCTTCAGTATCTTTCCTCATAACCCTGAGTTCCATATATTCCTGGCCTTAATCAATGTCAGGGTCAGGATGAAGTTCAGTCCATATCTCTACCCGAAATCAATAGAAACACCCACGCCCAATGTGGTGAATTCCTCCCGGCTTTCTCTGTAGATACAAAGTCCCTGGGTATGCCTCCTTCGGCCTCGTTGGCAAGAAGGCTCGTGTCAGTCCATGTCTACCCCAAAGTAATAGAAATACCCACGCCTAATGTGGTAAATTCTTATAGGCTTTCGCTGTAGATGCAACTTGGGTTCTAAGTAGTGTTTGTTGAGATGTTTCCCCCATTCTAATCAAATTAATGCTAGAAAAGATGAGGAACCCAGAGATAGATATGTCTTCGTACCAGTTCTGTCAGAGTCAGCCTGGTGTGCTTCAGGCAGTGAGACCTCTGGGATCCACACCACTAGGCTATCCGACGAAAGACTAGAGTTTTGAGCCAAGAGACTCAGACACGCGTCTCTTTCAAGCTAACAGTGAATGTAAGATCACCTGGATCCTCACATCTTCGTCCGAATGACGGTACTGGCCTCTCTGGCGCTTAATGGAGAAAGCGAGCTGTAGATTTGGACGAACAGACTATAGCGGTGAGCGGGAATCGAGCCAGGGTCAACGTCATATTGTGTCTGATGAATATGCTCCGGGGGAATTTGGAAAGCAACACGCGTAGCGCAACAACTACAAACGATTGTCGCAGCCGACATACCTACGCTCCGCCTACCTTTTGAAGGTAGCGCCTCCCTGCAGCTGGCTGCCTGGCCCACGTTGTTATCACTGGAGCTCTACAACGCTTTGAAAGTTTTGAGGAATTTCGTTTTAGCAAGCAATAATTTACTGTCCGACCAGGTAGATGACCGCATTAATTCCGCAGACGTGCGTAGCGCTGTTGTACTTCTTCGCTAGTCAGATACGCAGCTACTGCGGCCCCTGCTAACACGCTTGCGTAACTAGTCTAGGAGAATGCGGCGGCGAGAATAGTAACTGAACCTAGCTCAGACACCCTAGTTTGGTGATTATAATGCTACTATTAAAGCGCCGTTTTTAGATTATACCAGGCTAATATCTTTCAATCGGACCTTTCAAGGAGGATAGAGTGATTATTCATCATGGACTAATCGCTGTTCGCTGTATTAGATACTATACAGCAGTAGAGATATGTAACCGGCGAGTAAAACCCAGTCGATGAGCTGCCTATCAATAGGGATACTCTTCGTATCTGAAATTCCAGATTGTCTTTGCCGACTTGTCAAATCCATAACCTTTCGAACTTGTCGCACCGATATGTTGGAGGACTGGGGGCACTACCACATAACGTTTCCACCCTTGTCGGTTGGCAATTCTCTCTACCATCATATCAACCAACCAGTCGGTTGTCAGGCCGGTATGTTCCAGAAATCGCGGCACTATCGAACGCGGAAATACCAGGCCCTGCGAGCAGCATCCGTATTTGTTCATTTCATGGACGCCGGGACGAATGGGCCACATTGTCTGCCGTCCTGCGATGAAGTGTAGTCCGATGAATGCTGGGATGAAAAGGAGAGATATTGTCCAGACAGCACTTGCGGGTGTTGACTTGAAGAATCTCCTCTCTATTAATACCATGACTCCTGTTAAAGCTACCCAGCCAACAGAAGACAACGCGAGATATCTCGGCCACTCCTCCGAGTTCCATCCCAGGAGGTCATCAACATAAAAGAGGCGAAGATAGACCCAGTCTTGCCCTGCTATGCTGCGCTGCTGGATCACGTCAAGTGCGTGTAGCGTAGAAGAAAGCCAGCCCTTGGCAGCCAATGTATCATCTTCAACCATAGCGACATAATCTGCACCAGTATCATAACAATCCTTCATCAAATGCGTAAAGTCGTAGATGGTCTTGTTGCGATACCATCCTCCTTCCTCCCATTCGCGGATTTGCTCGTAATCGGGGTCATCCTCTTTCGGGTACAGGAGGACGCGGTCGGGTAGGACTTCTACCCACTTCTCCGAGAAAATTGGATGGGTAGAGGGATCAGTATGTCCAATGAGCAGATCAAGGAACATAGTGTCTCGTTCCGAATCGGTAAGTCCCTCCAGAAGGGAGGCGATTGTCAACCCTACATACTGTTCTCTTCTTCGGCGAACCGTCACTATCCCCACGCAAATTGTAGGCTGACTATTACCGGGTGGCTTTGCTCGGGGAGGGAAATCGCCAGCCCTGCTGAGAAAAGTCTTCGCTTCCTGGATTCGGTGGGCGGAGTAGCGTTGTTCGTAGGCACGATTTGGATCGAAAAAATAGGATGTAGGGTCGCGGTAGCTTGTTGAACGGTAATAGCTGATTGAGAGGAGTTAAAGAACACTGAATACGCCTAACAATAAGCCCGTTGGATGTAGAGATAATCTACCAGAAATTAGGTGACGCAGACGCGACAGATTAGTCATTTGTGGATTCGCAAGAAGGCCTAAAGGGCCGCCGTAAAACAGGAGACATTAGTAGTGGGGGAGAGAAGGAATTTGAAGAGAGAAACGGAAGGTGAGGATTCAAGGGGGTGGGAAGGGAGACAAAGGAAGGGATGATCCAATGCAACCCTTGGGACCATCTGGGAAAATAAGGTTGAGCCTAGAACGGCTTAAGCAATTGACAAGGGACTCCACCCCCAGATTGATCACCAACACTCTAGCCAGCGGGATATGCTGTCACAGACTCCACATGTTGTCTACGTGATATTAACACCTCCGTTGCCTAGATGAATTTAAGTTGGTATTCGGAGAAGTTTCGTTGGCAGCGGTGACTTCTATAAATGACTTCCGATATGTCAGAGAGTCCTTTAGACGACGAAAGTTGCTTGTTAAGTAAGCACTAAGGGTTGGGTTGGATCCGGAGTTATTCCGGTCCGAGGATGCACTAAACCCAGCCACGGCTGATGGACCAATACTGTCTGTCTTCTTTACATTGGTCAACATCAGCTTTGCGGCAATCATGGAGGGGCTCTCGAATAATAATAGCCTCTCTACAGCTCCGCAATCCGGCAATAACTCTTCCGCTCCCTCATCAAAGCGGGTCCGCGTCGTTGTTTCGCAATCAAAACGAGGCTGCGTGACTTGCAAGTATGGCATGGTCTTCATCTTGCCATCATGGCACAAAGTCGACTGACCAAGATACAGGGCACGTCGGGTCAAGTGCGACGAGCAAAAGCCCCTGTGTTGGCGGTGTCTTCAATCTGGTCGAGTGTGCGGCGGTTACAGCCATGAAGCCAAGTCATCATTGTCATCAGCTTTGCAACCTGCTTTAAAATGTGGGGTCACAATGGACAGTCATGCGGAAAGGTTAAGCTATCTTGCAGCTCATGTGTTGTCTCTAGATAACAGAGGCTGTTCTCCGCGAGAAGATAGTGCTTGGGGACGTATATTTCTCCAGCTATCAAGTCAGGTCGAATGTGTCAAGGCCGCCGCGGTCGCTTTCGGGGCGGCGTATGAATCATCGCAGATAAACTTGATCGGCCATCGGCCCTACTCCACCTGGAACTATTATGGCTCGGCCCTAGCAAGGCTGAGATCTGATTTTCACGATAGGAGCGTCGGTGCAGAGTCCCTGGCTCTGGCATCCATGGTCCTAGCCTACGTGGAGATCCTAAGCCAACACGAGCAAAATGCGTTCACTCATTTCCTTGGCGCCGTACAGATCCTGACCCAGGCCGAACAGCATCGCTGGCAAGTTTCATCTGCCAAAATGCTCAGTACAATCAAAGATGCACTAGTAAAGATAAACCTCCTGATTGGCAGCTACGGTTTGTCCCAAACACCGCAATATATGTACCTGGACTTTCCTAGAGTACCGACTGGAGACGATGAGTTTTGTGAACCAGAGCTTGCGATTGACGCCGCAATGCACTGTCTTTATCGATCCTATCAGTTCATTGAGGAGGCTTCACATCTGCGATACACGTATTCAAACTGGAAAGAGCATGATCCCACCATGTGTAAGGCTCAATCTGATGCGGCGGCCGAGTGTCGTTCTGTCCTTGATTGCCTCGCAGCGCTCGTCACGACGCTGCAAGGCCGATGTTCGTCCGCGACGCCGACGCCGACGCCGAGAGATTTGGACATGCTGGCAGAAATTTATGCGATTCGGACACAGCTGACATCGGCGTTAATTTTCATCTTGTGTGCTCACAGCCCGTATGAAACATCGTACGATGAACATCATGACCAATTTCAGAGCATAATAAGTGATGCTGCCGCGTCGGCGCGGCTAAGGCGGCGGACCAAACCCAGTGCTTTCAAACGCTTCTCAACACGCCTGGGAATTGTTAGTCCTCTCTTCATCGTGGGCATCAAGTGCAGAAATCCGTCACTGCGTTCTTTGGCAACGGCATTACTTACCGAACAGAGCCGCGAGGGTCCCGCCGATGGGCGAATTCTGGCAGCCATCGGTGCTCGACTGGCCGCCCTAGAGACGTCTTCCAGTTTTACTCCTTCTCCCAGCGCTCCGCTGACTGCCTGCGACATTATCGAAGGACAGAGAGTGTACGGTTACTCGGTGTCTCCAAGATTCAATATGGAGAGCCGCCGCGTCGTAGACGTTATTTTCCAGCGACCCAGCCCGCCCCTCATGCAAGGGTGGGGTCATACTGATTATTCTTGCCAGGATGGTTGGATGTACTGGTCAGAAGCTATCGAGATATAAGATATTTAGTGGCTCAATTGTGCACAGAAGCGGCTGATGTCTGTATGTGTATGGAGAGACCCATCAAACTCTAGCTAAGCTGCTCGCATCGCTGATCTCTGTCCCGTCCTGTGCTGAATGCATAGCATGATATATAAAAAACCACATAAAATCTCGTCCGAATCAGGTGGTTGTTTATCGTGATTACGTCTGCATGGGCAATGTGTTATCAATGTTGTGTCTTTTACCCTGCATCTCCCGGGAGTCTGATTGAGGCCTTTCATGCGCCGTTAAAGTGCTGGTGGAGCTCAGCTCGGTGTTTGTTGCTGCTAAACCGGATTAAGTAAAGACTCAAGGGATGCATAAGTGGAGATGATCTCGGTCTTTTGACAGTTTATTGATGCTTATTGGTCCGTGTGCTCCTCTAGTCCTTAATCAAGTATGGTCACATTTTTGACTCGGCTTGGCCCCGCCGCAGCGCCCTCATTTCCGTCAATATCATTGCAGGATGCATGAGAATGGTATCAAAAATGCAGGAGAGAGACTGAAATGGCTTTTAGCAGTATATTCAAACGAGTTAAATAACTTCAGGCACCAAAATAAATATCTGACTACCGGGGCAGGTTATTAAGAGGACCGCATCCCGCTCCCTGAGTCTACGATCTCTATCTCTTCGTCTACTTCGCGTTCCTCAGTTCTTCGTTAACTCGACGTTTCCAATCACCGCTTTAGTTTCGATCACAGAGCGTTGCATATCATGGCCAAGAAAATGGCCATAAACATAGCAGCGAATAGAACGGTCGATGTTACCCTGCGAGCGCTGCAGCTCATCTTCGCCATCATCGTCATTGTGACAGATGGCTACGGTATGAACCCACCAATGTATCCTACTCCATCAAGATATCCATCTATTCTGACTACCATCGCCTAGCTATCCACGTCTATCGTGGCCACACTGACTACGTGCACTTCGTATACGGAAACTTCTACGCTTACGCCGGCGTCCCTGACGAGTGGGGCTTCTTGATGTTCTGTGCTGGGTGGACATTTCTGGGCGTTATCTTCCTCTTCTTCGCTGCAGGAATCAGCTTCGCAGAGCATGCAGTGATTGGCTCTGTTTCTGTCATTGTTGAGGTTGTGGCTCTTCTCTCATGGCTCGCGGGTTTCATTGCCGTGGCGGTTAATGTGGGGAGTAATCCATGTCCAGCGGAAGAGAATGACTGTGTGCTGCTCAAGGTTGCAGTAGTCTTCGGCGCATTAGAATGGCTGCTCTTTATGATCACGACTATTCCGACCATAAAGCTTGTCTTTAACAGCACTCGCCGGCAGAAGACATCGACCATCGAGACCACGACACCAGTTTAAGGCACCAGGATATTGAAATCCCTGTGAGCAACACAACTATGGGTGCCAACACAGCTGCCCAAAAACATACTTCCTATGTTTTCTGTATCGTGTTCGTTGAGACGTCTTCAGATAAATAGAGGTTATGCTAGAGCATATACAGAGTTAGTTTCTTCAGTCTGGGCGAACAAGAATATCGGGAATATTGGGAACCTACTGCATGGGTTTATTCCAGCAACATCCGGTGCCAGAACCCGGATGAGCTCTGCAATCTACTTTTGCACTACTTTGCTACATAGCCAAGCCATTAAGCTAGGACCCAATTTCCCGGAGTCAGTTATGAAGTAGGAATATATATACATATAGATTATTTTTAAATATATTAATCACCGAGACTCTAATTTGGTGAAAATTAAAGCCCTATTAATGACCAGTGTCCTTTACTCATCATCACACCGTCCAGAATGCACGCCGTTTTTTATTCACTTAGCATAATCAGAAACTTTCACTTTATTTGTGCGAATCAAAGGAAAAAGTACAGAAATGGAAATCAATATATCTACCTACTACCCACTCCTTGTAGAACAGTTTGTACTCTAGGTTTGTTACACTCCTTACCAAAAAGAGAAAAGTGATGCAAAAAACATACAACAGAAGGGATTCGCTGGTGGTCACCCACCCAACTACTAACCTCCCGGCGTGTGGCTTAAGTACGGCTGAGCGGACGGGAAGCCCTGTTTTCCACACCCTGTGGTCGTATGTATCAGATTCATGTTGCATAAAGTTAATATGGTTGCCAAATCCTTTCAATTTAGATGTTGTTTATCATTAACCCTCTTATCTAAATGCAGAAGGGTGGAGGGTTGTCCACTCGGTCCAGTTCCTGAGGCAATGATTTGCCCGACAACACCAAGGACGTTGCGAATCGCAAAGCTTGCATTCGGAATCTTATCAGGCGCTTAACATAGAATGCGATCATTGTGCAGTCCCCGTTTATAGATCAGGTGGAAAGAGAGCCGGAAAGACACAATTGGTGTATTGAATGAAATTATGGCAATGTAGAGACTGTGTGAGATATTGAGGAAGAACAATGTGCAGCTTATGACTATCGGTTAGCTTCATTATATTGAATAGGTAACAGCGACATCACCCCATGTCTGAGCATAGCGTGCGCAGGACTCACAGCCATATAGAACATAGCTACCGTCCATCGTCATTCGTGAGGTTCATCGATATTACCCGACAAAAGCCTGGACATGGCGAGGACAACTACGTTTTAGCCTCTCCGAGGCGAAGGAAGATCGAAAACTTGGAACAGTTCTTGCTGGGAAGTGGCAGCTAAAGTGAAGGCAGGTAAGATAATATTGCTTCATTCTATACACAACTAACTTGAAAAGACGGGTCCCAGCTTAACGGCTTGGCTATGTACTAAAATGACGCAAGTGTTTGCAGAGCTTATTTTAAATTGGCCAACCATATATTGATAAATTTGAATAGAATAATGAGAAAGTCCATGCCTTTTGAGTTTGAACATGCCTTCGTTTTACCGAGTCCGTACCGCAGAGAGATCATGATTCTAAGCCGTCTGACAGGTTCTCGCGCTTAGAAAACATCACCAGGCAAGCACCCTTCACAGATTCGGTTCGCTGCACATAAACAGTCAATCGATACATCAGCATAGAGAGGTATTATCAAGTGTAGTACTACTAGTAGTTTAAACTGTTCACTCGTTGACTGTCGGCCAGACAAAACCGTGCTGTACTTGTACCCATTTGCTACCACCAGTAGTATATGTCTGTACAACTTTACCAGCTTCTGGGTGACGCCCATAATCCTTGGTAGCAGGTGTGATCGGGATGACAGATCTGCCTCCAATCTAGGAGTTCAGGTTGCATAGTAATCGGTCCAATGCACACACCCCCGGACATAGTATATATACACACATTTACAGCCGAACATCTTTTACCCCAGTGAACATTTACTTCGAATACTAAGCTTCGAGGCTTGTGTGTTACAGAAAGGTAACACTGAGCTGCGCTAAAAGAGACCGTATATTCAAATTAGATGACTGTGCACGAGATTGTATGTATGTCTGTGCGAGTGGTGAATAGTTTTTTAGGGCTAAGCCTAACATCATAGAATACCGTGGGCTGGTAATTCGAGTGAATAGGCCACCTGAGAAACAATTGTAGATGAGAGAGGTGAGAAGGCCTGCCTTACCTACTACATGGACCCCGTTCAGGCATTTTGAGAAACACAGGACCGCCTCTCTTTCTCGTCCTCGTGCACCAACCATAACTGCTGCAACACATATAATCTCATTTTCACCATAACAACTGCTGCAACACAACGAGTGTCTACTGAACGAAACGCCACCCCAACTCTGATCGAAAGATGAGCGACCCAGATGCCAAGAAGAAGACTGAGGAGGTGGAGAAAGACAGCTGGGCTGGTAGCTTCGCACTACCTGAGACCCAAGACGATTGGAAGATGCTGGAGAAATTGGGCAAGTTAAAGAATTCCACGCTACATTCGATTAAGAAGATGGCCTCAGGAAGCAAAGTGCTTCGTAAACAATTTGTTATGTTTCGGACTATATGGCCTTTCCCTCGACCTAGGGATCAATTTTATCAGAGAATGTTTGAATATGGCATTGACGACGCAACTTTGAAACAAGCCATCGCAGTTGTTGATGGGTCTAAGGAATTCAAAAGATACCTGGCGTTGATAGAGGCCAAGATACCAGCTGACAACTTGGTCGAATCGGATCCGTTGTGGGCCGGCTCCTTTATGCCCGTCCTACGCTATCAGCAGGACTTGAACTACATTCCGCCGCCCGACATTCCCACCACCAGGAACAGAAAAAGAAAGTTAAGAGGATCCATCCCCTGGCTCGATACTGGCAACCAAGGTTAGTGAGAAATTGGCACACTATGTTTTCAGCTCTGATAGCTGATTGCGATGAAAAGAGGTCCCCGGAGGAAAGTATTACGCCTCAGACGAGGCAATTGTGAACGCTGCGCTTCTACTCTTTTTACAAGCTGTTACAGGCCTGTCCGGCAATCATGATGTGAAGTGGACCATTGAATGCGTCTCGTTTCAACTTGATTTTACTAACGCTCGATTTACAACAATCACCGACGGCGCCATGGTGACCAAGAATAGTGGTAAAACCCGGGGTCTCTGCGAAGTAAAGAGAAAACAGCTCGGTCATACAGACCAAAGCGCGGCAACGGTTTCTATGCAGGAGACGGCAGAGTTAGTCGGGCTGATCAAGAAAAACGGTTCCACGGTATTCCTGAATGGCCAGTAAGTGTTGCTGCACTTGGAATTGTATTGTTCGAGTGTATGCTAACAACAGCAGACACCTCCTAACTTCGCAGTACGCGAACGAGATCTATCTCCTGTTCGCAAAGGCGCAGGTGTCATACCACGAATACCTCAACACGGGAGCAATTGGTAATGATGACTTCTTAGTCATCCAGAGATGTGGCCCCTGGCGGGTGAGCGATCCTGCCTGTATGGAGCAATTGGTTGTCATCATTTTAGCCATTGTTTTGCTGGCGGACAAGGCTCGATTCGTTAGTTGAAATACTGAGATTATGGGAGCGAACCAGTAGTTTCGTTTGCTTTGTACGCCGGCGATTCATTCCTCTTGGTGCTTGGTCAGATGCGCAGCAATATGGGTTGATTTGTTAAGAGGATCTTTGCTCAGTCTGAGGAAACACTCCCGAGAGATGTATCGGCATTTGTTGAAGCATTTGCACGGCCCGGTGAGGTTAGGAAATGCATTGATGCATCAATGCATCAGAACCGAACACTGAATTCGTCAAGTGGATGGGCTTTAGCATTTGAATAGTCGTGACATGTATTTCTATCTAGTATTTCACTCTGTATGTGATTCAGAATGCGAGGGAGAAGGATATTGTACACAAACAAGACATAAACTCAGCAACCATAATGCACATATAGCCAGTTCACCCCAGTTTACATTTCAAGAACGTGCAAAAGCATAAGCTTAGACAGAGGGCCATCCGCCAGACCAGTTAATGACATTCCAGCCAAACTGCTTGTCGCCATCAGCATAGCCGATGTCAGTGTTGAGGTAATGATAGTAAAGGATCGGGCCGTATTCAGGATCATCAAAGACACCCTGGCCACCAGGTGCGTAGACGTTATCGTGACTTTCTAACACGGGAGTGCCGCCGTTAGCCTGGCAATCATTACCATCTTTATCGACCTATTTGTTTGAATCAGCGTTAGAGAACAAACCACCAGAACCCATAACCTGGAGAAACTTACAAATCCACCGGTAGCCTTGGTGCTGCGACAAACCATAATCTTATATTCCTCGCCAGGGGCCGGGCGATCGGTGTCAAGACCACAGCATGTACCCGACGAGAAAAAAAGATAGTAGTAGTTACCGTGCTGGTACATGTATGCTCCTTCTTCGGCCTGACTTCCCGTGGAGTTGAAGGCAAGGTTGTATGCAGAGCTGCCAGCAGACTTGGTTCCCGCTGCGTTCATCGGGACCTGGTATATGTCGTCGTAGAAAGAGCCAAAGTTCATGTAGAAAGCCCCATCAGCTTTGATGAGATTGGGATCAATGGTATTGTAAAGCTTGCCACTGTGAGAAGAAACGCCGATCGATCCATGGTCAGTCCAGGTGTTGAGCTCCATGGTAGGGGAGGTGGCGAGGCCGATGGCAGAATTCTGGGTGCCGAACGTGGAGACCGCATAGAATACGTAGTAGGTTTGTTCGATGTAATGAACATCGGGTGCCTTTATTGACACAGGGTATTAGCAATGTGAGGCAAACAGTAGCGTAGCGTACAGTCTGGACTCCGCAACTCACCCACAAGTCTGTGTTTCCAGCGAGGTTGATCTTTGAACCAGCAGGGACAACAGATCCAACCCCTTCCCAGGGGCCGTTCAGGGAGTCCGAGGTGGCGTACGTGATCTCACCACCAGTGGAAAAGCGGAAGTATTTGCCATCGGATACGCGGCGCATGAGACCAGGGTCACTAATGACACATAGACCCGAGCACGGCTCAGGGTTGGCGTAGGCATAGGCCAAGCCGGGGAGGATGGCGAGGGCTGCAAGATTCAAAAGCATGGCTTGAGAAAGAGGCAGAAGGTGATGTAGTACTTAGGAAAGCAGTGAGGGCCGTCCCCAAATAAATAAATAAGCCTATAATTCTCAGCTGGGCACGAGAAAAGGGGTTTTCAGGTGAAATATCTCTCCTGGACATCCGTGTCCCCCAAGCACCCTGTACCACCCGCAGACATGAAGGTGGGGTATGTTCAAAGCAACTGTACCCTGACTGATTTCATGTTACTTTGGAAACATCACCCGAACTGCCTAGGATGCCGGTGCAAACCAATCATCGAGAGCTTACAGGTCTATGGAGCACCATCCTTAGTTTCGCAGTCTCAAAATATGAAGGAACAGGCACGACCAGAACCAAGGGATCCACCACCGCAAGGTCGCTAGGAAAGGTACAAAGCCTAAGATGCCCCCGAATGTCTTCAGTCGCATGCTAAGCCATATTCAAATTTACTTTGGTCGCAGTTATACATACAGGAATATGGGGCCAATTAAATTCAAAATATTTCTATATAGTCACAATAGCCCCTCGCTTCAGTTTAATTTCCCGTTTAGCAAAATTGAAAATGCAAAACCCTTCAGGCTTCGTGATCCAAATATTAACCTCGGATCAGAAAGTGCCGGCATTATGTCTCCCTTTCCGCTATAATTTTGTTCAACCGTTCATTAGGCGGTGGGATTGCCCATGTCACCACAAATCTCAGAGTGGGCCAACATAGCTGGATAGTACTGTGGATAGAGCTCTGCTGCCTACGGTTGTGCCTGCGGAAGTGAGTTTCAAAATAAGTACGCTCTGAGCCATGATATTGTAGAAATACATCCTTTTGTACCTTGAAAGGGCATGATCAGGCTCACTCTTCTTCGGCAGTTGGACAGCCGACAAACATAGAATAGGGCTGGTTATAGTGGGGGGTGTTTCTTCCGCTAAGGATTCATTGGTGACAGGCGTTGCAACGAAGTGGAACACTTTCATGTCCCTGAAGCGCCACAATCGTAAGTGGGCACTGCGTAGGAGGCGGAAGTAGGATCTAAGTCACCCGCTAAGACCAATTCGCTCCGAGTATGTCTCAGATTTCAAGCCAGCGGTGCTACTGGTGCTGCCACCGCATACCCTGCCTTCGGAAGATAGAAGAAGCTAATCTCGCTGTGTTCACGGCGATGCCACTTCTTGATAGAAAAGGTTCGATGCTTACTTCCATACTTCCATACGAGCGATTCCAGCGTCAAACAGGCCTGTGTGTATACGTAACGTTACTATTGGGTAAAAAGAAGTCGAGGGCCAACCTGCATGGGGAGTAAAAATCAGCAAAGTAGACGGCCATAGACGTGGTCAATAATACAAACAGTCTAAACTAGTCAAACACTTCTAGCGACAGGGTCCAAGTTAGGATCGGTCAATTATAGGCGATCACTGTCAGCTATGAGACGATCGCAAACATCAAGGGTTTTATCAGTGGGCCTGGGGCTTACAGTGCGCACAGCTTTCCCAAAAGGGTATCGGCCAAGATGTAGCTACTGGTTAGAACTTTCAACCCGAAACACTAATCCTCTGAAGATAGGTACGGAATTACGGATACGGAGTGCATATCCACTTCTCACTCAGAGCTCCACCTTTCACTGATAAGCTTCAGGCTCTGCCAAGCTAATTAATTTATCCGGGTATACATCGGACTGCCTGGATGTGATTTCCTTATTGTCCCACCTGATCTAGAAAGATATTACTCACATGACAGGCCTATCTGACAGGCAAAGAGTGAGATACGTTGGGAATCCGTGAAGGTGTAGCGAGTAAATTTCCGCTTTATAATCGTCCTCGGAAAGCGATCATGCAGGTGAGTATAATGGACATGTTATGACTGCCAATTGAATCTTTCGCCTGCTGCACCAGAACGGTCTATCGGAGATCAATCTGTCCCTGACTTTGAAAGCAAGTCCACTAGGCTGGGCGATCGGCTCGGGTCATTTTGCGGTGATTTTAGTGGCAGGTTCGTAATAACTTGGAGTAACTGCCTGTATATGATCTTTCCTGTTACGCGACGCCAGATCATTCATGTCAGATGCGCATGTATCATCATAGAGTACAATGAGAATTATTCAGCATGTTGGCTGTATTCAGATCATTACCAGGCATTCACTTTCAAGGGTCCTGTCCGAAAACGGACTAGCGGGCTATACACATTTTGGTGACAGTGTTAGTATGTTCCGCTGATGACAGGATTCTGACGCGGTCATTTGCCATTCAGCTCTCTAACTTTTCCGCCTTTCGCTGAAAGCTCGCACTCTTACTATGTCCATTAAACGAACCTGGGGTCGAATCGTGGGGAGTATGAGAAGGCTCTCCATCATGGACAACGACAAGGCTGAAGAAGCTTTAGAAACGCTGGAACAGACCTGCTCTATCCTCTGGAACGCTAAAACTGGCACTGTTCCAACCGAAGTACTCGCTCGTCTGCCGCTGTCCCTTGTAAGCCTTGATCACCAGTCTGTTACCTCAGGGCTGAACGTGCGTTACTTCATTCCGTGGAAGGAGGGGGATCTACGACGTTACGAAAGAAATCTTGCGCCCGTGGAAGGAAATGAGAGGATTTCATGTGAAGAGAATATTCTCCTAAATGGATGTCCGATAGGTTACAGATTGTCCAGACCATGGGGTAGCGGTGGGGAATGGGCGGAAACAATGTGTTCTCGTTTGCTTACAGAAGTGGACATTGCACCCCGCAAAGGCACTCAGGGTGATATGCTAGCCTTGAAGTCGGTGACTGGATGGAGACACCATATGTACGTGCATTTTCTGCAACCATGCTGCGAGCCTGACTCACTTTATGCGTGAACAGCGGGATTCCTGATGAGCCCCCAATTCCACAGCCGTGGTACATACAGAGGGAAAGCTACCAATGGGGCCCATACTGTTACTGGACATTGCGCGGCAATAAGCACCCACACGTCAAGGCCTCGATGTTCCATGGCGTTGATGGCACCGATGGAATGGTCTTAAGGGAAGAGATCATGGTCATCATCCTTGTAATGATCAGTCGACTGGAAAACAAAGACTTCAGAAAGCATGCTGTCGTTCCTGTATGTCATCTCCATTTCTTATGGGAAGCTTTTTCACGCTTCTATATAAGTTAACCCTTCTTGCTTCTCATCACCTAGGTTATGCTGTTTTCGTTCATGAGAAACCGCCGTGGCCGCATTCTATTCGCACATTGCCTGGGGAACAGACTCGTTATCGAGATGTCGCCTCTATGTCCATTCGAAGTTGAAGGGGAGGGATGGAATGATTCTCTGGCCCTGTTTACGCGCTATCAGGCTGCTGTACCTTCATCAACAGATACAACCAAGTTTCCAGTTGGGCCTGACGGGACTTCTTAGAGCATTGTGGTATTTCCTTGGCAAACCGGAGATACTTACTCTAATATTATTATGCTTGACATTTAACAACATCGAATGTCTTCGTCTGCCTCGATGGCTTCCAGAATACCCTGCCTGGGAATCTCCTTTGGGCGTTACGCCATTCCCTCTAGTTTCATCTTTTACGAGCTGTAGAAGAGATATCGAAATAAACCAAAAAATAATAAAAATAAGATTAAAAAAATGAAAAGCACACTTGAGACTATAAGATAAGTTGCCCTCAGTGAAGTTCTTCCTTACGATGCCAATGCATAGTGAAATGACGAAGTCCCTTCCTGTGACCTAGATGTAGTGCTGCGATACCTGAAATTGTTAGGTGCGCACTGGCTTTGATGAACCAGAAATAGAGGCTGGAGGTTTGTTAGTATAAATTCGAGCGGGCTGATTATTCTTGGTGAGCTGGCTCGACTGTACTAGTCGCTTACTATGACAATAACAGCTCGTTGTTCCATGCCTTTGGGGCTGTTGACCAGCACTTGGGTCTCTTGTTACAGGTTGTGAATATTCGATCCCGATGTTTCTCCGCCACACCGTAATAAAAAATGCTACGCGGGAGGCAGGGTTCTGTAACTCGTAAGTAGGAACCGGGACGGCTTTCTATTAGCCAACAATTGTGATCCTTAGACTGCGTCGTAATTGCTAGACCTAGTCTGCCAACCTTTTGATCAGTAACATCAAGTCTGATCTGTCACGTGAGTATCAAGTTTGGAGTGCAGTGCTATTTATGGAATCTGTAATGATAGCATAAGACTTGCTCTTGTCGGAACAGGCAGACCTGGATTTCCGGTCACTAAAGCTTCCTAGATTTCAATATAGCGCAGAATATGTAGTAATAGATAAATAATGGATATTTGTTGCAGAGGTTCCGCTCAGAAGGAAATCGAAAAAGGCAACAAATTGAAAAGTATCAAAGAAAGATGATAAGAAGGCGGCCCTGCATCTTAGGAATTCTTGGCCGGAAATCAGGAAGTACAATTAAATCATTAGATAGTCTTCTCTCTTAAATTACTGTGTAATATTTAATTTATAAAATAATTCCCTGGCCAGTGAAGGATAAGTCTACATTTTCTATAATCTCATATCATTAATAAGAGGATCTAGTGGAACACAGATTGTGAATAGGTTGGTAAGCTTAATGCGACAACTGAAAAATGAGGTTCTCTTGTTACTATATGATGAAGTAAGGAAAATAAAATTCAGACTTCATGACTTGAACTTTGGTGCTATTCCCACCCCATACACAGCCACTTCTAACAAGAGCCACTATCTACTGCAACTCCGAGAGCAGAATAACCTTCCATCGGAATTCCGAGCATGGCCGAAAAATTAACTTTGTATTTCAACTAATCCTCTTCTGTGGTACATTTCCGAGCGGCATTACTATGACCCGAGGGTTGCGGTCGGAGAAAGGGAACATCGAGTTTGCTCTCCCATAACTGGTCACTACATCTCTTTTCATGATTATTGAGATCTTCTTCTCTAATATTACAGAGTGCGAGTGACATCAAGACCAGATATGGCTAAAAGCCAGAGTCGCCCCCCTCGAAGAAAAGCATGTAGTAACTGCATTAAGTCCAAGGTACGGTGCACTCTAGATCGACCCGCATGCTCTCGATGCAAGGTGACTGGCCGAAACTGCGATTATGGTACGACGTCTCTGGCTTCGGGGCAGCGAAATTCCTCTCGCCTACAAGAAGGACATAGTGGAGAAGCCGGTTCGTTAGAGAGTCAAAGTGTACCTTCGCCTTCAGTCCCAGAATTCAGTTCAAGAGTGTTGCAGACGCCACCATCTTTGTCATGTACTCCCAGTCCTTCTGCCAACAATATCATATGGGACCCGCCAACCCGGCAGTCTCAGGAGCTTCCCGTCGAAGCAACGTCGAAAGAAAATGAACTGAACTTCGGAGCGATCCATTTGACCCCGAGCTCTATTGCAGAGGATATTCGCGACCGGTGGCTTAGGCCGTTTTTCCTGCCTGCGCACGGACGAAGTGAAACTCCGAAAGTCTGCCATCCTTATACCCTACAATTTCTTGCACGGATCTTGAAGACATATCCACGATATATGTTGAGAGATGGACGACCCCCTCCTATTATTCACCATGTCCAGGTCAGGGAGAATAAGACGCCTCGAGCACTAGCGAACTGCTACAGTCTGGTACGTATGTGGGAACAGGCAGTCCCGGGAAGCGAGGAGATAGTCATGAATACAGTCGCAGGGGAGATGGCAAGACTCGCCAGTGAGGTATGCATATCCTTAATTGCACATGAGATAAAGTTATGAAGCAAAGGTGGTAACAAGATTAAAGAGTCCGAATCAACATGACTACGAGCTCCTCTCTAGCTTTCAAGCCTACCTCATCTACTCAGTCTTGATCTACTTTGGCCCTCAAGGTAATTTCACAGACACGATCATGATAACCCTCATGGATATGGCATCTCAGACCGCTCGAAACGGCCTCTTCTGTGATGCTGAGTTAGCACGGACCAGACCGACATGGGAATCCTGGATTGTCGCAGCCACAAAACGCCGTGCAATTTTCACTCTCTACCTCTTTAGCAATATCTATAACGCTGACCGTATGCTACCTAATTTCGTCGCAGAGGAGCTGAGAGGCGTATATGCGCCGGGTAATAAGACACTATGGGAAGCAGCTGACCGAGAAACGTGGAATAAGGAGTACGATAGATACCTATTAGATTGGCAAGATGGAAGCTTGGAAATATCTGAATTATGGCCATCTCCGGAGAAGGAGGAGCCGGAACGGAGGAGAAGGATCGAACGCTGGGTTCAAACAGTTGATGAGTTCGGCATGATGATGTACAGTGTTTGTGCCCATATCCATGGGTCCTAATCAAGGATATGCGACTCCAGTTGTGAATTGCATGCTAATTAAATTGCTTGTGCGCTCATTTCTTCTATATTGTATGATGTATAGTGTAGGTTTTGTGATTCAAAATAGAGAGTTATGGATATACATTCGACGCGATGATTCTCCTAGACCAAAGCACCAAGCATGCGACGTTTTTGCAAGGTCAATCCGAGAAAAGCTGATATCCTCAAGCCTCCGGGTCTCTGGCTTGATACTCTGGATCCTCCTCCATAGTCACACCGGCTTCCTCCAACAAACGAGGGAACCATCTCAACATCCGGTCACGAAAGACTTCATATCCGGCTCCTTTCCGCAGCACCTTCATATTCTCCGCATCGAAGTTCATGCCACCGCGCTTGTACACTTGCCATTTCTGTAGACCATAATCCACCACCAAGTCTACCGCATTGATCACCTTGGGCTCAATATCCTCAACCCGAAATCTCTGTCCTTGGCCTGATAAATTGGCAGAAGTCCCGAAGGTCAACATACCCGTCGGGTCATCATCACAAAGGCGACCGAGCTCTCGCAGAAATGGACCTTCAGGAACTGCTATGCTGACCGTATCACCCTTTGTGACTTGTGATAGAGTCGCCGGTTCGAGAGCTGCCAAACGCGGGTGAAGGTTTTCGGTATCGTATTTAGCAATAATCCCGACAATCATCGCCATATCTTCTGTCAAAACCCGTGTCATTTCAAACTTGGCCTCCGAAAGCAAGTGGATTTCTCGATGTTGCTTGTATGTCCCGATTATGCCGATGTTGTGACCCTCTCGACGATCCTTGGCTGAGAATATACGCTGGACTCCAGCCTGCGTACTCGTCAAGAGCGCGTAGCCGACATCTGTTGGAATGATGACGACCCCACCGCTCTTTAGAGTGTCGTGGGTCTGTTTAGCATCGCGAGGGACATTGGGCGCAGTGCCCTTCTTGGGTATGAACCGGGGAGCCATGCACGGAAGATTGTAGTACTGTTGTGTTGGAGTTCAGATACAGGGCCGGTGTCGAAGGATGAAAAGGGACGTACGCCCGATGCATAGAAGTGTGGTCACAGGCTTTAGAAGTAAGGATGAACATAATATATCAAGCGATGCGAGTAAACGCGATCCTGTCATTATGACGCGGAGATACCGCGGTTTCCTCGGAGCAACGCCGTTCGGAGTTGTACCACGGAAGAGATCTCTTTAGGATACAAAGTTAATTTCATATCCACACTCGGAATTCCGATAACAGATTTACTTTGCTTTCGGAGTTGCAGTAGGTATCTCATCCATATATAAAACTTCATGGTTCGGTTTATAGAGCATGTAGAGCTTGCTTTCTATCTGTCGCTCGTTTTTATAAAATAACTTTCTACTATATTTTACATCTGAAGTTACAGTATACTACATATCAACTATTACATGAGTGCTGTGTCCTCCAGCATGGATGTCTTACTGCGAGAAAGTGCGTTCGGCCGAATTCTCAACTACCTCTCCAATGGCAACCTTTTTCGGGCCCCTGACCACGCAAAATCGAAAAGTGAAGTGACCACGAGCGAAAGTCCGTCGCCTGCATCTCCAGGTGCTCTTGACTTTATCCTTGTGGATTTCAGCGGACCCGATGATCCAGACATTCCCAGGAATTGGCCAATGTTGGCGAAGACAGTTGCCATGATCGATGTGATGTTGTTGAACTTCAGTTTCTACGCGGCATCAGCAATCTTCACGCCGAGTATTCCCTTGATTGAGAAAGATTTAGGTGCGACAACTGCCGAAGGAACATTAGGACTCTCCCTTTTCGTTATAGCATATGGCATCGGGCCTCTCATTGTGCGTCGACTTTTTCCATTCACATATGATCTTTATCTTGTTTGCTAATGACGGAATGCTTCCAGCTTTCTCCTCTGTCCAACTTACCCTCGATTGGACGCACTCCGGTATATGTACTCGGCTCTTTTGCATTTTGCCTGTTTAATATTGGGACTGCCCTGGCCAAGAACCTGCAAACCATACTAGTCCTGCGCTTTTTTGGGGGCCTTGTCGGAAGTGCACCTATTAGTGTGGGAGGCGCTACACTGATGGAGGTCTTCAAGCCTAACCAGTGCCCGTATGCGATTGCCCTGTACGCGGTCAGTGGAGTCTGCGGGCCGATTTTAGGGCCGGTATGTCATTTTCCGTCGAGCTACTTAGTGTATATGAGCTAACTAGGTGACTATAGATACTCGGGACTCTGGTAATGTAAGAGTTGATCCCTCCAATCCGGCAATGTCGATGCTAATGGACAATATAGAGAGCGCTGGCAAACATGGACTGCGACTCTGTGGCTTCTCTCAGGCGTCACAGCCTTTACGACAGTGTTCATATTTTTCTTATTGCCCGAGACATTGAGCACCAATATCCTTCTACGCCGGGCACAAAGACTACGCAGACAGACGGGAGACCCTGCATATCAAAGTCAAGCCGAGTTAGATACACCAGGCGCATCTCTTGCCGTGCGCATTGCTAGACAAACAGTGGATGACTTCAAACTCTCTTGCACGGACCCAGTGATCCTATTTGTCAACATGCATACAATGCTCATCTATGGCATACTGTACCTATGGTTTGAGTTCTTTCCATTCGGTGAGTCAACCCAATTCTGGCCGTACCTTGCCCACAAATTACTCACTGGTCATAGTGTTCGATGGAATCTACCATTTCAATGATATTCAACAAGGCCGTAAGTCGCTAACCAAGTTCTCTTTGAAACTAATCTAATCTGCATTTAAGTTGCATTCTTCGGTATCCTTGTGGGTGCCGCACTTTCCGTCATTGTATACGTCCTATGGTTATACTTTTCATACCAGCCACGGGTCGCAAATTCGGACATCATTGTCGAACCTGAAGCGCGTCTAGTCCCCGGTCAAATCGGAGCAGTGTGCATTCCGATCTGTCTCTTCATTTTTGCCTGGACATCTCGAGAGAGGTAAGCGCATGAATGCCGTTTAATATGCACAACCAAGCATTAACACAAGTTTAGCGTACATTGGATCGTTCCTATCATTGGGACTGCTTTCTTTGCACCAGGCTTCTATCTCACATTCCAATCTGTACTAAATTACCTCGGAGAGTCCTATCCAAGATATATAGCAAGTGTGTTTGCTGGAAATACCTTCTTCCGAAGCTCATTTGGCGGTGCATTACCTTTGGCTGCTCCGCAGATGCTGAAGTCGCTCGGCATTGGATGGTCGTCGAGCACGTTGGGCTTTATTTCTGTTGCAATGCTTCCCTTACCTTTTATTCTGGAGCGGGTAAGATACCTTCATGGCTACAAAGAATATGGAGATCTAGCTAATTCTTCGATAGTATGGAAAGCGTCTGCGCTCGTGGAGCAAGTACGCCAATTAGTTATTCCTGGGGATCCAAATCCTTCTTCGGGCTGCTGTACGGGCTGCTGTGGTATGGGCAGAATGGCTTTTTGCCCGTTTTACGACCAGGAATAGAAATAATTCTCTGGTTGTCGGCCTCTGCTTTGTTCCAATCACTGGCACAGGACAGACCGAGACTCCATCGACCCACAGCCTGGGTACGTCCACCATGGCTCGGCCAAATTTCTTGACGGTTATAGAATATCCTTTCCCACTTTCTTTGATTCCTATATTCAGTTTTCTGATATAACTTTGTAATACAAAATGTTCGTGGTTTCCATGCTACAATTGCATATTGTGTATTGAAGTCGACTTATCCACCACAATTATTGGATGAGATCTAGCGAAATATTCAGACAGTTCATCATTGATAGTCGATGGTTAGCTAAATACAAATCTATATCATCCAACAATCATTGCCCTCTGCCACATCTTGAGAGTAAGACAGACCTTTAGCTTGCTAGTTAAGAGTCAATGTGCGAAGCCCTTTTGAATGTACGACTCTCTTTCCTACACCCGCTCATATCAATCCGACCGGACAGCGCGAATCATCCTACTTAGACCTTCTTTCAAGACGTGTGGTGGATGCGCAAACACCATGCGAAACCACCCTGTTTCTTCTGCAGCATAAATAGTTCCCGGCGCGATGTACACCTTTTCTTGTCTAAGCCTAGCAAGGATGTCCTGATCAGTGGCTGTTCGGCTTTTCATCAGAGCCCCCAGGTTCAACCATATAAAAAAGGCAGCGTTGCACTCCACGTAGGGAATATTATGGGCCTGGAGAAACCTTGTCGCAAATTGATAGCTTTCTGCAAGCCGACTCCTGTTGGTCGAGGTGTATTCCTCCAAGAACCTGTCATCTGTAAGTAATGATGAGGCGATACGGTCTGCAACGCTGGACGGGAAATTATAAAGTCTACATAAAAGAGAACGGTTAGCATTTGTCCCAATAGGAGGCATATTGTGAGATCCCTACGATATCCCTTCTACTGCGTCCAAAAGCTTTCTGTTGTATTTGCTGATTAGGCATCCGATTCGTAAGCCCGTTGAACCATAATCCTGCTCAGTATTAGACACTATTGCTCACAGGGATCACTGAAGAGATGTCAAACTTTGCTTAACCCCCAAACAACATGCACCATTCTTGGATCCATGAACTCCTCTATCTTAAATGATAATATCGACTTGAAAGTGGGCGCATCAGGAAGGCGCGGATTTTCCCAGACAGACTGCGCGTAGATTTCGTCGCTGATCAAATGAAGTCCGTTTCTGGAACAAAACTTCATATACTCCTTCAAGGCATCGTCGGAGTAGCAGAGTCCTTGGAAGTGGTTCAATGAATTGTAACTCCTATTTCGCTTGAATGACACTGGAACCTACCAAGAGGATTATGTGGCGAGCACAGCAGTAAAGCCTTGACTTGTAGGCCTTTCCTTTTCGCCTCTGCCCAAGTCCGCTCATACTCGTTGATAGCGGCGATGCTGAACGGGTCGGTTGTGCCGAAGGCGACTTCAATTAATTCGATCCTGTAACAATCAGCGCCTTAACCATGAACAAATTATGATGACATCCCTTACTGTGGTCGCGTTCCAAATATAGTCTTGAAAGCGTTGAAGTAGGGGCGTCGCACAAGGATGTAGTCACCAGCATCGGCTAAAGCCCAGGCACAGCACTCGAGTGCGTTGCTGACACCTGACGTGACGGCAATATCGCACGGATATAGTGCAGTTTGGGGGTTGAAATAACGGTTCAAGAATTGGCAGATGGCATTTTTAAGCAGATGTGAGCCACTAAACCCGTCCCCGTAGGTTAATACGTGTGCGTCAAATTGAGCCTGTGACTGTTAGTATGAGGTATTGGGGAAAGAAGAAGTGGAAATAATCATTACATTGCTGTTGACAAATTCCATCATCTCTGCATGCATGAGGGTCTGAGCAATATTAGTGATGAGACCATAAAGAAGACCGTGCAATTTCGTCCTACATTCTCGGCCAGACCCAGATTGACTATACCTTCGGGATTGGACTGCGCATCCCAGAGATCCCTCAAAACGTCCAGGAAGGCCGGTTTCTGGGCTGCGAGCGCCCTACCTCTTGCTGAAGTAATTTCCATGATGTGTTCTGTGCAATAGAAAGCCCTAGGGAAAAGTGCAAGTACAAGACATACGATGTTACAAAGCCCCAACTCAATATAGGACGTACATTCTTCACATGACGCCACGTGGGGCATGTTTCGGGAAGGCGCATCTGCATCTGGTTGCGGCTATTGCGGGTGGAACGGGAAGATCATCGACATTATTCTCCCTTGAACTTGATCATATCTTCTCTCTTTTCTAGAAGCGCGTGTTTTAGTTTCCCAAAAAATATACGAAGTGATGGCCGATGACAACCTACCTGCTGTCGACTTCATTGACCGCAGGGGGCTCATTCTCGATTCAGAGCGCAAGTCTGTCACCAACATTCACCCCAAAGGCTTCTTCATACGGCATCCCCCTGCACCCCACGAACTTAATGAGGATCTGACACCGGAATCAAAGCTATTCCAGACTATTCACATGGGAGCCGCCGTCGTGGATACCGGGCGCTGGAAGCTCATCGTAGACGGGCTTGTTGAGCGCCCTTTTTCCATCAATCTCGATCAATTACGAAAGATGCCGTCCGAGACAGTCACCTCTTTCCATGAATGCTACGGCAGCCCCATAAATCCTCCCACAAAGAATGTTTGGCGCATTGGCAATGTCAAATGGACGGGCGTCCCGCTGCATTATCTGCTGTCCATTGCTCGGCCAGATCTTGAGCGAGGACTGTTTGTTTGGTCCGATGGGCTGGACTCGGGTGAATTTGCCGGCGTCTCAGCCGAAAGGTACCAAAAGGACTTACCCATCAAGAAAGCTTTATCGTGCGAAGTTCTTGTTGCTTACGAAATGAATGGCCAACCGTTAACCAAGGAGCGCGGTGGACCAGTGAGGTTAGTTGTTCCAGGATGGTTTGGGACGAATTCCACCAAGTGGTTGTGTCGATTATCAGTGCAGGCAACAAGATCAAAGGGGCCATTTACTACTGTCTTTTATAATGAGCTTGATCCAACGGACTCCGAAGGCGTCCGGAAAAGGCCCGTTTGGAAGGTTGAGCCAAATGCGATGATTGTCCGCCCTCGTCCGGACGATGTAATTGTCGGTCTTGGGTACGTTGAGGGCTGGGGGCGCGCATGGGGGGCAGACGAGATTGTGAGGGTTGGAGTCAGTCTCGATGGGGACAGTTGGGATGAGGCAATTGTGTCACCTCGGAAGCAGTTTGAGTGGCAGATATTCTCCTTTCGAGTGGAAGTTCACCGAAACGGGAGACATCACATTCAAGCAAGGGCTACGGATAAATCTGGTGCACGGCAGCCACTAACCGGAAGGCGAAATCACGTTCCAACTGTTCAGATTTGGGTACAGTCTAATATCCCTTAGGGGAACATATCGCATGAAAAAGAACAGTAGCTGAGAAGCACTATTTCATGCGCATAATTGGCTATTGTAATCACCAATGAGCCTTTTGGAATTTGCTTATAAAGACTGCGGGCATAAGTCTCAATGTCTCAATGGCAGGCGACCGTGTAGTTCAGCTGCAATGGTGTTACTGAGGAGTATGAACAGGACAGTGATTGCCAAGAGAACAACTTCCTGTCAAATGCCCCCTTGAAACATGCACACGCGGGGTTACTGTCCTGATGGGATCGCCACCATTACTAAAGTGGGTGGTTTCGAGAAGGGACCCGTGGATATATTGTCGAATATATATACATGTCCCTGCTTCCCGCAAAGGGCCAACACAACTTCTTTTGCTAGTAAATCATTACTTATGCGAAAGATGATGACCAGCCTGTATGGAGGGATTTGGTATACTATACTCTGATCATGCCTCACACCAATACGTGATCACACATACTCATTCCTTTCCTAAAAGTGTAACCACCAGGAGAAACAAGTATTCGGTGTTTATTCCTTGAAGGCTATGTATCTTAGTTGAGCTTTAAAAAAGCACATACGACCACAGGGTGTGGAAAACAGGGCTTCCCGTCCGCTCAGCCGTACTTAAGCCACACGCCGGGAGGTTAGTAGTTGGGTGGGTGACCACCAGCGAATCCCTTCTGTTGTATGTTTTTGCCATTTCTATGGCGTTATATTATTTTGAGCTTCACTGGTCTCACTAATGTGTCAGTCCACTCCTGCTTGCATGGTGTAGGTCGAGGTCTACGACTTGCGCTAGAGCCACGACCCGAGGAACGAGACAGCGGCAGCGGCCAAGGTTGACCGCCGAACTTTAGCTGTGACTGGGATTCTTTTTCCCTCTAGTAAAATAATCAGACTAAAGCCCCTTTTAACATTTTTCGAAGAAGCTCTTCTCCAAACCATCTCTCTGAGATCATCTAAACATTTCATCTTACTAATACCTTATTAAATACATATGGAGGCATCTACCGGGAATAGGGCTTTTTAAAGAACGTTTAGAAAGAGCTTTGGAAAAAATTCCTGGGCAAATCTGAAAGAGGTAGAAAAATAGCAAAGAAAGAAAGAAAGAAAATTAATAACTACGTGTCTGTACATAAATGACAAAAAGAATACCCATGTAAGAGAGATTGTTATATGACACTATACCCAATATAGCCTAGCGTTATATTTAGAGCTAGTCTATATTTAGTTATCTAAGAGGATACGAATATACGAACAACGCATTGAAGGGTACGTATAACAAGACCCTTTGTCTACCCTCTACCCTGTATAGTAGGTGGGTATGATTGCCGTATCCGTGATACTCGATTGCTGAGTGAATTGCCACTGTGCAGTGCCACTAGCCCTGCTCCTTGAAATGAAACCCCGCTGTCTAACCACAGCGTTTGGTTTATTGGGTACTGTGTGTGGAATGTTTTAAATGCTAACTTGTTGGGTTCTGTCCAAAGGACCACCTCATCATTTTCACAACTCTTCCAGCAACCAAAATTGGGTAGAATGGTCGATGATTATTCGGCTGTAGTGGACAGGCAAGGCCAGTCAACGATGCCTTTGTTCCAGGCAGGACGCACTCTGCGCTCCGCCTCAATATCTTCCGCCGCGAGGCTGCTTGATTTTAATCCTGCGGCGGGGGTTTGGCAAGCCACAGGGACTGCTATCGCACACGCCCCAAATTTCGCCGATCTGAGATCATCTGATGAGGTGGCATTTGATTTTCACGCTCGCACTGTACGTCGAAGCAACACTCAACCTGCGATTGACCGTCCTATTCCCCGAAGAGCGACAGCCCCTGCTATCGGTCCTGGCCCCTGGGAAGCAGAGGACCCAGTGCTCCCCCTTGGGGCTCAGCCCGATCGCGACCACTATTCAGATCTTTCTGAGGGAGCGGTTTCATGGCGCGACACATGCAAAAGATTTCCGCTTGTGGTGTGGGAATTCCTCTGCACACCTACGGGCTTCTTCATAACTGTTTACGGCCTTAACGTTATTGCCTGGGGCGCTATGCTATTCTTTCTCCTATTGGATGTGGGATCCATGAGCAAGGAGCAGAAAAAAGTCTGGATTGAGATAGATTCTCAGATCCTGAATGGCTTGTTTTGCTTGACCTCGTGGGGTCTAGCACCATGGCGAATTCGCGATACATATTGGCTACTCCAATGGCGCCTGTGCGACGGCGTAAAATCGAGAAAGTCGATGGAGAAGCTTGCAAAGCGAAACGCTAGCTGGTTCAGATTGCAGCCTTCTGACTCTGATGAATTGACTTTGCAAACGACCCTGACCGGTAAAATTGCGCCACCTACCAGCGAATGGAAAATGGACTTCGTCATCATCAACATGCTATTGAATACTCTGTTCCAAGTCGGCATGGCGGCATTTATGTGGTGCTACAACCGGAATAATCGTCCAAGCTATGCAGTTGGACTTTTCATCGGCCTGGGTTGTTTCAGCTCCCTTTTAGCTGGGGTAATGTCATGGTGGGAAGGACGGAAAGTCAAACGGATTGAAGGGTGTCTTGTAGAAGATATAAATGAAAGCCAATATCAGGTAGTTAATACGGTCTGACCGTAATGTACAAATTATTTAGCTTCTTCAAATAAACCATGGCAGAAATGGCGTAAAGACCAACAAACACTAACTCTGACACATCGCGATGAGGCCAACTTCTGTCAGGCGTAACAGATATGCCACCGGATGTCGTCTTCCTGAAGACACATAGTTGTTAGGCCTTTCCATCACATCTCCTGCGTGATTCAAGCAATGGTGGTGCCCAAGGGAGGAAGGTGAGGCGCTAGCCAGGCCTTGTGAGTACCCCATTATGGGGCTGCTTTGGAAGCGAAGCAGAAGCTGTTCTTTCCGTACTTTTCTCCAGCTTTATAATCATGAAGGGGACTGTCTAAGTAAATACTGAGACCTTAGTGGTTGCGGGTATGAAGTCGCTGGTAATGCAAAAAAAGCGGCCGCCTGTCACAGATCAAGGTGCTGTAGTGTAGTGGTCATCATGAAACGTTGTGGTTCTCCGCAGCGCCGTTTCGACCTGGGTTCGATTCCCAGCAGCGCCATCAATTGGCGTGTGTGCTTGATTTGTCTTTTTACATTTTATATGCCGTTTGCGCGTGTTCTCTAGATTTTGTTTTTAAAGTAAAATTTAACAAACACAGCCCACAAGTAAATTATTGTCCGATTAGGTCCAACGATCCGAGCGGAAATGTTTTCCGTGAACGCCGCCGCCCCCTTCTCAGGCATGGCGCCGACCATCCATGTAGTTAACACGAAGTGCTAGACCCCATTTTCATAGCCAAACACAGAATGAGATATAGACCAAGCGTGCTTTCAATTATTTAGATCTCTAAGCTCTGACCGTCGGGCAAGTCCGGCAGAGTACAGCCTCGTGTGGGGCCAATTCTTCTAAACTGATTTGACTTGCTGACCGAATGATTGTTGTTTCGAGGCGTGGCCGTTCTTCTTCCCGACTGCTTCAATACCATTAGAATTTTATGTATGATCCTGAAATTCATGGAATATGGTCTCCCAAAAATTATGTCGGACCTGGGCCCCAGTACCATCATACCGAAGGTACCGATCTCGACCCAACCGCTGAGAAGTTCTTCGTTATACATTGTGGAGAGCCCCATTCTACACATCACCCCAGACTAAGATAAGCTCACGACACCATGCACTGGAGACATGATCATGTTCAGCACGTCGTAATATCATTGCCCTAACATGCACTAGATTGACCCTCTTCCTCCACACGTTTGGCCCCCTTCCTTGGCCCCTTTGGCCCCAGTTCCTGGCTAGGCCTGCCGATCTCCATACAACCCGGGGCGGTGCCTGATCCTGCAGTAGCACTCGAGATTGGCTGGCCCCGTAAGCACGGAGAGAAGTCTATAAGTTGCGGCAGGGGCACCCTTTCTGTCTTGATCTCTAGATACGCTTTATACATGAATTGAACAAGATACCCCAGAATCCACCTCAATTGAACCCTCTTATCAAATAACTCAAACAATCGCCCACAATAGGCAGACACAGCCGATATGAAGCCACTCCAGCTCATCCCAACCCTCCTCCTCTCCCTCGTCCCTACGCTCACCCACGCATCCGATAGCGACGACATTCCCTCCGGCGCCAAGCTCTGCCAACCCCAAGGTAAAGGCAGCTGCCAATTCGGCGTATACCAATTATATCCGGGTATCGATTGCTACCACCAAACGATGAATTCCGCCTACCTCTTCGATCACGCATGCAACATCATCGGCCATGTGGAGAACTTCACCCAGGGCGACGCCATGACCTCGCAGCTACCGTATACTCTGGACATTGAGAACGTCTTTGGTTATCCATCTTGCTACCTCAAATATGAGATTGCCTACAGTGATGGCTTGTATGGGTATAGCATGCCCTCGGGAGGTGTTTGGGATGACTGCGAGAAGGGCGATGACTTTCTGTGCACTTGGTATAGGGTGGCGTTTGACTGTCCTGGATTCTAGCGAATTGTTGTTTTAAATCATGGATGGGATTGGAGTACGGAAAGGTTATTTTGCAGGTGGTACAGGGGACAAAATGGTATTTCACAGAATTAGACCGCTCATTCTGGATAGGTCAACTCCCGCGCAGTCATATACATAATAGCCCAAAGAAAACTATCCACATTGCAAATGTAACTCAAATCACTCCTTGGAGCAACACCCTTCGAGAACCTGCGGCGCTTGGGAAGTATCCAGCCTGCAGAAACACGACGCCTTGATGGGGACATCCGCCACCGCAAGAGCCAACTTAACCGACTGCTCAATCATAGCCGCCTCATCCAGCTTCCCCAGTCTGACCAAACACTCATGATACCCCTGCAATGACCAAACATTGTTAGGGTGACGGCACTGACGAACAAGCGTGTTGTCCAGTCCCAGATCGGCACGATACACCTGCGCTGCTTCTTCCAGATGCCCCTGTTCCATCAGAAGAGCCGCGTACGCGTGGCGGGAAGGTTGCATCCACGACCACGGCTCACTGTAGGGCAACTTATCCTCAATATCAATAGCACGACGCAGAGCGGCAAAGGCCTGATCGTTGTTCGCGCACCGATACTCGATCTCACCTTCCAACATGGCCGCAGCCACCTGGAGCACATCGACAATCTTCCCGTTATAAGCGAGACGGGTCTCTGGAACACGCTTCCATGCTTGATTGAACCGTTCCTGCTCCTGACGAGCTGTCGGGACATCCCCGGTAGCGGCGAAGGCGACTCCTCGCGCGTAGTGGGTCATGGCTGTGGTGCCGGAGTAGAGAGTCTGATCAGTTGGCAGCTCTTTCTGTTTCAGCTCCTCCCACATGCCAAATCGCACCATTACATGCAGCCGGCTGGTTAGGAATTGCTCGAGCCAGTCAGCCATAGGCGGGGACTGGATCCGGAGGACTTCCTCGGGGACGGTGGCTTCCATGCGCGTCACTGCATCGAGAGCCATTTGCGATTTTCCGGCGAACATGGCTGCATAGATTAAGGAATGGTAGTCGTGCATACGGTAGAAGGTGTAGAAGTTGGCAGCACCTGCTTTGCGGAAATACTTGTCGTCCGCAAGGGTCGAGTTATAGTTAGAAGCAATGGAACGCCTCCAGTCTCCAATGAGGATGTCCAGATGGGTAGGCATGTGGTGGATATGACCGGCATCCGGGACAAGGTCACGAAGGTTATCGGCTGCATTTATTCCCAGTTCCGGAGTAGGTGACATCTCGATATAATGGATGTAGAGATGAAGCAGGCCGGGATGGAGATTGGCATTCTCATAAGTGAGCGCTCGGTCCAGAACGGCTTTGACTTCCATCGTGGGCGCATTAGCATTCGGCTTTCCAGTGAAAAGGTCCCACAGAGCCCACGGAGTCATGTTCATCAACGCATCCGCATAAAGTGTGGCCACGTCGATATCATCCCCGAAAGCATCGTAAACCAGCCTCATGGCGGCGGCGTAGCTCTTGTTGATGGTCGGGTAATCGTTAGGCGGAGTGTCGGCGACGAAACGAGTTTGAATTGCATCGATGAGAGCCTTCTCGAGGGGTGTTGCGTTCCCCGCATGTTCCATGGCCTTTTGTGCGGCATAAAATCCTCGTTTTACACAGGCATGCAAGTCTCTCTCATCGAACCTCTCCCAGGGCTTGTTGTAGTTTGGACCTACAGCATAGGCGAGCCCCCAGTATGCCATTGGACACGTCGGATCATTTGCAATGGCCTGTTCGAAGCAGTAGGCCCCTTCTACGTGATTGAAGGCGTAGACCCATGTTAGACCCCGGTTGAACCAGGTCTGGGTATCGGCGCTGGTGGTGCTGATAACGTGCCCATAGGAGCCAAGGTCGTAATACTCTTCGCTTGCTGGGATGGCTTGGACTGTTTCTGTAGTCATGTTGCAATGCCTTCCAGGATCATTGAGAGGGGGACTGAACAAAGAAATGTCTGCTAGAGAAGACGTCAAAATAGATGGGCGGCTGAATCGGTCATTTAGATCTAAATACGAAGAGTACAGCGTTTGTCAAAGGAGGGGGCAAGTGGGTCCCCGGAAAGGCCGAGAGTGGCGCAATCAAAACGATGCTTGACTAATACCCGTTTCAATCGCCGAACTTCAGACGCCGAAACATCTAACTTTCCTTTCTCCCCCAAACCGAGTGATATCTGCATTCTTCATTGATATACTGACCTGAAGTGATAGCCGAATTCAGGAAAAACAGCATTTAATTAAAGAGATACAAGAAGATAGGATATCAAATCTATATGCCTTCCACTTCTCGACCGGTGAAGGTGGCGTGCCTGGCCTGGTAAGTTGACGCCGAGTGATGAATCCAAGAGGTTTGATGCAAGGGACCAAAATCTAACATGAACAGTCGAGCCTCCAAAATTCGATGTGACGGGCAAAATCCATGCGCTAATGTAAGTCAGCTGTATTTCCAAAACAATAATCGATCTCTAGTAACCCAGTGTAGTGCACTATCCATCGACAAGAATGCCGGTATCAACCCAGCCGGCGAGGGGGTGCTCGACGGGGCCCTGTTGCCGCCGAGGAGCGGGCCATGAAAAAGGCCCAACGACTGCAAACTGCAACCAGGGCCAACAATCAAGCCGTGACAAACGATGATTTAACTCCGGCTCAGATATTGCAGATCAATGCAGCCACCCCGGTTTCTCTTCCATCTCCGTCTCCGATTGAAACCGGATCCCGACTATCCGATACGCTGCAGGGGAAAGACAGCCCGGGATTTCCGTTATCGCCTAGAGGCCCTAGAACTGGTCAGGAGTTTCGGGAGACTGTGGGCCATCCGACACGAAGCCTCCGTGCTTATCGGTGTGATCAAGATCTGTATGTCGTACCCATGCAATATCCCACCGGACCTTAACTGACAGATTTTTCTCCGATCGTACCCTAGGATCAATGCTTACTACATCTTCATACATCCATACCTCCCTCTACTACCCCCACCGGCTGTGTCCCAGTATGTGGACAAGCCTGTGGCTCTGAGCATGCGGTCGGCCCATGTAGATGCATCTCATCTGCCTTACTGGCCGACTACCTCACTTGGCTTGGCTATGGCAGCAATACTGACACTGATACCCCTACCGGGAGATGCGCACGCGATGGAGAATGAGGCTGTCACCTTGCGACGCTCTTATTCCGACTTTTTTGCACGCTCAGCGCTAGATGTATCGGAAGAATCTCTCGTGCCGTCTTCTAATTCCGAACTCACTCAGGGCCCATGCAGCCCCTTGCATCCGGAAATCCCCCGGCAATTGGAGCCGATCCTGGCATTAGCACTTCTCAGCCTATACGAGTACTGCCAGCGAGGAAATGTCCCCAAGATGCGCATCCGAGCCAATCAGGCATTAACCATGGCTATGGACCTATCATTACATACGCAGAAGTCTGCGAATAACTGTTCCGACGCGATCCGTCGCTGTTGGTGGTCGACGGTATGTCACATGTGTTCTCTCATCCATAGCCCATAAGTTTATGTTAACTGTCGCAGATGTTCCTCATTTATCAGTCTTCTATATTGACAACTTCGGTCTGTTCGCAGCTTCTAAATCGCGCAAGCATGGCTTCGCTAACTCCGCAATATAGGCGCCCCTAATCACAAGCGATGACTTCCGCATTACCACGCCTTATATAGTAATTCGTGGTTGTCGAGAGGTTCGCGACTCCCTTCCTCTTGACATCTATGTCTTCTAACAAGCATCAGCCATGGCCCTACGTCGTACAAGCACAATCCCTTCTTCACCGTAGCTGCACCATCACCCGCCAGCTCTTCAACGAAACCAAACACCTCGACTCTTCTCTCCTCGATATAGCCACCGAAACAGACCGCTACCGCTGCATAGCCAACTGCCAGGGCACGGAAGCCGACGCGGAGCGCGTGCTCTGGGCAATATCGCGCGTCCTAATCCATACTGCTAGATTGCTCATCCATAGAGTTCGCGCCTTCCCTGACCGTCCTGCCGATAGCTTCACGACTACTTTCAACAGCAGTACTAGCGGGAATAGCATCTCCCTCTCTTCGTCGCAAAGAACTGAAGTCGATGCCATTTTTCCATTCAATGAACAAGAATCAATGCGTATATGCATTCGCTCTGCGCTGTTGATCTCTCGAGTCTTCCGTCACCTGCCTACACCAGATCCGATGTACTCTGATACTCCTGCCGATGGAGAGACTTTGGGTTTTGGATTCGGGCTCGGACTTAGTAGTAGAGACTCGAGGCGATCGTTGACATCACCACGCTCTCTACCATATATGGCCTGGTGTGGGATGCAGAGCTTCTATGTACTTGCCATGGTGCTGTGGCGTGTGCGGGCGGCGTTGTCTGCCGGAAATCTGAGCAGTGTTTATGAATTCCTAGACCAACCGACTGAGCGGACGGCGATACAGGATGCGGAAAGGCTAGAGGAGGAGTTACACATGGGGATCGAGTCACTGAGAGTGTCAATGAAAGCGGATGGGGTGTACGAGGGTGTCGGGAGGATGGTTAGGGAGTTGGAAAGCGTGTTTGATGCTACTATGATGGGGTGATCATGGTATCGGAGAGCGAACTTGATTTCCAGACCAGGTATAGAATAAATCAGACTAGACCTGGAACGGTTGACCTTTTGGTTGAACCAGGACATATCTGTGCGGGGTACAACAATGCGTAACCAATCGGCGTTTGACGGAGTGAGCTTTCGTATCTCGGCGAAAACGGTATCCCCACCTCGGCGTCTGAACTCAACCATTCGGATAAAAGTCTAGTTGGGCGCTATTCTATGCTAACGCAGTTGATGTCGACGCTTGTTGACCAGCTATTGATTTTGATTAGTGCATTTGCTAGCGAGTATTTGGCGGTGTTGTAGGAGGACGTGCGAGTTCGGTGATTGAAGACCGATCGGAGAACTGAATAGCATGGCGATCCAATGTATCTCATGCCTTGATAACTGTGAAGAAAATCTACACAGGAGACATAGACTTTTTGCATAGAACCATGACAGACATCTATGGCAAGTTTGAACCTGGGATGTTGATGGTAATACCTCGAGACTGAATTTAGAGCCGGTATTCCTACTAGTGAAATCTTTTACCTGGATTGCAACAAATCGAATTATTGTGTTAACTACGGAAGAAGTACTAGATTTGAGGGAGTTCAATCGGCAATTGAAAGACTGGACGCGGGTGCGGACTAGCATGGTCGTATTTTGAGGATTGGGAAGCATTATAACAGTCATCTTTGACGACTTCTTGCCTTGAACCCTTGAACCCCGCGCAAAAATACTTCGCAACCATCAGATATCAAGAGCTTCCATTCCCACTCGTAAGGATGGTCACCTGAATTGCAGCAAACCTAATCATAGTGTTAGCTGGTATTTGTGTACAGAATGAAGAGCAAAAAGGATATGACGTACGCTGCCGCCGTTGCAAAAATCTCCACCCGTCTAGCCTTGACCATGAGGCCCATAACGAGCACGAATATGATATTGTACACGAAAATGATAATCAATTTGGCCGCTGTCTGTTGGATGAAGTACAGCGCGACTACCGAAGTTGTAGGTAGGAGGGCCGAGATTAGCAAGCTTACTATATATGTCCAGGATCTGATTCTCCGGTTATTGTAGTACCAAACACCAGCTTCGATATCTTTTCGGGACTGCGATCGGAGATGATTGTTAACTCAGTCTCAAGTTACTCGAGTGCAGGGGGTATATGAAATGGAACATACAGTATCCCGATATCCTAGCCATCTATGGAAAAACGGGATGACACGCGTAAACACAAGACGGGTGAACTTGTCCGTGTTATCGTGTCGGCTATGTAACGCAATCAAATCTTCAGCGTTCTCTCCACTCCACTGATCCTCCGGGGAGAAGTATCTTTTCTCGCTCTGTTCCCGGTTTAGCCACTCCTGGAGAACTTCTAGATCGGCCGTCTCCGGCTTGCTAAACTGTAGGAGCTGGGCTTGTTGGAGAAGTGCTGCATCTGCAAATGGGTAAGACCGAAGGTAAACAGCATGAGTAAGGTCAAGCATTTATAAAATGGACTGAAATTAGAGGATGAACGTACTATACTCATTCAACAATTTCCGCGCCTCGAGAACTTTCATCCACTGCTCGGGATACTCATCCTTCTGGTGGAGAGATTCCTTCAACTCCCATACTGAATAGGGATAGTTTGCCTTCTCGGGTGATGCAGAATTTTTGTCTTCAATTATAATATGCTGAAGATCTTCTTCGATGTAGGCTAATTCTGCTTGGAGGTAGAGGAGGTTTTTGGCGTTGAGCTTGGCGAATCGGCGGAAGATGCAGGATCCGGGGTCCAGAGCCATTACGGCCGCTAGTTTATCATATCCTTCTGGCTGAGCCCGCGTCATACTGGGTAAAAATTTCTTGTCTGTCTGTATGTTAGTAAGTTCTTGTGTTTGGTGATGGCTTTTTTTTTTTCACCTTGGTATCAAGGGATGAGGATTTTGTTCGTATATCATAGACTGCAACGAATTTAGACGGCTTCGCCGAAGCAGAGTTTCACGTGTTGACTTGAGGTCGAGGTTGCTTTATACTCAGTAGGTGAATGTTCGACTTCTCAATAATTAATAGAAAGGGGCCACTTGGTCGTAAACAGACTCTGAGTGAGGGATTAGTGGGTAATGATGTCGGAGCCATGCGGTTCTAAATAGTCCAGTAACATATGAGTAGCTACCAAAATAAAAGGGAAGTACGGACCAAATCTGGAACCAACAAGGCTAGTATAGTGCAGGTACCCAACAGCCTAAAAAGCAGCATGAAACACTGTCGTGGTTTTCCTCGTCATCTCACCAATTGCAGGTGGTTAGATTGGGCATTATCGCATAACAACTCCATTGAGTTGTGTCACATATTCCACTAATTAGTGCAAGTGGTCAACTTACATCACTCGAAGACAAATATCAAAGCGGAATTATGTACATGTTCCACCATTTTTCTGTCCAAAATCTTATTCTAGGTATCATTTTGCCCCTGGTATAATGTGTTCAACCGTCTGGTGATTTCTGGGTCCACTCGATACAGCTCGTGACTGCGCATTGATGGCCTGCCAATGAGAAAATCATAGGTCATATCCGGAACAACATAGAAATCGGTTTTGTAAATCTTGGTCTGTCCACAAAATGCCCATGAAACACCAACAGTTCCGAGAGGGATCATGTGCGACTGTCCCGTTATTGAAATGGGGCCTCCGTGATAGGGTCTTAGCTCAGTACCCAGTCTATGTTGCATATCGTCCGACATGATATTGACATCCGCATCGAATTTGAGGGTAAGACGTCGCCGGAGTTTGGATCCCATGGGAGACTGTACGATTATGTCGTATACAAAATCGAATTGATCCAGATTTTGGCACACCCCTGGGCTTCTCGATCCATCGTTCTCGAAAGGGACGGAGGGAAGCACATTGATGGGCTTGCCTCGCTCCTCTAGACATTCCGATCCATGAAGAGCCTGAATGTCCGAGTATGAGCCAGCTACTGAATTCTCGTCGGTCCTGGAGTATTGTCGTGGCTCCTCTTGCTGATGACCCGATGGTGGGTCGGTTCTGGCACCGGAGCAGTTGGGAAATAGTGGTTCTTCTCGCGTAGTTTTGGATCCAGATAAACCCAAGGAATGTTTTTTCACGAAGATATTTCGCAAAATTTGTCCAGCGCGACACATACCATTCAGAGAGAACATACTAAATTGATTGATTTCGACGGAGCATGGGGACTCGGTTGACGAAACTGTCTTCCATCATGAGTCAGTTATTATTATATACTTTGTTCCACTAGAACGATAACCGGGGCTAAATACGAAATCATGATGAGGCTTTGGCGTGGTTAGAGCTATTGTCCGCCCATTATTAGTGGTTTGACTTTCCTTTCCCCGGAAACCTAGGACACGATCATCAGTATCAATTGTAGTATAGACAAAGATAGGGCTTGCTTTGCATCACTGACGGGAGATGGCCTGAGGCAGGGAAAAGTAGGATGGCATTTTGAAATTCCTGAGAATAACGATGTACCAGCGGAAAGCAAACAAAATCCAGCTGTGGGAAGGAGTGAGGCCAGCCTTATGAGGGCGTAGAAGTGAGGCTGCATCAAGCGAGAAATTGACGCTGTCGGGGCAGCTTCGGCATTTGATTGGTCATTGCTAATAAAACTGATACCCGACGCTATGCAGGTAGAGACCATTTTTCCTTAAATTTCCGGTTAATGCGTCATCGATACTACGTCTATCGCATACAGTTCTTCCTCAAAGCTCGCTACAAATGGGTATTCGATATGTTTTAGGCGTCTATTCAACGCGTTCAGTCCTGGTTGGCTCATATGTTTCATATTAATGCTCCGGTTGGTGCCCGACACACCGAACAATGAAATAATACTAGCCGATGAGGGTTATCCGCCTATTGTAACAATGTTTAGCTATGCATGGCAGTCAAAGAAATGAATCTATCATGCAGTATACTACATTTAAATCTCGGTAGCGGTGTGCTAGTTCACTCACCGTCGCATAGGATGATTGACCATAATACCTTGATAAAGCTATCGAAAACATTCTAGAATGCACGGACAAAAAGAAAGTGATTATTCATTCAAGAACAAGTAACACAAATTTGAATAACAATCTTTAATCAATATAGATTCATGAGCTGGCTAAGTCCGACCGGTTGCGCCTGCACGCTGCTGACGGCGCTGCTTTTGTAGTTCAAATCTCTTATTCGCAGTTTCCTGAGCTTGGTCCCTCTTGGCTTTGAGGGCCCTTTGCTGATTTTCCTTTTGCTCTAGGTAATGGGTTAGCGTTGATTATGATAGCCAATAAAGCCCTGGTGCACGTACCCTTAGTTTGCCGGCCTAGCTGTATAGGGGCTAGAGACGAATGACTATCGGTAAAATCCTCGAGCTTAAGGAAGCAATCCGGACCCAATATCACATGCGTGTTTGGGATATCTTGAATATTGGGGTTCCCGTTCAGTGGGATGTAAAACTCTTCCTCCTCGCTACGGCTGGCACCATCACGCCAGAAGTGCAGACGAACGTAATCACGAACTTTCAACACTCCACCGTTTGTAAGTCGAAAAGCCCTCTGCGATCCTCGAATTACGGGGAAGCAATCGAGAATGTGCTGGCCTTGAAGCGTGAGGATATTGATACCAAGGTCATCCGTAAACCCAGCTCGAAGCGCCATTTGAGTCTCATCTGGCGCAGAGCAAGATATCTGCACAGTGCAAGGCGGTGCCTGAGATAGAAGGTATCCATCATTATTTCTCCTTTACTCAGCCGTGAGCGGACAGTGCAATATAAAACATACCATATTTCCCGAAACGAATCTCCTTGCAATGTCAATATTATCTCAGCGCTGTGCAAGTGGATTTGTTTTGTGTGGTTGGCTTCGGGCTATTTTCTAGGCGGACATGGGTTTCATATCTTCGCAGCATCATCAAGTCACCTGTAAGAGCCGCAACATTGCCTTCCTGGCATTCCTAAAATACCGTTACAGTGTTGTCAGAATGCATCACGAATGAAGAAAGTTAATCGGACTGGCTACGCCCTCTGACAGGAACGGCCCTATGGGGTGGGGACACATTCATGGCACATAAAGCCTTGCCAGCAAGTCAGGTACAAGTGATGACATTGGGTCTTGGTTTTCCAACGCCTGGTTGGGCACGATTACCATTCGAGGAAGGGTTGGTGTGGCTGGGTTCTAATGCAGGCTCCCGGCAGGAACAACGAACATGAATGGCACGGCAGGCAATAGCGGCCATCAGGCAAAAATGTTTTCTAGGATACTTGCCGGCAGAATAGTCAAAGACTAAAATGAAATAAGCTAAATAAATAAAAATAGAATAATCCTACATTCTATCCCAGGATTCCAAGAAAACTCTATGTTTTCCCACGGCTTCTGTGTTTATTGTTGAATGTATATGAAATTATTCGAAAGACTATTTTAAAGTCTATAAGAGGTGAAGATTCCACGGTTTACAACCCCTACAACGCACGAAAGATAGTCCAAATATGCATTTTCCTCAAGAATTAAACGCCTATCGCTAATATCAGATGACACTAGGAAACCCATGACTTGATATCTCATCCTGTTAAAACAAGCCAATAGTTAACTCCTCAAAGCAAGCTTGTTTCGCACGTAGCCTCCCAATATATAAAAAACACGACATATCCAAACCATCTGAATGCAAACGAGTGTTGAAGGTTTTAAAAACGAGGTAAGAAACACAAGTTCCCAAACCCTTAACCATGCTTTTCCAAAGGCCGTACGACCACATCGGGGATGTCAGCACCCAAATGTAGAAGATGGTACCTCTTGATTTCCCGTTCACCAATGAGGACATCATACTGGTCCGTGTCCACAACAAGAAATTCTGTCGTGTAAGTCCGAGGGGCAAGAGCAAAGTGCCAGTCAACATGACGGACAAGGCCGATTGGTCGGATTGGTGTTTCGGCAGATCTCGTCTGCAACGGAACTATGTCCATCGAGAAATGGTGCAGTGGCAGGCCTAACTTGTCAAAAATGCCCTTGCGCATTATACTCACTTCAGCCATGGTATCCATTGCAATTAAAACGGGCTTCTTCTGTAGGTCTTCGGTCATTAGGAAGCCAAGGCGTATGAATCTGTCACTTTTATCGGCATCCCCACGGACTATTTCCGCAGGCTGACCAGTCTTCAAGGATATCTTCATGGTCGAGGAGAGGCTCACGCTGCGTCCACCACCGAAGCCTTCAGCGAAAGCGTCTGACCGACATCCTATGGGCTGTGAGTTTGTGCAATTTGTGCTGTCGCCTGTTGACGTAGTGCGGCTAGTTCCCTGGGAAAACCCGTGACGATAAACAGCTAGCCAGTCCACACTTTTAGCATTTCCCAAACGCATCCCTGAAGATCCTGAACTAGAAGAAGATGGTGATTTATTTGACTTCTCTGAAGAAGGGCGCTTGTGGAAAGTATGAGGTGATATGACACTGGGCTGAGTTGTATAATGATGGGAGGTGTGCTGGTAGCGCCACAACCCGAGCGGCTCTGGAACACTGAAGACGAAGCGAAAGGCAGTTGATAAGCAGAGTGAACGGCCCATAACGGTCATGTGACTCGATGTATCTGCAAGGTCTGCAGCAGTCAGTAACATTGCATATGCTTGAAGTATTAGGCAAGATAGAGTGTCATACCATAGCTTGAGTGAAGAGGCAATACGTTCAACATTTATGCTCGAACTTGTATACCCAGTTGGGAGTAGATGATTGTATCACAAGAAGATGAACAAGGATAGTAAAGCAAAGGAGGGGATTGTATATAGATACGAGAAGGTGGTAGCGCCTAGTTAGGGAGACTAGTGGTACTTGACGTCAGACTTTTATCTGTAGACAATGGCTCTTCTGTAGACTGGATTGCCGTAATCCTCGAGTCTTGAACTCGGTAAGTAAGCCAGGTGTGATCAGATGTGAGTTGCATAGATGCCTAAGTAACTGGAAGCGACCGCATATTTCAAAGGCAAAAGCTCGTTATCGCTTGTCTCTGCCCTGTCCTCAGCCACCCTGCATTGCCCAACACTGTTTCAGAAGTAGCCCGGAAATCAGAACCACCACCCTCTCATTCAATTGGGTACTAGTGATATCGATAAGCCACAATTTACAGAGACATGAGGCATAGAAGACATACGTGGTAGTAGGGTTAGTAGCCCAGCTACCCCCCCTTGAATGGAAGAGCGTCCTCTGTCTGCATGGCTTTGATAGACCCTTGGCCTTAGTGGTAATATGTCTGTATTCAGTAATTTTTCCTGGTTTGATCGAGCAAGAAGCGAAGCTAGCTGCGTCTCATATTACTGAAGCACCATCGAATAGAGCCGACTGGCACGTTTGATGTATCAGTTACAGGTTGGAAACGACAAACTGTTCGGCGTGATTCATCCATTGTACTTTCATTTCTTGCCTTCAGGCCGGGGCGGGGCACACCGTCATGTTGCCTGGTTAGAAACCCGACGGTGCAGCTGCTGATGACCAGTAGCCAACCATATTCTAGCAGCTGACCAGGATAGTGCATCTAATCACCGAAGTCCTGCTTTGCGGTCAAAGGCGAACTAGTCAAAGCCCAGGGCGAGGAGTAAGATCTCTGAGCTTTGGGGGGAGTAACCCCATGCTCTCCTTCTCTAAAGGCATTCTTTAGGCGCGTTGTGACAAGGCAGGGCCAGAGAGCAGGGCTTGACTGACAGCATGGCACATGTTGCTGCCTATGGGATCTGTCAATTCCGATTTTGCCACTCTTTGCTTTTTCCGAACCCTTCTCTTCAACCGTTGTCCCGCCTTCACCATCTTCAAGCGTCTAGCATTTCTTGCGCCTTGACGAAGCGACCAGCCCCGTTGAGTTAGAAATAAGCCAGGCAATCCAATCATCAGCATTTCTCGTGACAGCAAACGCATACTCCCGTACAGACTACTCTGCTTCACAGCATGTTTCTACCCAAGACGCGGCAATCCAGCCAACAGTAGTATATCCCGAGCGCACCAATAATCTCCAAGTTGACTGGATCACCAAGATATACTCACAGCATACTAATTCATGAAGACAAATTCATAATGGATAGACATCCCAGTATTGTGTAGGAAAGACCCAATAATGAGCAGGCGATCGAGCACACTCCCTCCACTTCCCCACCCCACCTTTATCGATTTGGATCAAAAGCTTCACTCTGCTGTGGCAATCATATCGATTGAATGCCCAATGTGCTCACTGCCTCTTTGAATCTTAAGAGATTCTATCGAGGCTTCCTTTTGCCAACTCGACTTGGTGGGTAGCAATCGGCCTCCTTTGAACCCCACTTTGCGCAGCCCCGCAAGGCTGTGATGGATGGATTGTTGCTCCTCGGAAATGGGGGTATTTCTTGCATTGCTCAAACAAGCGGTGAGAGTAGCATGCAGTTGCCCCCGCACTTCAGTTCTCTTGGGCTTGACAATGCCGGAAAATTTATTGATATTAGATAAAACTATATAGCCAACGATTTAAGCAAAAAGGCTTTGACTGTAGATTCAAATTTCTCTGTTCGCATAATAACTTTTTCGGTAGTCGACGGCTATTTCTTTCATAATAATGACCTATTAAATCTATCTGAGCGTGGTATTGCCTCTGCAGACACAGTTCCGCCCACCGGAACTCGTACAAAAAATGGATGAACGAAAGAATTTGATCAAATAATTAGATATGAGTGTCACACTATATGAAGACAACATCCTTACGGTACTACTGAGAAGAAGATAGAGTGCAGAAACACAATGTTGAAAATGATAATATAGGTGGGATTAAATCCATGTAACGGCCATACGCCCAGCTAAACCTCTAAGCATCCATCGACCAATTCCGCAAAGTATCCTCCCACCATCGGTCCCCTTTGCTATAGAGATTTTACGGAATAACCATAGTTAGGCGAACTCAAGAAACAAAGTGGCCCCATCCCTTCCTCTATCAGGATCACAGTCATTCCATCCCGGACCGTAGAGACACGAAGTAATGGACTTCGCCGCACGCTTTCCTTCATAGTACGCACCATGCAGAAAGCCCGAGAAGTTTGGGCTCGTAGCCTCTCCAGCAACAAAACCCGTCCAACATTCGCTCGGAGATTCTGATGCGTCTGGGCAGATACTGCGGGTGGCCAATTCGAGTACGAGCCGTACGACCTGAACAGTTAGCATAAAACACTCCAGCCAAATAGCTAAGGAAAGGTCCTACCAAGGCTTCTGCGTCCACCTCGCATAGTAAATGTCTATCGGTTCCGGAACGGCCTCGTCCCCAAAGATCTTGTGCAACACTTCCATAATCTCAGCTTGGGTCTTGTCCTCGCTTTGCCGCTCAACCCGATGCGCCTGATCGTTTACAACAGTAACAACAAGGATATCCCCTCCAACACACCGGGAACATCCAATGGCTGAAACAGCGGATATTAGCCTCTAGTCTTCGGGTCGGCGTAGTACAGATACTGGTTCTTGGGCCGGAAGGAAAGCGGAAATTGCATGAATATTTTGGTATACGTGACCATTCGAAGCTCGCAATGGCATCTTTCTTCCACCTCGGTAGCCCGGGTGTAAATTTCACAGCTTCAGGGTGTTGCAGCACATCCAAAGAAAATTTTATAATAGCGTACTTGGCTCGCACACATTTCCAATCCGTGCTATGATTTGTCACGGAGTCATCGTCGTGCTCAATCTCATTAACGATGGTATTTTTCCGAAGGCGCCAAGCATTCTGTCCTTCGAAGAGTGGATCTGCCACATTCCTGAGGATGATGGCGAACCACGTTGATCGAAGCTGAACTCCTCTCGGTGAGAGAAGAACTTGGCCGTCGCATTCGTGGTTACTGCGGTATAGATCTCGGAAGTTTCTTCCGCCTTGACTGCTGTGACCGAGTCAAATGCCAGATAGTCGGCCAGTTGCCGTACTGATTTGTCTCTTTCGGGTTCCATCCCTGCCGCCGAAGGGCCGCACGGTATGTGCGGTCTTCGAGGTGGTGGTAAAGTCGGGTGCCAGCGTCGGCGAGGACCTTGGAGTCGGCTTCGCTGACAGCTTCCAGTGCGTTGAACAGGAGCTCGGGTGGTATTTCGCCCGTCTGGTCGTATACCGTGGCATTCTCATCGTCACTGGTTCTGGTGTGTGTTGGTCGGATATGTAGTATTCAGTATTGGTGAGGAGGACATACAGTGTGCGGAGGTTGGCTTTAGTGGCCTGCCTTGGCTGTCAGCCATCCTCTTTGCTAGAATAATGCGTGCCCGTGGATCCTATCAAGTAATTGGATTCACATGTGTTTCGGGCCCTCCAGTTCCGTGTACCTGGCACCTATGTCAGCTTTACACCTTTAACAAGTGATTGGGGAATAGCAGCACACCCAGTTAGCCCCAGCCTCCACTACATATTGTTGCCCTTTGCCAAAGGTAACCTCGTGCATCCGCCCACCAATGCGGTCCTGATACTCTAGTACGATAAAATCTTCGACACAATTGTTGTGCAGTGTTTCCTGCAATTATCAGCATGGCCCTACAAAAGCCGCAACACGAGCATACTGTAGCAGTCACGCCCGTCACACCGGCACCTCTTCAGAGCGTCAGCACGAAAAGTAGAAATCTTCAGTTCTCAATCAATAAAGAGCCTTACAAGATGACCACTTCAGTTTCCGTACAAATTTTAGCATTTCCCAATACCGCGAAGGCAGTGAGGGTTGCTGCTGTACTGGCGAGTTTCATGTTTCATTATAGCTTTAGTCGCACTCACTCGGTGGCCGCCACCAACTGAGGGGGTATACCGCATTTTTATACAGTGATTGGAGTCTGACTTTGATTCTCTAATTTCTATCGATCCATTCTGTGTAACATTCACGAAGAATAATGTTATTTTCTTGGGCAAAGCTCTGCAGAACCTTGCGTATTATTGGGTTGTGTTCAGAATCTGGCATTTATGCGAAAGGGATGCAGGGCCAGGAATCACGAACGCGTCGCGTATGCATGTTGCCGTTTCTATATTTAGATGACAATCAAATAGAGCCATGAGCTTTACGAACATGATTTGGTTTGTATTTGCATCCTCAGTGGTGAGAACTTGGAATAGCCTACAGGTCTCTTAAGGAGGACGATTGCGTACAAAGTCCACATGAAAACTCCATTTTGAGGGTCTTTATCGCCTCGGTACATTTACTTCCTGATACAGAAGGCGGTATGCATTTTTTTTTCTAGAGAAAATGTAATCATGAAAACAGACTACACGCAGAAAAAGAAAGCGAAGAGATAGAGTCGATATTCGAGAAGAATGGAGTACGCCTTACATAAAATACGGGTTCAATTGTCCTCCAGCTCCTTGTTGTACTACTAATCCTTTAGATCCTTCCAATCCTCCGGGCCTCGGGTTCGGCGACTTTTGAGTCTCGTCACTCGGGGAAATTCTGCTCGTAGTATTTGTAATCATGCCATCACCTCCGCACCAGGTTTCGAACCTTCGAATATTCTTTTCCTTCTTCTTTTATTGCACTTATTTCCTTAGATTTTTTAGATCCTGGCACTAGATCCCGATCAGTTATTATCTTATCAGGAACAACATGGCGTCGTCATCTGTCTCCCTTAAAGCCTCGGCCTTTTCATTCGTTGTTCTGTCGGTCGGACACACGGTATGTCAGCTCTAGCTCCTAGGAAGCTACCCATGGCGTCATCGACCCTACATCTGCATGAGCTCCAATGGCCACAATAACGAGTCTACAAAGCTCCTACTATTAAATTGATAGACACTTATCTACTTATATCATCAATTAATCCGGTCATGTGCTAACAATCAATAACCAGCTCGGAGGAACCCAATGGACCGCCGAACCAGCCTATCGCACCATCGCCGGCACCAAGCCCTGGGCTCTCGGCATCGTCGGCTGGTTCCAGGTACTTCATCCACCATCCTTCATAGCAAATAGCAAGACAATCATAGAGACTAACAATACGTCTAGGGAAGCGCCTTTCTCTTTACGACCGGTAAGCGTTCTCCATTTCACACCAAAGTAAGAACTCAATCAATAATCTTGCTCATAGGCATCCTCCATTACCAATGGGCCCGCAACCCCCGAGCCCTCCAGGAACCTACTAACAAGGCCATCGCTATCATTCTCAATGCGGCGCTATGGGCTAGCTCGGCCTGGTATTTCAAGCATGGTATCAATGAGAATGGATGGGCTGTCGGGGCTGCGGCTGCGTGGCAGGCTTGGTCGGTTGTGAGGGCTTGGTTGAAGTATTAGATTTCAGGTTAGATGATATATAATATATGGGGGTAGAGTAATAGATTTAAAAAGAAGAATATTACTCGCATTTAGTATCTTTAGACATTCAAAGCTCATTATTACATCATTAATCACCCACTACCACCCTCTCCCCGACTCTCGGCCCTTGACACATTATCCTCCCTATGACCTGCAAGCACCCTCCGGATCATGTCCTCTCTTTCCTCTAGAGTCTGTAAGTATTGTAATCGCTCTCTACTCCTCGCCACTCTAGCCAATTCCTCCTGTAACTCTGACGAACTCATTCTCTCATACGCTACTACTGATGCTGTCGACTCCCCATCTCGAACGCCATCAGAAGATAGCTCAGCCGGCGCTTCACCCAACGTAGCCGAGGCTGACGATGCAACTTCACCACCAACAGCACCTTGCTTAGCATTCAGTCCATCTACCCCGACAGCTCCAGATTCAACCTGTGGCTCATCCCGCCTCGGCCTTCGAACAGAGCCAGTACTTAGTTCAAATACAGGCCGATCAGCCGAATTATGTACGGGCCGACTATCAGATTCGTTAAGCGGTGCGCCGTCGATCTCGGGGAGTACAGTCGTGATATTCTGAGTCATACTGTTATCCTTCCCTTCCGCATGCTGTACCGTGGTGGCCTGCCCGCTTTCCTCACTGTTACTGACATCACCAGCCAGTTGTTTCCTCTTCCTGCGCTTCTGGAACCAAGCAAATATTAGAAGCGCAATGATAGCAACGCCGATGGGCACCGCAACCCCAATCCCGGCCTTAGCGCCTGTAGACAAACCTTCCGCATTATTGCTATTAGATGAAGACGTTTGAGTCGCCACAGATGTCATGCGCATTGTTGAGACGAGGCGAGTTTCTGTAACTGTTACGACGTTGGGTTGTTCGGATGTAGTTGTAGCGGTGTCGTCATCTGATGTCGTAGAGTCGGTTTCGGTACTGAAAATTGTTTGTGTTGTTATTCCGGTGCTGGACTCAGGGGTCGTGGTAATAACCTCGGTGACTATTGGTGATGAAGCCTCGGTTGACGATGTTGATTGTGTGGAAGCGTAGATTGTTGTCACGATGGAGTAGATGGTTTGCGCATCGTTGATAAACTCGGCTCGGCGGTCGAGGTTAGCGTTTGCGGTCATGTATTCTGGGAGGTCTGGATGGAAGTTGAAGAGGTCGCAGAGGGAGAGGAGGGAGTTTGGTGTTACTGTTTATTGTGGGTTAGGGCGTTGGTCGGTTGGAAGGCAGGGAGGGTATACTGACGTCGCTGGTCGGGATTGATGGGACATTGGTGGAAACATGACTGGAAGTCTGTAGTTGCTGCTATAATAGATAGGTTGGTGCACAAACATGTGTAGTCGGTATGTGAGCAGGTGGATAGAATCTGGGGATAAAGGCAGTTTAACTAGGATGGTGAGAATTAGTGGGAGGTAGGGGTTGCGGACGGGGATCATTACTGAGCAGCGGGGGATCTCGCGGAACTTGTGAGCGACGAGGTGGCTTCTAGAGGTAGCATCTTCGGGGAGTGAATATTGATTTTCGACTGAGAAGAGTTGTCGTATAACTTCTTGCAGGTTCATGGTGGCTTGCTAAGGATGTGCCCTGCATGCTGTAACCGGTGGGTAAACGAAGCCTGTGGCGTCGGGTTTCGGAAAGAAGTTGGGGAAATACGGGGGACCACCCACATTATCTATGGAGACTGGCTGGGGGAATGTTTTGAATTGTCCTGGCACCGTGCAGGGGACAAGCGGCCAGTGCCCAGATAGATCAACGTGTTTAGTGAATGGGTATTTTAGAATAGGTACCTTACTTCCTCACCCACTGTCATTCCCCATAATATAGTATCATTTGCTGTACTATAATTCACACTACTCGAGGTACAACTGTCCTAAATAAGCGGATCCAACACCAAGTTGACAAACTTCAATGTTCAACCAGCTCAAAAAAGATCGTGTAATTCCCGGGTGTGGGATGTTTTGGTCTATGTTTTGGTCTCAGAATCGCCGACATGGAGTAGCCATGAGCACGCCAGCTTCACGCCGCCGGGAAACTTCGAAGTAGTCTAACATACAATAGGCAGACGGCAGCAGCTAAATGCAGCTGGTGACCAGGGTTATAGAACTTTGATTAAGCTCATTGGTGAGCCGGGAATCAATGCTCGGCGCTAGCCAAAGCCAGCGCATGGCGGTTCCTTATCTATCCGTGGATCTCTCGGTTGGGAGCCGATCAGCGTTGTTCAATAAGGAGTAGACTGGATTACTCTAATCGTATATCTATGATTACATGAGGCTTTGGATATTTGCAGTGCATACAATATCCTGAGATTCATATTAGCCATATTCTGGCAAATTCATGATGCTGTTCCTCCCGTCCGGACCTTCCGCGGACTCTCCGAACAACAAATCTCCGTCTCACCCTAATAGCTATAAAACCCCCACAATCCCATGATTCTTACTACAGAAACAAGATGTTATCAAAAAAGTTTTTTATCGCTCGATTAAATTAACAATGTCCTCCCCAACCGTCCTGATAATCGGCTGCGGCATCGCCGGCCCTGTCCTTGCCATAGTACTAAAGCGCAAAGGCTACAACCCTATTGTATTCGAAAAGGTTCAAGCTCTTGGCGATGCCGGTGCATCATTGATGATACAGCCAAACGGGTAATTATTGTTTGATTTTTACCACCCCAATCTTTACGACATCTCATCCACTGACAAAGACATTACAGAATGAAAATCCTCAACCTCATTATCCCCAATCGCCCGCTCCCAACCATAACACCCCTCCAATCCCTCTGGCACGGGACAGCGTCCGGCAAAACACTCGGCCACTCTACTCTCCCCTCGTCCTACGTGGACCGCTACACCCAGCCCGCCAGCGGAATAAAGCGCAGCGTACTCAATCTCCACCTGAAGACAATCCTCCAGGAACATGGTATCCCACTGTACGAAGGATACCAGCTCGAGAACATCCACGAACACGCGAACCAAGTAACTGCATACTTCACCAACGGAGAATCAGTCACAGGCTCATTCCTCATTGGCTGCGACGGAATCAAGTCCTCCACGAGAAACATCCTTCTCAATCACAAAGCAGGAATTGCCGAAGGCCCACCAACATTCACCGGCTTGATTCAAGTAGCGGGGATATCTAAGACCCCTCAGTCCATGGCCAAGAGAGATATTTCCCTGAGTAACTGGTATGGCGAGGGCGTGCACGTTGTCGCATATCCTATCTCTGCTGAGGTTATTTCCTGGGCGGTTACTATCCCAGATACAGAGGGGGAGGATAGTACGTGGCGGGCTGCTACTGCTGGAACCGAGCTGGAATCCCTACGAGGGAAGCTGAGAGAGAGATTATCTGGCTTTGAAGACTGCGTTTTGGAAATGGTAAACACCGCAGATCGGATCATCTCGTATGGTCTGTTTGACCGACGGGAGGTTCCTGCCGAACAGTGGTTTTCTGATCGTGTAGTATTGGTCGGTGATGCGGCGCATCCGACGAGTCCGCATTTGGGGCAGGGGGCAAATCAGGCTTTGTAAGTTAAACTGTCTCATCATAAGAGGGTGATTGGTGTGGGTGCTAATGTTAGTTTGGGTAGGGAGGATTGCTATCATCTTTGTCTCATGCTTCCGGATCTGAGTTTGGATGAGACGAACTGGGGTGTGGTCGAACAGGGGCTATCGGTATATTCGAGGAGTTTGCGCGGTTGAGGCAGCCACGGACCTCGATGTTGGTAAAGGAGGCTCGTCGGCTTGGGGAGCAGCGTGTTGTCGTGGGAGGGCCGGAGCGGTGTCGCGAGCGCGATGCAAGTATTGTGGATGCTTGGAAGGATGAGAAGGCCGTGGCGAGGGCGTTGGATGGGTTGTTTAGAGAGCCGTTCTGAGGGTGGTTCTTACTAATACTGGGAGATATTTCTCGGGTAAAGTATGTTTTAAAATGTGCACATAATGTTCAGTGAACGATTATGTTCACTATGGATCGTTCATCACAGCGTAATCTACTTCACCTCGAATCTACAAAACAGTCTGATAAATATTCTCATCCACATCAGACGATTTCCCCTTCCACTCATTCAACCAAACCCCCACAAACCTCACTACCTCTTTATGCACGCTAACGATCTCCTTAGGCGCCTTCTCGCCATCCTTCTCCTGCTCTGCCGACAACCCATTCTGGTCCCAGTGATGGACTGCACCTCTCACACCATCCCACACATCCGCCGCCGGGATATCCAACAAAATAATAGGCTCGCTATCAGTCGACTTCCGACTCTGCCAGTCGACTCCGTCTGCCAGTGGTGTCGAATCGCGCCACGGATCTGCCAACCCGCCAATTATCGCGACGCGCGGGTACGAGAAATTGAACCCACCGAATTGGTTGATGCGCTGAACATCTGGCGGTGTCTTGATACCAAATGTGTTTGGGCAGAAGGATGAAAGATAGGGCAGGTCAAGGAGACGAGAGATAAGGGGCTTGATATTCGAAGGCACGGAGGAGCCCGTGGTGAAGTATCCCCATTCGACGCACACCTGGTAGTTCCAGCTGGTGCCGGAGTCCTTAGTGAGCGGTTGTGGAACAGTGGAATTCGTGACGCTGGATGATGAGGACTCCGAGGATGAGTCGGTGAAGACTTTCGAGGTACTCAAGAATCCAATCCAGTTGAGGAAGTTGTTGATAAGGGTTGTGTTGGAGGAATCGTAGCCTGCAATTTGGACCAATTGCTTGACTAATGCGGAGATGGGCTCGGCGGTTTCGGGGTATAGCACATCCGAATTGGTGATGTTGTTACAGAAAGCACGGAAAAGAGGAGTTCCGATAGACTTGTCCCAGTTGCGGGACTGGAATGAGTCCAGACCGTAAGAGAGGGAGGAGACAAAGTCTTGGTTACCGAGGTTGGTCGCAGAGCCTCCAAAGGCGGATTTCAGTTGCTGGGCCAGAGTTTTATTGTTGGCGTGATCAATGAGAATACGATCCACGATATCGATTGACGTCTGCAGGGTGGAGATACACTGCGATGGACCATACAGTCTGATCGGCTCGTAGTATTCCCAATAGTCGATGATGGCCTCCGTGACGCCGGACGATGACACGGCGCCCCAATAGAGATCCGGATAGAGCTTGCGGAGGAATGCGACAAAGGCACCAGCATAGGAGCCACCATAGGCGATCCATGGCGTGGTGGCTGCCGTGAGATCGAGATGCTCCAGACCGGGAAAGACAATATTCGAGGCAAAGTAAGCGTAGTCTGCGAGCGCCTGCTCGGTGGTCAAGAATCTAATATTCTCGGTAGTGAGGTTGGCAAATGGGTAACTCTCGCCGTAGTAGCGATGTTCGAGGATAAGGGCAACTCCATTGTAGGCTGCAGCTAACTGAGTAACCACGCCTTGTGAAAGGAAGGGAATACGGTCGCTTCCATCGGTTTCGCCTGCAGCAATCACGAAAACAGGGCCTCCCGGCTGGTAATGGCTGGTGTCAAGCCAGTAGCGCAGGCCGAAGGTGGCATTGGTGTGCGGCTCATAGCGCGATTCATTGTGAAAGTGGTCTATGGGCACGGAGAGATTATACACAGGAAAGCTTGCTGATTCCTGGTTGGGAGAAGCCTGGTGAGACTTGCTGAGCTGGCTGAGTTGGTGCAGGTGTGGCGTCCGCAACTCCAGGGGACTGGAGTCCAGGGCAACCGTCGAGGCAATCAGGGTCCCCAGAAGGGGAAGCGAAAGGAACATGATGGCTGTGGCGATGGAAGAATTGGGGAAACCCCAGAGTTTATTACCTCCCAGACCCTTATGCGGGGTTTTGTTTTTCGCGAGCAGAGCTTTATCTCATCGGTGGACCTGCCGATTGCCAATCAGTCCAGGCAGCCTGAAAGGCGTGATGAGGTTGGGACGGCGATCGGCGCGGTATCCGTCGGTCTCCCGGCGTGGCTGGTATCTGCACTCCCCAATAATTGACGATTATTCTCCGCTCTCCTGCATTCTGCTCACCTCCTCACGCTACTAGCCATTCGGAGCTCGCCAGTCAACTGGTGTCGCTCAGAATGAACGACCGCTGAGCCGTTGACTCCGACATGCAACCCACGATGGCGTAACATATGCGGGTGTTCCCTGCACCGTTGCATTACTAGGAGGATCACGCCTTGATCACCCAATTGATGGCGGCATGGCTGTCTAAGATGGTAACAGCACTGTTTGGTGGTCTCTTGGTCAATATCCTTTCCTTAAAATCAGCCAAAGATGAATTCGCCCAGGGCAGGGATCGAGCCTAAGATACTCTGTTTTTATCACGTGACTTGACGGGCAGAACCGGAGTCTGGGTTAGTCAACTATTCTTAGTGTTGCTTCAACCCCTGTTTGTGTGGGGGCGCATTCTGCAGCTTCACCACCCACCAATGCAGAAACCCGCTCCTATGCCGACCTAAGTCTTCGAGCCTATTTTTCAAGGAATCCAGCCTTTTATATTGCAGATAGAATGAAGCTCTCAATATGCAGCGATCTCGGTCAATATGTACATCGTGAGCAGGAAAACACTTCTAGCATCACATCTCACCGAAGCTACAGTTAGGGCTGACAGGAGTCATCGAAGTGCACACGAAGTATCGCCCAATGACACCAGGCTTTACTGATGACATGTTGGCAACTCTACAGTATGCTAATGATACGAACCCCCAAACTACCAAAAGTTCCAGCTAAATCCATGCTAGGAACCTTCGGTACAGCCAGGAATGCTAATTTGGGGCCGCCCCCAACTCTCACCGTCGCACGCGAGCTTCCATTTGCTCTACCACGACATGACTACGATCGTGTCTTCAACGCAGCCACCCTCCTCTCACATCATATTGGAGGGGAGTGGACATATCCAATGCTACGCATCACTTCGCCTCCACTCATCCAGGCAGGCTGTGTACATCATGCCCCCTTTCGCCCCAACAATATGGCCTTATGCAAGAACCAGATCACCCCCTAATCAACTCTCCTTCGTCCTGCATTTGGGGTTTCTCACATTTTTCTGTCTCTATTGGGATCAGTCTCTCGCTATTCTTCCACCTTTTACCCAGTTCATTGTCTCGCCGTGGGCAACAACATCATGGCATCACGCTCCTTTTCCTCCCAGTCTCTCCTGACCGGCTTCCTCCTGACGCTCATTTCCTCGCCCTTTGCCTCCGCCGACCTCACTCTTGTTTCCAATCCCCAAACTACATCTGCCCCCGTCGAAACTGTCTCCCTCATCGATGCCAGCGGCATCCCCATCACCACTGCCAACGACCCCGCCGACAATGCCTGGGTCATCCCCTTGACCGGACCAGCCAGCGCTCCCACCGGCGCTGCCTGGGGCGCGCAAATCCAATACAACAACGACCTGGCTGGAGTCCTCCCCGTCGCATTTGGAACACCCACCACCACCGCCAAACCAACCGCAACAGCGACAGGAAAGGCGACATCAAAAACAACAGCAACGTTTGTGTCCGCCGGCTCACCCGGCCAAAAGACCGAGACTCTCGATCTCGAAATTGCGTTCAGCAACACACTCCTCCTATCTCAAGACACAAGTCTAAACATAACCTCCACCACAAACAAAACCAACTCAACAACCATCCCCTCCCTCCCCGTCGGCCTGAACCTCGGCCTCCGAAACAAATGGAACGGCTCCGTCGTACTGGGAGGCAACTACGACTCCAACCGCATCTACGACGAACCACACTGGCAAACCACCCCGGAAACCAGCGCCGGCAACACCAGCTTCATCGATACAGGCATGCTAGATATCAGCGCCGTCATACTCCAATTGTACACTACCCCCAACGCTACAACCAGTAGCGAAGACGCAGAATACCCATTCGGTGGTACTAGCGTGCAGGAAACGAGTAAATCGCTCCCCGCCATGCTGGACTTTAATTCTGAGGTCTTGTCCGTGCCGGATGAATCCTGGTGCGCACGGAACATCTCGATCGTGTTCAATCCGGATAGCGAGTCGTATCCGATATTTGATATCCCAGTTTGGGACGAGCTGGTTCCCAAAGAGAGGTGTCAGGTGAGCAGTGGGAAGGTCGTGCTCGGAAGGCCGTTCTTCCAGGCGGCGTATGTTTATGTGAATTCGGCAGGCGATATGTATTTCAGTTCGATTACTACAGATGATGTGGCTGTTGCGACTAAGCCGTTTGATTTGCATGTACAGCTTTCAGAAGCGGTTAATGGCACTGAGAGTTATGGGGGAGAGAATGGAACGGCGACGGGGTCGGGAAGTGATGCGACGGGGACGTCGGGAGCGGGAAGGTTGGGTGTTGAGGGTCTTTTGGGGGTGGTCGTGGGGCTGGGGTTGTTATTTTTGATGTGAGGCTGGACGGTATTTTGATGTCTTTGTACGATTTGCTCAGTTGTGTGTTATGAGCTGTAATATAGGTTCACTTCTTTGGTCTGTTGTGTGACAGGCTGGTTTTTCTCGATTGGGTGGGTTGGAGATCTATACCCGTTGATGGCAGCTTGGAGCTATGATTTTCAATACATGAATTGGATTTATGTTATTATCATCTTTTTGGCTGCAGGACAAGTAGACAGAAAGAGCTGGAATAAGTTGTCCAGGTCAAAACTGGGTAAATACAAGAGCTGTGTCGGCAAGCCAGAACCCGATAACTCAAAATCTACCTTTAGTGCTGATTATACTTCCATGAACTTTTCAAAAGCGATTAGATACGCCTAAATACAGGATAACACGTGAAAAATCCTACCTTGATAAGCTGACTTTCGAGTACAATTCGTAGACAAACACTAGAGACAAACAGAGAACTCCACAACACCCGACCACATATCACCACATCACATCCTCACCTAAATTTCCGACTACTAGAAACCTATCTGACAGTGGCTGAGCCGCACAGCCATAGCCATTAATACCTTGCTCACCTGGCGAGCTGAACAGCCCAAACCTGCCAATCTTCGCTTCTTCCCCAATGATTCTTCTCCGCCGACCCACCACGCTAAATCCATCTCACGCACGAAGGATCGTCGCCGATTCCCACGCGTCCAGTCCGTAGACGACCCGACCAATCAGCACCTCTATCTCGACTGCCCTAAATCCACCCATGTGGATCGGAATAGAATTGACAATGAACAGCCATCGTTGTACGGAGCAGTCGGATGGTTTCCGCCAGGTGCGAAGAGCCTTACCTGCTACATAGTCTGATCCAGCTGGGACGCATGAGGCTGAAGACCCTGTCAGCATGGGTTATTAATAAGGTATTGGGTTCTCACGCGATGGGCAAAGATTTCTTTCTGATCGTTTCGCGAAGTGTAAAGCTGGTTTAGGGCCATTGCTTTCTTCAGACTACTAGTCATGGGTTTCGGGCGATTAAGCAAATATGCAGCTGTTTTTGCGGGGTTAGTGCTAGGTGTTTCTGCTATTGATTTTAACATCAACAGCACCGGTATGCGGCATCATCTGCTCCTGCAACCACAAGGAGGGTCACTAACACAACAACAGACACCATTAAATCCGCCTCCGCCATTGAGTTCACCAATCTCCTCAGCACCGCCAACTTCAATGGCACCGTCAACCCCATCTACAACACATCCTACCCAGAAGGCATGCTCTACATGTCCCTAATCCCCTACTGGAACGCGACCGGCAACACAACCTACAACGAGTTCATCACCTCGCGCATACACAACCACTCCGAGAGCATCTTCAGCGGCGAATGGGAGGAAATCAACGTTCCGACAAGCGATTTCGTCACTTGGGGTCTTGCTGCAATGGCTGCGTCAGAGGCGGACTTTCCGGGTAGTCCAGCCAACTCGTCATGGCTGACCTGGGCGAAGAAAGTCGCGTATACGATGGAACTGGTTGTTAGTCAGGGCTCGGTATGCAATGGTGGATTGTATGATGATGAGAGTCAAACGCATGGAACGGACTTCGATTGGTTCAGCAACGGGGCGTATTTCCAGCTTATATCGAGGGTGGCATATGCGAGTGAGGGCGATGACCAGGGGACGTATGCGCAATATGGCGCGAGTGCGTGGTCGTGGAGTGAGAAAACTGGCATGGTGAATACCACCGAGTGGTCGGTGTATGATCTGGTCTCAAATACGACGGCGAATGCGTCGACTTGTCAGGCTGTGGATACCGCGAGGTGGAGTATGGCGTATGGATTCTATTTGAGTGGTGCGGCCTATATGTATGAAGCGGTAAGCAACATTATCCCCATGTCCTTTGGGTTAGAAATAGGTCATTGTGGGACCATAGCTGACAGCAGCAGACCAAATCTGACATATGGATGACACGGACCGAAGGACTCCTCAACAGCACGCTCGACACATTCTTCGTCAACGACATCATGGTAGAAGTGGGCTACAGCAGTGCCAGTCTAGGCACTGCCGAGCAGTCCAAGCTATCAGCTTACCCCTTCAAGGGATTCCTAGCGCTGTGCCTTGCATCCGTGGCAAACCTTATCCCGGATTTCGCCGGTCGGATTGTGCCGCTCCTAGCAGACACAGCTGTGGCGGTAGCCGAGCAATGCGATGGAACGAGTAATCAGACTGTCTGTGGTTCCGACTGGGGGTCGACTTCGTATAATGAAGATCCTTCGTTCGAGAATACCTGGAATGCTGCCAATATCTTCGCCTCGAAGTTGCTTACGCCGGACATCTCCAAATCGGGAAATACCCCGAGTAGCGGCAATTCCACGACGAGTGATACAGCCAGCAAAGATGGAAGTGGCGTTTCGAATGGCGCGATTGCTGGTGCCGTGGTTGGTGCGGTGGCAGGCGCGGCTTTGATTGTTGCTGCGGTCTTGTTCGGTCTCCGGAAGATGAAACAGAAGAGGATCCCCGTCCCTACAAAGGAGCCGGATGACATTGAGTATGTCAAGAAGGACCCCGTGGAACTGGCGCAGGAGTCTTACGTTCCTGAGATGGATAATGAAGTCGTGACGGAACTACCGGGGAAGGCTGATGCGAGTATTCCTCATGAGGTGGATTCAGCGCCGGTGTCTGAGCTTCCAGTCAGAGCTAATACGATGCGTTATGAATTAGCATGATAGCACTGTTTCGGGCGCGTATGGCTCTGTAGCCCATAGTATTAATATAATTATCTTACCCACGTCTGGCAAAGTCAGGCGTGCTTTGTCTTATGCTATAATTAGTACCCAGACGCCTAGGAATGCCCCGATAATATCTCACATATGTCCAAGATGCAGCATTCCTCCTTCTTTGTGTCCGCTGGGATTAAAGGTAAAGTATAGAACACAAGGGAAACAGGATAAACGTGAGGGAAAGGACAATGTGCAAAACTTCGCTAATTTCAGTCCCACTGGCAAACAAGTAGCAATTATATAACAAACAAGAATTATATGCATAAGGATCCCTCTTCCCCGACATACCCCAACCACTGTACCATCTAATTATCATCCCCTTTTCTCTACTCTACCTACAATGCTTTTCGACAATAATACTCATATCACCTCACTGTCATCCAAATGTCAGCGCGGCTCAACGAATCAAGTAAGCCTAGGCGGTATAGAAGGCCAATGAGCAAAGGCAGTGAGGACATACTCCAGCTCCTCAAGGAAATTCGACATAGAATAATACTGGCCCGAGTTTGCTGGGGGAAGCGTTTCGTAGCCAGTGAGAAATGTTGACGGTAGCGGTTCGATTGTCTGCTGGCACTGATAGCTTCCGTACAGTCGAGCCTCTTCCAAGAAATAAGGATAGTTGTAGTTGTAGCTGTATTGCGATACTGTGTTTCCGTCACAAGCGTACAGGCATTGCTGTACCTCTTCTTCAAATCGGACGCGGCATTTTCTTCGCTTGTTCCAGTTTTCGCGTGAGCTGAGGATTATCTGCACAATGAGGTATTAGCATTGATGGGTGAAGTGGTAGGTAGTGTCTCTGACTCACACTAGGGACTGAATGGATGGTTATGCTCCAGAACCGGCCAAGCAGAGACTTTCCATCTGTAGAGTCATTGGACATTGAAGATTCTTCTGAAAGTCCCCAAATGCTGGTCTTTCGCTTCAGAGAAGGCTTTCTAGGAGCTTGCGCCGGGGGTGCCTCGCTCGGTGTTGGACTGGGGCTTCTGCTAGACTTTAGTGGACCGTAGAGCCAGGTAATGTCGCTATCTTTGTCCCTACATCAAGTTAGGATGTCACGGTTCAGGAACACGATGACTGGGCTGGACTTACCAGGAGATAAATGCCGCTGGCATGCGAATGGTTTGCCTGGTAGAAGCCAGCCATGCTCTCCAAAGAGCATTTTCGAATCGACATCTAACAAGACTATGCTGGTTTATCTGGCGAACATGTTTTCTAGTAGCCCACATCTCATCATACGTCCAGGAATGTGCAAGATAGTCAACATTGACTTTGGCATCCTCTTCAATCCAGAGGTCATCGCGCACAGCCCTGGGTCGGGACATGGTAGCCTCGAGGGGGCTGAGGAAATAGGAAACGGGAAATGGAGAAGGGAGAAGGTAGAGGGTGGCGGTAGTGACTCGTAGTGAATGGTCGTCTCGTCTAAATTAGTCGCGATCATCAAAGACCAGTAGGAGGGTGAGGATGACTGGACTTAATATACAGAACGGCAAGAATGCAAGCACGCTCTATCTACCAGGCAAATGCCCGGTCTACTCTATCGACACTTCGTTAGCACAGTATCAGTCCCACAACTGATAAGAGCTCTACATGTCATACTTCAGTGTTTCCACTCAGAACACGGGCTAAACCAGACGCGTGAATCTGATATCGAGCATGATTGGCGAACCAATATCTACAAAAGGTCTATTTGAGGTATCTCCCCGGTTGCGGAGAGCTAGAAACACGGTGCACAGAGGAGTTGCAGTGGCCCAGCCGCCCGGGACAGCCGAGTTACCGAAGATTGGGAATGGTGGACATGACAGCCGGCGCCACCAGAACCGATGAGGCCGAGCAGGGAAAGAGGAGTTGTAACCATGGGGTGACATCTGGCCTTGTCAAGGGACGCGTCCGGGGCTGTTGGAGTCTCCCAGCCAACCACAACTTCGCTGGCTGGCCGGAACATTCAGCCGCCCAATCAGAACCCCGATTTTCACATACTACGCCAGAACATCAGAATCTGACTCGTGGGTCTTGCCCTGAAATATGCTCTCGGCTGCAATATCCCCGATCCGTGGCGACAGCTGGGAGCTCTACTTGAGTGGGGATCTAGACCTGCCGATGAGCGATATGGTATTCCCGATCTCCTTCCTTATCGAGCCCAGCCCTTCCTGCACAGCCATGAACCACCGTATCGAATACATCGCTACCACTTACCAGCCTAGCATACCATATCTTCCATAGACTCATGATGTCTGCGAAGAAGAATGCTCGGCGGTTTCTCGCCTCGCCTGCGGTTGTCGGCCCCGCCCTATCTCGTAGAGGATCCATATCAGAAATTTTTGCGGGGAATGCCCCAGGTCGTAGACGGGCAGAAAGTATTTGAAGCAAGCAGGTATCGAGCAGAAGTACTCTGTACCCTTCATCACACTCCCCTACTCTATCAAATAAAAAAAGATGCCTTGGTCCCTTGGAAAATCTCTAGGCCTGATTGGTCGCGGGCAAGAACCACTCTCCTTCTCTCTTACCGGAAGCCCTACTCTTTGCGCGAACACCCCTTACATCTCGGATCTCAACGCCTCGAGGCTTCTCTCCACACCGGATCGTACCGAAGCAGATGCCCGCTGGACTTACCACACGGAACGAGATTACGAGCCTGAAGACAGCTTCAAAGAGCACGCCGTGTTGTGCCTTCCGTGTTGCCATCATACCGAAGACAACCAGCCGGGTATGGACGATACTCCTCTGGATAGAAAGGCCCGTAATGCTCTCGAAGAGTATTCCAATTCTTTCGATGAATACCGTCTGCTCAAACGGAGGTTATCTACGTTAACGCACTTGCCACGGAGCGAGAAAGCTGCATAACCGTCACAATGTCGTGCAATAAGCTGCGAGGCATGCAGTTTTGGAAGCAAGTCAACCTGGCTTAATTTACGGCGCTACCAATGATCGGGATGTTTTGGAAGGAACCTGTAAGACTATGCTTATTTTAGAGCATTTAGCTATATGTAATTAAAGTGGCATGAAATGCATGGTCGGATGTTTCCATTTTATCAATGCATGCAACTTCGATATCGTTGCTACTCTACACAATCTTCACTGCAAGCTGCTTTCGGCACGACTTCTATAGCACATTTAACAGTCTACTGGGCTATATGAAAGATCATGAGATAGACCGAAGCGCAATTTGTCGCTCAAATCAAGTCGAGTGGCGATTCCTTATCAAATGCTACAGATGCGAATATTTTGGCTTTATTGCTATTAATTCTAGAACTGCTGCACGCAGGGCTGGAATGCAACGTAGCTATCTATGTACTGGAAACAGTAGCAGTGGCGAGGCCCAGTATTCCGGAAGACTGCCGCGTTACTCTAATCCATGGTGGCGCTCCAGACCTGCCTTCGAACCTGACCTTAGTCAGGCCGCATTGATCATACTGTTTTTCCATGGTCGATGTCAACACGAGATATCTTTATCGTGTTACAAGCTTTCTACGCGCAATCATCATGATGGCTGTGCATATAGAATCCTTGTCTGATAACACGTATGTGTAAAACTGATAAAATTGTCTAGGCTTATATTATCATTGCTCGCTTCGGAGATACTACTCTTGATTCTAGTATACTGAGCCAAGGAATAACGGATTGCAATTAGTACTATCACCGCCCAAAAGTTCCATCTTGCTTGACACATTCTCACGGCACCAAGCCATCACGACCAGCCGTGTCCACCAGGACCATCACACCTGCACCTTCATCCAACCTCAAATCCTCCACCACATCAGCACCTCCCCCATCGCCCCGTCCAAGGCCCGACGCGCCGCCTTCCGCACCCTCACTCTCGCCAACGAAATCCACCACATCCGCATCTCCTCCTTCCAAACATCTCCCTCACACCGCACGCCCAAGCCCGCGACATTTACGACTGCCGCAACAAGCGCGGTCTCCCAGACCTCCTCATACGCACCGAATCCTCCTGCGGCCCGACCACCCAAGACAACACCGTAAATCACGTGTACAACAGCTTCGGCATATTCCTGCAATTTCTTTCATCCGTGCTGGACGGTCGATCCATACAACAGCGGTCTCCGTCTCATTGGCTGTCTCCACTACGACAAAAACCTAGACAGTGCGTTCTGATACGGGCAGGAAATCATTTTCGGCGACGGGGACGGGATATATTTCGCTGGGTTCCCGAAAAGCCTGGATGTCGTTGTGCATGAGCTGATTCATGGAGTGACGGATCATACGGCCGGGTTAGTGTACGAGGGACAGTCTGGGGCGCTGAGTGAGAGTATCTCGGATATGTTCTCTTGTGTTGTTGAGCAGTGGTGGAGTGGACAAGGGGTCGAGGAGGCGGATTGGGTGGTTGGGAGGGGGGTTGTGTTTGGCCAAAGGGAAAGAAAGGTGCTGTTGCTGGTGTTGGGGGAAATGGGACTGAGGTCGTTGAAGGCGCCGGGGACGGCGTATGATGATGCTGTTCTTGGGAGGGATGGGCAGCCGAGCCATATGAATGGGTTTGTATATACGGAGAAGGATAATGGGGGTGTGCATTGGGATTCGGGTATTCCGAGTCATGCCTTTTACCTTTATACTGTGGGCTTTGGGGGACGGAGTTAGGAAAGAGCTGCGATGGTTTGGTATCAAGCGTTAACTGATCCGAGAGTTGAGCCGAATTGTAGCTTTGAGAAGTTTGCATGTGTGACGGTGGATATTGCGGAGGCGATGTTTGGGGGAGAGGCTGGGGGATTGGTGAGGAGGGCGTGGGTGGAGGTTGGAGTTAAGGTTGGAGAGGTGTTGTGGACGGTGAAGGATTGATGCTGGCTGCTAGGATTCATGGATTTAGCTTCGATTCTAGTAGTGTTTTGGGTCTATATTTGGGTTTGTAGCTACTCTTTTCGTAACAGTAGACAGTACTAGAAGTACGACAGCCATGTTCTACTGCTCTCGCTACTACTTTCGAAGCCATTACTAGTGAGCATCAACATATAATGCCCTTCTCATATCTGTTTTCTTCAAATATTTGTAAGTAAATGGAATTGTCCCCATTAGCGATATCCTTTTAGATCACAAAGTCGATACAAGCAGGTTGATGATCATAGAGCATATCCATAACCTGACAACAGTGCGTTGTATGGCAGGAGCATGAATGCATGTAGAATGCACATCTCTGGAGCATATCAAAAGCTGCATTTAGTACAGTATTTGCTTAAAAGATTATTTAGCTTGGATGGGAGGCTTATCCTTCTTCTACCAAGTATAATAGAGCTGCTAATCCTTTGAGCAATACAATAGTATGTCTTTTTCGTTTTAGGGAAATTATGCTAGAACAGGCCACAGTGAATGATTTCATCCAGGACAGTTTAGGCAATCAAGCATATGGGCTTTCTTGGATACAGGCAGCACAGTATGGTTTACCCATTCGATCACTATCACAATTTGGAGCCCTCACTCAACATCAGCACCGACACTAAAGCGCTCTCATTGGCTGACATGCTTTGAAGAGGTATTCACTGAACTTCACTGCTCAGTGTTCACAACTACGCGTCTCTTTCCTCTCACCTTAGTTTCCCCTCTCACCCGCAGTAGACTATCTGTCCATAACCAACAATTCATTTCAAATCAAAGTAAGTAGAATGAGAAGCTTCACTTTATTCTTATCTCACTTCACCCAAACTCACCTGAATCCTTTGGACAGGCCACGCGTTACAGGACTATCAGTCCACTCTCAAAATCCAAAATAGAACTAACTAAGATCATTTGATCCGAGATTCACTTCACAAACGGGTAGAGACTCTTTCTTGCATGCCATAATGGCAACACCGAGAAAGGCTTCGAACAGGCCGAAGAAACGGACTTTGGTCCGCTGGGACGGTATGTTTCCTATCTCTTCTTCGATAAACCTATCTTGTGGGGCACTTGTTTAACCGAGGCTAACAAGTATAGAAAATCTGAACGAACTCCTTCTATTGACTGTCCAGTCCGTTTGCAATACAAAGTCAATCAAGATTCCTTGGGCCGATGTCGCTAATACCATGGGTCATAATGTGACGGAGGGCGCAATCGTACAGCACCTTGCAAAGCTTCGCAGTCGTCGAGTTTCTGCAGACAAGGCTGTCCCCCCTCCCCTTCGACGTGGTACTACTGCTATACCCAAGTCTGCTGAAGAAACGCCCATAAAGAGCGTCGCAGACGAGGAACCAAAGCCGAAGGGCAGCTCCAGTAAGAACAATGGCTTTGGGTCCCGTGGTAAACCTCGACACCAGAATACATCCTCGGACGAAGAATGGGTCCAAGGAAGGCCTCCAAGATCACGAAGACTGCGAAAAAGAAGAAAGTCGGCGGTCAAGGTTGAGGAGAGCTCTTCAGGGTCTGAGAAGAGTGAAAGCGATGACGACGATAAGCGCAGCAACGTAGCCAGTTCCGATGAGCTTTTGGTTCCTGGTGCAAAATTCCTCGAATACCCCAATGACGCAGAAGAACCACAGAGTAAGATCGTGACACTCAAATACCGTCGTTCTTCTGCGGCCCAAGCAGGCAATGCACCCTCCAAATCTCTGGATTTGGCCAACGACACCACCAATGTTAATCCTTCCCTTGTTCTGTCGTCCAGGCAACCCAGAATCCCTTTTGGCAATGATCCCGATATGATGGACTTGTTGCCACACAACCTACCAAATCGTAATGTATCCGGGCATACCTCCAATGAACTGCCTACACTGCCTCCAGAAGAGCACATCTCTTCCGATGATTTGTGGAACACTGCACTCGGCCCGCCGTTTCCACCAGGCATGGTCTACTCAGGCTTAAATCCCACTTTCGAAGGGATTGTAAATGACCCTTTGGGATTCTCCCAAGAAGACATCGATAGATATCTCACCTTTGAGTCTGGCAGCTATTCGCATATGCCCACCAGTTATACCAGGTCGGACCCGCCATTGAACGACTTTGACATGGATGAGGACATGAACTGATCAAACTCTTCTTCGAACTGGTAATTATAAATGAATCAGGGCCCGACAGAATTTTCTGTACATACCTTTGCCCTTGCCCTTATCAAATTTTCGCATCGATTGAATATCAGTAATCTCACACATTCTCAATCTTCATCTCAATACTTTCATTTTTCATCAGTTCATTGCATTTGTTTTCATATCAGATGTTTCGGACATGAATGATAGTCCTGATGCAATGTCTTCGTTCTCCTTCTATCACGTCCTTCTTTCATCTCGGATATCTCAGACATCTATGATCAACATAATGTATTTATTTTCGTATCATTTAGGAACATCGACAATCATATCGAAGCAATAAAACACGTCTTATCAATAGAGTGTGAAAAGAGTATCAAAAGAGGAAGACAGTACACTATAATTGTCTCCTAGGGTTTAAATACTTGAAAGACTGAGATGAATGAGGTTATTGACAAATAAGCATTCAATCTCCGCGTGCACAATTAACTATCCCACCAACCAAGACGCTGCTGCATAATCATCATTCCTTTTATAAGCGACCGAGTAATAATTCAATTCGACCAGAAAACTCATTTCGCTTCTCATTCCCGCATTGGTGTACTACTCTATCCGCGGTTTCACCAACCGGAACCACTAACTGCATTTCACTTGTTACTAACAACTAAGTAGTCCACGCCATTAGTTAGTCACGCGCTTCTCTGTTACTGATGCAAGTTGAGCAGTACTGTGAGTGTAAATCTCGATTCTTCAAGCAGTGTTAGTGGCGAGAAAATGAACCAGGGGAAACAGAGCGGTGGCGTGTAGTGCAAATGGCACGGCGTTGTATCCGATGACTGGTACTACCAATATTACATTTACTGGTAGTAAAGCTTGACCATCGGTTCAGTCCGTCTTGTCTAGCAGGGTGTTTTTGAGTCTGCTGGTTATGTTTCCTTCAGAGTGAAGAGTAGTCTATTCACTTGCAGGAGTATACCAACACGAAAGTTGTAGAAGCCATGTAGTGAAACATCTCATCGATAACTCATCATCCTTTGCATTACCTACACAGAAACTATTAAGTCTTACACCCAAATCACTAGAGTTGGTGAAACCTTTCCAATACCTTTCCGCGTGGTCATCTTCAGTATAGATCAAAGGCACCACTTCGCTACTTCAACTGCAACTACACAATCATCATATCTACTTTTTCTCTACGTTCATATTATCCATCCTCCAAATCCTCCCGTGTCAAAGAATAAAATACATCATGAAACCCATCCTCATCGTCTTCGCCTTCGGCCTCCTTATCAACCAGGCCCAGGCCTGTGGCATACCCGGCACATTCTGCAGCCGCTGGGGTGCTAAAGCATGCGAGTGCAATGGAGGACACCTAGTACGTGGAATCAATCTGAATCCTATTGCTTAATGCTAATCATGATTTCAGTTGGAGTGTCAGGTCACCGTGGCTCCGACGGTTGATGGCCAGGGCGGCGAGACCGAGGCGTTCTGGACCAAGATCAGGAACTGTCCTGTACCGGCTGGTGGCGGGTTGCAGTGTGTTAGTGGTGCTTGTACTTCTTGATTGGCCAATAATTAAAGAAATGGGGGAAGTGGACAAATACGGATGAAATGCTGGGGTGAGAAGACTACTGCCGTGGATTGCTGATAGGGGATACTATAACGGTGGAAGAAATGCAGATGTACGGTCGGAAAGGGAACAGGCGTGTCGATTCGCTCTCAGCTGTCGCTTAGGAGAAAGCATATAGACACATAAAGTAGAAATATGGCGATCTGGTCATCGTTGAGATATTAGTTTTGTTAGGCATGAATGCAGCATCAGCAGATACTTTGTCAACACAACCACTCGTGCAAAATCTTCTATAGGCTTTTTGGACTTTGTAAGTATGCCCAACAGGAAGACCTACACGGTTACAGGGAAAATTGCCTACAGTGTAGGAGAACGATCTCATCTCGCATATCGGCGACTCCGTGGCGAGAGGCGAAAGCTGAACGCTGACGTGGAAAGCTTATCGCATGAGTATAATCGAAGTAGAATCAGTACTCGGCGCTAGACATGCATCTCCGACCTCACCTGATGAGCAATGTAGCTGCGTTATTGGTCCATCGTTGCATAATCGGGCTTGGATCTGGTTCAGATCGAAAACTCTGTATGGACGTCTTACCAACGAGTGTAGCGGTCTGCAGATGAGATGTGGTATTTCCTTTTTGCTACGATCCTCTGCCTCATCCCTTGCATTAAAGTTAAGCTTAGGCATGGATATGACGAGCTCCCGCATGGACAATGTGTGAGATTATCACAAGCTGGACATTACAGACTGGATTCCGACCAAGTCGTCTATCCACCGCTCGACCAGTTCAATGACCAGTGCTCTGCTTGTTAGCTATTTGGTATAATTTAAGTGGCATAGGAATCTCAGCGTGCATTATGCTATTGAAACTCACTGCACAGGATCTCGGAAATCACCCCGCGATCTGGTGGATCCCCCATCTTTCGGACGAATGACATGCCAATCTTGCCTCGATGTCCGTCAGCTCTAATGCCTGAGCGAAGCTCTAGGCCATTCAAATGACTCATGACAAGATACCAGATTAGACATAAACTAGAGCTACCGAGCACTTCAAATATACGGCATCTCCCGCCCAACCTCCACCCATCATCCAATCTACCCTCCACCATGGACCCTTCAACCAACCTTCACCCCCGATTCGGATGGATCGGTAAGTACCCATCATCCACCTTATATACAGAGTACTAAAATTCCCAGGTCTCGGCTCAATGGGCCAAGCCATGGCCCTGAACCTCCAAGCCCACCTATCGCACATCAACGCCCCATCTCTGAAATTCTACAATCGAACCGCAGCTCGTGGACTCCCCGTCCATGAGATTGGGGGTGTACAGTACCCCAACATCCCCGACCTCATGGCCAACACCGATATCTGCTTCATCGCCGTGACTGATGATACTGCTGTTCGATCAATCATCGACACTATCACGACAGTAGGCCCAGAGTATCTACGCCAGAAAGTCATCGTCGATACCACGACCGTCCATCCAGATACATCTGCCTGGGCAAAACAACGTCTTGGAGAACACGGAGCAACCTACATCGCATCACCAGTCTTCGGTGCCACGCCAACCGCGCAAGAAGGCAAGTTATTGTTTGTGGTTGCGGGCGCGGATGAGGCCGTGCAGCGGGTGGAGCCGTACATTGTGGGTATTATGGGGAGGAAGATGATGAGGTTGGGCGAGGATGTTACGAGGGCTACGTTGTTGAAGTGTACGGGGTGAGTTCTGACCTTCTTAGCCATTCAATCTTCTGTGAATATATCTAATTGATAGTTAGGAACTTCCTCATCGGCGGCATGATGGAGCTCGTCGCCGAAGCACAGGTGTTAGCGGAGAAGTCCGGTCTCGGGAGTGAGGTTCTCGAGGGGTTACTGGAAGAGCAGTATGGTCCTCTTCTTACCTCCATGTCGAAGAGGATGACTGGGGGTTTCTATCTGCCTGCACGGGGTCAGCGACCGTGGTCAGATGTGAATTTGGCCATTAAAGATGTCTCGTTGGGGGTGAATTGTGCCGAGGGCGCGGGAACCGATTTGCCCGTCGCGCGGGTGGTTTTGGATCATCTCCGGGAGGCTCGGGGGTATGCAGAGGAAAATGGACGGGCATTGGATTCGTCGTCAATGTATGGGGTGTTGAGAGAGCGTGCGGGACTTGCGTTTGAGTCAGAGAGGGTGAAGCAGAGGGATGCTGGGAGGAGTGATTGAATTGAGGGGGAATATGGTGGGGAGTTATATATATCTTCGGTAGCTCTTCCGAATAGCAGAGAACAATTCATGCATGGCGCATTTTACAGCGATAAATGTTCAAAATACATCTTAAATGATGCATAAGGCATGTAAAAATCTATTAACACACATAATCCAGTGAAATATATACATTAACGACGTAAAAGGAAAGTTCTGCATCTCGATGTGCGGACAGAAAAAAAACAAAAAGAAACGTCAGCGACAGGACTCGAACCTGTGCGGGCGAACCCAATAGATTTCTAGTCTATCGCCTTAACCACTCGGCCACACTGACTAATTGTTGAATGATGGGAAAACTTTCCGCCTTAGGAGCTACCGTCGCAGCAAAAGCACTCACCCAATAATTCAACTAAATCTTCATCCAAACGAGAGTCATTATTTCCTATCATAATTATAATAAACTTAAATACTTCCCCTTCCCACAATTACCCGACTATACGATATTTGCATCAAATTTTACAACAAGTAACCCACTTCATCAAATCCCTCGCATACATCAAACTCGGATACAAACAACAATAAACCCCCACCACGGCCGTAATCACCACCGCAGACAATCTACTACATCTACTAGTGCCACTACTCATCCGGCAGCAGGTCGTCGCTTTGGTCTGTTCCCGTCACTTATATCAGCTTTCATTTCTTCTACCACAACTAAATCAAGCACTTAAAAAGGGAATGAACCCACCTTTACTAGGATTATACGGCCTAAAAGACTGCGACCTGTCAGGAGCCGCCTTAGACCCCGACTGCTGCTGCTGCGACTGCTGCTGCGAATCACCCGTATCAGCGTGATGAGCCCGACGGTTCAGTTCTTCCCATCCGCCTCCAGAGCTGAGGTCATCGACTTTTTCGACGAGCTGTGAGCCGGTGAGGTGGTATGCGCCGGAGGGTCTGCGTTCGCTGGTCATTGTGTCCAGTTTCTTCTTTTGATTCTTTGGAAGATGATATTGCTAGATCGTTTCAGATGAGGTAAGAATAGATATGGAATAAGGATGAGGGCGGAGGCGATTTATATCACAGCTTTAGTGGAGTATGACATCGTGGGGGAGGGGGGAGCGGGGAAGACGAACCGTGGTTGTGACGATCCTGGAAGCTGTGTTATTGGGGGAGGGAGTGCGGGTGACGCCCCCGAACATGTGGGTGCCAATCATCGGGGCTGCTTGTTACGCGGATATTGCATCAGATATTATTCATCTTATTCATGGAGGCACTATTGTTTGAGGGACGGTTTGGTTTGGTTTGGTTGGTTGGTTGGTGATTGGGTAGGGTAGGGTAGGGTTGATGGTGGGATTGTCGCTTAACCAAACTATTATACACTGTATGAGAATGGGTTCTTATTGTGAGGTTGATGATAGCATTGCTGATTTGCTGCTACAGATAGTGTGGCATAATCTATGGATGGGGATTCAATAACTAATTGTCCCTGTCTTAGCTACATGCAGCATACGCTTCCTGATCAAAAAGAATCAAGTAGAGATCTAGCAATTTGCATTTCATTGCATCTTTTATCCATTTATAGCTATCTTATTAGTTTATTTCTCTTATTAGCTATGATAACTTTCAACTATTGTTTGAATCGCTTATTCTTCCACAACCGAAGCGACCAAAATATTGATGATCACTCATCCACCAAGCCAAAGGAACAGACCAAAGCATGATGATCAGTCCATAAGGGTTCATCGTCAGAAGATCCGCTTATCGGTTTCGGCTCTATTGTCTTAATGTCATGCGGTCGCAGCCCGAGTATACCTATTTTATCAAGCCGATTGGGAAGGAATGGTTGCTTGCCATCTAGGCCCCAAGTTAAGCCAGGTTCTCCGGGCCGAAGAGCTGTCCAAGCATCCACCAAGCCATTCTTTTCTAGAAGACTGTTGTCCTCATCGAGGACAGGATTGAAGTCACCTGCGACTAGACCTTGACCTGCGACGCGAAGGAGGGATGCAACAATAGATACCTGCTTGGGTCGGTGGGAAGGTTTGATTGGCAAAGAGTCTAGGTGAACATTTACTAGACGCAACCGTGTTGGACTGGGTTCCTTAGATGAAGCGACGAATATATCACAGCAGAGAGCATCCCTAGCAAAGTGACTCGGGAATTTCACCCTCCAAATTGGTCCTATGGCGGTGTTCGTCGTGAAGCGTGCCTTAGACAGTAAGGTCATTACCGCAAACGATTGATCGCCCCAGGATGTGTCGTCACATTCACTCGAAAGCCAGAGCTCGCGAACCCGCTCGTCTTTCAAAATTTGCTGGAGGGCTGGCTTTGACACTTCTTGGAAGAAAATGATATCCGGTCGGGGATCTAACCCGATGATACGCGTGATTATTTCTGTAACGCGTTTCTCAGTCTGAGGAGACGTTCCATCAATATTCCATGTCAGCAGGACAAGCCTTGAGGTATCGGCACCCCCAGTTGGGTCTGCCGGTGTACTTGTATCGATGTCGGAGCGAGTGGCAATCCAACTTTGGACAGGGTCAAAAGTATGCCAGGACTGGAACTTTGGGGAGGCGCCGGCCCCAGATGGGAGTGGTGTTCCATGTTTCCAGGAGAGAAAGCTCGTTTGGGCACGTGTGAAGATATCCATATTTGGATGGAATGGGTGCTGAATGTACCCAGCAGTGATGAGGGAGTTGGAAAGTGCCTGTGACGCCAGGGGGGCCTAATACAGCAGGGGACAGTGACCTCTCGCGCACGTGATGATTATAACAATCAACCGACCAGCCACAGTCAGCTGATCCTCGCAAGTTATTCAATACACTGGCTACCTGTATGCGGTCTAACTACTTGTATTATGAATCTCACTGTGCAGTCGCATTAGGAGCACTCGGATTCGTCACATACGGCAACAGCACCTCACAATGCTCCTGATACGGCAGCTCAGACACCTGCGGCCCCGGGTACTGCAACGACGCAACCCTTGGACTGTTCACCGTAAACTGCGGCCACTCGAAGCCAAAGAAGAAGTCAATCGTCGAATCATACGATCGCGCCTTCAAGTACGCCGGATCGACATTCGGGTTCCCAGTCCGGGCAAAAGCACCCCACATATCATGGATCGCGTTGGTGTAGTAGATGTCGTCGGGCACTCGCACGGGCTGATCAAAGATATAGTATGTGCCGAAGACCTCGTACAGATCGCTGCTATGGCAGCGGTAGTATGGAGTATCTGGCTTTCCTACGGGGAAGGTACACAGGTCGTAAAAGTCATAGTAGCTGAGTGCGTAGCCTCGATTGTGGATGTAGAACCAGTGGGACTTGAAGGCCCAGGAGGCGGCTGCGATCCATTGCAGGAGTGTGCCATCGCAGTATAGCTGGCCTTCGGTACCTAGGTGGACTGAGGCGTTGTAGACCGAGGTGTAGGTTGTGCTACCGTTGTAGACCGTGTTGTTGGTGATTGTGTAGAGTCCTGAGTTGAGGGCCGCTTCTGCTTGGGCTTCGTTGATAGCGGCGTCGTTGATGAGGATCTCTAATGCCTCGCTGAAGTTGCTCATGCTAGGCCAGAGAGTTGTGGTTGCGAGGGACTGGTATTCCTCGAGCATGTTACCCGTTAGGACGTTGACTGAGTTGATGTACTGTGCTCCGAGTGCATATCGAGCTTGAGTGTAGTCGGCTGAGTAGTGACCGTCAATGACAGTATACCAACTGATACTGTTGTTGCTGATATCAAGCAGGGTCTCTGCGGGTAATGACCGCAGGCAGGAAGCCCGCTGCGTGGCTGTGCCGTTACAGAATCTCTCAATATAGGGTAGGGCGTAAGCTGCGGCGACTTCGGCAGTAGCGACATTCGACTTTCCGGACTGGACGATACCATTTTGAAAGAGGTCTTCGCCTATAGTTGCAGGACATGTAATCAGATCATTGACTGATGATCCACCGGCGGATTGCCCAAAGATTGTCACGTTTTTCGGATTGCCCCCGAATGCAGCGATGTTCTGCTTTACCCAGCGTAACGCTTGAATCTTATCCGTCATCATATAGTTGCCGTTGAGCTCGCCATCATTGAGAGCTAGAAGACCGAATATGTTGAGGCGGTACTGGGTTTCAGTTAACAATAGAAATAATGGGTATTGGGAATTTGCTACATACGTTAAACGAGACAACCACGACGTCCGAGCGAGACGCAAGACTAGCCCCATCAAAAGTGGAGTCAGCGGCCGAGCCTTGGGTATCCCCGCCACCATAGATCCAAACCATCACGGGCTTCCCGTTGTCAGGATCCAAGGAGTCGGCTGATGGGATATGTGGCGTCCAGATGTTGAGAAACAGACAGTCTTCACTATTTCCCCAGGGGTCTGACAAGTAAGTAATCATCTTAACATGTCTGGGTGGGTAACATACTCAGACCATACGAGTTGCCATCGAAGTAACCAAACTGCAAACAGGCCGGTCCGTAACTCGTGGCGTTCACATACGAGATAGTATGATTCCACGGCTGCGCAGGTTGGAATCGTAGATCCGCCGTCGGGGGCTGAGCAAAGCGAATGCCAGCGAAGCGAAATGCCATGTGGTCTCTCATGCCCTCGAAAGTCGTACCGTTGTAAGTGACATTTACACGGGGGAAACCAGAGTAATCCGTGTCTACTGTGTCAACGAGAGGGGCGCTGTTGGTGCACAGAAAGGGAAGATCAGAGGATGAATTCGTGCTGCTCTGAACAACTCCGCGCCATGAAGTTGGAGACGAGGAAGAGCATGATGACCAGAATAGCTGATCAGTAGTGATCCTGCCGAGGTATTGCTGATACCTGAATAACTTCTCAAGATTGGCGTATTCATCGCAGCTCAGCAATGCCTCATTCTGTGCTGCGCACACCGCATTGGCATCAGCATAACTCGAGGCCGTGTTGATGAATAGGGCGCTAGGCTTGGTTGCATGAGATGTCCAGTTGCCGTCATTCTCGAAGAAGACTGTCGTGTCATCACTTCGCGAATCACTTGCAGCACGAGCAATGGTCGGCACGCCTGTGGCAACGGCCGCCGCAGAAAGTACAGCGGGCGCCACCAGAACATTGAGAGAAACAAACATCCTGCTGTCCCGTTAAGCAATGAAATCCTTGGCTTAGCATCAGTCGAACAGAGTTCAGCGGCACACATTGCAGCTTTATAGCCCAGAGGTAACTTGCTTTAGCCAGTATGCTTTACCAGTATCAGGCTATTTGCTCTTGGGATCCGTTGTATCCGAGCCATTCGCGCCATCATTACTTTATCTGCAGGGTGGAACTGGCCCGATCTTACTCAAACACAATGCGGGGAATGGGTGGGGGCAAGGTGGAGATGGGATGAAATATTGAGTGCACCGTGCGTCAGAATGATGTGTGGGGGTGAAGGCATACCCACCCGAGCCCACATCTACAATATCCTGATAGGCTCGGTTGGGTATTATCTTAAGGGACGCGGACCTGTCAATGGACTGCTTGCTATTTAACATCCCGATCAAGGCAAGACTCCGCAGGGGCCAACGCAGACTAGAAATCTTGGTTTGCTTGATTCTGAAGAGGTAGTGTTGTAGGATTACGAAACGGATGTACTAGTCCAGCCGAATTTGCCATCATCTTCGTTATGGTGATGACATGAGTAATCAGCCCAATGACTTAACACCGGAAAACATATAACATCTATAAGAATCTAAATCGGGCATCCGAACCTTTTCTCATGATACAGATGAGTCGGTATTAGTATCAGTAATCAATTGGAGTGAACCCATGGGCAATCTTCCAAGCACCAGTGACTGGATCACGCTCATTCCGCAAATAATGCATAAAGCTTTGATCACGATACGGGCTCCATTTTGCGATTTCTTCCTCCGTTGTTCCTGGAGGGAAACCGTCTTGGACGCGGAAGAGGTTTATGGGTCTGATGCGTGCCTCTTCCGGGACGAGTTCTGTGACTGCTGTCCCGGTATCCACATCCGAATCCACCGAGTATGGGCTGGCGACAAATTCGAGTCCTGGTGTGCTTGGTTGACTTCCAAGATCCGAACCGACTGTGCTGCTGCCGAAGTCCTGACAGTATGGGTATTGTAATTGACTCGTCGACTCCGGCAGTCCTTCAGATGACTTCATAGCTACTGCGCACACTTCTTCTATTGTTATGATTGTTTGCGACCACCTTGCACCAGTAATAACCTTGTAGAATGCCTGCACTGCCGGTGCTTGACCTGCTAGGCTTAATGCTGTTTGTCGAAGTTTGGGTTCTCGGCATCTCAGACTCGTGAACCACAGGGGAATCGAGATGCCAAGTTCAAGCGAAAGTGGAGGTTGGGATCCGTCTGATCGAGCCGAAGCACCAAGCGCGACTTGAGACTGGTCCACTATGTTCTGAAATTGCGGAAGGTATGCGTCGTTTGCGGTCTCCAGCTGACATGTGGAAGTCCCGATCATTACGTATAGCATCTCGTGATAAGCGAGAAGGAGGGCGCCAGTGCTTATTTGCTGCGGTGATAAAGACACTTTCATATGCAAGGTTTCCATCAAATCCGTGAACGCAGCGTACCACACCTTTAGTCTACCGAATAGAGCGAGGCGTTGATCGAGCAACTCGCGAGATGGGTTGAATCCTTCAGGGTTCAAAAAATATGGCAGGCAGACACGCTGGAAGAGCTGAGCCTCTGCAAGCAAGAGAACGAGGGCTTCGCGAGCAGCTTTGAGGGAGGAAAACCCCTGTGTCAAGGTATGCCCAGCATCGGGTAGCAAAGCGCCGACCGGAACAGCGGAAAAGTTGAGCGCCGTTGCCCCAAGACGAATAAAAATCGGAACGATGATGTCCTCCAACCATGCAGTTTTGGATGACGATATGACCCCCAAAGCGATCTGAGCACGCAATGTGACGATGAGCTGTACGCCTTGACAGTAGAGCAGCGTAGCTTGTGCTGCACCACCCTGAAAACCCTCAATGCACATGAAGAGTATACAGCTGACCAGTCCGACCAGGACATCCCCGTCGCCGCGGTCCAGTCGCTGACGGACTTGGGACATTGAGCGGGAATACCAGCTGATGGCGTCTCGGTGGTACTGATTAAGGAGAACTACGTCTCTCTGGCGTTGAAAGGCTATATCTGGACATGGTTCTGGGCTCTCAAACAGGGTGCTCAGGGAGATGATGGCATCCCACACAGCGGGTTCGCTGCGGCAAATCTGGGGAACGATGGTACTCCAGAAGTCAACTTCTAGACCCCCGCCGATGAACAGGGCAATATGTTGGAAGTAGTAGGCAAATGCGCGACGCTCCTTCCAGACTGTATCCGGTGCCGAAGACAGTGGCTTGTCGAGAATTGAAATGGTCGCAGGTGTGGAGGAAAACGTGCCTAGATTGGGGCCTTCATATTCGCAGTTACGGCCTGTCTTGCTGCAACGAAGACAACTTGGCTTTTCCTGACCACACTTGACTCTCCGAGCCCTGGAGATATCATTTGTAAGCTTATGTCGCGGGGATATAGTCTCAAAGCACCTACTTGCAGGTTTTGCAACCCCGCCTCGATCTCAGGGGACCAATCACTGTATCCCTCACATGGGTGGAGGGAGAAAGATGCATATTGCCAGCATTATTCTTGAGGTCAGTCAATGGAATGATGCATAGCAGACATGATAGCAGCACGATAGAGAATAACCGAGCGACTCAATGAGAGAAAGAATGTTGAAATGGCGGCGATGACTGTTTCATAATGAGGCGATAAAACGGTCTTGACACGTGAGTTGCTGATTCATGAGAAACGAGTCACGTGGTGCTTGGCTAAAAAAGAAACATGCAGGCTACACCGCATGCAGTTAGTCTGACAGGCGTGCTGATGGAAAATAGGGGCAGATTAAAGATATGAGATTTGACCAATTTGATGTTTATCTTATCAAAGATTGGGTGTTTGTAGGGTAAAACTTCCAGTGGGGGCCAAAGCCGTAGAGTTCTGGTTAACCTTGGTTGGAACCCATTTCATGTCCTGACAAAACTCTTCCCGTGTTACGAACCACATTTGCTTTTTCATAGCCCGTGTCGTCGTTGCTTTTGTCTCCCATTTGTTCAGCGACTCATAATCATTCCGTTCTTTTCCCCCGCTATTTCCGGCCTGCGTTACAGCAGACAACCAAGTGAAACTGCAAATAAATCACCAATCTTACAATATGGCGGCATAATCAGTAATGTGGTTGAGGCGAATCATTTCTATGGGAGCAACGAGAGCACAGACTGAGGGCCAAGGCACAACGCGATCACATGACCCGGATCGAACTCTACTGACTGCCGTGTATGCACCTCTCCTTCCAGTTGCCGTATCCTTCTTCGAAAGAGGCTATTATATGCTTAAATGTTTATCACGGACCAAGAATCCAATGCCTAGAGAATAGCCAGTAGCTGAAACCAGTAGAGATTCCCGCTCAAACACCGCTCAGACGGCAGAGAGTCGAGTGAACAGGTCAGATGAGGATAAAATGGCCGCAATATCCACCTATACGAGCACAAGACCTGTGCGATGACCTCATAAGTTCACTACGACCCAAGGAAAGGGCAAGATTACCCGCTTCGACAGGAGAAGAATTCTTGCCCGCTTTCGTTGGACAGCCCCAATTAGAGTCCCAAGGATGTCATGCAACCTTCCATCCACCAATCATCCGACGTGGGCGGTTCGTCCCGGGCACTGGATGCGGGGAAATCCGGGGTACATTATAGTCATTCCAGACCAGGAAAGTTACTCCATATTCCCCCCCGAAGTCCAGCTTCAACCTTATCGGCGAATGCATATTCTACTAGCCGCAACCCTATACGGATCGGCAATTGACTCCGGTATATATATGCCTACACCCTTCTGGGTATGGGATGGTGGGTTGCTTCTCAGCTGATCCACACCCCCAATTCACTAGTAGCACATACATTGCATCTTAGTCTCCTGCAATCATGGCAGACAATGACACACCCGACCGATCATCAATCCAATTGAAGAAAGACCTCGCAACTACCGAGCATGATGAGAATGTTGCCGCGATCGAGTCGACCTCTGATCTGGCCTATGGCGTGGGCGGCATCCGCGGCCTCTTCCGCTCGTGGTATGTCTTCGGGTCGGCAACCCTGGCCTCGCTGGGCGGCTTCTCCATGGGTTATGATATGGGTGTGATCTCTATCATCAACGTGATGGATCAGTTCCATGCCGTGTATCCTCGGTCTGAAACTGCTTTCGGAAAGGGTCTCATGACAGGAATGTTGTTGCTAGGTGCTTTTGTTGGCTGTCTCTTCATGTCCTATCTCGCAGATCGCATCTCTAGAAAATGGGCCATCACAGTCGTCGTGGTGATCTTCGACCTCGGCGCTATCTTGCAGACTGCAGCCGTGAACTACGACATGCTAGTTGCTGGCCGCTTCATCGGCGGTATAGGAGTGGGAACTCTAGCCATGGTACGTATCCCCCCTCCTCTGCCCCCAGCCATTATCCCTATCTATCAACATACTGACCCTACCCCACTCTGGAGGGTGCACCCCTATACATCTCTGAAACATCACCCCCCGAACTCCGTGGAATCCTCCTCGTCCTCGAATCTATCTCCATCACTCTCGGCGTCGTCATCGCCTACTGGATCACCTACGCAACGCGCTACATCCCCAGCGAAGCCTCCTTCCGCCTCCCCTTCGGTCTTCAAATGGTGACCGCCACCCTCCTCGGCATTGGAATCCACTTCTACCCCTACTCCCCGCGCTGGCTCGCCCTCGTCGACCGCCAAGACGACTGTCTCTCCGGCCTCTCCAAACTCCGCGGCCTCCCACGCTCAGACCCCCGCATCCAAGCCGAATTCCGCACCATCGTCTCCGAAGTCACCTACCAACGTATAGTCCAGGACCGCCGCCACCCCGGCGCCACAGGTCTCAAACTCGAGCTCTTCTCCTGGCTGGACCTTTTCTCCCGAGGTACCTGGAAACGCGTCGCCGTGGCCTGCGGCGTGGGCTTCTTTCAGCAATTCTCGGGGATCAACGCGTTCATTTACTACGCGCCAACACTGTTTCAATCCCTGGGACAGTCAGACAGCATGTCTACCATTTTATCCGGCGTGTTCAACATTATTCAAGCCGTGGCGGCAGTGTTCTGTGCGTTCATTATCGAGGGGGTCGGGCGACGCGCACTAGCTATCTATGGCGCGTTTGGCATGGCCATAGCGTACGTGATTATTGCTGTTTTATCCGGGCTGTACTCGGATGATTGGGCAAGCCATGTGGCAGCAGGCTGGGGGTGCGTCGCTATGGCCTTCGTGTTCATTCTCATCTACGGCGTGTCGTATTCCCCGTTGGGATGGGCGTTGCCAGCAGAGGTGTTTCCTAATGCGTCCCGGTCAAAAGGTGTCGCGTTGGCGACGTGTACTATCTGGTTGTCGGACTTTATTATTGGGGTGGTGACCCCTTCTATGTTGTCAGATATCGGGTACAGAACGTATGTATTCTTTGCGGTGATGTGTACGTTGGCTGGGGTGTGGGCGGTGCTGTTGGTGCCGGAGACGAGTGGGAAGACGTTGGAGGAGATTGATGGGTTGTTTGGGGATGCGGGGGTTAGAGCGGAGAGGGGGATTGTTAGGGATGCCATGGTTGGGGCGGGTGATATGGGGGATGTTTAGGACGTGAGTAAATGGCTGTGTGCTGAGTTTATTTAGTGTTGTAGGAAATGCTAGATTACTGTCCCGCCTTCATTCTGTATCAGTCAATAGGAAAGTATTATTCAGCTCGGCTGTGAAGTTGGTAGGAAGTCGTGACTTCAGTGGGCAAGTGTTTGGACACCAAGAAAAAAAAAAAAAAAAAAAAAAAAAGAGGAAGATGCACGAAGATGCGTCACACTGTATGGAGCTCGACATTTCACAACATGATGCTATGTTTCTTTAGAATATCTCCAGTTTCACGAGTGTGTTCTGTAGTACTTGAGTCTGGAAGGCGGATACTGCGCATCGAATTGATCTACAATGACAAACAGGAAAGAGGAAGTCATAGTAATGAATGATTTGTGTGACTGAATTATTTCACTTCAAAACGATCGTCCTTGTCAGCCTGCACATTGTGTCCATACAAAATAGACCCGTAGTGCGCAACGCAATCCAATAGAGTACCCCGTCGACCTCAGCGCTGGACAGGAGTAGAAATATATTCGTTTACAATAGATAGGTTTGCGAGAGTAAACAGATGATGTCACAAGACAACGGCTATTGCAATGCCACTGGCCTCATACCATCTCCAAAAGAATGCATCGGAAGCAGCTTTCGACTCGTTCCCATCAAGTCGAACCTTAAGGATGGTACATAATTCAGACTCCCGAATCATCCTGGAAGCGATGGGGGAACGGGGTATGACTAGAATACCAGTTTTTCCAGGTTGAGCAGCCTTTAAGCAACTGCTCATATGCATGGGTGGCCCCTCCGCCATGGATCCCGCGGGCAAGCCGATGCTTATCTTCAAGGATCTGCAATGCCAAACCACCAGACGCATGCCAGGCAATATGACAGTGCAGCAGCCAGGGCCCAGGGTTATCGACCTTGAATGCGAGTACAACGTACCCATCACGGGGAAGCAAAATAACATCGCGACGCGGCGGATTTGTCACGTTGAAAGTATTTATGAACTCATTGATCTGGTCTTCATTCGCAGGAGTCTTGTCATCCCCAAACATCTTATCGTTGAGGGGCTCATACGACTGTTTTAGGAGCGCGAAATCATGACCGTGGAGATGCATCTAAGGTTTTGTATCATAATATGTTAGCCGGCTCCATTGTAATAGTGAGGGAACTTATCCGGAGGCGTACAGGGTGTGCTGCAGGAATGATATCTTTTCCTTTTGGCACGTTTGGATCCTTCGGTTGATGCCCACCATCTATCACCATGTAGGCCCATGTCGGTTTGTTTTGATCTCTGTTTTTCTTAACCTCCATCAAGGCAGCATTTGCTGGCCAAACTGTTGTGTTGATGTGCTTGATGGTGGGTTCCTGGTAGTTAACCCAGGCAGGGGCATCCATAACCTTCCAAGCTGAGATATTGGGCCCTGCTCCGATATTGTTCTCGGGCTCGGCTGGGAGCGTCATGTTAGCCTTTTTCACCTTGATCGGCAACCTGACTTTGTGCAATTCTGATGGCACCGGCTTTGGTACATCAATGCGGAAAGCCGGCTCTAGCTTTGTGTGGTTTTCATCCTGGCACTGAGTGCTGTATAGATGCTTCCCCGAGGTCGGATCAAACGGGTACTTTTCACGGTATACGAGAATACCCTGTCTTTCATTTTGCGGACAACCAAAATTCTGACAATGTTCGGCTGGCTCGGTTCGAATCCAGTAATTTGGTCTATGATGCCTGTGCTTCGTTTGTAATATGACGTGGTACCGCTGGCCTACTAATAATTAAACGTTGGGACTCGAGAGGCCTCCAGGAAAGATAACTAACCGATTCCAATATATAGATGAGTTTTCTTGTACGGTCTCACTGGCACCAAGTCTGCCCCAATAATCTCCAACTCATGTTCATCGATGCTGAAAATGTAGGCCGTATCCGTTGACGCATTGATAAGTCGGAGAAGAATGCGCTTGCCCTGTATCACTAGTCAGAATGTGGTGTGGCTCAACAGTTGGTGTGAGACTAGCTTACTGGATCGACCTTCGTCCTGAAACGTCTCTCTGGATGCTGGCCCTGATAGCTGCCTATGAAGCGGTTATTATCAAATTATGATAATTAGAAGGATTTTCTGCTAGCAGAGCACCTACCGATGCCATTAATAAGGATGCTATCCATCTTGATTGGCCCCTTGGCATGCCCTTCAACAACACCCCAATTCCAATCCTCGAAGGCACTTCGATCATTGTGGTCAGCTATTATGATGGGCTCCATAGCTTCATCGTATTGCGGGGTAGACGCAGGCCCATAGATAGTCAATGGACCAAGGAGGCCATCCGTGTATTGGAGACTGTAATGGCTGTGATACCACGTCGTGCCATACTGGACCGCACGGAACTTGTATGTATGCGTCTCTCCAGGAGCAATCGGGCACTGAGTGACACCTGGCACGCCATCTGCAAGACTGTCGTTCAACATGCGGATTCCATGCATATGAATAGCAGTTCCATTCTCTTGCAGTTCGTTCGTGACGTGAACAACTGGCTCTGGTCAACAAAGAGAGGCTGGATATGAAGAGGAAAAATTACTTACAGACAGTGTCGCCCCAACAAGCCTCTACGAATGGTTAATGAGCCAATGCTATGTAAAACTTCCGACAAGAAGACTCTTACCAATAGGTGTCCCAGGGTACTTCATGTCAAAGTACTTTCCCTGCCTATATTCGCGACCATCAAGGTTTTTGGGGCTAGTCGTATCATTCTTCACGGAGACAAAGACCTGCGCGTTCTGTTATTATCTTGTTTTGTCAAGTCAGGAGACATCCCTTCCATCACTTACATGTCGATCTATCCCCACAGGTGCATAATCCTCATAGTTCGTATGGATTGAGACGTCCTTATCAGGATTATGTTTGTGTTTTAGCCAAACAGTCCTATCCTTCTCGGATGGTGGATCGAAGTAATGACCAAGCCCTGGATACACGCACTGAAACTTTTTGGTCTTGGTATCCAAGGGCTCGAATCTCAGAGCCGGCCCTTTTGGATGGGGCCGATCGGCCTCTTCGGGAATGTCAACAAGAAGATCATCATCAAGTTCCTCATCCGGTGGATGTAGATACTCAAGTCCGTTATCTGGTGGAAGTGCGTATTCGTGTCCGCCATTAGGTGGGACTGGCCTTTCTAGACTTCCATCAGGTGAAAGCGGATACTGCTGGAACGAGAACAAAGATTGGAAGCTAAAGAAATGGACAAGGGCTGTCCAGCAAGATTCCAATAGCATCTTGAGTCAAGTTACCCTTGGAACCCCAAGCACTCGAATGGAGGAACTGATGAACTTTCCCATGCTCTAAGAGCATCTCATCTCCTCGGGGGCAGCTAGGAGTAAAATAGTTAACCGCCAGAAGACCTATTGACGGAACACAACTATTGACGTCTTTGAGTTTACGTCAAGGACTCCTGATGTGGAGAAGTCTGCAATGCAAGGTTGCAAACTGCAAAGTATATCGCACTTGACAGCTTCGGATACAGTATCCGGACGAGGCATGGCCGCGTTCAGTTGCCTGTCATTCACGTCTACGAGACTCGGTACAGACGCATCCGGTTCGAGTGTGGGGTGTTTACCATCTATACCTTTCGCACGAGAAAGCTTCACTTTACCTCACCTTAACAGCGTGCAATTGTCTGTTGCGAACTCTGAAGGGGTAGTTGAGTTGCACAGAACACGCAAAATGCCAGTGGTTCCAAGATTTTGGTGAAAGTGTGGCAGTTGCGTCCATCTAGATTGAAAATCTGTAGTGAGCGGAGCAAAGGCCATCGTAAAGCATCATTCAGTGTGATTTGGAGATTGAAGAGAGACAATTGCGGAGACATCCGCACGATCCGAAGTTCAAGCATGGACACCTTCCGCATTCTGGATGACAGATGGGGCCGCGCAAGAGGATCCGCGGTAGGGTATGTAACACAAGGTGATAGTTGCCCCGAAAACAATGAAAGGTAAGTTGCATCGACGGGAAGGGCGGTCTCGGCGCATGACGTTAAGACTTAGCATGGAGTGTGAATTCCGCGGACATTAACTGCGAATTAGACATGAATTGACACCAATTATTTACTGGACTGTATGAGAATTATGACGAGATGAGAAATGTGCGATCGGCAATGTCGGGTTCGGCCATGAGAAAAACTCTTTCGAGTCTTTGTCGTCATCGACAGTGAGGGGGAAAAGGGAGGAATCGCACGTTCGATTCATTCCATTTCCAGCATTTTTTGGCATTGATGATATTAAAGTAGTATTCGCCCTTTGAACCCCACGAATATAACTGTACGGTATAGGGTTGGGGACGCTGCGTTTGCTGGATGGTGGCAATATTCCTTCTTCGATATCGGCTGGGTTCCTTCGAAAGTCTTTCAGTATACACTGTGGCGAAGAGGATGCTATGAGACTTCCGTCGCATTCCAATGCAAAATAATGTGGTGATTCATGCAGGTATAGAAGTTCTGTTATAGATATCAAACTTTTCTTTGGCTCCGAACTGATCGTCCGCCTGAACTCCTGGAGGGGCGGATCCATTGCGCAAGCGCCGATGGCATCGAGAACTGCATTAGATGCCCTTCTTGCAAAAACAAAGAAGTAGTAATAAGCACAGAAAACACCTTGCCCCGCTCAGAAAACATGGATGATATGAAGAGAGTAAAGTTCTGGTCTCATCATATTACTCTGGAAGGGGAATTCGGGTGCATTGATCTGGAACAACGGCGGAGCAAAGATCATTTAGAGGCATCCGAACTTCCAACAACAGCTGCTGCATGAGTAGCCTGAAATTAGTGCATAGGCTTGCTTACGCGTGTGGCGGATGTTGGCAAGGCCCACGAGTGGGGATAGCTGATGGCCTATCGTACGTGCTGTTGGCTGGTGGGGGGAGGGGGGGGGGTCAGCTGGGTAAGAATTGGGGCGGGCCGACTGGGAAATAATGAGATGCTAGTAGACGCAACCAGAGTAAACAGCCGAGTGAAGTGTTGATCGTCGGATCCTAGCAACCTACTGCCTTAAGCCAGGGGCGTTACAGGACCCTAGGTGAGGTTCAGTTAGCCGGGTGGGGAGGTCAATGCGACTCTTAGGAACGCATGAGAGGCGGCTGGATTGAGGATCTCCACCTGTGGACCAAATGCAGGGTATTTGGTCGGAGAGGTAGAATGGTTCGTTGAAGTGGTGGCCGGGGATTTGTTGGTGAGATGTCTTGATGCTGCTGGGCAAGCCTTTAGAGAGACCAGTTGCTCTGCTGAGCGGAAACTCGATGCGGTAAAAATAAACGAGGGCTTGTGCCGGCTGTAGCCAACCAGGAAGATCTGCATTGCGCAAATGTTTCGAATGTCATACTGAGCTAAGCCAATGTGACATCAAGGAAGTGAACCTGGACGATCTATGAGTTTCAGAACTGGATACCTTTCCACAGATAATATGAAAACAGGCTAGGCGGTATAGACACTTACTGAACACTGTAACTGGCATTACCCATTCTGCTCGGTTCGAATCAGTCGAATATCCTTATTGTCCCGGGTGTAGCCACGAAATTGTGGTGGATTGGAGCACGTGAACGATAGCAAATTCTGACTTGGCCTCTGACTACGAGGAAAGGAATGATAGCTGGTTCAGGTGAACTCTGGTTCAAGCCAAGCCGGAATCAAGCCATCCAGCTTGGCAGCAACTTGCACTGGACAGAAATTATCTTCCTGATAATTGGCTAGTGCAGAGGGTCCAACAGGAGTCCGCATCGACATTCTGACACACATCTCACACACTGTTCTGTCTCGGCCAATGACGGCACCTCCGTAGCTGGACAATGAATGCAGTCTAAAGTGGACGGGCGTAAGAGATGCAACAGGATGCGCACGAGGGATTAAGTCTGGGCTGGGAGTGGACCAAGGGGTTCACGGAGGTCCGACCACCATGAGACTAATTTCCGATACGTTGTTCCTGGCCTTCCTAATATGATCGGACCAAGGAAAGAAACATAGAAAGTCAAATTGAAAAAAGAAATGACAAGCCGGGACAAGATAGACAAGGCCAGACAAGCAACAGAATACGAGATAATTCTCATGGTTGACCCGTAAGAGCCAAACAGCCAAGGCAGCCTGGGGCACGTGGTGCCAAGAAAGCTTGGCCTCTCTCCGGCCGGCGTTGCAGCACGTGCCCCCATCGCGCCCTCTCATTCCCCGGTTGAGATACACACCATCTGCATCATCCCGGTTGACTCGAGAGGGTGCTATTGTCCAATCCCCTTTGCATCCCGGACCATGCCGACGGCTCTGTCCGTCTTGAGGTTACACTGGCCATGCTTCCGCCTTCTGGAAAAGAATACTCACTTTCCTCTCGAGTCAGATACACAGGCAGGACACATTCCAGCTTAGCCTCTGCATGACGTTAACCCACCTTTGGGTCCAGCTTAAAAGACATCATGGCTCAAGCCCACCCGACGACCTACAGTTTCGGTTTGCGCCCTTAACTCGCCCCTTTCATAGGCCATCGTATAGCTAAGGCCATTCATCATCACCAGCATGGCACTAGTACTAGTCTGGTCGGACGGGGCCTGGCTGCCCCCACCCATGCACACCCACTTCCCCCCCGAATTGACCCATCGGCCCGCTCGGGGGACTAGGTACCATTGTATCCAGTCCTCCGTACACCCTCTTTTTTGCCTTCAGCTAGACATGGTAGCCATGCTAGCGTCCAGCTGCAGTGGCCTGTTCGACTCGCTTAAGGCTGTCTGTCGCGCGACACCCTCTCGCCAACCACGTGCGGCGATATCATGGTCCCCCTGGCCAACCACAGCCGCTCTCTGCAGAACGTGCTGGTGCTATTCCTTCGAGATGCATAGATCGGTTGCTGCGCCTGTTAGCTGACAGGCTGACACCTCGAGACACACGCCTGCATGCTATTCTCGATCCCCTTCTTGATACCACTTATAAAGGCGAGGGATCGCCGCTCGTCTTTGCTGACCCTGCTTGCCATCTGCATCTCAAGTTCAGACCATCCTTGTCTTTCTTGCAAGTCCCCTTCATCCTCTCTCTCTCTGAGGAATCCTCTGCAGATATGGCGGACTTTGGCCCTCGTGCTCCTCACGGGCCCGACATGAACGGCAAGCAGGATTTTGCCGAGATGCATCCCAATGAGAAGGAGGGCTTCGATCGCCTCCTCCGTCCCGATGACAGCTACACGGCCCAGGGTGTCTACTGGGCCGACCTTCCCATTGGGCAGCGTGTCAAGTTCGTCACCTCGGTCGACAACAAGGAGCGTAGCCGTCAATGGTCGGCTCTCTGGGCTGAGATCAAGAGGGATCCCCTCTCCCCAATAATGGGCTACTTCCGCAACACCATCATCCCAGGTGCTGGTATTGGTTTGGAAGGGTATAATTACCCCATATGAATTGATCGGCATTAGTTTTTTCTAACGCACGTGCCACAGTTACGTTCTCCTGTCCATCGGAAACATCTCCACCCTCTTCCAGCATTCTTTCTCGACTTGCTGGGATAGTTACGAAATCTGTAATAAGCAGTGGATCAACGCTATCACCTACCTCGAGATCGTCGGTATAATCATCGGTCAGGTCCTCGTTGGTGTCATTGGTGACTGGGTTGGTCGTCGTTGGGGTTTGCTGCAGGATGCCTGGATCATGTTCTTGGGCCTGGTCATGTTGACTTGCGCCTGGGGTGTCACACAAAACGGCTGGGTGATCTGCTATGCTTGGTCCCTGTTCATCTACGGCATCGGTGTTGGTAAGTTTTACCTTTCCGCTTTTCATTGGCGACACCAAGGCCTTCTCCCGAATACCGATTAGCTGACTCTTCTTAGGTGGTGAGTACCCGATGACTGCTACCAGTGGTATGGAGAATGCGGTTGGTTCCGGCAAGCTCTCTACTCGCGAGGATCGTCTTCACCGTGGTTCCAAGGTCGTTGGTGTGTTCTCCATGCAGGGTTGGGGTCAGGTCTTGAACCAGGGTATCCTCATGATCTTGCTTCTTATCTTCAATGCTGGTAGCGGAGAGGAGCCTATCAGCCAGACTAACACCCAATGGACCTACCGTATCTCCTTCGTCATCCCAATGGTTGGTACCTTCTGGCTCATCTACTACCGTGCCTACCACATGAAGGCTGCTAGTAAGCAGCTTGCGGCCACCAAGAAGAAGAACTCAGTTACTGGCTACGACACTGAATCACTCCGCCTCACTTTCAAGTATTTTACCCCCCGTGTTTTGGCCACTGCCGGTGGATGGTTCGCCAACGACGTCTTCTTCTACGGTGCCAAGCTCTTCTCCAGTGATTTCATCAAGGTTATCAGCCCCAACACCAAGTCCATCTTCGTTACCTGGCAGTGGAGCTTTATCAACTGCGTTGTCACCCTGATGGGCTACTATGCTGCCATTATGCTCGTGGACAACAAGCTCTATGGCCGCAAATGGATGCAGATCATGGGCTTCTTGCTCTGCTTCATTGTGTACGTGGTGCCGGCTTTCCACTACCACTACTACACCCAAGCCGCCCATATCCACTCCTTCCAAGCCATGTACTTCTTGGGGAGTTTCTTCAACCAATTCGGCCCCAACTGCATTACCTTCCTGGTGGCTGGTGAAGTTTTCCCCACTCCCATCCGTGCCACCGCCCACGGTATCTCCGCTGCCTGCGGTAAGCTGGGAGCCTTGTTGGCTGCTATCCTCTTCAACTACATCGACACCCAGACCAAGTTCTACTTTGTGCCCTGGTGGGGTATCTTCGGCATGTTCCTGACTTACTTCTTCCTCCCGGATACCACCGGCCTGGATCTTAAAGAGCAGGAGCGTCGCTGGAGATTTATTCGCGAGGGTCGCGAGAATGAGTACCACGGTGTTGCCATCCACCCTAAGCACCTGTCCCTGTGGGAGCGCTTCCGTGGTGTTGGCAAGTACTACGACCCCGAGTTGGACTACCAGCAGCGCGTCGAGGAGTACCGCTCTGAGTGGGAGGCCATCATGGCCCGCCGCAGCGAAGAGACCAAGACCAGCGATGATGTTGACTTGGCATTCGTCGAGGATGACCTCTTGGAGGGTTCCGTTCACAACTACTTCCATCGCACCAGCTCTTTCACCAAGAGCCAGAGCGTTGAGAAGGTCACTGAGGCCGAGCCCTCGGAGTAAAAAGTCATCGCATCATCTAGTTTTGCGCCATGCCCTCGCAGGCATGGAATGGATATACCCACACATACCCCCATATATATACCCGTCGCTCATGCGACTTCAAATTTGCCGCTGGATAGAGATTTCTTCTAGCCTACCTTATACTATCTAATTTCCTGCTTATATACATTCGATGTCTGGACGGTTGAACGAGGAGCAGAGACATGAATCTATTTATATACCTTTCTTTATTGTGCTTAATTCAACACGACTCGGCTCTATCCTGTTGTACCTAAAATGGCTACTATTCTCATATAAAATGTATCCTCTTCGTATAACTCTAAGCTTGCGAAGTAGAGCTGCCGGCAATAGTATTATTGCAGCAGAGGTTATAAGCCCGTTGCACCCTATGCTGGACATTCGTCTTTATCCAACCCCAACATCTACCCTCCAACTGGGAAATCCGTCCCGACCCAACACCTCCCCACAATTAAATCCCTGTACCTAATTCAAGCCAAGAATCGGGACAAGCTCATTCCCGATCTGAAGCCGCACGTGGCGCAAACTTACTCCCATGCCAATGCTAGGCTCCTTGCATCCACAATTCTTGGTACAGCTTGGCCGGATGGAACCAAGATCTTGGCGAGATGGCGGAGAATATAGTTTGTGCAGTATTCAAGCTTTTGCATTTGGACTTGACTGGCGGGATTTTGGGTTGTGGTGGATTGCTGAGGCTAATCATGTTGTGGCTGCTTTGGGTAGAGGTTATTGGTGTGTAGGCGATGGAAGGAGGATGGGTGATCTTGGTGATGTGATGGTGGGTCGATTTTATCGGCGTCGAGTCCAATACCAGAGAATGCACATGATCCTTGCACATAATTATTGCCTTGGTAATATCTACGAGGTCACCAAAGATCTCATGGCCGGATAATGGCTTCTCTAGGGGCTCGGGACTCGCAGCTGGGAGCGGCCTTGATGCCCCAGGCATTAAGGCCTCTAGCACTAAGCCTAATCTAGAACCCGTTCATCTGGTACCAGTTTCCTTTCTGGGGCGGTGGCCAGTCACTCCTTCCTAGGGGTGTTTAGTTCGGTAACTATGTTCAATGTGAACATGCTGTATGTATCAGTATTATGGTGTCAAATCAGATTCTCCTTCTACCATTCACCCCTATTCTGAGTTTAAAATGGCCAAAACGCTTCTCTCTGTCGTCCGCCTCCAGCGTCACCTCGCGGCCAGAATTATCATCTCAACCCAGGAACCTACGGTATCAATGGACCTGCTCAACCTCTGTACCGCAGCCGTTGTTCACCGGTTCACCCCCTCCGAGTGGTTGAGAATTCTGCAGAAGCATCTGGCGGGTGCGACTACTAATCCTTCCGCTCGGAAGAAGGGTAAGGCTGGAGGTAGAGGCACTGATGGCGAAGAAGGGCAGCTCGACGGAGCAAACGAGAAGTCCTTGTTTGACCACGTTCTAATATTCGTGTGGGCAAAGCCTTGCTGTTTTCTCCGAGCTCCATTGTAGACGATGCGATTGATGAAGAAGGCGGCTACGAACTTCGCAGGCTGGGGTCGGAATATCTCGCCATTAGGGTCCGGCAGAGGATCACCAAAGATGGAGGTAAAAGTTTGCTCGCGGTCTGATCTCTTGGCTTGTGATTATCATCGTGATGGATTTGTAACATACGTCGTTGGAATTTCTTGGGTTTGATGGAATGCCTGTGAAACTGAATATGTTTTGGAGGCATGGCACAGAAATATGTTATAAGATCCGATTGCTAGGAGTTCAAGTAATGTGGATACAAGGAGCTTAGTGCTCCAACAATCCAAGCCACCGTCTAATCATCATTACAAACTTCTCTAAGTCATTCATGTTGTAATAGACAAGATCTCTCTATAGCACAACCAGTTTAATCCTCGTACCGCTACCAGCACATAACAGAAACCTCCGGGCGTCTACTTATCTCGTGGCGTTCGGTTGTGATGGTAACAATTGTAGGTAGTTCAATGACTAACTCTTAAAGCTCTTTGGATCGCATAATTTCAGGGAAATCAATAATAAATTCACAATCAAGCAGAATCCAGTCCCCCTTTGCGCCGTCTATCCCTATGCTAATACAAAAGGTCATTACAGTCGCATAAAAGTACAATGGTATATACAGTCATAAGTGATCCAGATATTCCCATCACTCTCATTGTCATATCATCAAAAGAAGAAGTTAAATATCATTACCGACTTTGTCCTCGGTGGTGGCACTCTCCCCGGTATCGGCAGCACTGCCCATTTGCCGACCGTAGGCCGACTTCGGTCCATACTGGTCGTCATGGCGCTGCGATAGGAAGAGGATAACCGTACTAACACTCATTAGCATATCTTTCAAAGCAAGCGAAAGCAAGAGGAGCATACCTAACAGTCGTAAATACCCAGCCCGGCCAAGCCAGAACAGCGGATGCGATCGCCCGTGGGTTCGTATGATATTCTATTCCTCTATATTAGCACAAAGCAGCACTATGCGGAGTTATATCAGACAAGGACATACTCAAAGCAGGCTTCTTCATCGACTCCTCCCAGAACTTCCGGGCCGTTGACGCATCCGTCCCATCGATGCGGGCACTTCCCGTCGCTGTGATGATCTATCCCCATTGTTAGCCCTACATCCATCTCAAATCCATCTCCAGATATCGTACCGTCATCGTCAATGCCGAACTCAGCATCATGACCGACACAATCACGGCACATATCTTCCACGCCAACCGGACAGAGTGACTTTCGTGACGTTCCGGCCAGAATAAATCGAAGAAGAACGCTCCACCGAATATGAATGCGACGGCGATTCCGACGAAGATGTTGTATGATGCGGCGCCGATGAAGTCGTTGTTGTAGACATAGATTCCGGGATGTTGGTTTTGGATTTCGTCTTGTTGGTCGAGGTAGTCTATTATCAATATAGTTTGTTAGCATTTGCGAATCTCATACTGGTAGTGGGCAGAAGGAATGAAGCTAACCAGACAACGCCGCCGTCCCAACCGACTCCGAACAAACACAGAAAATCATAGCCAGCTGATAGACAATCATCTTTGTGCGACGAAGATGATATATGCGTGTGAACATGTAGGAGCTCTTGAATTTGCTCCATTGCATTTCATGGAGATCTAATCCCCAGATGACGGCCATTATTGATGATTTTTGAGAAATAGAGGGAGATAGGATTGATGAGTATAGAGAAGCAATATTCTGTCCATATTTTTTTTATATGAGATTCTGCTAAGTAGACAAAGAATGAAAGGCAGGGACCACGTCAGGGCTGCATTGATAATCTTGTTTTGTCAGGGTCGGCGGAAGGGCGATCCGTGACGTCAGGCGGGTCCAGCCCGGTTCCACTGCTTAATACTGTCATTGTTTCTGCATTTTGCAACTTTCATTGCAGCTACCAGCTATCTACCGCGCTGGCATTTATCATTGGTTTACACGTGCTCGTGGCGTTCCATGGCGCTTCGCTTATGCTGATGTCGTCGTTGTTTGGTAGGGCTTCTGGATGGGGCCCTCAATGGGGGGGTGGTACTTAGTCTTCTTCATGGGGGCGAATGCAGGGCCGCAGGCTGGGTCAGACGCTTTGAAGTACAACCAGTCTTATGAAGATAATTATCAAAATTGTAGAAAGTATAGACAAGCTATAGAAGCAATATTAAGCATGTTCCCAACCATACTGCACCAGTGGATCTGGCATCTTGGCCACCAGGAACAATGTTGCCAATTCCGGCCATTGATTATATCATCATCCTTGTCTTGTCTGAACCAGTAAAATTCATCGTTCCGTTGATGTCGGACAGAGATGATGAATGGGATCGATCGGCCTCGTAATTATCTCGGCAATGATGTCAACGCGTTGGACATTCACCGAGATGTGACGGACCCTTTACGGTCTCGGCTTTCCGCGTCAGTCTAATCCGAGATCGGAATTACGGAGGTTATTACCCACAGCGTATGTATGCTCCATCAACGTCACAATGTGTTCTCTGCCTCTGTAACTGAACATATAAACTTCGGCTACATGTACGACAGCGAGCGACAAAACTTCCTCGTCACCTCCAGCACCAAATCCACATGCTCCCGTTGATGCACCAGGTTGACTGCAAACGATCCCCGATGCGCCATATACACGCCCCCTTCCAACTGATAGAAATAATAGAGATCCCGAATCATGTCCCCCTTCTCCCCCAAAAACTTCACTCCCACTGTACTCCCTATTCCACTAACGACCACATCAAGCCAAGCACACCACCTTTGCTCAAATATGCGACGTAATCCTTCCCTCAAATAATCTCCCAAATCATTCGCCCGCTCCAGCGCCTCCCGACTCATCAGATTAGCCGCTACAACACCAGCCGTCATTGAAAACACATTGTTATTCCACGTCCCAGTATGGAATAAAGACTGCTCTTCTCCCTGCTTAAACAACTGCATAATTTTCTTCTTCCCGCCAAATGCACCGAACGAGAACCCGCCGCCGAAATGCTTCCCTAAAGTCGTCATATCCGGTACAATACCGTACCGTTCCTGAAGTCCGCCATAGCAGAGTCGTGATGTGACGACTTCGTCGAAGATGAGTACTGCCTGCAGTCGGGTCGCTTCGTCCCGTAAGAATTGCAGAAAGGGAATGTCAGCCGGGATCATCCCTCCCGCCGCCTGCATAGGTTCCACGAGGATGGCAGCAATGTCGGAGGTGAGTTTTGCTCGGGTATCTGGGATGTCGTTGTAATTCGCGATAGTAAATTCGTGGGGAAGGTTGAGGGCGGTGTTAGCCCCGAAGGTGAGCGTGCCGCCGTGATAGCCGTTTTTGAAGACGAGGATCTAGGGATGTCTTAGCTTTGAGCCAGTTGACTAGGTATAAACAAGTAGGAAGTACCTTCTTTCTCCCCGTGAATGCGACAGCAACCCCCAAAGCGAACATATTTGCCTCCGTCCCCGAATTACAGAACCGGATTGCGTCTATACTTGCGAACCGCGAGATAAGAAGTTGCGCCAGTTCACCCTCTTTGCTGGTAACACCGCCCAGCGTGAACCCTTGCTGCGTGACAGTTTGCATGGCCTCAATGATGGCTGGATGCGAGTGCCCGAACATGCCTGCTGTGTATTCGGAGACGAAGTCTACGTATTCGTCTCCGTCTAGTGAGGTGAGATAGCAGCCATGTCCGCCGCGGAAGACGAGTGGGTGCGGGATGTGAAAGAGCACACCGCGCGAGGTGCCATTGGGGATACTGTTTTCAGCTGTTTGAATGGCTGCGCCTGACTTTAAGTTCCTAGCGCGGAAGATTTCAATGTGATGGCTCAGGGAATTGTTTAGAATTGTGGCTAGGGATTCGTCTGACTGGTAGGCCATGGTGGTGATGTTCTATTTCGATTGTTAGAAACAAGTAGTTGTAAGTAAAATGTTACCCAGTATAGGGTGTGTTAAGAAAGATTGGGTCTGATAGCAGATGAAGTTAGAGAGGCTTGGAAAGTGCTAAGTTGCATAATGTGCCGTGCGGGGTTGAGACTGTCGAGATAAGCATCGGCCGATCAGTGCTGATTCTGATGCTGATTCGAATTGACGTTAGTGTAGATGCGAGAGATAGATACGTCTCACAGTTACTCAATGCATGTAGAACTGATAATCAGAAGACTTACTGATTTGAACCGTTCCTCATAGCGAGCTCTTACCCAAAAAGGAAATCCATACGGCCTCACAGAAAGTCATGAAAGATCACGTGAAACATCACGTGATAAACATGATTGAACGTTCCACAATCCGTTTGTTGCACTGCCTTCATCGATTTATCAGTATAAAAACCTTAGTAGGACGTACATCAAGTCCAGAGTCAGATTACCCTCTCTGCACATCCCTCAACGGCTCTTCAACAATCAATAGCCAAAATGCCACCATGGCGGACACCGCGAGTCCTTCTCACAGACTTTACCTGGCCAAACAACATCCCAGCAGTCCCAAGCGACCAGATATTACCAACCCCTGTCCGTTATTACCTGAGATCATTCTATCACTCATACTGTGACCGGGTCGGGATTTCCTTCAACAATCAAATTGCTCAACTCCCCTTTAGATTACTTCTAAAATGGTCTGACAGTACCCGCATAGAAGAGGTGTTGACTATGAAAGTTGCCAGACAAGCAGGCCTTCCAGTCCCGAAAGTCATTTGCTATGGGGATCATCTGGATACTCCTCACGCACCAATTCCGATCCTGATGACCGGTGTAGCCGGCAAACAGCTAGGTGAAGCCTACAAAGCACTCAATGACGAAGAATAAAACTCGTTAACGAGACAACTTGACCTCTTGCTGAAAGCAATCCGGAAGTGGAAGAGACTTTGGGGCGAGAAGAGAATCTGCTCCCTGATTGGCACTCCTATTCAAAGTACCAGGGTTCCAGACCACCGTATTGGCCCATTCGAGACAGAGAAGGAATTCAACGAATATCTCATCGAACTTGGTTGGCCGGGTGTGTTCCGATCGAAGCGGGAGTACAAAGAAGCCTTGCGATGCAGGGTATATCCCATCCAATCGTTTTCACTCACGGGGATTCGCAATATTATAACATCAAGGTACAGGATGGTCGCATTACAGGGCTTTTGGATTAGGAGGCTGCTGGCTGGTATCACTTGATTTTGACTGTAGATGGCATGGATTATATGTCGAAATTGGAGATTGCACGGGCGTTGACATCTTTAACTAGTGAGTCATGTTCCTGGTGAGTAACCTGATGAGTTCCGACGCAAAAGAGCTACTGGGGTGAATGCTGCTTTCATCATCGCAGGCTATCACAGCTGCTTAATGAAGTGACAAGAAGAACGGCCTTGGCAAATCACCTATAAGCTTATATTAAGGAGCCGATTTACTGGCTCGCTGCATTAGATAGTCGAGATAATCACAACACACCAAGCGCTATAACATACTCTTTTCACGTAGCCAACTACAGTACCACATACTCTACGCAGCACCAAAATTCTCCACCCTCTCCGTCCCACCCTTTCCATCCTCCGTCTGCAACTCCACCTCCACCCCATCATGCCCATCAACCACCTTCTTCTCCCCCGAAACATTCACATCCGTTGTCCGATGTCCATCCAACAGCTTCCGACTCACCGTATTCGCATAGATGGGGAATATCCATGCGAGGACATAGAAGGCCGTCGGGATCGCCATGGCCTTGTGAAAGTTGCCCGTATGGGTGGCCACGGCCCCAGTCATGGGCGGGATGGCAGCACCACCAGAGATAGCGGCTACTAGCATACTGCCGCCGCGCTTGGTGTGTTGGCCTAGACCGCGTAGGGCGAGGGTGAAGATTGTGGCGAAGCATGCCTGTATTAATCCAAATTAATATGGGGTGGGAGTGGAGGTGAGTGCGGGGCGACGTACACTTTCAAAACAAAGCACGAGAATCAACATAGCCACGCTGGTAGGACCAGATGTGGTGGTTGCGGCGACGCCGAATATGAAGCACAGTCCTAGGTATGTGGCGAGGATGTAGCGGGGTTTTACCCCGACGGTGATGAGGCCGCTGGAGACGAAGCGCATGAAGGTGTATAGGCCCTGGCCGACGGCGAGGAGGTCGGCTGATGAGATATTAGAGCCACCATCGAGTCAAAATGATATGGAAAGGAAGAGAGAGACTTACATGACTTGGCAGCACTATACCCCGCCTCCTCGGCGAAATTGATGAAGTAATTCGCAACAGCCACCTGCGCCCCGGTATAGCAGAACTCACTCCACACGCCAAGGAACAAATTGTACTGTTTCCTGAACGGCCCAACATCCGTCTCGGAGATATCCCGCTCCTGCAGACCCATGTCCGCATCGGTCACCTCCGGCATGGGCGCGATATAGAAGAGCGGGACAAGCAGGGCCACGAAGCATGCGACACCCAGGTACACCCATTGCACGTTCTTCAGTCCCTGTTGTGTATCGACGGTGTTGGCGAAGAAGACGCGTGAGGCGAGAAGCGGCGCCACGAATGTTCCCACGCCTTGGATACCCTGTGCTAGGTTCAGTCGAATCTCGGAGTATCGAGGGGGGCCACAGATAGCAAGGAAATTGTCGGCTCCGGTTTCGAGGGTCGAGAGGCCGGCGCCGACGACGAACATGCTGCCGCAGAAACCTCCGAAGGAAGCCTTGACGCCGCTGGGCCAGAAGAGGAGGCAGCCGATTGTCATTACGCATAAGCTTTTTAGAGTTGGGGTTAGTCGTGGAAGAAGAAAGGCCTATGGTGGTCTTACCCAGTCATGAAGGTTACGCGGAACCCGAATCGGCGGAGAATCCATCCAGAGACCGTTAAGGGACAGAGAAAGTATGCCCCAAAGTACGCAGCAGATAAACCCGATGACATGCTTGCGGTGATGTTAAGTTCATCTTGGAAATGGGAGTTGAGGGTATCGAGGAGGCCGTAAGCAAAGCCCCAGAGGAAGAAAAGAATGGTTACTGATGGGGGCAGATGTTAGTTAGTCGCCAGATCACACAATATTATGGGGACGTCGAACCGAGAAAATTAGGGAAAAGGGACTGCTTGAGCGTGATGCCCGAACCATCAGTAATGGCCCTGTCATCGATTGTGATACGGCGTCGCCACATGTTGGGCTATGGCGGAAGAAGGAGCAGTAGCGCGGATAATTGAGGAAAAGGGGACAGCTGTGCATCCGGGGTGCGAAGACCACGGTGCAGCCCTAGGGAAAGCGCATCCTTTTATCCAACCTGCATCTGGAGAAGCCCATGCTTCTGGAGCTTCGGGATAATCAAGACCGAAAAACAAGCCATGTGCTTGATCAGAAGGCTCGAGAGCTGCTGGAAAAGTTGAGCAATCCATAGGGAGTGGCCCAAGCCGAAGCCAGACCAGGGTCTCTCGACAACTGTTGGTTATGAAACGCCACAAGCAAGGCGGATATGCCATGGCCAGCCGCGTGGCCCGCAAACCGCATCCAGTCGGTGTTGGGATTGGCTGCATTGTTGGGTTGGGGTAAAAGCGAGAAATTGGCTATTAATTTAGGTTTTGCGGGGTTGGACCCCACTCGTGCGTCCAGGGTATCTGGGGAAACTTCATCTCTGGCTTTACCTGTACCTTAAACAAAGCCTTTTAAATATATCAGTTTGACATATGTAGTTCATTGGTTCTATAAGCGACAACTCGGTATGTACAATTCTCGTACAGTACAGCCAGATTCAACCTCTGACGGCATGGATATCAGTACATGACCCGCCAGACACATGGACCTCCAAGCCGTCCTTGCTATCGATCTGTTGTTCTCCATTTACTGAATACGACTTGATATTAAATGGCACCCTGACGGTACCCTCTGTACCACTAGGGCCACACACGCTCAGCTGTACGCTTGTCCCATTTATCCGCCAACTAGCCTGGATCGCCCCATGAGGAGTGGGCAATCTTCCCCGTGCCCATGAAACATTCACATCCAACATCGCGGGACGGAATTCCCACTCGGAAAATCCAGCCGCAGTTGCCTGAACACCGAGCACATATTCCGAGAGAACGTACGTCGGCGCAGCTGCCCAGGGGTGTGCATGCGACGTGTAGAGGTCAAGCCCGGGTCGGCCATCAGGGTAAAGGTATTCCCAAGTTGTACCAGTATAGTATTCATCCTGGGTGACCATCGCAGCCCAAAGTTGGCCAAGAAGCACGCTGATAGCGGTAGATCTGGCCTGGCTTGAGTTGGGGCTATTGCGACTCTCCTGCAAAATTGATTCTAAGAGGAAACCGGTGAGAAAAGGCGCAAGATTGGTTGTTGATGCGTTGGCAACGGAGCTCGACGTTTTGTAGCCGATTCCAAGCCCAAGAGAGGATAATGCCGCCAGGGAGGTTTCTGCTTGCGTGGCATTGGAGACCCCCGCAAGAATAGCCCAGGCAGTGCCGGTGATAGACTGCTCGGTCAGGTTGCTCAGGTCAGTCGCAAAGTATTCCAAGCGAGGATTCCAGAGCCGTTGGCTGATCGCAGCTTTGATGAAAGTCGCGGAGTGACTCCACATTGTCGCGACATCTGTCTCATTCATCGCGGACGCTACGTCGGCCATCTGGTCGAGTGTGTGGGCAAGTAGCCCCGATACTGCAGTGCCATTGTCGGGTCCCGAGAAAAATCGCCCGACGTCGGTGGCGACGGCTAGTCCAGATTGACTATCGATCAGTGGCACGATAGCTGCCACGCCCTTCTTGATCTTTGTCCAATGTTTGGCCACAAACGCTTTGTCGCCAGAGTTTCTGTAGTGACCAGCAAATACATTGAGAAGGAAAAGCTGGTAATCAAGAAGTCCAAAAGAAGCATACGTGTCAACATATTTCGCCGACTGGCCCATGGCAGGCGACATGCTGAAGTAGCCAGCGTACTGCGACGAGTCCGGTGCCTGACGGTCAATCCAGTATTCTAGGGTTTCTTTTATAAAATCGGAGCGATAGGTGCTGGACTGGATGACGCGATAAGTGTGTACAAAATCACCATTCCAGACAAGACGGTCCCTTTTCGCGCCATCTAGACAGACGGAGTGCTTATTGGCCATCACCCCATATTCCTCGAGGACAGAGCTGAGCGTCATTGAATTCTGGTACAGCTGGGTACCATTCTGTGCATGGACCTCAACATCCTTGACAAGAGCGATTTGATCCTGGTATGGCCCAAACCCCCAGGTACCGCCTGTCAGACTGCCAGAGGAGCCAGTACTACCAGATACGATTTGCAGGCCATCCAGTGCCACAAATGTCTCGGTTCCATTGATGGTAACAGTGTATCCGGTCGCATTGATAGAAGTCGAGATCTCATACCATTCTCCCTCCTTAATGTTGACAGGTAAGGTATAATGGTTCACTTTTCCGGTGGTGAGAGAGGTCTGATTCACCAGGTTCCACCCGTAACTGACAGCTAGTGTGTTTGCAGGGACGATCGTTCGATTGGTATTGACAAATGTCGACCCAGCAGGGTATTCGCTGGTAAGAACAAAATAAGGACCAAATCCGCCCACACCAGCGGCGACCTTCCAGCCTGTTCCTCCACGGATAACCTTGGTCTGGAACGTCATGGTGTAGTTTCCAAAGGACGCTCCTTCCACTGATTGAGCAGGTTGCTGTCCACGAAGAAACACCCCTTCTTCAGTGACTTCCCATGTTGATGGTGCGGTATCTGCAGCAATGCATGCTTGCTGGACTGTGCGTGGCCCCAAGGCCCATATTTCATTATACAGACTGTTTGAGCTCTCGAAGAACCCTGGCAGTTTGTTTACCGGAGTGCGGTCATTTCCAGATTTGATACCAGCTTCGCATATGCGAACACTGCCATCTGTGAGGAGCTTGAGGTTCTGCCAGCGAAGGCCACCTTGAATGAAGAATGATTCCACCATCCCGGGTGAGGTGACATTGAACGTTTCGACGCGGAAGGTATTAGAGAGACCGTTGGAGAAGGTCCATGGGCCATCACCAAACGGCTCGTCAAGACCGGTCTTGGATTCGGTGTACTTGGCCTCGATCTGGACTGCAGTGGATAGAGAGTCAACATGGAAGAAGGGGAATCCCCCAACTTCGGTACCGTAGTCTAGGGTAACCAATGAGCTTTTCTGGTCAAGCGTGAAGCAGGATGCGTTTCCATGCTGGGTATAGTTCGCGAATCCCAAGCTGGTTCCATATCGGGTAGGGAGCACGATAGTGTCACTGTCAACTTCGTTAGCAATTACCAAGTCACTAGGGTGAATATATTCACGCGCCTTTGGGCGCCTATGAGCGACGCGAACAGCAAGCTGCTGCACGTAAAGATGGTCAATGGCTTCCCGGACATTTTCATTTGTGGCTGTCAAGGGGTCAATCCTACGAGCTTCCTCCAACGCTGCCATTCAAATAAGTACCCTGACTAGTGAAATGTCGTCAGGCACCAGCTTTACCCCAGTGGTCGATGTGATTGACCTGTCGGTCAATACTAATGTCGGGATGTGGGCACCTCTGGCTATCTGCCACGGCGATTGGTGCACGGGCTATCGCTTCCCCGAATAAATTATATTGAGGGTCCTATCCCCGCATTCCTGACGGGCTAATTTGTGCCGAATCTGTTGCATGTTCTCACTGCTCTCATTTCCCAGTGGTTACTTCTTTCCCAGATTCCCCAGCAACTTTCCGAGCAGCAGACCTGGAGCCCCACGTGCTTATCAGGACGAAGCTGAGGGCAAAACACATCAGCCAGAAGAGGAAAGTAGAGGAGAGGCTAGTCCGCCTTCTACTTTGGGAAGGTGTTTGGGACATACCTGGCAGGATTATACCGCCTCGGAGTTTTCCGAACGCAGTTAGCGTAGCCTCAGGCATTCCATGTCGTCTTGCGGCCTGAGGCATCACGTTTTAATCACTTAAGGAGATCGATACCCTAGGAGGACAACTTCTCTCTCCAGGTATACCTTCAATAAATGGGTATATTCTATTCTTACGTAAAGATAATATCGCCCGGTTACACCTCGTACCCGGAGTCCTGTCGAGAGTGGAATCATGCCTCGCAGGATCTAACCCTTGACAATGAATCTGGTCGCATCCGGCGTTTGCGCCTTCAGACTGACTCTGTATTCAGATCAGGCCACCATCTAACACATACAAAGTACATTCATCATCAGGGGGCTTGTCCCGCAGAACCAAGATCTAGTGATGTCGATCTGTGGGAGGCCTAACACGCCAACACGGGAAGATCATCGCCCTGCATTTCAATCTCGTATCCGGTGCGGAGAATAAGGAAGAGATATGAAAACTGAAAGTGACTTGCACTATGGCTGAAGGCTATACCTACCTGCCTCGCAACTGCATTCGAAAACCATTAGGCGAAGATGGCTTTCGAAGTATTCCTCTGAGCTCTTTTTGATCCTACAAGACCACGCACGGCATCCCCCTCGGCTAATCAACACAGAGAGTCTCCGAATATTCCACGGCGACTACAGCGTAATCTTGTCCTTGGCCGTCAGATCAGCCATATCAAATCTTTATATGACGTGAGCCTACTGTACCAAATGCAGGCATAGCTGCATCACCCTAATCAGACCTATGCCATTCAGTGAGCATAACTCAGCTATCAGGCTCTATCCGGAGTGTCCGGGGGGAGTCCATTAGATACCTACAGCTTCGCGCGGAGCCAAGGGTGGCTTTGAGTCTATCCAACAATACTTGCGTCGAGGATTGGGCTCAATCAAGCGACTCTTTGGACGCCTCACACTCCTGTCCATCCATGTCCAGTAGATGCTTCATAAGGATTGTACGAGCACTCGTAACCAACACTAGCACAGTCCAAGCCTGGTCACCTACACAACTACAGTCAGTCCATCGAGCAATATAAATACCATCTCAAGTCACTATGCTAACTACCTGATACACATCCAAGCCATCACATCGTCAGTCTTTCCATCGAATTCGGAATATTCAAATTCAACCAAGCAGCCTTTTAGCATTCCCAAAATGCAACTCTTCTCAGCTCTCACCTTTACTGTGGCTACCACACTCCTCACCTCCGTTCATGGAACTGCCACTATTGGCCAAGCCTGCAGCGGCAGCAGCACTTATGACTGCACCGACGATTTCAACGCTGTGGCAATCTGTAACGGCGCACGATGGGTAGAGGCCGCCCAGTGTGGAGGTGGATGCTGCGCCTGGCCCTTGGGTGACCCCGCTCCGTTCTGTAGTTGCTAGACGACGGACTGAGGTAAGCTCCCTATAACAGTCCTGATATGGGCCCTGGAATGTACTGACATGGTATGTTCTTGTCCTAGCACAGAGCCACACCTTGAGTGTATTTGGTCTTGTCGCTGGCAAAGTTCGGGGTCATTGTCTTAGTATCTCTTGTGGAGTTATTTCATCTGTGATGTATATACGTTCTATGAGTGACTGTGTGGTCGTGTCCGATGCAATGACCTATTCGGTCATTATGGACGAGCTGCGTACTCCGGATGAACTAGAAAATTCCGAGGACACGGATTTACGTCCCAAGAAACCCAGTCAATTTCTCCTTTCAACGAAGTAAAGCATGTTGTAATCAAATCGTCAATGAAGCATGTCTAGGAAGATAACAATACCATGCTTCCTGATCAGTTTCGAGCACCGGAATAGTATGGCCCTTCCGATGTCGATATTTCTATTCATTGCTCAGCCTCACCTTTTGCACGATGCAATCCTGGACAAAGTGGACGCTGATGGTGACCAGCTGACCGAGCCATTCTTAGAATTGTGGAATATATGCATGTCAGTTTCGGCCAATCTCAAGGCCAACGAGATGATCTGTCTCATTGATGCCTTAGACGAGTGCCAGGACGAGGATCGGAATCGGCTCATCAATGCTGTCAACGATTTCTACTTAGGCCCCCACAATAATAGCAAGCTGAAGTTTTTGTTCACAAGTAGACCCTATGAGCATATACGACGTGGACTGTCTGATCTCATAACAGTTCTACCCACAATCCACTTAAGTGGTGATGGCGAGAGAGAGGCTGAGCAGATATCAAGTGAAATAAACCTTGTTATCTCGAGAAGAGTGCACGATATCAGCAGACAGAGATCATTGATGGATGAAGAGTGCGAAATGCTCATAGACAGGCTTACTGCGGTTTTAATTCGGACTTACTTATGGGTAAGCTTGATATTAGATGTTCTCGAAAATACTCCGGAGTTCTCAAAAGGCAAGGTCCACCGTATACTGAGCGACCTACCTACCACTGTCGACAGAGCCTACGATAAAATATTGGATCGGAGTCCTGACAAAGGGAAGGCAAAGACCCTTCTTCATATTCATAACAGCTGCCATGCGACCTCTTTCTCTGGAAGAACAATCTCTGGCTCTTGCACTTAGTGCAGATTATCAAGATTCGACTGACATAGTTGATCACATGGAACCCAAAATCGCTCCAGAAAGACTTTAAGAGAACTTTGCTGAGTCTTCGTGATAATTCCGGATGACAAGGTCTACCTCCTTCATCAAATCGCGAAGCGATCTTGGTACAGGATAGTAACTTTACTCCGAACAGAACTCTTCCCCAATACACAACAACCTGGAAGTATTCGCTCCATCTCGCTGAACCAAACCGGATTCTCGCAGAAACATGCATTTCCTGTATATCTCTTGAAACAGATGACTCATTCCAGGAATGTATGCTAGAGTACTCATCATGTTATTGGGCCACTCATTTCCGCCAAGCTTGCATTCCAGGCGAGGATCCGCTAATAGACCGGGGGAAGTCACTTTGCGAACCAAGGTCGGATATATACCGAACATGGTATAAAATCCATGCCGTAAAGGCGGATGATGTTCCTGACAGCACTTCAACGCTTATGATTGCATCATCAATGGGGCTCACCGGCTTGGTCAAGTCAATTCTTCCTGCAGGGAAAGCAACCCTTAACTCAAAGGATTTGCAACACGATCAGACACCGTTATTATGGGCAGCAGGACGTGGTCATACAGCAGTTGTGAGGCTGCTGCTTACCGCAGATGAGGTGGATATCGACTCTAGGAACTCAGTTGGTCGAAGCCCATTATCATTGGCAGTTCAGAATGGCCACAAGGAGGTGGTGAGGCCCCTTATCCAGGAACTAATCTATTCAAAGCACTTTCTACAAGGTTTAGATTACGACAAAAACTTCTCTCCACCTCTCAAGCACACATTGCCAATACCAATTACGTGACTTAATGTCATTTCATCGCACAATCCTTACAGATAATTACCCCTAGCTCTCACGCCTCTCCCTGGCATTTACCCACCTCCGAAAACCGAACCCATTCCGACACCTAACCTGCAGCATCAACACAGCCCACACCAACAGCCGATATCCCACCATCAGCACTACCCCCGCAACCAGTCCTATATTCGGACGGTCTGTATCCAACCCATAAAGTTCCAAAGCCTCTTCCCCCATTTGAAGAGGACATGAACCATCCGCGCGACGCTGGCTATCCGTGCACTGCAGCTCCAAACCACTCAAACAGTAGTACGCCAAATTATCAATAGCATACTTGATAGGTGAAATATGATTAAACCACTGCAAAACGCGCGGCGGATTCAGACTCATGGTACCTCCAAGCATCGTAAATATAGACAACAACGCCGATGTGCAGTTTACAGCGAGACTAAGATTCCGCCCAAAAGCGAGGCACGCAAGCATACTCAAAGATTCGCCCGTGTTAAGCGCACATACTGCACTCAAGAAGCAGACGCCGAATTGCGTCGCCGTGGGCCCCAGCTGCGCCGCGTAGGCGAAGAGAAGGCTGAATATCCCGGCTGCAATTATTTCAAATGGGAGCTCAATCGCCGTGTATTGGGCAAGAAAGGCTGTAGCTCCATACAAGTTCATGGAGGATTCATGCTCGAAGAGATCTCGTTCAGCTGGAAAACTCGCGATATTTTGAAGCATGCCGATGAAGGCTACCGGGCCGTACTGTATCATGAGACCCATGCGTGTCTGGATCGAATTGTAGTCCTTGTGCAAGGGGGCCACGAATATGATCCAGATAAGGCCCATACCAGGGCATTGGACAAGTCGCACAAATATGGATAGAGGGTTGCGGAGCATGCTGAGGTAGGCTCGGTGGAGGAGAACCCGCGTGGTCGGGATGAAGCGGCAGCATTTGGACTGGGGTCTAGAGAGGTCAGAATGAGAGAGGGTAGGAGTTTCCGAAGCTGTTATTACAGCTGAGAATTGTGACTGCGTCCACTTATCCACTAGACGTTCTATCTCTTGGGCAGAAGAACCAGCTGCTATATTCATGAAGAAGTCAGGTGGGCTCGCGGTATGTGGACAGGTGTGTTCGAGACGGTCAAAGTAGGAAAGCATCTGGTCTACCTCCGCCGCGTACAGAGGACGGCCGTCCAGGCTGAGAAGAAGACAGGTCGAAAGCATTGCCCACATTGTGGAGGATGGTTGGTGAATCGAGAGGATGACGGTACATCCATCGGATGATAGTTGTTGAAGCACCTCAAGGACAGACAGAGCAGTGCGGGAATCCAGACCAGAGGTTGGCTCGTCAAGAACCAGCACTTTAGGTTCCGCTACAGTTTCGCAGGCGATTGACAGGCGTCGCTTCTCGCCACCACTTATTCCTTTGTTGAAGGTCGATCCGACAATGGTATTTGCGCAGGATTCCAACTCAAATCGCCTAATCGTGTCCTCCACCCGCCCTTTCCGCTCATTTGAGGGGACAGACCGAGAACATCTCAGTTCAGTGGCAAAGTACAATGTTTCTCGCACGGTCAGATTAGATAGAAGATTATAGTCATCCTGCGGGACATATGATACTAAACCACGGAGTTGCTGACTATTTATTGGAGACCCATTCAGCGTGATGAAGCCACCGGACTTCCATGATGGCCGCAAAGTCGTGACTAGTCGTCCAGCTAGGGCACTAAGCAAGGTCGTCTTGCCGCTCCCCGAAGGCCCCATAAGTACATTCAATCTTCCGGGGCGAAAAACGGAGGACACAGGTCCAACGACTCGAGCCGACTTTGGCCCAGGCCGTACCCATGACGGCGAACTTGTTTTGTAGAGCTCTAGGTTGTTAAGCTGTATATGGCTGTCCTCAAGTTGAGTTGGATAACGGGCCGGTGTCTTCTCGTGTAGACATGCTTGGCTTTCCCCATTTTCTGCAGCTGCCACGTACCAAGGTCGGCGGGCTGATTTGAGATTGAAAAGCAAAATTGCGGAGGCTTGGTAAACTACAGCAAACACGCATAGGATTAGAATTAGTTTCCAAATCCCACCAATGGGGAGCCCAAGACTATCCATAACAAAAGCACCCATGTATTCTTTGCATTGCGGATCATGGGCATCATGAGAGGGGCAGTCGTAGAGATACCCAGGGCTGGAGCCATTATACCCAACAAACTCAAGGGTGCAGAGGGCACTGAAGGTGTAAAAAGTTGTTGTGAGCCATTTCAGCCATTGCACATACACCGGCATTTGATTTGCCTGCAAAAAGTACCCCGACGCCGCTGTCTGCAACGTGAAGTACATATTCCCTATAAATATGGCCCCGTAGAAGTTCCGGGTCGTGGCGACAGAAACGCTCGCAAATCCAACGGCAGTAATATGTGTCAAAAACATTGTCAACCAGAACAATAAGACCTGCGAAGTGCTGTCTCGGTAGCCCACCATGGGATAATATATGGCAGTAAACAACGTGGGCAAGCTGAGGTCTTCCAGTAATAGCTTCACTGCTCGTCGACTGAGAGTAAAAAGTGCGGGACCAACAAGCTTTTCACTTCGTTCGTGATCAAAAGTCTTAACATCTTCGAGCAATCGACAAATCTCGCTGATTAACATCAGGTACCCATAAAGCCCCGTAGCATCCCAGAGGCTTCCTTGTCGGGAACGAATTCCCGCAAGGGATCCATCCAAGTGCCAAAATACCCATCCAAGGACGGCAGCTAGCCCAGCAATCGTACAGGCAATTCCAATGAGCGGCGAGATGTCTCTTATACATACTACCATCGTCCGCTTTGTCATGACTTTCAACTTCATCCAAAATCCCGGTTTTGTGCTAGATGGTGTTGGAGATTCCGGAAGCTGTGCTGGAAGGGCGACCGTGTCGAGTGCATTGGCCGACGAACCTTGAAATGGCACCAAGCGTTTAAAAGGCAGCTCTGGTGTGTTCTGTATCCATGTATTTATAGTGATTTTGTCTATGAGAAATTCGGCCGGGTTGACGAATGCTGGCAATCTAAACCCGGAACGGTCGAGGTAATCCGGGACTGCCTCCTTTGGTCCATCATACAGGACATGCCCCGATACGAGAAGAATGACATGATCGAACATATCCCAGACACTCGATCTCGGAGCATGTATGGAGATTATCACCGTCATACCACTAGCAGCTAGGTTCTTTAATGTCTGTATGACTTGCCAAGCGGTTGTGGCATCAAGCCCTGGTAGGAAAATTGATCAGTATGAGACGCAAGAATAATGGAAAATGGGACAGCTACACACCTGTTGTTGGCTCATCGCAGAACAGCACCGAGGCACCTATCAGCAGCTGAATGGCGATGCTGACTCGCCGCCTCTCGCCGCCACTACAACCATGCCCGCTCCCGTGCCCTATCCGGGTGTCGGTGCAGGTCTCTAGACCTAACCTACTAATCAATTCATCGACCGCTTGATCCCGCTGGCGCCCGCTTTTCCAATTCGAACGGAGGTCAGCCGCATACTGCAAGGTCTCGCGGACTGTCAGGGTGGCCGGGAGAACATCCTCCTGTATCACATAGGCGGTGCGAAATCGAGACAAATCATTGTATCCGTTATACGTAATCTCTCCCAGTACTGTCTGGTTTTGATTTTGAAATCTTCCCGACAACGCATTTAGCAAGGTCGTTTTCCCCGATCCACTTCCTCCCAAAATTGCCGTCAATTTCCCTCCGGGTATGTGTGCCGTTACTGAGTGCAAAACCGTGTGTGTGTTGTTGCTACTAATGTTTTTGCCTCTGAGGTGGTGTAAGCTTTGAGTAATTCTTTGCAGAATGGGCGATTTGGCTTGAACAGACACTTCATGTGCTTGGATATTGACTGGTGTATAGTGTGGCCTTTCCAGCACGCCACGGTCGGAGGTGGCCATGAAACCAATATACCTGTCATTCCAGTCACATAGCCTCAGTGTCTACGTATGTAGAATCTAGTCTATCAGATATGGCTCGACAAACGTCGACACAGTCGACGGAACGTGCGAAAACTAGCGCGAGAGAAGTCTGTTGGAACTCCCTCGCGCCTTAAGTCCAAGAATGTGAATCCCCCCGCAAAAAGGAATGTTCGGCAGCTGATGAAGAGTATTGAGAAACAAAGGCGAGCGATCTCATGCGCCAAAGGTCAATGAATAAGGTAGCCTCATAAGAAGCAATGCTATACTCGCCAAAATCTCTAGAGCCCGATGCCCAATTATAACCAATGACGCCTATAAGTAAGAGAAACGCTTTTATGAACAAAGCCACATTCAAGTACATTCCAAAGCCAGCTGGAAAAGAGATAGTTACCCTTATCTATGCAACACACTTATTGGAATGCCAGGAGAGCAACACTGAATGACTCGAGTTGGACAAAGTGTTACTCTCAGTTCTTCAGGTGCCTTGCTTCCGTTTGTTTCACTGTCCCCTTTCTAGCTGGCCCCCTGCATAAAATTAAATCGAACTGCGGAAACATATATTTTCCTCTTAAGTTCTACAAATTGTGCGTTGTGTCGTCTTTGCATTATTACAGGGAGAGATGCATACTAGGTCAGAAACACATATGATATTGTACGATACCAATTAATGGGACGTCACATTCGGGAGCTATTTTCACATAGAGACTGTGGACCTCCTGCCAAGAGCAAGTTATGCAGACGAATTTGGCTTTATGGATTGTTCCCTACTTTGAAGAGACTATCACATCTGCTTTACCTCTGAGATACCACCCAGGATCGGCGTAGGTGCCTGCAATGCGATCCCATATGTCAAGATACTGGCCAAAGTTACGTTGAACGTTCTTATGATGTACTGTATGGAACTGCTGCCGGTTATCATCTGGGTTCACATCAGCCAAGGTAGCAATGAATAGATGCGTGAGACATACGAATAAGGAAAGACCAAACGTTGGCACAGCCGAAAACGAGCAGTTGTATCTCTCGTGACATGGGCCAGAGAAAACTATATGCGTAGATAGGAAGGCTCATAACCCAGGCTTCCAGCGGATCAAAGGCGTAGGCAGAAAAGGGGGTCGGGATGATAAAACTGCAGGTTAATTCCATCAAAAACTGCCCACAACAGGAGGTAATCGTGAAGGCTCACCGGTGATGCTTCTTGTGCATTGTATTGAAAAGAAGCGGGTGGTGAAACAGGCGATGAAGCCAATACATGCACGTGTCGCTGAATATAATAAAATATGCGACTTGGGCAACTTCGTACGTCGCACTAACCGTGCAATCACCAAAGTCATAAAGCTTTGCGTAGCCACGTACCTGGGTAAGAAGGATCGGCACAGTGAGAATAGTAGACAAGAAGAGGGTCAACAATGACTGCTGGGCCTCTTCCCAGATCTGGTTCTTATGGTATCGTGGATGCTGCTTCAGAGACTTGTCAAAGTTCCAAAGGTAGCACAGGCCACCAAATAACAGAAGAAATAGGGAGCTTGAAAGCCTGAGGGCAATGTGTATCAGCTCTAGCCGAATTGAAGTTATGGCCGGGGACACAACCATAGAAAAAGAAATATGCTCAGGGCCTGGCGATGCGGGCTATCTCGGCGCCAGACGCTGGGATCGGTCATGGTAGCGCAAATTCCGACCAATCTAGGACGTGGGCAAATAGCATGCGTGAGCGTATTGCGGGTAGATATATATAATGCGTCAAGGCAAGACTGATCGAGATAGGCTAGAATGAGATCCATCTGGGTGGACTGACATGTCAGTAGGCTGATGTAAGGACTTGGACAAAGCGATTAGCAGGAAAAAAAAAAAGAAAAATAGCATGAAGCTTACCATTCCAGCAACACCTTAAGAGCTTCTTTATAGTTTTAAAGCTGGGCTAATATGGAAAGTGACATTTCACTGGGGATCGGAACAACACCTGTAGTAGGCGAGGAACGGCCTGCAGGCTCAGAAAATGTCTCTTCAAATATTTAATGCTCCGATTTTCTATCAGGTAGGATCCGCTAGTTGGGCATAATGATTGACATGTCACACATACAGCACCTCTTCCCGAACTGTGCTGTCTCGACAATTATCTGGGAGTAAGCCTGAGTGGCAACATACATGAATCTCTCTGCGTAGTGAAGCATGCAACATGATGGTAATCAAAAACGCTCTAGATAGTTTGTGCTGCTAGATCTTGCAGACGCGACTCAACGGTCACATCCATTCCAACCAAGTAAGGGGTAAACGGACCCTGTCCGACGAACTGGGGGGTCCATGGCGGATACTTGCAGTTGCGGGATCCTGAATCTGACTCAACAGCAGATGTGACACATCTTTTTGAGTTGGCAAGAGCTTGCACGAGCATATACATGCTATTTACAGCTCTATTTCATATTATATTAATACTGACCTTATCGTAACCCAGCCTCTCAGAATGCTTGACAAATTTCAGACTCAATATGTGGCGATGTTCAGTATGAAGTCTGCTCCCGATCCCAAAAAGACAATGCAGTCGCCATAGAGACCAGGTTGTACATACCAAGCACAGCATCAGTCTAGCGTAAGATTGTGGGCTGCCATATGTAATATTGTAGTAGCATCTGCAAGCCTTAGGGAGCGGTATAACGGGTTTCATTCTTTTATATTCCAAATGTTCTAAACAAGGTGAGAATTCGCGTCCCTAACGCAAGCTCCATAATACAGCTTCCAAAAAAGAAAGAAGAAGAGAATGTATGTTCTTTCCGGAATCAGAATACGCCAGGAACAATTCTCCAGGGAACGCGGCGACAATACTCATCCCAGCCAGACCCATACTTATCCGCACATTTTTCCTCATCTCGGAAACACCGATGGATGATCATCCCTGTAACCAAAACGGCTTCAGTGTATGCAAAGCCGCCCCCATTCCCGCAGAGCGAGCATAACGACCATGTATACAGCACGCTTCCAGCATAATTGACATGACGGGCCACTCCCCACAATCCTGCAGATAGAAAATTAAGCAAGAAACCTTAGAGAGAGATTAATTGGGGGGGGTACTTCGCAACTAAACATAGACGTACCAGAGCAGAGAAGGTGAGAACGATGGGTTTTCCCATCCCTTGTCTGATAAGATACGGGTATTCCTTGTGCCTGGCGACCCCAGAACAAGCACTTTCCCTGCGTTCTATTGAAACGCATCTTCTGACGGTCGGCATAGAAGCGCAAAGACCAGCCCGCTACAAAGATCACTATGCTGGCGATCAAAGCAGGGAGGGAGATCTCTGTTGGGTGTTTGGCAAGATACTGGGTTTGCAAGGTCCAGAAAACCGGCATCATTGCAGAGAATCCGTAGATATTGTAGAAGCCGAACGATTCGTATTTGCCGTCCAAGGTGTGGAAAAAACTGGAGGTTTCAATTAGTATTGAACAATACTCTGTTAATTTTTATTGGTAGGACTTACACCTCTTCATTAACGAAGAAGTCCACGACCACTACTGCGCGAAGTAATACAACTGTGAACATGGTGCCCGTCAGGTATCCATGTTGCTCATATTGGTAGGCAGCAAAAGATAGATCACTAGGCGATCGTTAGCTTCTTTGATATTCGTACTTGAGGAAATATAATTTTGGGTCTTACATCAATGTCCATGCGATGATGCCCCCGGAACGAGTAGAAAGGAAATGTCTCCAGTCCCAGTACTGGCCAACACGTGGGTGAAGTTCGCTTCCTTCGAATAAATCATACCAAAATGATCCTGTGAGCGGTCATTAGCACGTACATGTCATTAGTACGTACATGTAAAGTACTTAAGAATCGTGGAGGTAAATTTGGCTTGCCTGTTATATAAGTTTCGTATGCATTATCGGGCGCCACTCGGGCCTTGATCTGGAAGAGGAGGAGAATGATGAAGGAAAAGATGTTCGTAACTGCCACCAGCTCTCTCCATGTTTTGGCCAATGCGGTAGGACTTAGTATCCCAGCAAATGAGCCACTCACTGCAAGACAAACAGTGACTATCCACGCTGCTAAACCATTCAGTTTGTATCTCAATCGTCGACCAGCAGGTGTTGGCGGTCCGAAGACAGTTGGCCCCGGAAGTGCGATATACAGCAGACCCTGGAAAGTCAACCACGCTGCATACCCTCTGGTAGCCTCGAAGGTGGGGAGAGGTGTCCTTTTCAAAAAGAAATGAAGGAACCCTTCAGAGTATGCAGATTTGGCCGTGGCTGAAAGTGCGGTATCGAAGTCTTGGTAGGCAATACAGTAGAACAACACCGTCAGAGGTGTCGTCACACAGAATATGAAGGACATTAATACCAGATGGATTTTGGGTTTCGGGAGACCATCTTGGATTTTGGAGGCTTTGGAGGATTTTACATCCATCCCTTGGAATTTCATTGCGTTCATGTCGACTGCTTTGGCTGAGAATTCACGACTTTGGATCGGGCCCCATGGCATTGGAATCGAGTAGGTGTAGTTGTGCTGGCTTCTCTCTTTTCGGGCCAAGTTTCGTTAAGTAAAACTATGTGTTGAGTCGGTCGGGCACCTTGCGCTAGTCATATACTGTGCATGTCTCATGTCTCTATTTTCAATAACCCAGTGCATGCCAGACACCCCCGGAAGGGATGCAGCCGGATTCCTGCAGCGAAGCACAAATAGCGAAACCTCGTCTCAAAATAACCGTGTTTTGTATGATAGCCACACCATCGAGGCGTCCTGCAGTCCCACGTGCCTCTCAAGCTACCCCTCAGCGTCTGCTTTACTGAAATGATGTATATCGGAACAAAGCATACTTCGACTACAGCCTTATCATCACCCAAATCGATACAAGAGGAACGAAGATAATTAGTGTCCACCCGCTACTCTTCCGCGGTTTGGGGAGCTAGCCACAAAAGAACCTCATCTCAACAGACTTCCAGACTAATCTGATAGACTATTATCTGAATATAGACATGGCTAGTTATAATTGATTCAATACCTCCCCCAATGCCACCACTCTCATTCTTCTGCTGCTTCGTCTTCTTTCTCTTCAAGGGATGAAAGGGTGACAAATCTATGAAACTGATCCTTCAAGTCAAACCGCACCGTCTATGGGTTTAGTTGTATTAATCTCTTACCCACTGTGAACCCGACCGCAGCATCTATGCCACCGGCTGCTCCATTACGCCATGCTGATGTAAGTAACCATAAGTATCTTGGTTACTAACAAATCACATTATGGGGTGGACACCCCTCAGACAACATTAGGTTGCCATCCCGCTTCCCATTAATGCAGCTGACCGTTCTAGTAGGACGCTTCTGCACTGTGATAGAAACCTCGGTCGTCATCACATTTCTTGTGTCACTTAATGTTTTACTTATTCTGTCCTACCTAAGTATCATTACAAATGTCGTATTGGGACACATTCAGATTCGAATCATTTCCCAACCCCTCCGGACTCTAGAGATCATAAACCAACCAAGCCACATCACTACAACGCGCAACGTCAATTCAACCCAAAATTGTCTTGAAAGAAGATTTTTCCGCCATACGAGGCCATTTACGATAAGAAAAGTTATGTCCCATCAGGTTACAGAATTCCTGAATTGGGATTTGTTGCGCCTTGCTTGGGAAGACCTACCTAGGGAGACGAAAGCTTTCCTCTGCAGCTACATTAGAGACGTAAAATCGGATGATTTGGAGTCGCACGTCAAGCACATAGTACGAAGGAATTCTCCCGTGCTGCTATCTAGATTGAAAGCTGATCGATTGCTAGGCAAACGCGGGATGGGACAGAGTGCCATATCCGTGCTTTGGTATGCTATCATTTGTGGATTTTGATCTGTCTAAATCCCCAGTCTATGACGAAATTATATCCAATCTCACAGCGTCCTCGGTCATGCTAGACCTGGGGTGCGGCCTCGGTCAGGAGATTCGTCGGTTGGTGTATGATGGTGCCCCAGCCGAGAACATTGTCGGCTTAGACAAAGACGAGCGATTTATAGAACTCGGTTTTGATCTTTTTCGGGATATGGCTACCCTAGACTCGACGTTTCTAGTTGATGACTTCTTCAAGCCAAGTCCAAAGCTTGCTCAATTAGCTAGCCAAATCCGGGTTATAAACTCCGGTTATTTCCTGCATTTATGGGACTGGGGAGGACAGGTTAGCGTTGCTAAATGCATGATTGGCTATCTTTCTCTTCAAGAAGGTGACCTGATCACCGGTGTCCAATTTGGGAGGGAAGATGCTGGGCTTTGGAAGGTACCAACTCTTGACTATGCTATTTTCCTACACAACCCAGCCAGCTTTGCAAGTATGTGGCATCAGATAGGAGAGGAAACTGGCACCAGGTGGTTGGTTTGGTCGAGAAGCGACCGCGAGGGAACTCACGAGAAATTGGCTGCTAAGGGATTTCGTTTGCGATGGTATGTGCGGTATGAAGGAAGGCAGTCCCAACCTGTACCGGGTGAAAACTTCAGTGGTAATCAAGCAGACCAGGAACGCTGTAAGAGCATCCAACTCAGAGAGAATTTTAGAAATGAATAAGAACAGAACTAGACGTGATTAGCAATTTACTATCGATAAAAGACATACTGAACTTTCATCACCCTAGCGCAACGCCGATTACCGCTGTGCATTAAGCTCCACGGTCTCTACCGACCCGCTTTCAACCGCATAGAACAGTGGTGTGCTCCCAGAAATATCTGGTGTGTTGGCTAAGAGACCGGCATCCAAAAGAGTAGCCACGATCAATGGTTTTGCCCATCTTGATGCAGGAAAGAGGGCAGTCTGGAAGTACTTGCTCTGGATATATGGATTTCCTCCATTTTCCAGAAGCACCCGCACGACATCTCTATGTCCATTCTTGGATGCGAGGAAACAGTGTCTCTTTTTTGCCATTCTGTTGGTTAGGGTCCGCGCCATGCTTAAGCAACTCAAGCAGCACTTCCGCATGACCTAATCGCGCTGCACGATAAAGGCCAGATTCGGTAAGAATCGGCAAATTGGTATGGACGCCGGTCACAAGAGACTTGCCCAGATTCATATACAAAGTTGATAGCTCTTCGACAGTTACAAGCTTCATTGACGTAGTCCAGAGATTGGATCTTTGTAGCGAATTCGGGGAGTATTCGCAATTTGGATCAGCACCTGCTTCGAGAAAGCGGCGTACTATACCCACATCTCCACTCTCGATAGCATAGTAGAGAGTTGAAGGAGAGTTCTCGGGTGTGGCTCCGCTATCAAGTAGTCCTTCCAGTAATTTCGTACTCAATCAATTTGATATAAACTACCTATGGGCTTAGGACTATAGAGTGGTGTTCCCAAGAGCTAAACAGAGGTCACGGGATGACTACATGATGCCGTCATCCCGCGTGGCGAATTCTCTGTATAGAAAGAGATCATCTAACAAGGAGCGGTTCCCCAAATTCACTTCTGAGCATAATTCCATTTTTTCCAGGGCAGCTATCAATCAATAACATTGGCAGTAGCAACATTATATGCAGGGAAAGTAACCCGCGAAGCACCCAGATTCGTAACATAGCAATATCCCCCCCATCAATTACTTCGTCTGAATATGTCAATATACAGCCATATCGCAACCAGCAAGGAGCGCCATGACCAGATCCAAGCCGAACTCGCTAGTGTAGAGAGCAGTCCAGAGTCTCTCCAGTCGCAAGAAAGCTACCTGGCCGAGCTCCGGAACGAGCTGACCAATACCAACAGACAGTTGTCGCAACTACACAAGATCACCAAAGGGAACCGCGAGCTGCACGAAAAGTACCGCGACAGCACAGTACGCCGCCTGTTCTATCGAGCGAGGGGCAAGAGGGAGGAATTCGAGGCCAAAGCCGATCAGGAGATGCGCGATTACTACGACGCTCTAGCCAAGGAGAACCGTGCGCAAGCGCAGCGGGAGATGCTGGAGGCGCAGGTCGCGGACGCGGTCGCTCAAGAGAAGGAACTCCGGCGTGCATGCACCACAAGGGAACAGTTGCATGCCGAACTGGATGCCATCTACAAGCAGATATTTGAGGGACGGACGGAAGAGTTCCCCGAGGAGGATGCGCAAGAGGAGACCACAAAGCAGGCGCGGCGCGAATATGGGCAACGGCGCGAACGATGGAGTGATCTTCGGCAGGTGACGCAGTGCCTGGCGCGAGCGCAGCTGACACTCCGGGAGGTGCTGCTGAATTTAGCAGAAACGCTGCGGTACTGTGAGAGGGATCTGTGGAGTTTTGGAAGCACCCTAGCCGATTGGCGGCAGCAAGACTGTCTGTCCCGGGCACAACAGAAGGTTACCCAGACGCAAATGCTAGTCACACAGGCCAGACGACTGGATCCCAGAGTGCAGGCTCTGCCGGCCATGAACATTGTTCAGCACGACTGGGTTGGTGAGTTGGTCTTTGGCACCTTTCTGTTTCACACCGACTTTTTGGGCATGATGCAGCAGTCTGTTCTCGAGGTGAAGCGTGCGGAAGAGGTTCTGGCAGCGCAAGTTAGACAGGCAAAGTCCCGTGAAGATGATATGCAGGCCCAAGTGGAAGATGCGCGAATGACGTTTGAGACCGCACAGCAAGATCTCCGCCAACTCAGATATGAGCTCTTCATCAAAACTGCGGATCCTCCACCGCCCTACACCGAGCCAATGTCTCCGGGGATCAGTGTCTAGACCTGACAGCTGCTTAACATAACAAGGAATTTACCTCACCGTATGAAAACATTATATGTTTCCTATAGTAGAGAGACGGGAAAGTGAAAAGTGATTCGCCATTCCTCGCTCTAACAGATTCCTACGGACTTCTTGGGTGTACTTCACGTTTCAATACCAGTCTCTAAAGATTATAATAGTCTTCTATTTACAACACTGAAGCTGTTCCATCACGAGGAATTTCGGGCAGAATAGCACTGAAGGGGTTGCTTATGCCAGATTTCCATCTGACTTTGTTGGATGTCACCTATATATCTAATGCATTAGCAGGACCCAACCAATCTCCTTAGTAAGGATCTACTACTATTATAGGTACTGTCCTCTCTAAAATCCCGTTCCAATACCTTGAATCTCCGGATCACCCCACTCCGCGGCAGCCACGAAGCAGAGATGAGCCCTTTCTCGCGGTGGTTCATTCTTCCGAATCCCACGCTTCTCTAGTAGTCATAAGTATAACACAAATAACCTCCCTCCGTATCCATCACCTGCTCGATGGTCGCATCAGGAATGATCTCGTACGAAGTGGGGTTGTAATCCAGGGTGACGTCGACCCAGCCGGTGGAGGGCTCAGACTCAGTGGTGTAGCCGCTTAGCTGGTAGAGCCGGTTATCAGGATCGGCAGACTGCCAAGCCCACCAGTTCTGGTCAATGAAGCCGTGGTACAAGAAAAAAGACGGGGTCGCCGGGTGATCCGGACACAGTGGAGAAGTATGATCTTAGAATAGAGTAGTCAATGACTATAGTGTATGAAATCTAGCTATATTCAGTTAAATTTATAGGTAAAGAAGTTGCACTAGATAAAATGTGACAGATATTTGTTCGGAAAGAAAAAGAAAGAAAAAAAGGGGAAAACAAGCAAGCTACTATGATGCTCTTTTGCCTGGTCTGGTGTTCAATAGAACCAAGCGGTATATATTGACACACAGCCTAAACTAATTGTAACCATCAAAGTTTCGAATCACCAATCGTCCGACTAATATCAGACGCCCAACAAAACAGCGGTTCCCTCTTTAAGCACTCCATAACAGGTTCTTCTAACACAATTCTCAATTCCCACAATGGCATTTTCCTAGCTCCACCAGAAACCGGCCTTGCAGGCATAACCCAATACATCCCACTAATCCTCGGATCAGGCACATCAAAGTTCGCAACCGGGCCCAACACAGAACCAAAATTCAACCCATACACATCGAAATGGCGAATACTGCTCACGAATAGCTCGGCCCATTGAGCCTGGAACGAACTCCAATCATCCAAGGTGTTGATGTGGGAGACGTAGCGGGTGGCTTGCTCGGTGGTGATGCTTCGGATCTCGTTTCTGATTTGTAAGGCAACTTCACGAATGAATGAGATGTCGGCGATTGGGTCTGTGGTCTTGCGTGAAGTGGATCGAGTAGACAGTACGCATTGGGTGGTCATCATTGCGTTTCCTATATAGGTGCCTAGCTTGGGGTGAAGGATAGAGCGAATTTCGACGAGACAAGACAATGTGGAAAGTGTGTCCTTGGGTGTGGTTGGCGATGATGCTTGCTTTGCTCTGGTGACGGAGATCCAAATAAGCGCGGTGAGAATATCCCCGTTTGTCAACTTCGGCTTGAATGTCTGGCCAAACTTCGTGCAGAACATAGAGTTGCACTTTTCCTTGAGCATGCTGATCTTATCTGGAGACACTGCAAATCTCCGACTAACTGGGCTGCATGGAACTTTTGGTCTAGCTTTGAATTTATCCTGGACATTGTATGGGGCCGAGCTCTTTGTCGATGCAAGCTGCTGCTTTTTTTGAAGCTGCGCAGCCATATCTGTGAGTGCCGGGTCGCCTCGACAACATGCAGCCAAAGAATCTAGAATAGTGAGGACCCCCAGTCCATCCATCATACGATGGTCGAAAGTCAGGCATAACACTAGACCATCTGTCATCACATTGGCCTGGAATCGCAATACAGGGCTTGGATCGGTGGTGTGCAGATGGAGAGGAATTGGGACGAAATCAGCATGTTGCACATCATCGCACTCCACGGCGGAGGTTTTAGCGGCATGATGAATGACCTTAAGCATGGGTGACCGGTGCAATGCTGATGCCTCTGCCGGTGTGACTTGCATCAAGTTCTGCTTGCCGTCAAGCTCTTCTATCATCACTATGTTTCCGCTTAGGAAGGGAAGGGCGTCTAATAGGCGCGAGATGCCATTTCGGAGAACGGGGATGCCATCTGAGGGCGAGTCGAGCTTGAAAGTAATGTAAGTGAAGAGATAGAATGAAGGGACGATATGGTCCAATGAACTCAAAGTGAAGGGTTTAAAATTTCTGGGGGTGTCCAGGGTAAGAGATCTAGTATCATCAAGTTGTGCCATCTTGAATTGTTGTGATGAGTTTAGGCCCATGAAACACTCACATCCAGGATGGAAGGCATTTATTTACCCATTTTGTTGGCCAGCCCTTCTGGACCAAGCATGCATAAATTCTCAGCCCGAAAATGTCTTTAGTAACTTGATTTCGCGAAGATCATCGACTGCACTGGGACGGGCCTGTCAGCTGTCAGGAAAACACACCCCACCCTCCCCACGGTTATGCCCGCATCAGCTGGGGATGAACTATCGATCTGATGACCATTTCACAATCACAATTCTGGTTATTATTAGTCGATCTAGCCAAGTCGTATATCCATTTATGCATAGCGTCGGCGGAAGTATCTACGTTCGCCATATGCGCGTCCAACCGATTCAGTCACACGACCTGGATAGGAGCCTTCTTCGAAATACTGCCACGAAGAGATGGTGAAGAAAAAGCAGCAAGAAGATCCTATAACTCAAATAAAAAAGAAGACACAAAAACATACAACAGAAGGGATTCGCTGGTGGTCACCCACCCAACTACTAACCTCCCGGCGTGTGGCTTAAGTACGGCTGAGCGGACGGGAAGCCCTGTTTTCCACACCCTGTGGTCGTATGTACTCATCTTAATATTTCTAATACCAATATACTTCATATTTCAACTGTATTCACTGATGTTCGAACGTGAGATAATCACTACTACCTCTGCGAGATCAATACTAGCCTGAGCTCATAGTGAATACAGGATTTGATCGCTTCTATTAGGGAAGTGCATAACTAGCGTTCCCCCTCACGGCAAGTATATCTATCCTCTCATCCTACGCTCCGGACCCTCACGCATGCTTCGCAGAATCATCTATTGAAGCTTCAATCAACATGGTCGGCCAGGCGTGCGTCCGAGGTACCCCTTCAAATAAGTTGACAGGTGCTGCAGCAGAAGCTGCAGCTAAGGTCAATAAGCTTCTTCTACACGAATTCACTGTGAGAGTCAACAATAACCCTTCTACAGATTTAGAGGAGTTGATACAGTTCAAGCTCAAAACCTATCTCCCTCTACGTCAACTTTTTGTAGACTCGGCTGTGGAGGCTGAATCAATGAAGAACACTGAATCCCCGTCTGGTCCTCCACTGGCTGTAAGAGAGGAATTTTTGATCCCTTCGGATGTTGTTGTCATACATCCATTGAGTATGGATGTTACTCGCGCAGCCCAGTCAGTCTCAACTTGCGCTAGCGACTCTTCCAAAAATCCCGAGCACGATCAGAGGTATCAATGATCTAATCTTACACAGTGACATACTATGGCATTTTGGATCGACCGCAGTACTAGGCATTGCCCCAAACCTGGCTATGAAACTCGGGAACTACATCGATGTGGATCACCTAGCAATGGTGGAAGACATAAAACGCCAAAATTTGCGAGTTCCTATACCGGATACTCACGGTGTGTTGCAGCAAACCGGCACTACTCGGAACTTCGTCTTCATGTCCCGCGTGCCGGGACAACCGCTGGGTTCAATTTGGAAGACGTTGAGCCCCTACCAGAAAGCGTCGGTCCGAGAGCAGCTAGATGCCATCTTCAGTGACCTAAGGTCGCTCCCTTTTACACCATCCGATGAACCTGGTGCAGTGTACGGTGGAGGCACTCCTCGCCGGTGTAAAGATACCAGAAGAGACTTGTGTGGCAGATACACCGATCAGCAATGAGACAGAGTTCAATCATTTCCTGTCATTTAATCCTCGGCGTACTGAAACGAGCCATATTGTGATGATTCGATCATATATGACAACTGGACACAGACTGGTGATGACCCATGCAGATCTTCATCCTTGAAACATCATGGTTACTGTCACCCCTTTCTCATCTAGCCCCAACGAAGTCGATAGACAGTGTCTATATATATCCGAAGCCTTCACCGGTACAGACGACGTGCTATCGGAGCGAGTAACAATTACAGGTATAATAGATTGGGAAATGTGTGGTTGGTATCCAGAATACTGGGAGTACCTGAAAGCATTGAACACAATCTTTCCAGGATGCGATTGTGAGGATTGGTGGGAGTACTTGCCAACAACGATCGGGGTTTGGCCTAAGGAGCATGCAGTCGACCTGATGTTAGATAAATGGTGTCGATGACCCGGCAATGGCATTTGGAAAACTGGTAATGGTATGCGCACACGCCAATGAATATAAATGATCTAATTAGGGCGGAGGGGGAAGATAATGGCTTCTATCATCTACTTTTATGCTTGGCTTAACTCTCGGTTTCAGTAAAGGAAGAAGTGCAAAAAAAACCAACAGCAGCGTTTCTAGACCGAAGTAATTCATCGACAAGATGCAGATGTTTCAATGGAGTTTGATTAAACTTTCTGGCGCATCGATTCTAGGGTCGCTTTCGACCCGGGGCCAATATGCAGTAGTCCCGTCTGCTCCATCCCCTCCAAGACTTCCATGATCCATGCCTGGCAGTTCCAGGTGGCACTTTCATTATCGACCGGGTGATTTTGAATTATTGACAAAGCCAGGTCTTGTTTACCTGAAGAGATGGTCCCGCAGTACACTGCGTGCTTAATGCGTTTCGATAGTAGAGGATCTCTGAGGATGGGCTCCTTCACGCAGTAGCCGTCCTTGTTGAGCCCAACCTGCAGAATAATAGACTTTACGTTGGCATCTTTTATCCAAATTACCCAGTGGCAAGGCTCATCGGTCTCAGCCCTATATATGACCACTGTTATACGACTATTCATATTGTTTGTTCTATAAGGCATTGTCAGTTATGTCTATCAGAAGTCTTCCACGGTAGGATGAATCTGACTAACGGAGACATCATCGATTAAAAACGAGAGACACAACATAGGTTTTCCTGTTTCGAAGGAGATGGGGACATGAGGAAGATGTTCATCCAGTTGGAAGGCTGGGTTGGCTCATAGATTATGAATTGTGTCGAATGTGAATTGGATCTAAATGGGAATCAGGTTCAGTATGAATTCGAATTAACGTTATTGAATAATATTATATTCTATTTCAAACATTTCATTCACTCTAGACATCTTTAAGCCCAGACTACTCAGACTATTATCACACTCTTTGATCCTGTGAAAAACATTTCTCGCAGTGCATCAGGTCATTGCACGGACACAGTGCATATCACAAGCGTTGAATCATAGAGCTGTTGCGAGCTATCTTGATCTAGGCTGATTCTAGGTTTAGAATTGATCTACGGAGCAACTAACTAGTGGATGTGAGAATGAACAACTTCTCCCCGCCAACCCCCGCACGTCCTTTCTTCATGTCTTCCACACCACATCATCTCAACTTTCATCAATAACATAACATCTGTTTCTGAGTACAAACCTACATCATGAATGCAAACTTCCCAGAGCCACACATCCACCTCCCGCAAGACCCTCACACCCACACAGCCATCCTCCTTCACGGCCGCGGCAGCAACGGGCCCGAATTCGCCGAGGAACTGTTTTCCTCTTCGACATCGGCGGGTCAAAATCTTCCCTCCCATCTCCCAACCTGGCGCTGGGTATTTCCCACCTCCAAAGACCGCTGGAACGATCGCTTCCAGGAGGAGCTATGTGCCTGGTTCGATGCGTATTCTCTAGATGATATCACTGAGCGCCAGGAATCACAAGTTCCTGGATTGCGGGAATCTGTCTCTCATGTTCTTGATGTCCTGGGAAAAGAAATCGAGCTTCTTAATGGTCAGACCACACATGTGTATCTAGGTGGGATTAGTCAGGGCATGGCAACCGCAATGTGGACTTGGTTTTGCGCGAGTAGCAAGGTGCAAGGGAGTTTGGGGGGAGTCTTGGGCTTTTGTGGATGGATGCCGTTTGCGGAGAGGTTTGAGTATGGGGATTTGGATCGAGGGGGACGGCTGGTTGAGTTTTGTTCGGAGGTTGTGGGGGTTTCTGCGAGTGAGGATATGAGATTTTTGAATACGCCGGTACTTTTGGTCCATGGGACAGATGATCCGATGGTTTCTGTGGAGTTGGGGAGGCAGGTGATTGGGATTATGAAGCGGGCGGGGATGGAGGTCGAGTGGTTGGAGTATGTTGGGGCAGAAGGGGATGGGCATTGGATCAAAGCGCCGGAGGGATTTGATGCAATTTTGAAATTTCTACAGTTAGGAAAGTATCGTGTCAAAGGGTAGTAACAGAGTTAGATCTTATAGTCGCAGATAAACATGCCTTCATATTGAAATGGGTAATGAGAACTAGGAAACAAGTGTATGATACAGCGCAACTGTTCACGTGTAGCCATCCTCACAAATGTCATCAAGCGTCAATTCCCTTCAACCATCGCTCTCTAATCTTTTAATTCATCTGCCTCCAAAGAAGCCTTCTTTAATGCTTGTTCTCATGCTTTCATGTCCTCAAATTGATCACTAGAAACCTATTCCTCACATCCTACTCCAATAAAATCCTGACACATCCTCATCTGCTCGTTGTCTACATCTTGTGCGCCTGCCAACCTCGGACATTGTTTCTACTCAGTTGGTGAATGTACAAATGTATAAAGTTGTGCATTGCTGCCATTGATGCCTACTCAGCTGCGCGACCACTTAAAGAGGTTTGATTTGCGAATCAAGTTATCACCCTCCCCCAGATTACTAGCGTGATGAAAGAGGCGTCTCAGTCTACTGTTCAATATCTCAACGTATCGTAGTGTTTTGGATCTACCCCTGAAGTCTGCTTGGCATCGTGGTAGTGAGGCTGACGCCTGCGGAATGATTTAGCTTGTTGGTCCTGTTCTTCTGATCCCAGTTCATTGAGGTTACTGCGTAGCGCGAGCTCCCGGAGAGACTCGGACACATCATCGTCGTAGCTCTGTAGGCTATTTAGAATAACCCATCATAGGAAAAGGGGAAGTGTGGTGCTGTGCTGCCAGTCATTTAATCCAATAAGGTCCAATCAATTAGAGACATGATGTTGTTCGGTGAAGATCGCGGGGTCGGAAGACTGAGCGATGAAGACCTAGAACTTTAGGAAGAATACTGGGAGCAGTTTCAAGATACAACTTAAGTAATGTGGACGAGATGCGATTGCAGCTCAAAATTGTAAGTCTCCCTCCGAAGGCGCCCGAAGGGCTGAAAAGGGTTTTCCGAATCGGGAAAGGTATGCGATCTCTTTTTTTAGCGCCCGCAATAAGAGCTGAAAGGCAGTCTGGGTCTGCGAAGTCTTAGTTACTGACTCAAGTCAATCCCGAATGCTCGTGGCAGCAATACTCACGGGGCCCACCCTCCACCGGTAGATTTACTCTCCTTTCGTACCTTATTCTGAACGACGTGTCGGGTCAATGCAGCATCGCCCTTTTGTAGTCGGCAACGAGTCTGTAATGACCACCTTACTACTGTCAGGCGCGTTAGAGCAATGATAGAAACCGCCACTTGCTAAAACCGCAGTCGAAATAGTCGTGACTTGATTCCCACAATGTGAGTGATGAGTTTTATTCTCTGTTTTGGGGATAGATTGAACCATGCATTGCCCAGGCTCCGCCCCCTAACAAGCTCCATAAAAATGTACTCCGTTCCCGCGGGATTGTCAGCACTAGCGGAATTGCCATAGACCTCTGGAACGGGTATTCCATGCGAACGGAGATACTACACAGAAGCCACTTCGCTTGCAATGACTAATTAGTTAGGTTAACTAGTTAACTAGTGACTGTGGCTGAGTCACTGGATATGGGATGCGGGCTACAGATTTACAATTGTCCCCCATGGTGATTGGGAAGATCCTATTGAAGCCTCCCTCGGCAAGCTTTTTAAAGCCGATCACATCTTCCTGTTTCTAATGATTTGATGAATCTTCTAAGCGCTTGAGCTCTGGGACACTAAAGTTCCGTTTCCTCTCTTCTAGTCGCATGCGCTCACTGTGACTATACGTGCCAGTCAGTCAAATTATTGCGAATTGTCAACAGTGCGCCTGGAACATACATGCAACGCCCAGTAGTTGAACAGGTCGTAAATCAAAGGAGTAGAGCTGGTAAAATGATAGACTCTAGAATGGCTTATCTTTTATTGCAACATGATGGGGCAAAATAGCCTGACGTGGGGGCCAAAATCCACTTTTTCCTATGCTTTGATCTGGGGAGGATGTCGCCAGTCATGTTTACGGTGAGGATTCAGTTAACAACGATACATTCTGCATCTTAGTCAATAATTCATGCGGCCGTAAACCAATGCGGGAGTAACTAGGGGTCTGCCTCAAAAAGTAAAGATGATGGTGAAACTGTGCACGGATGGTGGACTGGGTGGTCAGACGCAACTCAGCCTTAGGATTAAGATTTCCAGAACAATGGAAGTTGGAAAACGTAGTTCTTGCCCTAATTCCAACTTTGATTGGCCTGTTCGGGTAGTTTACTGCATCTACTATTGGCCTGTTCGGATAACTCTGAGCACGGTCCTCATGAGCTGTCAAGGCCTACCTTCTTGGTTATAGGTAATAATGGTTGGTAGGATACCTACCTCTGACTCAACAGCACCAAAGACAAGATAAAGAATAATATGGATGTAGCATCTTATGATATAACTGAAATATAATTATATTTGTATTTCGTCTTATATATTTGTAGATTCAACAAGGTATCCTCTCTCAACACATAAGAAACCAACAGGTATCACTTTCGCGCTGCGTTTAAAACAAAAAACAGGTAAAGAAGATGTACACGTGCGTAATCATGCTCAGAACAAAAAGAGTCGCTGCAGTTCACTGCAGAACTCGACACATTACGCGACCTCAGCCTTCGGCTCAGAGTCCAACTGGGCCGGGGTCAGGCGCACAAAGTCAGGCTCAAGCACAGCCGACATGCCCAAAATCATTGTGATAGCCATGGCAACAATCTCTTCCAGCACATCCATGACCAGGTAGATGGTGGGGCTTCCATTAGTGCTAATAATGAAGAACCGCTCGATAGTGGTGAAGTCGCCGATCGCTGCGTAGACAACGCGGACGAGGATGAAAGGAGTAGAGAGGATGATGGCGAGGAACAACTTCTTCTGGAAGGCCTTCAGGTGACCCATCTGGAGGTACATGAAAGCGGCTAGCAGATGATAGACCACGAATAGAGCGATAAAAATAGCCATGGATGCTTTGACGATGTTGCTTGGCTGGTAGCTGCCTCCGTCGTCACTTGCGGTACTGACTCCCGCAATACCGATGATGAGACCGATGATACCGACGATAGACACAATGTTGAGCCATTTGCCGGGCACCACTTGATTGACATCACTGATAGAATTGTTAGCGTCATGTGTATCTCTGCGACTTGTCCGAGGGGACTCACATTTGTCTGAGGACTCCGACATAGGTCAACAACAGAGGTGCGAGGCCAATCAACTCGCATACTGCAATGGCAATCTCGACATCTTTGGAATCATGGTTGATTGACAACAGCGACGCGATACTACCGGCGATTCGAATGAGAGAGAGCGTAACAGGGTATCGCCAGATCTTGCTTCCAACCCTCAAGCCAGCCCGGCTCCATATAAAGATTGCAGCGCCGAGGATGAAGGGGTAAACAACAAGTTGCAGAATAGCAATACCATCACGATAGGTAACAGTGCCCATTGTTGCTGTAGGTGTTATTATAGATGATAAAAAGGTGTGGTACTGCTACAGATGAAGTGACAAGAAGAGGAAGAGTGGATAGGAAAATGAATTCTGTCTGGAATCTGAGAGACATGATTCCTGTCTCTCTTTATATTGCTGAAGATGCTGTGGAGCGTCATAACCTAAAGAGACACAGCCTTGTCGAAGAGATTGTTTGTTATACTTCAGACCTGATGAAATTGTCCCTGGTTGGTTGAGCATCTACACTACCGGATAAGGAATAGCGCGAGCGGGAAGGGAAGATAAAGTCAAGTGGAATTCCAGCTGAAACTCGGTTCACACAAGCAGAAAGTCCAGTCCGGAACCATGGCTGCGCCCCAGCTACGAGTCAAGCGCCCTCACTGGCCGTGGGTCTTCCCGCATTCCTCCCTTTCTTTCAGCCGCTAAGACGCCACGGCTGGCAATGCGGTGAACCCAGTGACGATCGTCTGCCTTTTCCTCCCAAAGCCCACAACAAGATGCCGTCGTCAAAATCTAGTAAGTGGGGGCGATTTGGGTATCGGAGGAGGCTGAGTCACTGCATCGTGGGTCGCTAGATTGTGTTCAGGATTGCCCAAAGAGTAGTAGTGCACGTGGCAAGGCATAGACACACAGCGCGGGGCGAGACAAGGCTGGCTAGAGGAAGAGAGCTGAGCTTGTCCAAGGGTTAAGCTCTTCAACGAAAACTGCTTAACCGACTTTAAGCCTCCTTTAGTTACCCGCGGTTAGTTGGTCAGCCTCAGCCCGGGGAGGAGGTTCTTTAACCTCATCACAATCCGCGGGGTTTCCCCTCTTGACCCCTTGTCAACGTATCCTTACGGCGCAGACAGCGAGAAATGGCATCGGAAAAGGCGCCTCGCCCAAGAGCCTCCCGCAATTGTGGAAATTGTCGGGCTGTGAAGCGACGCGTGGGTGTTTTTTTTCTGTTTTTTTTTCTTTTCTTTTCTTTTTTCTTGCTACATTTCTTTTCTCATTTTTGGCGGCCAAATAAATGCTGACAGGGGCCGATCTCGGTTCAGTGCGACCAGCAGATACCCCACTGTGGACAATGTATCCGCATGCGAGAAAAATGTCCGGGCTATCGCGATGAATGGGAACTTGTTTTTCGCGACCAGACCGACAAGACCATCAAGCGATCTAAAGAGAAACGAGCAAAACGCAAGGGCTCGACAACCTCAAGCCGCACCCCTTCACCACCCACCCCTGGCTTAGGGCCCAGCCTGGACGAGATCGGTGTCAACTATTTCCTTCACAACTTTGTCATTAACAACCAGACTCCCTCACGTGGATTTTTCAACTATATCCCCGCGGTTTACAATGCCGAGGCGGAACATTACACACTGGTGACCAGCATGGCGGCTGTGGGCCTCGTGGCACTGGCCAATTCCAATCAACAACCCGAGCTGGCTCGGCACGCACGTATCAAATACTCCGAGGCAATTGCGAATGTCAACACGGCATTGGCGTCACCTGTTGATTCTGTCAAAGACAGCACCCTGATGTCTGTCATCTCGCTAGGGGTATTTGAGCACGTCTCCAATTTCCAGTCGTGGGTGCGACATGTCCGAGGAGCTGCCGCACTGGTGGTTCTCCGCGGCAAGAGCCAATTCACTAGTACAGCCGCAACACTCATGTTCAACCAAGTCCGCGCAGACACGGTGATCACTTGTCTACACGCCAATCAACCGTTTCCGGAGGACTTGCTGGCGCTGCAGGGAGAGGCATCCAAGCACGCCGATGCTTATAGTCCATTCTGGCTCCTCGGAGTATCAGCTACCAAGTGTGTAAACCTCCTCTACAGCGTCACACAAAACAAATCGAAAGTCTCGTGGTCGGAAAAGCTGGAAGAGGCGATTATCCTTCAGGAAGAGTTTCGGCGCGTCTTTGAAATTATCAGCCTAGCAGACCCCTACACAACAATCTATGAGCCAACAGCAGACCCCGAAGTCTTTCACGAGGGTCGATTTGACGTCTACCAATCCACCTGGGCGATACGAGTCTGGAACAATGCACGTTGTATCCGAATGATCGTCTCCGAGATTCTATATTCCATTTTGATGAAGGTTTTGGCCACCGAACTTCCTTCAGCGGTGCGAACGACCCTGGAAGCGAAGTACCAAGAGACAGTACAAATCATGACAAGTCTCGGGGAGGACATGCTGGCTACCGTTCCACAGATGCTCGGTTATGTATCGCTCGTATCTGGGCAACATGTCTCTTATAATTTGACGTCAACTGCCAGCGTGCCGGGCGGTTATTCTTTGATCTGGACCCTCTATATGGTTGGAAAGTCACCCGTCACCAAACGTAAATCCAGAAAGTGGGTCATCCGCCGTCTTCAAGACATTGGGCGAGGCGCAGGCTTCGCAATGGCCCTACAACTCCTAGAGGGTGTTATGAAGATTGATCAACTCAGCGAAGCGTCAGTCCAGCGATCTGGGCCGTATTTTGAGCCCACTCGCTTATGAGTGACAAGATCAATCAATGATCTGTTATGGATGCGTGTCCACACGTGATATCACTCCCCTGGCGACAGCCTTTACTTTCTGAGGCTTCGTAACTTATGCCTGGCGCATACTTCACATGGCCACAATGCAAATGGTTTGTTTGTTCCATGGTATATATCGTATGTGCACATAGGAATGAATGATTTCAAAAATGAAATGCAAAAACATACAACAGAAGGGATTCGCTGGTGGTCACCCACCCAACTACTAACCTCCCGGCGTGTGGCTTAAGTACGGCTGAGCGGACGGGAAGC